ATGCAATACCTCACTGATTTCAGTGGTGTCTGATAAACCCCTTTCCCACACCATTTACCTATATATATAACCAAATCTTTGTGTGTAAGCTTAGAATATCCATTTTTGTTTTTCAGTTTTGATAGCATTTTTTTCTTTTACTTATTGAAGTAAAATCAAGACGGACAGATGGGAAATATGTATTTTTTTTTTGGCGATTATATGACATGATGGGGTATAAGACGAGAAATACTATAATATGCTTCCAACAAGTTATATGACGGGTCGGGTTGTAAGATGGAACGGGTTTGACTTAATATTACAAAAAAAAAAAGAATATTATTAATCTCACAATTCAATACGGGTCATTTTACTACTTTTTTAACCGACACTAATATAAAACATGTATAATTAAACTAATTTAGTAAAGATTGATATTATGCAATCTTAATAATTATTAAATAAACTCTAACATCTATAAATTTTTAAAAATATGAATTTAAAAAAAAAAAAATTATCCCGCGGTGTACCGCGGGTCAACATCTAGTTTCTTTATACAATTGGTGACCACACACAAAGAGATGAAATGAAAACTTGGGAGGCACGAGCATGCTTTGAAGTTTGAACAAACAAACGATAAAGTAGGGAGAACAAATAAAGGGTCTTATTATTACTACTAGTAAGTTAGTATTCATAGCTCATTATATGGAATTCAGTATCTTATACATCTTTTGTGTCACTCTCAATTTATAAATACCATCTTCATTTTTGTGTTGTAATTTTATAAGAGAGGTCTAAGTCGGCGCAAAACTGTCTAAGATAGTTCAGTCAAAGTAGTGATGTGTGTGTGTGTGAGTGTGATGCTGCTACTGCTAGCTGGTGTCCATCATGTACAATTTATACATGTTACTTGCAAACTATAATGTTTTACATTTCACACAAATAATACATTTGTTGACGTAGCCCACTTCAAAACCGTTTTGTGTATGCTTGCAATGTTTTGACTTTGAGTTGATGATATGGTCAAAGATTCACAAAAAAAAACAGAACTGATTCTTGCATTTTTCACTCCATCAAACATCATACTCTGATTTTTGAGTGTCCCAATAGTAGTTTTAGAAGTTTAACATGCCTATGTATATGTTTTTAAAATGATTTTTTTTAACTTTTCTAAGAGTTGTCATTGTCTTTAATTACTAACTTTAAGTATCAAACCTTTTTCAAAATTATATTACACGAGATGATTTCAAACACTGCATGTCATCTTACATCGATTCATCTACTCTTCGACATTGAGAGATTCGTTTATTACTATAAGGTACAATTTTCTTCCATACATGATATAACATCGATATTATCAAACAAAACAAAACACATGTACAGTAGTACTTCCCTAAGTTAGTAGTCATGGGCCTGATTTCATTACCAGGCCAGAAACAACCAAGTGAGAGAGTGATGAGACCTAATCTCACCTTTCGTTGACTCGTTCGCCATTCTTGGTTTCCGGAGAGTCAACGCCTCCTCTCATCTAGAACTGTCTAATATGTACACTTCTTCAAGACTTCTGGTAGCCCGTTTTTGTATAGCATTAAGTCAATATGCTTATATGCATAAGGCATTCCAATTGTCTAATGCATTTCAATTAGTTTTACACAAGAACACCAATGCTTTTTCCGGTACCACACCATGATTTGAGATTTGTGCGATGTTTGGTTTCATATGTGTAAACATATAGAACATAATAATATATCTATTAGAACAACTGGAGCATACAGATAGAAAATAGTGATCCGAGGCTGAGACACTGTACTCACTTTGTTTTGTGTATATATTTCTGTGTCCACCCATTCTTTGTTGTATTGTTGTGTAATGAAAGAAGACAGCGTGGCCTTCCTTATAATAATTGGAGTGACATATATGATCATCTAACGAAGACGCCAAAGATCAAATTTCACTTTCACAGAACTATACATTACGAATTTTTATGTCAGTGATTAATTTCATTGTTGGGGGTTCTAAAAACGTTAGGCCAGAGTTAAACAGTAGTGGACCCTGTCCTGGAAACGTTGAGCCAGAGTCACTTTGGTGGATTTTTGTTGAGAGAAAAAGGATCTAAACAAAAACATCTGAAACTTTGCATGTGCACATCAGTACTCCTCATCATTCATTGTCACAAACACTATTTACTCTGCGATTCTTGCTCTTTCGTTATCTTTGGCATTTACTCTTTTGTCTTCTCCCACCTTCTTTCCACATCTTAAACTACCAAATCATCTAAAGCGTAAACCAAAGATTTTATCGTTCTGATCAAATATACACAAAAAGAACAAGACTTTTCGAATTCTAAAACATGATGAAAAAGCATTAAAATGGGTGTATTCAATAATGAGATTTTTCTTTATTGTTTTCGGGTATGAAAATGTTCAACATTTACACTGTCACACCTCAGATCTCAATCACAAAGATACATCTAATCACAAAAGGAAGGATAAAGATAAGCCACAAGATGTTTTGTTCATCAAGTTCGTCTCTCTACTCTGTTTTTCTGTAGCCTAAGGGGAAACAGAGGAGGCAATGGAGCAGAGGACTTGGAAGGAGTGCAGACAGGAACATGAATCATCGGTCTTATCCTCATAGTCACAGATCTCGTCCTCTCTAACCCTTTTTTACCTCTTTTCCCTTCTTTCTCCCTCTCTTCCTTCTTCACCGCATCCCCAATCGAACTCGAAGAAGACGATGTCGAGCTCGAAGATGAAGACGGCGAGAGAGATGATACCCTCGTTGAAGAAACCGTCGTCGTGGTGGTCCTCTGTTTCTTCAGCCGCAAAAGCTCTTTCCACAGCACAGTGCACTTTGGTGGACGTGGAGAAGGGTCGTCGTCAAGAAACCAGCTTCCTCTGTTGTTGTTGTTGTTGTTGTTGTTGTTGTTCTCTTGCTCCTTGTTGTTATGAACAACCTCCTCTCTCACTACTTTAAGATCTTCTTCTTCGACTTCTACTTTTGTTTTCAAGGTAACGTTTTTAAGCTTCTCTGAATGCTTAACCTGCCAGAAAGGAAGTAACTTGCCTTCACAGAACAACTCGTCGGCGGTAAGCATCGTTTGGTTATTCGTTACATTTTCAGACAGAAACTCAAAGTCTCCGGCTTTCAAAAAGTTCTTGTCTTTTTCCTCTTTACCAACAATGAGGTTCGCAGGGTTGATACAGATGTAATCTCCATCACTATCTGATGATGACAAATCCGCTGAGAAGGAGATACGTGGTCCTGAAGACGGTGGCGACGCCTCCGTCATGAAAACCATCTTAGCCTCCGCCAATGTCGCCGTGTCCGCTGATACCATGATACCGTACTATGTATAACAAAGGAGCTAGAATGATGAAGTGAGAGACAAAGCAACGTGTAAGCTAGAGCAAGTGGACTTTGAGAAAGAGCAAGAGAGAGAGAGGGAGATAGAAATGAAGGTTCAGAAAGTTAAGTTGAGGATAACAGTTATATAAAAAGAAAAATTTAAGGACAGAGAGAGAGGTAATGAGATAAGAGACCACATGGACACGTTGAGATGGAGACAAATTACAGAGCTGTAAGAAGAAGAGAAGAAGGAAGAACCTATGGAAGATGAAAGATTAGATGAAACGAACATGCATGTTACAAATATAGAATATTAAAGTACTCACATCGATCGGGAGATACATATGCATTGGGTTATTAAAAAAGACTCAAAGAGTATGTATATATATTTTTGTTTTCAATCTTGTTAATTAATAATTAAGAAATCATTAGATGTGGATTTGAAAAATGGATCGAGAGAGCTAGAGAGGTTTGACTGAAAGGTTAAGAGGAGGGGAGAGTTGAACAGTGAACACATGTCCTCACATGACCTTCGTGTCTTTGCCATGTGATAACAAGTACAACTCTCTCTTAAACATGCGATGAGACACTACTAATCATCTCTGATTTACCATTTGGGCATATAAAAAAAAAAAATCACCATTGGGTCACATAATTACATAAAAGTTATAACCTTCAGAGAAAAAAGGAGCACTCTCATTGGAAAACTAATTACTCAAAAGTACAAAATTATGATGTCTTAAAAATCATTAAGTTGGGTGAGAATATCATTTTTTATGTTCTCTTCAATATGAGAGTCTTTTAAAGTTTTTTAATACACAATACAACATATGTAAATATATGTCGTACGTTTTGTTACTAAAAATAATGTTTTAGAAGTAATACTTTACAACTTTATTACACTAAAAACTGCGCTTATTATACTAACTTTATATTCCATTAGAACTGAATGACATAGAAGAATTAAGAAAATGAATTGATTCCAAGTATACCAACCCTAAATAAGTTGGATAAATATTGTTGTTTCCCTAAACATCCCTCGCGCTGGACTTTTTGTCTTCGTTATTTTCAGATTAGACAACTGTGTGTCGGATAAGAAGATATATATATAGCACCTATTATTTAAAATATTTTTCTGCTTATGAATAGAAATGTAATGTTTATAATTTTGTAACACGAATTAATAATGAAGTATTCGATCAGTTTAAACAAAAAAGTGATGATTAGTCGATATATATATTAACTTGGAGGCACTTGGAGCAGCGGGTTTCATGGTGTTGGACCACCACTCGTTATTGTTTTGGTGCAGATAGGTTGTAATTATTATCATTGCCCAAATAAATACTACAAAAAAAAAAATTATTATTACGTTACATTCAATACATCCCCTTTTTAAGTGTCAAAATATGCCCAAAATAAATACTACAAAAACTGTTGTTTAGAGTTTAATATTTTCTTTTGAATTTCAAGCGACAGTGCATATATTAAATGTAGTCGTTGAGAGTGGCGATAGATAGAGACAGCAGTGTTACCAAAGATCTTTACTAAACACATGTCACACTATTTATCATTAACTGTCCATTACCATGCCATGCAAAAATACATAAATTCCAGGCTGAGCCTATCCTATATATTACTCCAATACTTTAGCTTGTTTCGACTACTAAATCATTAACCACACACTAGATTATTCTCAACTCATATCTACATCAATTATTAACTCATAAAAGAAGAAAAGTGTATAACGTTTTATAGAAACAATAGATAGCACATACGAGCTAAGCATTACGACGTCTTCAACTTCAAATATGTATATACATATCCGTCGTCATTGATGATTACATGTTTAATATAAATTTTAAATTTATACACGAATAAGAAATAAGATTCGATGCATGATAATACATATATCATTGCATTTCACTCTGTTCTTGTGTTTATAAAAACATCAAGATGGTCAAGGAGATATAGTGAAGAGAACCCCCCATATATAATTGAAATGAAATTATGATCACTTCCATTAATTGGCTATGATGATTAGTAGTAACATATATATAGAAGTGAATATTTTAGTTTGTAATGTACAAGAGAAACAAAGTGTAGCATAGAGGAGCTTTGACTTTGACCGCATAATTAGAATCTTTATCACGTATAAACCGATTCTCAATGCAAAGAAAGCACATGCATCCATCCACTTAGAGCCAAACATATGCACATTTGATTTTATGTTGTTGAGCTTCTACTCCACGTTTATGTTTATATTTTCTACGACCATCATCAAAAAAATAAATTTGAAAAATGCCCTAACTAAGTCTATATAATCGAAACACAATTGAAATCATACCTAAGTTTTACAAGATATTACCATGTCTTTTGGTTTGATTATAGTGACCTACGGTTGTTTTCAGGTTCTCACAATAACACATATGCAAAAATATCCATCAAATGATCGTCGTCGTCCTACGATTGTGGTGCAATGTAATGTTTGGAGAGAGCACTTTCAAACGCTTTACCAAATTTGTTATTGTTGCTCTATTTAACTTATTTTACATATGTTTGTATCATCATGCATTTTGATCAACAACCAAATTTAGGTGATCCCGCAGCTGACCACGATGGACTATATTGTATATACTATAAAAAGACCATAATCGACGAGCTGATTCGACAAATTGTAATCGTTTTTAGAACATTAGAAAAAAATTATTCATAGATATTCTCGATGAATACATACATATTAATTTGTAATTTGTTGGGAGTTATTGGTCTCTAAGAGCAACTCCAATGCAAGTTTTTTTAGCAAATTTCTAAGAATTAAAAAGAGAAAAAATAAATTAAAAACATGTAATAAGCTACGAAATAATTTTTGCTAAGAATTTTTGAAATTGTTTCTTAGATACATGTGTTTACTTATGATTGAGTGGAGGAAAAAAAGAAAAAAAGAAACAAATTTTCTGATTATTTAAATTATACAGTAAAACCTCTATAAATTAATAATGTTGGGACCATGAAAATCTATTAATTTATAGAGGTTTTAATTTATCGATAAATTAATAATTATTAATTTATAGAGAGATTTTTTTAATTTAGAAAGTTTTTTCAAAAAAATATTTAAAAATAAAATTTAATTATGATAATTAGTATTTTCTATAATCATTAACAAAGAAAATAATAATTATTATGTCTTGAAAGAGAATTCTAACAGTTTTGATATAGTAAAATATTAGAAATAAAATCTAACAAAAAATAATGTGTCTATATATTTTAAAAATTTTACCTAATTATTAATTTATAATATTGATGGGACTATATATTTACAAAGGATTTTCAAAAAAATTATTATCTTATTATTTTATCGAAATGTGTCTAAAATTACATTGGTCCCAACTTGGGACCAGAAAATTTATTAATTTATAGAGATTATTAATTTATCGAGTATTAATTTATAAAGGTTTTACTGTAGTGTTTAGTAACTTATTAAAAACTTTACCATTGGAAGGATAAATTTTACATAAATTTTTAGTTTCAATTTTTGTACTTTTTGTAATTAGAATATTGCCAACATACTTGTTAAAAGATTTACCATTGGAGTTGGTCTAAATATTCGACATATAATTTTTCAACGGTATATAATGCAAACATATGATAATATTTAGTGTTTTATCTTTATTATTTTAATGTATTTATGACAAACTAAAAAAATTGTATGATATATAAGTAAGAGATAAAATAGAACATTTAATAATTTTCTTAATAAATGTGAAAAAAATTTAAAATAATGTTTAAATTGAAACGAGTGGAGTATATGTCTATATTACTTATAGTGTTTTATAGTTTATGTAATACGTTTCCCAATAAAACGGGGAAAATCAACCCAAACTATTTCCCGAAGATATTTTCATACCCAAACTCGTGTACTCTGCATTTTACAACCCAAACCAACTTTCAATTCAAATAACCAACCTGAACTATATCAAATTTTGTCGATTTCAACCTCGATGTTAACAGTAACCCTACCCATCTTAAAGATTTCAACCTCGACGTTAATAGTATTCCTACTTTTCCCCTCTGATCTCAAAATTAATAAATTATACTTGAGCTAAAGAAATATTTTCATCAAAAAGAATTACTTTATTTTATTTATGTATTTATTTATTTGCCGTCAACATCAACAATTTTTAGTTCCTTAATAGAATTTTCCTTTTTTTTTTGAGTTCAAAATCCGAATGCTTTTATACTTTTTTTCCCACAACATCAAATTATTTAGTAATCCAAAAATATCCACAAATCAAAGATCGGTCGGGATATCAACCCGACCCGTCTAAGAAGCATCGCGTCGTGGGTTTAGCGTTTAGGTTTTCAATTTCACGTATTGGCGCAAAAACAAAGACGATGGCGATGATGCATCCGCCGCAGCCGCAAGGCTATCACCATCCACAGACGCTGGAAGAAGTTCGAACCCTTTGGATTGGTGATTTACTTTATTGGGCCGACGAGAATTACCTCACTTCCTGCTTCTCCCAAACCGGCGAGGTAACCTCTTCATCTTCCCTGTCTCAGTGTTGTATATTTCCATTTCACAGCTCTCGGATTTTTCTGGGTTTTGGCTCTAAGCAGATTTGGAACAAGATAAAGCTGGGATTTTGATTTTTTTCGGTAATTTTCAGGGTTAGCCTAAATATCTCTGGCGCTTAATTGAAATTATAATTCTTGTTATAGTTCGATGCTCAGTGTTTATAGTTATGCTCCCACTTCAATAGGTAGCACTAGGTGACACAGGTACTTCAGTACCTCCCTTTTGGATTCCACATTAAGCTTTGGTTTCTGTTTCCTGCAAGTAAGAGTTGTTGATAGATATCTACTTAAGTTTTGATGTTTGATGATTCTTAAGTCTGTAAAGATATTTTAATCAAGATTGTAATGGTTTTTCTATCCATATATTTGTGCAGCTTGTTTCAGTCAAGGTGATACGTAACAAGATCACTGGGCAGCCAGAAGGGTATGGATTTATAGAGTTTGTGTCTCATGGAGCAGCAGAAAGAACTCTTCAGACGTACAATGGGACACAGATGCCTGGAGCGGAATTAACTTTCCGGTTAAATTGGGCTTCTTTCGGTTCGGGACAGAAAGTAGATGCTGGACCTGATCACTCTATCTTTGTTGGAGATTTAGCACCCGATGTTACAGATTATCTCCTTCAAGAGACATTCCGTGTTCATTATTCGTCTGTTAGAGGTGCCAAGGTTGTTACTGATCCAAGTACTGGGCGGTCAAAAGGTTATGGATTTGTAAAATTTGCTGAGGAAAGTGAAAGGAACCGGGCCATGGCTGAAATGAATGGTTTGTATTGCTCAACAAGGCCAATGCGTATTAGTGCAGCAACGCCTAAAAAAAACGTTGGTGTACAGCAACAATATGTCACCAAAGGTATTGATCCCATATTTTATTTGTGTTCATCAAATTTTGTTTAGTCCAGTTTATATACTGTTTGGAAATCGTTTGCTTAACTGGAAGTTTTTCTGTAGCTGTTTACCCAGTTCCAGTCCCATCTGCAGTTGCTGCACCGGTCCAAGCATATGTTGCTCCACCTGGACCTGAAAGTGACATCACCTGTACAACGGTAAGGTTTATCTGAAAACTTTGAGTATTTTTTCTCGAACTTCTCCTGATTGTTTTCTCATGCATTGGTTTGCTGTACAGATTTCAATTGCCAATTTGGACCCAAATGTTACTGAGGAAGAGCTGAAGAAAGCATTCTCGCAATTAGGAGAAATAATTTATGTCAAAATACCTCCAACAAAGGGATATGGTTATGTTCAATTCAAAACCAGGTAGGCGAACCATCCCCTGCGATTGCTTCCATAGTATAAGTTTTTCATTGATGCTTGCTTGTAGCTCTGTTCACTAAACTTTTGACTTCTATCCCATGGTGATCCCAGGCCTTCAGCTGAAGAAGCCGTTCTAAAAATGCAGGGACAAGTGATTGGTCAACAAGCAGTTCGCATCTCTTGGAGTAAAAATCCAGGACAGGTAAAACTTTATTTTGTCACCTAGACTGATGTGTTGTATGGCCTTATATACTCGCTAGTTCACTGAATGTCGTTAATGACCTTTGGTATTTGTTAAAGGACGGTTGGGTTGCACAAGCAGATCCGAATCAGTGGAGTGGGTATTATGGTTATGGACAAGGCTATGATGCATATGCTTATGGGGTAACTCAAGACCCATCCTTGTACGCATATGGTGGATATGGCTATCCCCAGTATCCGCAACAGGTAACAAAATGAGTTTAAAAGCTTTTGCAAATATGTGGATACTTCTTGTTTCTAACAATCGACAATTTTTCAGGGAGAGGGTACACAAGAAAGTACAAACTCTGCGGCGGGTGGAGGTACAGGGGCAGATCAAGAGTTATATGATCCTATGGCTCATGATGTAGACAAGTAAGATTCTTACTACTTTCTTACACATTCCTACCTGGGTGGGTGATTAGTTGAATGCTTAATTGACTGTTAGTTTGGCACTTGCAGGTTAAATGCTTGTTACCTTTCGGTTCACGCAGGTATCATATTAGGACGATCATTGTGGCAGCGTACCTCAGCACTCTCATCATCATAAATAGGCAAATGATCGCGAAGAGAAGAACAGAATGGTGGGTGCTTTGAGGTGTTTAGTGTTTGTCCATTTCAGTTCCTCGTGGGACAAGTCACTACTCTTTGTCTGAATGTTTCAGTATTTTTTTCTTTCTGTATTCTACATTTAGGATCTAACTACAATACTAAAATCATGAATCTTCCAACTTTCTGCCATGGTCCATCATAGTGCCTTTTACGTTTTTACTCGGACAAAATAAACAAACATCACTAATGCACATATTTGAACTGAAAAAGAATTTTGATACATTGAGAAACCTCTGAAACTTTAAATCAGTAGTAGACAAGCATAAAATATTTACGAACATGAAACACCTCCCTATTCCAATTTTTAAACCTTTATCCTCTCTCTTGGTGAATCATGAGCAACCCAAGCCTTCTTCTTAATATACTTATGTGCTGACTTGACTGTTCCAGTGGTGTCATTTAAATGACAGTTCACGCCGCTTCTTAGGGTTGGGATCTGGGTTTCCTTTCCTCATCATTGCCACAAATTCCTCGTAGTTTATCCGCCCATCCTATAAAAGAAATGTTATTAGATTGTTTGTTTTATGTGCTTATCAGATGAATTTGTGGTGGTGAAAGGGGCTTACATTGTCTCCATCAACCTCAGAAATGATTTCCTTAATGTCTCTGCCATCGTTCATGCCAAACTCCCGCAGGGCTTGCTCCAGCTCTTCCATTGTGATATATCTGCAAGGAACCAAGACGCGACCATGATTAGTTTTTGGTTTCATATTATGATTTGGAATTGTAAAGTTGCTAAGTTACTTACCCACTGTTGTCTTTGTCAAAGTGTTGGAAGGCTGAGTAGATATGCTCTTCTCTGTCGAGTCTGTTGATATGCATTGTAGCTGCTATGAATTCCCCATAGTCTATTGTTCCATTACCGTCAGCATCAGCCTATATGAAACAGAAAACTTCAGTCTTTGTTTTGGCATCTTAATTTTTTAATAGATAGATAAACCCACACAAGTTGAGACTTACAGCTTCCATTAATTGCTGGACTTCGTATTCAGATAATCTTGTACCTTGCTTGGCAAGTCCCTGTCTTAGTTCCTCAAGAGTTATTGTTCCACTGTTGTCAGTGTCCATTCCTTTGAACATCTCCTTTAACCCCATGATTTCTTCCTCTGATAAGCACCCAGCTATCACCTGTTTGTTGATGAGACCAGTGAGATAAATAGACTAAAGACTCATATTGTTTGTTACATATGTAGATGATTTTGGGAAGATTGTAAATTACACGTAAAGCAACTTTCTTAAAGTTGTTCATTGCTTTGAATTGCTTGAGTCTTGACATCACTGCATTGTCAAGAGGAACATCTGGTGCTTCTCCATCCTCCTTGATCCATGGGTGGTCTTTAAAACAACACAAATGTTAGAAAGAGTCCAATAAAATATATATATAGGGAGGTCTTGAAATGAAAGCTGCTTACTGAGAACTTGAGCAGCGGTTAATCTTTGTTTGGGATCAGAGTTGAGCATCTTCCTGACGAGGTCCTTCGCCTGTGTTGAAATGGCGGGCCACGGATCACTTGAAAAGTCAACCTGTCCACTTAAAATGGCATTGAAAATCCCATTCTCTGACTCTGTAGTCGAAAAAAAAAATAAACATGAATGAATCAGATGACCTCTGTCCTTTGGTTTGACAAGATAGGAGGGAATCGGAAATATTTACCTGCCCAGAAAGGTGGAACACCACACAAGAGGATATACAACATGACACCAATGCTCCAAATATCAGCCTCTGGTCCATACTTTCTCCTCAACACCTCTGGTGCAATGTAATAAGCACTTCCCACAATGTCTTTGAACACCTCCCCTGGCTTGTAGAACACGGATAGCCCGAAGTCGGTGGCTTTGAGAGGAGAATTCTCATCTTTGTTTAGCAACAAAAAGTTCTCAGGCTTCAAGTCCCTGTGGATAACCCCCATGGAATGGCAAGTATGGATAATCTGCACAATCGTCCGTAGCAATGAAGCCGCGGCTCTCTCTGAGTAATGACCCTTTGCAATGATCCTATCGAACAACTCTCCTCCCGCACAAAGCTCCATAACCAAATGCACTGAATGCTTGTCCTCGTACGCTCCTTTAAGCTCCACAATGTTTGGCTGACCCGTCAAGTGATGCATAATCTGCACCTCCCTTCTCACATCCTCAATGTCTTCTTTGTTCACCAGCTTCCTTTTCGCAATGGTCTTGCAAGCGAATTGCAGTCCCGTGGCCTTCTGCGTGCAGAGATGGGTAACCCCAAACTGTCCGCGACCGAGCTCCTTACCCAATGAATATGAGCTCTTTACATCTTCCATTGGCCGCCCTAAGACTGGTCCTATTGGCCCTTGTTTGACTGCAGGAGGAGGAGATGCTGGCGGGTGCTTCGAAGCTCTCACAGAGGCCTCCGCGGCACCAGTACCACCGCCTCCTCCTCCATTTTCCAGCGCCTGTTCTTCTTTGGTACCTGAATCCCGTCCATGAGAGCAACAATTTCCCATTGTTGCAATAAGGGGAGAGGAAGTAAAGCTCTCAACCAGGAAGAGAAATAGAAATTAAAGATCTTTCTTCCTCTGTCTATTCTTTTAGGTTTTTGGTTTCTTCTTTAGCAAGAAAGTTTAGGAGTTTTTTGGCTTATGAATGGCTATGAATAGCATTTTTCTGTTTTTGTAAGTCTCTTCATTTTGCTGGCCTTCAGTTCAAACGATAATGATAGGGAGGGACTTTAGGAACCCAAAAGCCTTTCTGTATTTTGTTATTTAAAGCAATATTTGTTTTCAATATTAATTTAGGATTTTAGTACACAAGGTTGCGAGCATTTCCTGGAGAATCTTCGACTTTCCTGTATCTATAATTCCATATTGTCTAAAATGAACCTGTTATAACATATAGTTTATTGAATACGATTTTCGCAATTTTGTTTTGAATTAGGATACAAGAAAAAGAGCCGAATACTATTGATTCTCTCTATTTCAGTAAGTGGGAATTGATGGGTCAACCTTGTGAGAGTAAGCTTGTATTCCACCAGCGACATTGTACACACTCTTGAATCCCTGAGGAACAAAGAGAACAATCCATGAAGATATCATCCTTGCAACTTGCACATTATATAAAAGAGTAGAAAAAGCTTGTTACCTGAGACTGTAGCCAGTTTGCAACTTGCATCGACCTGCCACCAACCTTGCACTGTATGGGAACAAAGGTCGCGACTCAGAGAACGTAAAAAGTCATTGCAACATCAGAGGTTTCTTTGTTTCAAGTGATCTTACAATCTACAGACCAACCACACTAGGATGGTATACGCAACCGGTGTAAGAGAGTAAGCCTAGAGAGACTAAGATTTATGAGAGGCTCTCAACTCTTAACCAAGTGCAACGAAAACCTAGAAAATCCACACCCATTGAAACCCAGCCCTCACTAACTAACTCACAACACCTCTAAATTGCTACATTTAGTGCTAGGCTATATACAGTACACCTATTTCTAACACTAACAGTTGAGACAAGGCTGAACATACCAAGACAAATACATCCTTCTCAGGGTTCAGCTTCGAAGTGATGTCTGGTGCCCAGGTTCCGAATTGGCGGAGCGGGAAAACTTTGAATCCTGGCAAGGATGCAATTTCTCTGGTACAAGAAGTAGAGAAACAGAATAGAAGAAAAAATGTGAGTTGACTATGGATACTTTGTCCTCCTTCTAGATAAAAGTGTGCAACTGTGCAAGGCACACATGTATCTAATGGGAGAGCAATTAAACTCTGCAAGATACACATGAGACATATTGTTGTGAAATGTTGAGAGCGTATTACGCTAATCCATTGGGCTTCAGTGAAGAAGGAAACTGGAAAAGTATGGCAAGATGAGAAATGAAAGGAACTTACATCTCGTCAGGTTCTCTGACATCAATTAACTGAGCCTCATCCATGAAAACTGGATCTTGCATTTTGGAATGCAGCTCCTCCACCTGGATATCTTTCACAGGTTCCCTGATATCAAAAGTTCAATTAAGACACTTTACAAGTCAACAGAAAATAAAGCTAACGAAGGAAAGTTATCAGAAGAATTACCTCTCAGATAGAACTTGCAATAAGTGCAAGCCGAATTGGGTTCTACACCTCACCACCTGATTCGGCTCTGCTTTAAACGCAGCTCCTTCAAACTCTGGTACCTGAAATTTTTAAATGGTCTGTCATGTTCATACTCCAGCAGGAACTTGCGAAAGTTATCCAAATGGGGAAGTCCAAACATTGTGGAATTACTTCTATCATTGGTTATATTTCTAATACTGAGAGTTAATTCACCAGAAGTGTTACATCACACAATTGCTTGTGAAATAACAAGGCTAAGAAAGCAAGGGTCCTATAAAAAAGAGAGCATACCATTTGACCCAGTTTTACCCATCCAAGTAAACCACCGTCCTTTTTGGATGGACAAATTGAGTACTCAGCCGCAAGATCACTCATATCCTCTCCTACACAGGAAACAGTTACTTGAAAAAACAGTTGACAGCCTTAATCTTCTGAGACAAACAAAACAAAGTTACAATCAAGCAATGAGAAATTTATATTCGTATCAGTATGACATTTATTCTTTATCCCAGAAACCAAACCCCAAAACCAATAGTAATTAAGTACGCAGAGCCACAACTGACTCGGGTGATAGACATTGGGACACATGATAGAAGTGTAGCTCCACAGTGACAATTCTCTTCGCAGAAACAACTATACAAGCTTATAGGCCTATGCACAATGTTGAAATAAAAGCGTAATCCAGAATGTAGATATAAAAACGGGATAAAAGAATCAGACCATCCAAGATTTTCTTTTGGAGTTCAGCAAAGAGCTCAGTATCATCCCCCTTAACAAGCAAGTGCTGCACGAGAATCTCTCTACTTGCACTACTCCCACTGCTAAACGAAGCTGGAGATACAAAAGATAATATACACAGATAATCAGAAATCAAACCAGTTAGATTCTAAAAACTAAGAGCACGGATACACACAGTTCAAAAAGCAAGTAATCGCACATAAATTTGGTAGAAAATCAGATCAGAGTACCAAGTAGAAATCAGAGAAGAAGCACGCAATCAAGTCTTTTTGATGATAAGGGGAATTTTTTTAGTGTACCTCTCATTTTGAGAGCCGAGAAACCAGAGAGCCTGATCGGGCACGGAGAAGGAACGCGTGGTGGTCGGAGCGAAGAGATGCGTCCGCCGAGAAATGAACGAGAAAACGTCGAGAACCAGCGGAACCGGGAAGGAGAGACGATAGCCAGAGTGGGAGTAATGGAGAGTCTACGAGCGGCGGAGAAAGACGCCGCCACAACCGCTGGAGATGATGCCGCCGAGAGAGTTCCAGTCACTCTAAACATTATGGGTTCCGCTCTCTTAGTCTTAGGTAAACGACTTCTCAAGTGTGAGAGAGATTACAAGTTACCCCACTCGACTGTGAATATTTATACTCCCTCTGATCCTGCCGGTTTATTGGGTTCTTGGAGGAATTGTGGATATATCTTTTACTTTTGTGTTATAAATATTTATTACAACATTTTGAACCAAACATATATAATTTACTGGTTTTTGACAGTGTCATCGACTCAGATTCAAATCCGCATATGCTCACAAAAAAAAAGTTTATATACATCATTTTACAAAGTACATTATCTTCTCTATATGCTAAATAGGTTTTGAAAAGCAAAACTGAAAACTAACCATTGTTTTGTAAAGAATGCATAAAATCACGAAAATTCTTTATTTTGTCAAATGAGCTTTACAACTTATTCCCTAATTGACAAAAAAATGGCAAATGCTACAATGACAAGAGAAAAAGGGGCAAAGGCTACACAATGAGAAAGACAGAAGGAAACCAAACGAAGTTACAAAACCAGTTTTCCTGCCGTTAGGTGGATGGGGGCGAGGGGATAATCGAAACGGATGTATTAGTAGATGGTGTCCAAGCATATAGAAGCATGCCAAGTACAAGGATGACTGTGCCTGCAACAAACCCCGTTGGAAGTGTGGATGCGACCCCAAGGTACGGTAGGGGAAGCGTGAAACAATACACCGCTATGGGCACTGCACCAACCAACAATGCCAAACAAGGTTCTATATATTAGAAATGTTCCTCTTCTGCATATTAATGTTTGCAGATTACTACTCCTATGCAATCTAATGGTATATACCTTTATAAGTCCAGCAAAAAATTATGACCAAAAGAAGTTTGGTTGTTTATAGGATAATGGTATATCACTGGTAATTACTAATTAGATAAAGAAGTAGGTTTTCATGAAGCAGGGAAAGGCTATTACGAAACAAAGTTTGTACCTGAAACGGTGGATGCCAGAGACGAAACAACTGCAGATGAGATCTTGATGAGGCGTAGAAGGGAGATGTTGTAAGCCATGTTCATCATGACAAACATTACAGGAAGAAGGGGAGCACCTTCGCATCCTGTGTCATACCCAAATCCGACCATGTTACTAATAGGAGAAAAACAAAGAGATACTGGAGCAGAAAGCGTTAGCATCAACCAACCTGTTACTCTAGAACCAATGTTCAGAAAGCAAGCACCCCCGTCTCTGATATAGCTCGGTAGTTGGTTAAACGGTATGCCCCAAAGTTTTGAAAGAAAAGGAAGAAGTAACGCAATGCATATGACCTGGGTTAACCACAAAAAGATGCATATTAGCTAGCAAAGAGATTCACAATTTATGTTAACAAGCGGTGCTAAAAACGTAAATGGTCTGACATTAAAAGAAAGCAGCTACACTAAGAATACTTACTTGGAAAACTGAACCATATGAGTTTACAACAAACAGATCAAGTGAAGCACCCTGTAATAATAAGAACCGATTTCGTTCAGAATACAAACAGAACCGCAAATGTTGTTTAAGGTTCTCGTCGGCATAGTTACCTTCAATCGCTTTTTGCTATCTAGAAAGATGACTTCCTGCAAGGATATGGAATTAACCGTTAAAGAAAAGAGTCCAACATCTTGTAGTTAACAATATAACTAGAAAATGATTGACAAACCTTCATAACTGTATCTGCTCCTTGAAGTAGAAAAGAAAACACCATAAGAAGACTCCAAAGTATTCCTGTATCTTTAAATGAATGAGCGGCACCAGATCCACTGAATATGGATGAGAAAGTAGTGTGCCAGTTAATTCAACATGGATTAAAGTCGTTAAAACTGGTTAGGTTGTGCCCATTGGCAAGTCTAACAAACGGAAATCCAGAAAGGAGACAAAGAAACCAAGTCACTTAAATAATATCAAGCAAGTTAATCAAGCTGGCTAACCTTGCCACACTGATGATTACACCAAATGCTACAAGAGTACATCCCAATATTTGATTTATTCTATATCTCCTCCCGAGAAAAATAATGGAGAAGAGAATTTGCCAGACAAGAAATGTCTGCAAGGAAATAAACGACTAGAATTAACTCTGGAACATTCTTTCAGACAAGAAACCATAATTGTAAATAAGCTAGCTAGTAACTCGAGAATTTGCAGCTTTTGACACACCAGGACAGAATTCAAGAATGAAACTGTATTTTAATCACATGGAAGATAAGAGATAGTAATATATAACCTGAGATAAAACTGTAGTAGATGGTCCAGAGAGATTCGCTGAAAAACAAGAAGACAAAAAAGAAGAGTGAGTAAGATGCAACTTCATCGAACAATGCAAGTATACATGTACTGAAAATTACAGTAGGAAATAGGAAAGGAAAAGAAGCTTGAAGAGTAAACATACAAGCAGCCGCCATCCCAGCAGCAAGAGAAAGAGACTCCAAGACGCCAACAATTAAAAATGGAAGTTTAGGAACTGATAGCATCTCTTTTGTAACAATTCCAGCTCGGTATCTGAAAAACAAGACCGTAAAGTATACAGCTACATACCTGCAAACCAAATGTAACAAAAGAAAATATTTTATTTGTAAAATTATACTAGGTAGTATAAAACAAGATGGATCCACGAAATCGAGTACATGAATATGACATGGGAAACTATTGGGTTTGTCCACAGTGAAGAGCAATTAGAACAAAAACTGGTGAAGAAATAAAGAGAGTGAGACACGTGACTAACACGTGGTTAAATGAATTTTGGCACGAACCGCGGTGAATATAAACAATATTACTATATTACTAGTAGTAGTAGTAACTCATTATTTAATTTAACTCACGGCGGCGGAACACAGTTCCAACAACAACAAAAAAAAAAGTGATAGTAGTCCGATGTAGGTGGGTGACACAAAGAAACTCGCACGTGAGAAAAAAATTTAAATGCGCATAAAAATATATTTAGGTGACAACCAGGATTAAAGTGAGAAGTAGTCATTGCAACAAGTCGCCAACTATGACCCATTTGTTCTCCCAAAAAAACAAAAGAAAAAGAAAAACGAATAAGAGAATCTACTCAAAAAATAGAATCTTAGAAATTCACTTTCCCTATCTAATAATCGAACAAATTGGAAAAACAGAATGTAGAACAACACAAATTCGAAATCGCAGTATGAGTTCAACACAATTTCAAATACCAAAATCTGAGGAACACACAATTTCAAAACAAAAAAAAAATCGCAGTATGGATTTCAGTTTAAGTTGAATGTAGAACAAATACCAAAATCTGAAATCCAACTTTAACTGCTTAATAATAGTTGCGACTGAGTAATTTGAGCCAATTGAGAGAGAGAGGGAGGGATTGGTATACCCGAAAGTGGAGAGCTGCGCGAGGAAGAAGGGATATTGTTTGAGAGGCATAAGAGCTAGCTTATACAATACGCGGTTACCAACGCCCAGCGCCGCCGTGATCGCCGCTGCTATAGCTATCTCCGTCGTCTTATCATCTTTTCCGGCAACCGCGTGACCACCGACCGCGCAGTTACGCGCCTCTGTTTTCTTCTTGATGTCTCCGCCATCGTCAGATCCGAGCCAGGATTTCGCCGGAGGAACCGCCTCTATTAACCATTGCCTGTTTCTTCGAGAGGACCGCAACACGATACGCGGTGCACCGTTGATTTGATTTCGACAGATTAGGGAAATGGATGGAGCTGGTTTCGCGTCACGCGGTTCGATTGAGCCGATTGACGCCTTTACACCGGCGATTAACCTCCCGGAGCTCGTCGTAGCCATGGGTTTGTTTGTTTGTTTTGTTCAGGTTCGATCGAAGAGGTGGAATTATAGTGACATCACAACGAAACCACCCACCTCTTTGTGCTCTTTCGCATATGACACAATTTGTTTCGAGCACGCCATAGCCTACTTATAGAACTGTGTGATTTTTAATAGCAGTGGCCATTTTTGAGTGTCATAAGGGTGTTTTAGTCAAATGATGAATGCTTATGTGTAAATTTCAGATATCATCTCGTAAATGCTTATGTATATGTATTTTTTTTTTTTTCTGGAAATTCGAAACAACATTAATATGTTATTGACTCAAATTTTTGTATAGTTTTTGGGCTATATCACCAGTTGACCCAAAAGTTTAATTGGGCCTTATTTTACTCCAGTGTGGAACTGTGGATGATAAAAAAGAATTGGGTGATATGGGATACCACAGATTTGAATGCAAAAATGAAATAAACTAAACCATATGGATCATATGGTTGGAGTCTATCAGATTTATAGTATATAGTAGTAGTTAATAAAGTTACACATTAAACCAAAAAAAGTATAGTAGTTCGTTTTGCACTTTACAGGGAGAGTCGTATGGTATAGGTCGGATCTAATCGCAGTAGCACCTATTTACCTAATCACGAATTATTAAATTGGGGGCAGTGGAGCAGGATCATACCAGCTGTTGCTGACGTGGAAAACTCTAATTGGCTGGGTTGATTTAAAAAACAATAACAAAATAAAAAAAAGAGTTAAGTAAAACAAGACCCGACCCGTGACTTCTCCGACACTCATGACCCATCCACTCTCTCTTCTCTCTCTCTCTCATAACCCAGCAGAAGTAGGTGGAAAGCAATGTCCCCCTTCTTTTTTTTCCATCTTCTCTCTATCTCTCTCTAGCTAGCTACATCTCGCAGGACGACGGAGGCATAACTCTGCGACGGCTTTAATGGTGGTCTTGTTGTTGTTGGTTCGTTGAGGTTTGTGTTTGTTCTTCCAATTTTGAAGACGAGGAGGAGATTTGGCTGTTGGTGAAAATTTGTTTGTTTCTGTTGTCGCTTTCTACTGTTTGTATCGAAAGAGTCGAAATTGAAACCCTAGTGTCTCGGCTTCTTTCGAATTTGGCTGGGTTTCGTTTCGAGGCTGGATCTGAGATTATGCTGTTGAGGCAATGGAGGCTTCTTTAGCGGCTTTGGAGCGGCCACGAGTTGCAGCTTCAAATACGGTAATGGAGCCTTACTGAGAATTTGTAGTGGTTTGACATTTTTTTTGAATTTTGCACAACCGGGGAGCTGGAATTGCTAAAAATAGGGGAATTTTCAAAATGATTGCTAATATATAATCTTATTATATAAAATTTGGAGTTTATAGATTTCTACTTCCGTGGTATATGGCAGTGGTTGTTTTAGGAGTCTTATAATACATAGCGCCATTGATTAGCTGTTTCTTGTATTCTTAAGTGCGTAATTTTTCTTTGGAATCCAATTGGGTTGATCGCTCTTGTGCTTTTGACAAAAGACTCCATTATCAGTGTTGACGTGAGATATAGTATCTGTGTTGAGTGCATTTCCTGAGTATCATGCCGGTCTTGAGCCGTTGATGTTTTCGCATGTCTGGGGTTCCTACTTCCTAGTATGAACTGAAACAATTTTATTGGCTTTACTTGCAACTATCTATTTTCTCTTGTTTTTGAAATGCAAGTTTGATTACTAAACTGATGATTGTTATTAATATTGTGGAACTCGCAATGACAGGTTTTTAAGAGTGGTCCACTTTTCATATCATCTAAAGGTATCCTTGTGACATGTTACCCCTCCCTATTTCGATTAGTTTTGTTACATTTCCCTATGTTTGTTCAGCTTGACAATTTATTGTTGCTATTGTGATATCATAGTCCACTGAACATGTTATTGTGGTTTTCTGCTCAATAGGATTGGGTTGGACGTCTTGGAAGAAACGCTGGTTCATCCTCACACGTACTTCTTTGGTCTTCTTCAAAAATGACCCTGTTAGTATTCACAATCACACTGTTGATTTTGTTCTGTGTATTGATTTATTTTGTTAATGTAAACTAAGATTCTTGATAATCGTTTATATTGAGATACTTAACTAAGTTTTCACAGGGTACTCTACCACAAAAGGGTGGTGAAGTGAACTTAACTCTGGGTGGCATCGACTTGAATAACTCTGGAAGGTATGCAGGGTATTGCTAGTTGATTAGAAAAGTTCATGAAATTCAACTTACAGTTATTTTTGGTTTCAGTGTTGTGGTAAGGGAGGATAAAAAATTGTTGACGGTATTATTTCCAGATGGGCGTGATGGGAGAGCTTTCACTCTTAAGGTGGTTTTACATCAGCAGCAAATTTGATCTACTTTCTAGATGTCTACTATAAGAACATGTTGCTGCATTGTGATAGTCCTTTAGATGATCTTTATGCTAGTGTTAATATTCCTTTTTCTGACCAACTTGGATAATGCAGGCTGAGACATTTGAAGATTTGTACGAGTGGAAAACTGCGCTTGAACAGGCTCTTGCACACGCCCCTAATGCAGCACTCATCATGGGTCAAAATGGAATATTCCGTGCTGAAACTAACGAGGCTATTGAAGGTTCCTTTCATCAATTTTTTTTCTACTCCATGTTACAGCTTTGGCCTAAGCGTCTTAATACATAATTATGCCTTTATCATGCTTATGTATATTTCTGACTTAATAGTTGTTTTTCGATCGCTATGCGTCATTATGCCTTTATTGTCCATAATTGTTAGGGCGGGATAAGCGTCCCTTAAAATCCTTGGTTGTTGGAAGACCAATCTTACTTGCTCTTGAAGATATTGATGGAAGCCCTTCATTCCTTGAGAAAGCTCTTCAGTTTATTGAGAAGTATGGTAAGTTCTTAAGACAATATTGATAGCTATCACGAAGCTTTATTGATTACGTGGTCTTTCCTAAATGGTTTTGATGAGGCATGCGCTTTTAGATGAAAATGTGTCCGTAGTTTTGTCAGGGTACTTAATACGTGGAACGTATTCAATTCAAGGAAACTTTAACTTACTTCCATGATTCTGTTATCTCATTCAATTTGTTCTACGGAGTCTTGCTAAATCTGATGTATTTCTTTTCTTCGAATGCTTTTTGTCTTTTAACTGTTTTTTTTGTTGGTTTCGTGGTTCTCTTTTGTCTCCTCAGGAACTAAAATTGAAGGAATACTAAGACAGTCTGCTGATGTGGAGGAGGTGGAACGTAGAGTTCAAGAATATGAACAGGGTACCTATACTCTGCTAACTGATTTCTCTCTGGATTAAGTTTAGGCACATCTTGTTAAGCTAATATTACATGTTCTTAAACTTCCTTGGTATGTACTCTCTTTAATACAAAATTTACATTTTTTCCCCTCTTCCGCTTTAAATAATATCTAGGCAAAACGGAGTTCACTTTTGATGAAGATCCGCATGTTGTTGGAGACTGCATTAAGGTAGTGTCTTCTCAACTTCTTATTCTGATAGTCCATGCATTGTTACAATACTAAGGCAGTTTCGTTTCACATGCAGCATGTATTGAGGGAGTTACCTTCTTCTCCGGTTTCAGCATCTTGTTGTACTGCCCTGCTGGAAGCTTACAGTGAGTTCCCTTACCCTCTTCTTCCTTCTGATAAAGTCCTACTTGTAAACATGCAGAGTTGTGTGTGTGTATCTATATATATTCATGGGTCTGCTGTTAAAAATATTTCTAAAGATCTGACTGAACTTTTGTGAATTTAACGTCCTATTAATTGGTTTGCTGGATCAGGAATTGAGTCCAAGGAGTCTCGCATTAGTTCATTGCGCTCTGCTATAGCGGAAACATTTCCTGAACCTAATAGACGTCTACTACAACGGTATGTTTCCAGACCTCCCTTCGGGGTGGGCTAACAGTCGATTTCACTCTGCTAACAGTTTATGATTATATAAGATATTAGATGTAAAAGTTGAGATTACTAGTTTTCTGCCAAGTCTGAGTCTATAGACTAGATGAATATCTTGTGGTTCTTATGAGTAAGAATTCTTAAGAATCATTTATAAAGTGCTTTCTTAAACCCTTACATATTTAATTTGGACCCTCAGGATTCTGAAAATGATGCATACTATTTCGTCTCATTCCCACGAAAATCGAATGAACCCAAATGCTGTAGCTGCCTGCATGGCTCCTCTGCTCCTACGTCCTCTACTGGCTGGTGAATGTGATCTAGAGGACGATTTTGATTGTGGGGAAGACAATTCTGCTCAGCTTCTTGCTGCTGCTAATGCTGCCAATAATGCCCAAGCCATCATTACAGTTCTCCTGGAGGATTATGGAAGTATTTTCGATGTAAGACTCACTCAGATGGTTTCTATCAACCTTAATCAATGTTGTATGTCTCATATGCTTATCTGCAATTTCAGGAAGAAAATATTCAAAGATGTTCGATTTCAACCGAATCTCATATTGGAAACAGTGGGCCTGATGATTCAAGTGATGATGACAACAACGTGAAAAATGAATATCACAATGCAGATAATGAAGTTGAACAAGTGACAGATGATGATAACGAGCGTGCATTGAGTGGAAAAATGAGCGAGAGCAGCGGTTGCACAGGCAGTGATCTCTATGAATACAAGGTTATTTCTCCTTTTTCCAGTCTCTCTTCCGTCACTATACTCATGCATCCATGGAAGCTTAGATGACATCTTTATTTGCATAGTGCTGAATGCTGATGATATACTGGAATGCCTTTTAACTTAGGAAGTATGGTTCTGAAATTTAGGATATGCTTTTAGGTTTCAGCTATTATATCTCTATCCCATTCCTGTGCTATAAAGAGAAATAATTATTTCATGATTGCTGAATACATTCTATTCTTTGTAGGGATTTGTGGCTGATGACTCTGATATTGAATCACCAAGAGACTTAAATGGTCCAAGATGTAATTCAAACGTACGAACAGATCATCTTACGAGAAATCCTTTTGTCAACTCCACGGATCAACAAGCTGGAGAGCAGATAGGTGATGATCCAACAAAATATGGAGAAAACTCATGTATTGTACATGTTAGCGAGTCTTATCAATCATCAGGGACAGCTGTTAATGTAGCCAATCATGGGAATACTCTGGCATCTCCTGGTCTTGAAGCATCAAATGAGAAATCTGTGAATAAGGGCACACCTTCCTCTGTTCATGCAAAGCGCGCAACATTCTGGGGTCGAGGCAATGTATGTTTTGCTTACCTTGATCAAATAGTTCTGATTTTGTACATGCATAAGAATTTGGCACATTAGTTCGTAGATTTAGATGCATGATACAAAAATCTTTTCCTCCAATTTGTTATTGATGTTGCACCTTAGCTGCATATGGAGATAATGAACCGACGCAGGTAGTGTAATATCAATCACATTTTCTTTTCTTTTTGTTTGTCTCAGGCCAGAAAGCTATCCACAGATGGATCGTTTGATTCTTCAGGAGAAGACGAGTAAGGCTTTAACTCTTGGGTGTATTCTCCATCGCCATATATATACATACATATATATTGTTTTTTTTGGCTAATATATTTAACGCTGAAATGCTTAGTAAAATAATCAATAGAACTGTGATTATCTATCCAATATGTTTTCAAGTTTAAATATTTCCTTTGCTTAAAATACTTCCATGATTCACTTTCACACTGTACTTTTCTAAAAGTCCTTTTACTTAATCGGACATAGAATGACACGGCTAATGTCTCAGCACTTACTGAAGACTATACTGTTTGAATGAAGTAGGAAATATAAAGATTCACCTATCCAAAAGTCAACATTGTATGTAGATATGTACTTTCTAGATATGCATTCTAAACTACTGCTCCATCTCTTTGGTATAGGCTTGAACTGATTGACCATTGAGAATATGCTAGCTTGGTTTTTTTGTATTGCTAATTGGTTCATTGATTGTTTGTAGGCTTGCTATACAGAGGCTGGAGACCACAAAAAATGAACTGCGACAACGAATTGCAAAAGAGGTAATCAATCATCTGCTACTGAATTTGTTTTATCTGCCTTCCGAAGGTCATTAACACTGGTCACCATTATTGTTATAGGCCAGAGGTAACGCAATATTACAGGCTAGCCTGGAGAGAAGGAAGCAAGCACTGCATGAACGTCGTTTATCGCTTGAACAAGATGTATAAAATTTCTCTTTCAAACTATCAGTGTTTATGAATATCTTGTCTCTACAATTAATCCTAATGTCAAAGGAATCTTCTTCTGGTTTGATGGTGAATACTTATATAGGTGTCAAGATTACAAGAGCAGCTTCAAGCCGAAAGAGATCTCCGAGCAGCACTGGAGGTTGGTTTGAGCATGTCTTCTGGACAATTCAGCTCACATGGTGTGGATTCGAAAGTAAGTATACATTTTAGAGAAATAGTATCTTTCTCTAAAATAGTTAGTTCTTGTAAAATACTTACTTTCCAATTATATTTGAAGACAAGGGCAGAGCTTGAGGAAATTGCTCTTGCTGAGGCTGATGTGGCCAGGCTGAAGCAAAAAGTTGCCGAACTTCATCATCAGCTTAACCAGCAACGTCAGACTCACTTTGGTTCCTTCTCCGATGCGCGTGATACTCATCATTATCTCCAGAATCACAATTCTCAAAAGTGAGTTATATAACTATCCCTGTACTTTCCTTTACACAAAGGAGCTTAGAGTCCAAGTTATTTTTCGTCATGACTTACACTTTGTACTGTAAAAATTTTATGCTTGAATTGCTGGCTTTGTTGTCTGCTTAGTGAAGTTGTTTAACAAATATCTCGGATTAAGTTATCCAGTAGTAATCTTTAACACAGTACAACTGTGAAGATTATGTTCGAATACTTTGCACCTCATATCTTGTATGTACTGTAATATGATAGGTTCACATCTGTGGTTTTGTTCTAATACCATGTCATGTATTTTCTTCAGAAGGTTTCTTCAGCAAGATTTTGATTCCACCCTTGCCTATGTAAATCATGAAAGAAAACAAAGACACGAGGTATTTTTTTACTGATGTTCTGTCATCGATCATCATCTTCCATAGTTTAGATAAAACCAATAGGCTTTACTGTTTGGACTGCAGGAGAATTTACTGGGAGCGGAGTGGAGAAACAGTAAAGGAGCAGGATCTTTTGGGGTTGGAAATAGTAGGCAACCATCTCGTAAGCAAATATCAGAATCAACAAATGTAACTGACTCTAATATCAGTGAAGAATCTGGAAAGATGTCTGTGGACAAGTTCGCAACCATGGATTCTCCATCTGTTCCATCGACGTCAAGAGCATTGGATGTAAGAACTTTTGCTCCCTTAAGGGTTCCTATAAACTTTAAAAACAATGTGGTTGGCAGGATTGAATCTCAGGGAAGATCGTTTATCTTTTTGGTTCCATATTATAGTGTGCAATTCTGTTATTAACTCTGTCTGGTTTGTTAATTAGTCACAGAATAGTTTGTTGTAAACAATAACTACAGAGACGTGCATGATTGCTTGGTTCTCTGCTTAGCAAATCAGAGCTGACGGCTCTTAAAAATTCTGAGGAAACATCTTAAATACAACAAGACACGCTAATATACTTGAAATGTCGTTTTTGCAGATAACAGAGTACCCGAGGCTTAATCATCCGTCAGCCGCAGCATCAGCAGCTCTGGTAGAGTTAACAACTCGTCTTGATTTCTTCAAGGAAAGACGGTCACAGCTCATGGAACAGCTTCAGAACCTTGACCTTAACTACGGCGGCTCATCTTCTCAAGATTTCATACACCGTCCATCTTCTCCACCTTGGAACTAACAGCACGAAAAGAAGAAGAAAAGGCTCTGTATATCCTCTTTTGGTGATTGATTAATGATGTTAGCATCCGCTCTGCTCATTTTCTCCCCAGAAGACAATAATGACCTTATTCTTTTGGGCAACAGTCTTGTCTTGTGTGTATATAAAAGTATTTTGTAACACATTTTTTCTTTCTTTTTTATGTGTGATTGGTTATGTTCATAAGTGTAAAATTTAAAGACGTCCTCGTCCGGCTCTTTGTGCTCTTGAGTTTTTCTGACCAGCCAATTAACTTTTCGTTTTTATTCAATAATAATGTGTTTATATGATACAGTTTCACATCTAGATAATAGAATATATTATACTACCATCCACTGTCTCTAGCCCTTAAAAACAGAGTTGGTTACTTGTTATACTTGTATGAGAGTTGAATATTCACCATTGCTTTGATGACCTCCTCAGTCCTCAGCATTGGTTTGGTTTGGTTTGTATGAGAGTTGAATAACCTTCTTCTTTGTTTGACATCTCATCACAGTATGAGAAGTTGACATGTGTGCCTGTTTTTTAAAGTTGTAAACATAAAAATCAGTTATTAATTAAAATCAATTAACCACAAAATCCTCTAAAAAGATGTTAACAAAGGAAAAAAATCATAGAAAAATAAATGAAAGAGATCATAAAAGCATAAACGCCAAGTATTTTTTTTTTACTTTAATATGACATTCTAAGATTTTACACATTTTTCGTATTCCTCTTTTACGGAAGGGTTTAAATAAACACGTGTACTATTTAAATAAAGTATTAAAACGCGCCATATTTTGAATTTTCAGAAAAAAGAGATAAATGAACGTTAAACGAGAAAAGCGCGCGTTTCGACAGTTGATTGTTACCGTCGATCTGATATACACCAACTTACTATAAATGATAGTTTAGATTCACGGTGAACGAATCTAATTCCGGAAAACAACAAAGAGTGCTACAAACACTAAACACAGAACAGTTCCACAATTTTTCTCCATAAATAAATAAAAATAACTCCATCTTTAGAAAAATATTGAATGAGAAAGACTGAGAAAAGAAAAGACTAAGACGGCGTCGTGTCGTTCAAAGCCGACGAGGCAACATTCCGGTTGACAAATCAGAAACTTGGACAATCCTCTTTTTTCTTTTTTCTTGTAATATATAAATTCACTATTTCTCTCTCTCTCTCTCTCTCTTATATTAAGCAAAAAAAAAAGAGTCGACCCCTTCCTTCACCGTCTCTTTTTTTTTTTCCTCTCTCTCGCAGCGAAAAAAAACCCTAGTTTCTCTCTCCTTTCACCGATTTTTTTCCTTCCGATGCTTCTGCTCCCATAGCCATTCACAGATCTGGTAATTCCGGTTTGATTTCTTCTCTCTTGATCCTATGTCGAGAAGAATTCTCTTTTGCTTTTGTTTGTTTTCTTCTTATCGTGTGGTTTGTTTGTTTTTTTTTTCTTACAATTAAAAATCTTGGGAATAGGGTTTTTTTTTTGGTTCCTGTGTTGAATTTGATGCTGATACTGCTTTGATTTTGCTTCTCGTTTTGCGGATTATAGTTTTATGATTTTAAAGGCAGAAGGATTTCTGAGATGAGGAGCTTAAGGGTCTTTGTGATTGTTATCTTTTGTTTCTATTGGAATATCTCTTTGTTACTGTCTCCGGTTGATCAATGTCATAATCGTTTTTTTTCATCTTCAAGGGTTCTAATATCAATTCAAGGTTTGACTTGAACAGTTGAACAGGTTATCTCAGTTTTTTTTTTTCCGTCGTTTTAATATTGATTGAAGTTTTTGATTAGAGGTGTGTATGTAGTGGTAGATTCGACTCGTCTGTTTTCTTTAGTCTAGAGCTCCAATGAACCTTTGATGATTGATTTTGTTCAAGCTCATTCTCTCTAGTTTGTATTAGATAATAAGTACAAAAGCATAGGTTTAGGCTTCTATCCCTAGCTAAGAAATTCGCTTTTTCTTATATTGCAGGTTAAGTATGAAATAACCCTGACAACTTTGATGGATGATGACTTTGCAGATGGATAAAACTACTGCTTCCTCCCCAAGGGAGCGAGCCAAGGCCATATTTGATAAGGTTCTCTCTCTCTCTCTCTCTCTCTCTCTCTCTATAATTGTATTTACACTCTAAATCTAATTGTCACTTCACTTGAGCCTTTGTAATATTTGGGTCTACATTATAGTGATAATATATGCATACTTTGTAGACTGTTGAGTTAGAAAACAAGCGTTGGAAGGATGCTCAGGCTAGAAAACAGGCTGACCCAAATTTGTGGCAGCAAATTCGTGAGAATTACGAAGCAATACTTCTTGAAGATCATACCTTTTCTGAGCAGCACAGCATTGAACTTACACTGTGGCAACTTCATTACAAATTCATTGAGGAGTTCAGAGCACGCATCCATGCTGCATTGAGTTCTGGTAGCTCGAGTGCGGCACAAAATGTAAAGGGTCCTTCTAGACCCGACCGCATTGCAGCCCTCAAGCTGCAGTTCAGAACATTCATTACAGAAGCAACTGGATTTTACCATGGTATGATCTTAAAAATTCGATCAAAGTATGGTCTTCCCTTTGGTTACTTTTCTGAGGATCAAGAGAGTCAAAACTTGACTGATAACGATGGAAAGAAGTCGGCAGAAGTTAAAAAAGGCTTGGTATCTTGTCATCGTTGCTTAATATACCTTGGTGATCTGGCTCGGTATAAAGGATTGTATGGGGAGGGGGATTCCAAGATCAGAGAGTATACTGCTGCTAAAAGTTACTATTTGCAAGCAGCTTCTCTATTGCCTGCCAGTGGAAACCCACATCATCAGGTTATTACCTTTTTTTCCTCCTTCTCATGTCATTTTTTTGCTAGGTACAACTATGTGGTACAGTTTTTCTGATTATATTAACTTTAATGTCTCAGCTTGCTATAATTGCTTCTTACTCGGGGGATGAGTTTGCAGCAACATATCGTTACTTCCGGAGTTTGGCTGTAGAGAGCCCTTTTCCAACTGCCCGTGATAACTTGATTGTTGCTTTTGAAAAGGTTAACTACAAGTTTTTGAATCCTTATTATGTTTGTGGTTTGGCGTAAGAGTGATTGTTGTTCCACCTTCTTAGTATCTGAATATAATGCATGTTTCTCTTTGTTTGGTTGAGCAGAATCGTCAGAGTTATGCCCAATTGTGTGTGGCTTCCAAAGACTCATCTAAGAGGCAGACTGGTAAAGGACGAGGGAAAGGTAAAGATATTTCATCGAAAGATGCAAACTTGGTAGCTGGTCCTGAGAAGGATAAAGTAACTAGTGGAAATGAGATGCTTAAAGCATTCTGCATTAGATTTGTTCGTCTCAACGGGATTCTATTTACCCGAACAAGGTAAATATTCTGAAATTATTTTGTTCTAGATTCTGTTACTGGCTCGTTGGTATAATATGTGTTGCTTGTCTTTGCCAGCCTGGAGACGTTCTTAGATGTTCTTGCCTCCACTAGCAGCAGTTTACGAGAGGTAATTTCTTCTAGCACAGTGGAAGGGCTGAGTTTGGGCTTAGACACCAGTAACAGCGCACTTTTCATAGTTAGACTCGTGGCAATTCTGATATTCAGCGTTCATAACTCAAAGAAAGAGACAGAAGGTCAGTCATATGCAGAAATTGTACAGCGAGTGGAGCCTGCCAGAAACTCTTTAACAGCTAGTTTTCAGTTGCTTGGACACATAATAGAGCAGTGTGTGCAATTGCGTGATCCTTCGACGAGTTACTTCCTGCCTGGTATCTTGGTTTTTGTTGAATGGTTGGCGTGTTGTCCTGATATTGCACTAGCAAGTGATCCGGATGACAGACAGACTACTGTGAGAAATAGCTTTTGGAACCAGTGTGTTACCTTCTTCAATCAGATCTTGTTGTTGCTTGGGCCTATGTTTTTGGATGATGTTGAAGACGAGACTTGCTTCTCAAACATGAGCTTGTATGATGAAGGAGAAACTGAAAACCGACTTGCGCTATGGGAGGACTTTGAACTAAGAGGATTCTTGCCACTGCTTCCCGCTCAGACTATTCTCGACTTCTCAAGGAAACATTCCTTTGTAACTGAAGGTCCCAAGGAAAAGAAAGCTCGTGTAAAGAGGATCCTAGCAGCAGGGAAAGCTTTGACCAGTGTGATCAAAGTTGATGATAATGATGTGTATTATGATTCTAAGAAGAAGAAGTTTCTTGTTGGTGTAAAACCCTCAGATGACTTGTTGGATTCTCATTCAAGCCCGCCTAAAGCTGATGCTTTGCAAGATAACCAAGTAATGGTGAATCATAACTCACCATTTATACAGCAAGACCAGCAGATTTATATGGGTGAGGAGGATGATGATGATGAAGTAATTGTTTTCAAGCCGCTAGTTACTGAAAAGAGGAAAACGGCTTCTGACCAAATATGTGTTTCTAGTGGTGGCTTCAGGAAACCTGATCAAGTTGCCACTACGGGGAACTTAAAACCTCTGAGTGGTTCGGATTCAGCTTTTCGTGAAAATCAACTTCTGCAAGCTAGAGGCAATGCGAGTATTCAAGTGCCTGCATCTGTTGATTCCAACCTTTTGGGACTCCTTCAGGCATCAACCCAGTCTCAGGCAATGCATTTGCAACAAGTGCAGACACAGGCAGTTAATCCTCAGGCAGCCCAATCATTAGCTGCTGCACGACTTCAGCTAATGCAATCACAGGTCGCACATCTTCAACCACTGTCATCACGGGTTGTGCACTTTCAACAAACTCAAGCTCCGGTTTCACATGTTTCACCAGTCCAGTCACAATCTGCTTCCCTTGTTGGTGGTACCAAGTGGTTACCAGAAGAAGCTGCTTCTCTTGCTAATACCCTATCTAGTTTTGCTCAGATGGGTAATGGTCATGTGATGAAAAATGAGATGCATGGAAATCATGGAGTTTCCTATCACCCTGCACACTCAGAACCAGCCCAGCAGTCTTACAATGTCAATGGTATGGGTGGTATGCCATATTCTCAGTCACTAACACCTGAAGCTGTATTCCCACCCAAAAGTGATGCTGTTTCATCATCTGGAGCTATTGCCGATGGCCTGGGCGTCCAATCTTCATTAGCAAGAAAAAATCCAATCAGTAGAGCCTTTAGGCATCTTGGCCCTCCGCCTGGGTTTAACTCTGTCCCCTCTAAGCTGCAAAAGGAGCCAGCACCTGGTTCTGACTTGTCTGGGAACAATCTAGCGGTTGATGATTACAGCTGGTTGGATGGATACCAAGCTCAGTCTTCTCGAGGCGCTGCTGCGCTCAACAGTTCTTTGAATTATGCTTCTTCTGGGAAACCAGAACACATGGGTACCAGCAATGGAATGAATGGGGCTACTAACTTCCCATTCCCTGGGAAACAAGTTCCAACATCACAGGTCCAAGCAGATTTTCCATACTTTCAAAACCCTCTGAAAGAGAGCTTTGCGAACCAGAACCATCAATCAGCTCAACTCCCTGAGCAATATCAAGGACAGTCGACTTGGTCGAGTCGTCACTTTGTGTGAGAGGAAAGGAAGAGTAACACGGTAAGAGCAAACAGAAAGCTGCTTTGCATTATTACGTGTTTTGTGAACTCTTATTCTTATGGTATTGATCTAGGTAATTGGAATGATTCAGGTTAGTGTTACGGAACGTTTTATGCTACCTAACTCCAACTGAGTAATGTTCTGTTGAAGTCTCTAGTTGGAGTCTTTGTGGCCTTGGCTTCTTGTGGGGCACTTCCTACCTGACAGGTTCGTTATTCTTCTTATTATGTCCTTGAGTTAGTCTTGCAATTCGTTTTTACATATGTTTAGTTACTCATACAAATCACCAATGCTTATTGATGATAGATTCTGGACTCGGCTCATGTTGGTGAAAGAGATATGTGGTAACAAGAATGAATGAATGGTTCTGTGGAATGATAGGAGTAAAGTGCCTTTCTCGTGCTACTGAGGTGGAGATGTTAGACCTTATGAATAAGAAAGGAAACGTACCTTGTGGCTCGCTCTTGATATCTGAAGCAGTTGATGGCTGTTTTGCCCTGTTTACATTTTCTTTTTTTTTTTCTCTTTTTTTTTTTTTCTTTTTTTTCTTTTTTTGCGTATGAATGTGTAGCTGTCGTCCTCTTGCACAGCTATCTTTCTCTTGGATTGCTTTGCTTTTCCTCCTTTGTTCTATGCCTGTCTCAAACTTCTCTCCGTTTTGCTGTGTCAGTCTAAGTTGAACCATCATAAGGTGTGCGAAACCTTGCATTTGGTTATGAATAAAAAGGGACATGTGTTGAAACATGATTTGTTGTCGAAACTTAGAAATGCTTATCCTTCTTGAATATGTGAGACCAATCATATTAGAGTTATCCAATGCATGGAGAAAACAGTTTGTTTACTCCCAAGTAAACAAGAGCAGCTCTTTTTTTTTTTTGCATTGGAAACCTGTTCTTGACCAAACCCATGTCAGAAACTGTCAAAGAAGTTGTATATATATATATGTGTAAAAAAGACTGAAAACTGTATCATTTGACATGATATACAGTAAATAAATGCATTTTACAGTGAAATATTCATTTAATGGGTTGACTTGGAAGCCTTTTTGAGTAGAATCCCCCAGCAGAGGATTCGATAGAACACGAAGAAGGCCAGCATTATCCCGACATTGATCCACCTCGTGTCCTTGTCAAGTCCTCTCTTCTTCAAGACATCCTCTCCGGTCATCAAGCAACCCGAGTCCCCGCCCGAGAAGCACTCTGTTCGCATACTCCAGTACTCGTTCACCACCATCGACTCCAGCGGGTAACGGTACAGCGACACGTAGTACATGAACATCCATGGTTTTGGAATCTTCTCCTTGGGGATGAAGTATCCGGAGAAGAGAAAGAAAGCTCCAAGAACGGTGCAGATGAGAGAGTTTCCGGAGATGAAGTCAGGTGAAACTGCGCTGAGGAAGAGCACCAGAGAGCTAGCCATGAGGATGATGAGCCAAACGCAGAGGACGAAGAATGAGAAGGCTTGAATCGACGGGTTTAGGCCAACGATCCAGTACACTGGGATGGAGAAGAGGAGAGAGACAACGAAGAGGAACGGTACAAATGCGATTGTGTTGGCGATCATGTAGGATGAGATGCGGTAGGATCCACGGGATGACTCTTTCATCAGGACACGACGTTCACGGAGGTAAATGGGAAGTGCTTCGACTGTTGAAGAGAGGAGGAAGCTTAAGCTGAAAGCGAATAGTCCTAGCCTCTCTGCTACGCCTTCTTCGTCACGCTTGAGTCTTGTGTAGACGCTGCCTAGTCCTAATCCAGCTACAACCGCTTGCATTGTTCGCGCCAAAAATAACTGCTTTGTTCTGTAGATGATCTTGCAAAACCTAGAACAAAGATATGTGATCTCGGTGACGTCTAGGACACGCAACTCTTCTTTCTTTGTGGTAATCCCATCGTTTTCGTTGTTTTCAGGCCAGATCGATGATGATTCTATGGCGGTTACCGAGTCTGGCTTTGAAGCTCTCAAGGACTCAACTATTTCCATGGCGAATTCTATAGGATTCAGCTGTTCTGGAATCTGAAACCCTACTTTCGCTATTGAGTCCTCGAGATGTTCAAGACTCCCGAAGTGAATAACCGATCCGCGGGAGAGAATCAAGTAATCGGAGATGTAATCAAGTATTCGATAGCTAGGTTGGTGGATGGAGAAGAGGACGGTTCTCTGCTTGGATTTCGCCATAGTAGCCAAAAGCTCAACGACCTGAAGCGAGTTTCGACTATCCAAACCAGAGGTTGGTTCGTCAAGAAGCAGAATGGGCGGGTCACGGATCATCTCAACGGCTATTGACACTCTCTTCCGTTCTCCCCCCGAAACGCCGCGATCCTCTTCGTCTCCTTCCCCAACGAAGCTGTCTTGGACAAGAACAAGACCGAGATCACTCAACAAGCTCTCAACTCTTTCTTCTCTTTCTTTAGCCGTTGAATCTCTCAAACTGAATTTGGCGCTATACATTAACGTCTCTTTCACGGTAAGCAGAGGCAGGAGATCATCGTCCTGCGGTACAAACCCGCACAGCCTCCGTAGCTGATTGTAGTCGGTGATTTTACGATTGTTTATCAAAATCGCAGAAGATGGATCCAATGCCTTGTGGTTTACTCTTCCTGAAATGACCTTCAAAAGGGTGGATTTCCCTGTTCCACTCGGTCCAACCACGGCTAGGATTTTAGAGGACTCAGCAGCTAATGACACGGATTTGAGTATTGTGGTGTGATGGATGGTGTAGGAGAGGTTAGTGACTGTTAACGAGTAGCGGTTAGGGGTTGGGAGTGGTGAAGATGAAAATGAAGAGGAAGCTGAGGAGAACTCATCAGGAGAGTTTGATGATGAGAAAAGTATGATGGAGTCTTCTTCGCTGCGGTTTGTAGTCATAGCAGAAGGGTGGAAGCAGGACGACATGGTATAATTGTATTATTGTTCAACTCTTTCATCGATCACAAAATGGCTAATAATGCATTTTAACAAAGGAGTAAACAATTTTTTTCAGAATTGGTCGACCAACAAAAAGAAACAAGTGTTTAATGGTAGGCAGAGGTTGGTGTAACTCTGCAAAACCTGTGTATCTAAATTCTCTTTGGTTGGTCATTAATTGTTTGATATTTGATGAGTTAAGCGTGTATGTACGTAAGATAATTATTGTATTTTTGGAATAGCCTAAACGGTACAAGTGGTTGACCAGGAATCAAAAATATGGAATTTGGTGTATCAAACAAAAAAAGGTAACGTGTTTACGTTCATTACTACTTCCAAGTTCCAATGGTATAACTATGATTTATAAAATATACATTTCACTGTACATAAGTTGAAAGTTTTTTATATGTTAAATAAATACATGACATTATTATTAACTACTTTATTAAGATGGCTAATCGTTGATATATATTATGTTGACACTCTAATTGAAAAGTAGGTTTGATACAAAAATGGTGGCATTTATATGATAGCATCTGTGAAGAAATATGTTGCTTTCTCTTATATTCACGATCTTCTACAGACCATTAGTGCTGTTTGCATTACAACATCAAATGATAGCATTTATCGAGAGACAAAGAAAGAAACAATGTATATGCTTTATAGAATTTACAAATGAATTTACAAATGAAAAACACCCAAACACTATAATGAAACTACTCTCTCACTTGTTATAACCCCTCATATCATAAACCTATGAAACCCGTTTCGACAAAAGAAAAAAAGAATGGATGACTGGGGAAACTCTGGTTTTTGTTATTTAGGGGGTAAGGTAAAGAATTTCAATGAGTCAAGTCATTCACTTCCTACACCCACACTGGATTTGTCAACTACTATGCGTACATTGTATTGTTCGTAAACTCGTCCTCTGTTCTCTGCCCACCACTCTTCTGCTTGTTTCTCGCTAAACCGTTTACGGCTGCAATCAAAAGTCGTTCTCGGATCACGTTCATTCATAACCAAAAAAAAAGAAAGAAGAGTATCTCTTTTTTTATTTTTATTTTGTGCACCGAAAGAAGAGTATCTAAACATTCCAATTAAGCCTCTAAGATAAAAGAAGAGTTGTAGTACCTGAAACGGACGCGCTTGAGATCCCTTGCACCTCCCGCTAAGGCTGTGAGAGTGATGTACACACCAGGTTCATCTTGTTCAACCCATTCATTTTCGTTACGGGGTTCACTTTCTTTTGATCGTGTGCTGATTCTATTTATTGATTCAGCAGCATGATTCGCTTGCTGTCGGTAACTTGCACCATCGAAAACAGGCGTGCTTGCCCCGTTAGAGAACATTGAGACAGAGGTTAGGCCATCAGACTCAGTTTCTCGACTGTTAGGAAGGTTTAAGGTGTTAGAAGACGGGGCAACGTAGTCAGGACTGGAGCCAAATGAAGTAAGAGAAGGAGACTTGACACTTCTAGCTGTTCCAACAGGTAGTTTTTCAGCCATGTCTTTCAGCTGCATTGATTTATTGAAACAATTAGGAAGTTGCATATATCATTTTAGTACACTCAAAGAGCACCGAGGAAAATTTAAAATTTACTTGAGCGGTAAGTGATTTAATCACTTCTTTTGCTGCCTTGCATCTCGCTGTTTCTTCGTTAGCAATTGCCAATGCCTCCTTTAGCTGTTTGGTTGTTCTTTCCAGTTCAATTTCTTGAAATTGTGCCTTCCGGGTAAGATTTTCAACCTGTTATATAGTTTACAAGTGATTTAGAAAAGGAGTCAAATTGCAACGAACGAGCTGATAAATGTTTTTCACCAACTAAACAAAATCTCATTCGAGGAGCCTGATCTCACTCCATCTAGGCACACAAGAAAAATAAAAAGGCACTTGCTTGTTCTTCTAGAAAAAGAGTGAAATCCTGAAAGTAATCAATTAAGAACAAGAAACAAAATTGGACAACTGAAAAGAAATAAAAAATAGTATCACTATGTATTCTTCTTAAATAAGTGTAAAGAATTCTGGAATAATGAGAAAAATTTGGAGCATGGAAAACAGCTTACTTGAGATCTTAGCATAACCACCTCCTGGCTTACGTGATCACTGGTTCTCTTGGTATCATCCACGAAAATTTTTGGTGTAGTTAGTCCCGAAAGAGTGGGAGTTGGCGTTGTTGAGCGCGGTGGGCTAGGACGTCTTGATATTGGTGAAGTTGCCCGAGACGCAATCCGGGAACCAGGAACAGACGCTGAGAAGAACTTCTTTGATGATCCAAAAGTTGGATTAAAAGATTTGGTTATGTTTAGTGTACCCCGGTGAGAGCCTCCACTTGGTATTGGTGAGACACGGCTACTATTGAATTCATATTTCTTATTCTTCTTGGACCGAGTATCCACCTGCCTAATGGGCTCCAACAACGAGAATCTAGCTAACTGTCCGTCTGATCTAGAATCCAATTTCTCATCTCTGTCGATTGCATCTGATCCCTGGTTGACACTTTCTCTTCGACTCAGAGAAGAATGAGATGATGGATCCGTTTCCATGGCCTTTTTCAATTTGTTAAAACACTTGTCACACACTCGATATGGTTTGTTTGGGTTTGGTGCCATACAAGCCTTCAGGGACTTTTTATTAGTGCAAGAATGGCAAAACACAAGTCCACAGTTATAGCAGTTGTGCCGCTTTCTCTTGAAATTGAAAGGCTGACGGCAACCTGAACACATAGACTGGTCCATCCCCGATGCCCACTTGTGAAGGCAGACAGCTGCAGTGAAGTTAGAACCACAGGCAATACTTTTGACCTGTTTATCCTTCAGCGACTCAACCAATGTCGGGGAATTTCGGTCATCTGCGTCTCCATGGCCTAGTCTACCATTTGATCCTTTTCCCCAAGTGTAAACCTCAGTCCTTGAAGTTAAAACAGCAACATGATAAGCACCACAAGCAATTTCTTCAACAAAACTCTTGTGAAGTTTACCTTCAACACGGGCAGGAACCTTTCCATCTGCGTGTGGATTTCCAAGCTGACCATAAACAGGACTACCCATAGTATAGACATGGCCCGATGTTGTAAGTGCAACTGTAAGGCTATGTCCACACGCAACTTGACAAAAATTGGGTTCTACAAGAGCTGCAACACATGTAGGCACAAGTTTTGGTTCTTTGTCACCGTGACCAAGCCGACTCTTGTCACCATCACCCCAAGTAAAAAGCTTTCCTGAAGAGCAGTTACTCGAGCTTGAGCTCCCAACCATGACTTCTACAACTGCGGCTGTGTGCCATACACCACAGGCTGCCCGAACAGTGCGAAGACCCTTCAAGGAGTCTACCTCTCTAGGTATGAAAACACTTTTCCTGTCACCATGGCCCAAAACACCAAAGGTACCATCACCAAAAGTAAATAACTGCCCAGCAGAAGTCACAACAGCTGTGTGGTAAGGTCCACAAGCGATGGATGATACATGCATCCCTTCCATCAGAAAATTTACTCTTTTGGGGACCCAGTGACTGACTTCATTTCCATGTCCCAGAATACCAAAATCTCCTTTACCCCAGGTATACAAATCCCCTGATAGAGAAACTGCACAACTATGGTATTCACCACATGCTACAAGCTCAATATTTGTGGTACCGAGGGCATCAATGAGTTTTGGATGTTGAACATTGGAATCTACACCATGGCCAAGCCTACCTTCAGATTCCTCTCCCCAAGAAAAGCTTTCTCCTTGTTTCGTCACAAGGACAGCATGTTGTCCACCACAAGCAATATTCTGGACATCAAGTACTATTGTAGACTCTAAAGCTTTTGGCAATAACGAATCCATTTTGATCTCCAATGAACTTCCGACTCTATGGTTTCCACCACCTAAAACACCTTCGCCTATTCCTTCTCCCCACATAAAAACGTCTCCCAATGCGTCTCCATCATCATGACCAGAACCATGGCTCGATGCACTAATCGCACTTGATAGACTAACTCTAAAAGCATCCGTACCCATACCTTTCATGTGACCATGCAGTGTATCAGAGCCTCCAGATGACAAAGAGTGAACTGAAATAGTTGCCGAATCTGAAGGAAAAAAACTTTTTGGAGGAACTGCATACAGTGACATGTCTGAAAATGCCTTGTCAATGCCATCCTTAGGTGGGCTGTCATATGGACTGTGAAGACGGTGGTGATTCGAGCCATCCTGAAATGTAAAAAAGAATATTACCTTAGTTAAGACATACACAGAATAAAGTGGAATATATCACTCTGGTACCTTCTGGAAACTGTCATTGCTGCTAAATGGAGAATGTAAAGGGGAGCTTCTCCTGGTATATGTTCTCGGACTATTAGCTTCGGATGGCGTTCCATCACTTCTCGATTCGGTCCTCCAATTCCGTTGATGACAACGCGAGATCAAGGCTTTTAAACCACTAAACCACACTTCAGCCTCATCTTTATCTTTGCATATCTATGAAATGAAATACCAACTCTAATTAATGAATTTTCAATAATAACAGAAAATTTAGGCTGGAACAATGAATTCATAGAAGAAATTAGAAAATAATTTCCTATAAGGAAAATCTCACCAAATCTAGTGATCTCTCGTCGTATATTAGCGAAAAGGATTGATATTCCTTTTCGGGCCGTGGATATCTCTGAAAAATAGGCTGCAAAAGAAACAGCATTGCGAGATTTATCAGAATATCACACTAGATATGCGAGGACCAAATATGCAGTACGAATACTGAAATTGGCTGATGAAAATATGCATGGAACATGCAAAGTCAAATAAAAATCTACCTACCTCGCTGAACTGAACTAAGTTGAAAAATGACTCTAAGATAAGAGCCTTGTGCATAACATGAACTACTTGGGACAATTACAGCAATTCAGATCACATTAAATGGAAAATCCCACTCACAAACATGATAGTAGAACTCAGACACAACTAGAAGAAGATATTTCTCCTAGGCAGTAATAAAAGATCCAAACCATTTAAACGCAATGAAACATGGATAGTCTAGTATAAAGAAATTATTCGGACATTTAACTGCCAGCTGAAGGGAGAATTAAATCACATCATCCTGGGATGTCAAAACTTACAGTGCGCTGTCCAGATATGATCCTGGAAACATGACTTAGCTTCAAATGTTTCTCCTCCTTCCCCGAGAACCATATCAAAACAGATTCATCCTGAAAGTTACAGGACAGACTATTTACTTAGACACAGAACAACGAGACCATGCACACATCAAGCAGCAGAGATGAAATATAACAAGCCAAAAGGAGGACTCTATAGGAACATAAGGAGTCCTCAGATAAAAATGAGAACGGAGAGTTAGTTTTAACATAACAATCCTTACATAGAATTAAGAGAAAAACGGAAAGAACACGACTTACATTTGAAAGGCGAAATGGACAGAACTTAGGCTTTCCCCTTCTACCATACTTAAGCAAATACGCTCCCTTTTTGAGGGCAGTGATAGCCTGAGCAAATTGAAAAGATAAATTATCAAAAAGAAAGTAGGTGAAATATATTGGCAAGGGGTGATTAAGCTTTAGATACAATTGCAGGAATAAAACGAAGAGAAGAAGCATTGGAGACACTAAAATATTAATCCTACAACATAAAATGGTTCAGACGGAGATGTCAAATAATACTACATTCTGAGAAATTGCACCTGATAGAACTCTCAGTCTCAGTAGACTGCTAAGAAAATCATATAATAAAAATCCATGAAATGTATTTTCATCAATGCATAGCTGAAACCGAGCTCAGAGACAACAGTATTGAGCTAAAGCCCGTCACTAAACCGAGAACTTGTAACTCTAGTTTACAAAATCTTAGGACTCACCTCTGACTAAAAATGTAATCATCACCTTAGAATTCAGCAGAGAAATAATATACTCTAGTTCGACCAAAGTACAAGTATGAACGTAACCTTAGCACTGGAATCATAAACAAGACCTAAATTGAGAAATATTAGCAACACCGACCTGCTCAATATCCCTCGTAACTGGACCGGGTCTGCTAAGATCCGACGAAGAAGCCATTCGTCCGTTCCTCGACATACAATCTCAAACAAAGCTCCTCAGAAGCAAAACCCCTACCCGCCGGAGAAAAACCTCCAAAGAAATCCACACTAATCAAGTGAACAAAAAAAAATCAAAAGAAGTCTTGCAATGACGAAATCGTCTCAACATCACTGTGATCGTCGATCTTGAGTTCAATTCGGAAGCGAAAGCACAGCTTCTTCAGCTCGAATTAGATAGAGATTCAAATCGATCCGGAACAGTAAGAAGAAAGAGCCGATGTTCCAACCAAACATATAGGAATTCAAATGTGCGTCTCAGCTGTGATTCAACTCGTCGGCAAAAGCAAGAGAGATTGAAACGCAGAAGAAGAATCTAGAGGGCATGGCATGAGATGGAGATGATCTATACTACTCAGTTAAAAAGCGAGCGAGCGAGAGAGAGAGAGAGAGAGAAGAGAAGAGAGACCAAAAGGCAGATTCTGACTTGAGAGAAAGAAAACTTTATTTATTTTTCCTTGAAATGTTGAATTTATTTTTAGAGTTAATAAAAAACATACATTACTCTCTCCTTAATTACGGGATTATACTATACTACTCTGCACTTGCCTAATTAATTACCTCTCTTATCCATTTTCACTTCTTTTTTTCGTTTTTTGTTCTTTTGTGAATAGTAATGTGAAAGGCTTTTTGCGCATATTTTGAATTTTCGGCAAGCTTTTGCTTTCCTCTATTCATATATTATTGTATTTAAAAGAGGAATAAAAAAACAAAAACAATTTTTTGAACAAAAACAAAAACAAAAACAATTCAAGAATGTTATGGTAAACTCACAAGAAAATGTAAAGCAAAAACACATAATGATATTTAACTAACATATCCAAAGCCTCTTGCAACAAAGGTTACTCCCAAAATCCTCCGATGGAAGTTGGAAATTTCAGCTGTGGTTTCTTGGATTCTCCGATCTCGCTCTTAAACAACCCACCACCATTGCAAAGCTTCTCTCACGTCACGTATATCGGTCTACTTGATTAGGAAAATTGGAATGAATTGGCCAATCTTCTCATCCACCTTTTACACATTTGAATCGCTATATATTTACTTCTTGTAAATGAGTTTAATGCTTTTTCTATCAAACTAAAAAAAAAAACTTCTATAGGTTCATTTTATTTTATGTAACGGGGGTAGTCTCTTTGCTGTATTTTTTAGTTTTAGTTGGAGAAGTTTTTAAAGCGTCATCATTATTATCTCATACGGGGTGGTGCATATATGGCCAGATACGGCGTCGTTTTCATTATCCCACCTGTCGCGAGACTATAGGTTTGAGAGCTTCTGGAGGGGCAAGAAGGTTTGGTTTTATATTTGTCTTTTGTGTAAACGTTCTTATTGAGGAGGTATCGGAATCATTCTCATCGAATCTCCTCCTCCTCCACCCACCACTCTCTGTAATCCCCCGAAGGTATATTTATCTTCCCTCAGATCAAGCTCGACGAATACATCTCTTTTTCTCTACCACTCAATTTTTCGTTTCTCTCTACAGTGAGGATTCAATTTTTAAAAAATTTATCTTCGCCGCCGTGAATTCCGTCACCGAAATCATTATGTCTGAGCGGCAAGTGATCGACGGTATTCCGGAATTGGCTCTTCAACATCAGGTTTTTTTTTTTTACCCAAATTTTAAAATTTATCTGCTTGTGTCTTCGTGAGTAGTTGGAGCTGATTCCATCTGATGATGCTTTCTGCTTCTCTGTAGAAATGTCTAGTGTTTGCTCTGCAATGTTAGGGTTTCGTTAATTTCGGACCTTTGTGCCTTATTGTGCGTTTAATTTCGAATTGGACGATTAGGGATCTTCTGGCTTACATTTTGGAGGGTGGTTGATGCTTAGTATTGCTACTGATGTTTATGTATTTGAAATTTTGATTTCTCTTTTATTCTCCCACATTTATGGATTTTGTCAGGACAAAAAGAAGATCCAGGAAGTGATCCACGAGCCGAGTTTCGGGAATCATGGTGGTTGTTGTGCAATATGCTTGAGTGAAATCCCTCTTCAAGAAACTGCTATGGTCAAAGGCTGTGAGCATACTTACTGGTATTCTTGTTTGATCTTTTATTGGTTTCTTTGACATGTTAGATTTTTATCTGCTTCCGTTTCATCTATAGTATATGGTATGAACATATGAGTTTCTTCATATGAATTGTGTCTTCTTCTCGTAAGCTGTAGTTGTAGAGCTTGGTTTTAGGTTTTACCTGTACCTCTTGACAACCTTTTATGTTTTCTTTCATTCTATGTCTACGTAGAAACTGACTTTCTCTTTTGGTTTTTAAGAGGAGTAATTCATTTCTATCTATTCAGTGTGACGTGCATACTTCGTTGGGCGAGTTGCAAAGAGAGTCCTACATGCCCACAATGTAAGAATCCATTTGATTTTCTCAGTGTCCACCGGGCTCTCAATGGCAGGTGAGTTTCTTTCGTTATATACACATCGCTTCATGTTAGTCCATTTGCTTGATCAGACTCTTTTCTCATTCTTCTTTTGGTTTTATTAATTGTTGACACATTGGGATTTACCATATAGATTTCTGAGGTTTCTGTGCCATCTTCTAAATTCTTTGTTGTATTTCTATGCAGCATTGAAGATTTTCTGTTTGAGGAGAGTGTGTGCCTTCTCCTGAGAGCCTCATGGTTTGTACCATTGGATGTGGTGGTGGAACAGGCATCCTACAGCTATGGTTACCATGATGATTTTGACATTCCTTGTGACTACGAGGATGATGATGATGACCTTGACGAGTTCTATTTGCACGGCTCAAGTCTTCGCATAGGAAATCGGAGATGGGGTGGCAATGGTTTTGTCAGATCCGGGCGTCGAGAAGCCAGGCCAGTTCAAAGATCCAGTGGTTCTAGTTCCAGTTCGAGTTCTGGGTCATCCTCAAGTGAGCCTAAGGAAAAGCAGGTGAAGACTGCAAACACAACAGGAAGACGTGCAAAGAGAGCAATAAAGCGTGAAGCTGCTAACAAAGCAGCGGAAGTAACAGCGGCAGCAAAGCACGAGGCCCATTTGGTTAGGTTGGGAAGGAAATGAGTGAGCGCATCTGTAAGTAAATTGCACTCAAAAAGCTTCCCACCTACTTCCATGAATTAGTATCATCTGTACAGTTTTTTTAATGTTGTGGTAATTTTCAGTCACACCGATGTATAAGGTGTGGGGTTTGGAATGGTAGAAACGACAAGAACCTTGCAGAAGTGATATTATAGTACTCTGTTCATTAAACTCTTTGGTTTTTTAATCATTGATCGGATGAAATATAATTTGGCTTTTGATTTACTTGGTGTGGATATGTAAAAGATTGTCTTATGGAAAAAATATGTTTATTATGTGGACAAAGAAGAAGAAGAAGAAGAAGAAGAAGAAGTAAAACTTTAGTGGTGTGGGCTGCATGGTCGGTGACATTTGGGAAAGAGGCAGTAAGACTTTCAAAGAAAAGAGATTCAAGTTTGAGTTGTCTGAGTTGGTCGGTGGACATGGGATATTCAAGTTTGCCAAATTGTATATTCAAGTTTGCCAAATTGTGTGCTTCTTCTACTTCAAACAGACCAAGGCTTAGTTTGTATTCACATTTATAATAAAATAAATCAAAATGAAAGTAACAAATATATTCAAATTATTTTAAAGGAATTTTATTTGATTTTAGCTGTCATATAAGTCTACTAGTTCTACTCTTTAACTTTAAGTACATGGATCTCTTTCATATAGTAGCATATGGGTATAGGTTTCTTGTTTTTCTAAAGTGAATGTATTCTGGGAAATATGCTGTTTATAAGTAAAAAGGAATTAAAAGTGAAATTGATAAGCAACAACAACAAGTCTCAATTGGCCACCTAACTAGTTATGCCGACCACTCAGATGGCAAACAAAATCATCATAGGTCTTGTGAAATGGGGAAAAAAATCACCCAAAGTTGATAAATACCAACCACCAGATATATATAAAGGACATTGGTCATTTGGTTACAGGGAAACAAAACAAACAAAAGGAGTCAGACAACAGCACACAAATCGTGATTCGAGAACAATGGCGAACAGTGGTGAAGGTAAAGTGGTGTGTGTTACAGGAGCGTCTGGCTACATCGCCTCGTGGCTCGTCAAGTTCCTCCTCAGCCGTGGCTACACCGTTAAGGCATCCGTCCGAGACCCCAGTTCCGTACCCTCTTCCCTTCTCTTCTCTTCTCTGATCTTATCTTTATCTCTCACATTTATCCACTCTAGGGTTCTAACACTATTTCGATTTAGTCTGTTTCACTAGATATAGATCCTGATGGTATTAGCATTAATCTTCTCTCTTGTTTAATCAAAGGCTACACATCTTAAAAATTGATGCTTTTTTATACCAATTTTATCAACCAAGGATGATCCTTTGATTTTCTAATCGCTCCATGCACATATCATAGTTTTAGATTTTTATTGTAACAGTTTGTTGATGCACCTTTAGGTGATCCGAAGAAGACACAACACTTAGTTTCACTGGACGGTGCAAAGGAGAGACTTCACTTGTTCAAAGCAGATCTTTTGGTTGAAGGATCTTTCGACTCTGCTATTGATGGCTGTGAAGGGGTTTTCCACACTGCCTCCCCTTTCTATCATGATGTCAAAGACCCACAGGTTCTTATCTTGTCCTCAAACTTGCTTGCTTTTCTTCTGTGGATTTATTTGATATTAACTTAATTTTGTATCACCATTTCAGGTTGAACTTATTGATCCTGCTGTCAAGGGGACACTTAACGTTTTGAATTCGTGCGCCAAAGCATCTTCTGTTAAAAGGGTTGTTGTTACCTCCTCCATGGCAGCTGTTACTTTAAACGGAAAACCACGCACTCCTGATGTAACTGTCGATGAAACTTGGTTCTCTGATCCTCAGCTTTGTGAGGCCTCTAAGGTGTGTTGAACTTTGAGCCATGGCTCATATTCGATTTTGATGATACTTTATTCTGTTGTCATTTACTCTCGACGAGGTGTCCCTTGATTGTGCTGTAATGTTAGGCTCTTCAAGGTCAAACTAAAATGCTGTGCTTTTTATACTGGACTCAGATGTGGTATGTTCTATCCAAGACCTTAGCGGAAGATGCTGCTTGGAAACTCGCTAAAGAGAAAGGCTTAGAAATTGTTACTATTAACCCGGCAATGGTGATCGGACCTCTCTTACAGCCAACTCTGAACACGAGTGCTGCTGCTATACTCAACTTGATAAATGGTAAGCAAAACACTTCCTCTTTTAAATGATTCTTATGAAGACACCACCTTCTTATCAAATCTTAGAGAACCAATTTCGAGGTCATGTCCTTATATATAAGCAGGTGCAAAGACCTTTCCCAACTCAAGTTTCGGATGGGTTAATGTGAAGGACGTAGCCAATGCGCATATCCAAGCATTTGAGGTCCCTTCAGCTAACGGACGTTACTGTATGGTCGAGAGTGTCGCTCACTACTCCGAGCTTGTTAACATTCTGCATGAGCTTTACCCAAATGTCCCACTCCCTGAAAGGTAAAACATCTCTCTAAATATATTATCCCGTCCAGTCATGGTCGTGTCTGGTTCCTAATAGGCTTTTGTCTCATATATTGCACAGGTGTGTGGATGAGAATCCGTATGTGCCGACGTATCAAGTGTCCAAGGAGAAAATAAAGAGCCTTGGCATAGACTACATATCCTTGAAGGTTAGCATCAAGGAGACCGTCGAGTCCTTGAAGGAGAAAGGTTTCGCTCACGTCTGAGAAAGCATGTGAGCCATTGGATTTGGTACACTATATAGAGTATTTGGAACGCCATATCAAAAAAAATATAATATTTGGATCATGTCAATGTATCTCCAAGGGGAGATTAGTATGTTCTCAGTTGTCGTACTCGTACCTTATTGTTGGTTCCATGAAATAAGATACTTTTCCTTCTGTTGGTTGTTAGTAAGATATCAAATTAGAATTTTAGTAACGCAAAGCAGCTTTAATAAAAAAAAACTTTATAATTTGTAACTGATCAAACAGTTGTAAATGTTATCTTCTGACCATTATTTAAGTTGGTGACAAGAGCGTTTACTTAATAATAGGCTTCCATCGTCGGGAAAGAAGTAAACAAAACTAGGGACTTGTAGTTTAGTACACGTATGGTTTGCCAACAAATAGGTATCCAGACAATATGAAAAATAATATTCAAGAACATCTTCGTATCATACATAGCTGGCTATTCAAGTAACTAAAAACATTTGAAAACCCTGATCTACAATTATTGAGAAAAAACAAAAGAAGATAACAATTTTCAAAGAATACTGCTTTGTTTTCTTTTTACTTCTTTAAGAGATACAGAAACATGAATGAACCTTTCTCAATTCTCGCCTTCTAACTGCAATGAACCTTCTCTCATTAACTTGAGGCTCAAACTGTTGAATCTTTCTCGGGAATACTGTCTCGAAGCTTTCCTCCAGTCTGTTCCAGCTTTCATCATTGCCGCAAACTCTTCATAGCTTATCCGCCCATCCTAATCACCAAAAAGAACAAAGAATCAAGATAAGACTTACCAACTGCTATCTATCTCCAAACAAGTTAGCCATATATTACCATTTAAGACTTGGAACTAAGGATGTACAAATTATCGTATCTATTTCACAATGAACCAGGTTACAGAAAGAATCAAACCCAAATCCAGCAATGCAAAGAGAAACCGTAACCCAGAACCAAACATAGGGAACAAACACAGCTCACTCTCAAAAGCTAGCTTGTAAGGAGATTATGCCCTTTCAACTTATAAGCATGGGACGGTTTTTTAAGATGCATTTGCAGAGACAAGTATTGATTTCTTAAAGTCTCATATTTTGGGATTACCTTGTCCGTGTCAACATCTTGCATGATGGCTGCAATAACTTCCTCACTACTAGTGTCCACCTCATCATTTAAAGCCTCACGCAACTCCTCGATCTCAATGTAATCGCTCTGGTTCTGGTCAAAAAAGCTAAAAGCCTTGTGCAAGTGTTCATCGTTCGCCATCTTCTTAAGATGCACAGAGACAGCTACAAATTCGCCATAGTTTAAAGTTCCATCACCATCTACATCAGCCTGCCCACCAAAAAAAGCTCTCAAATATCATTTGCTTGGTGAAGGCAATACAATTAGTAGGAATACAAACTTCAAAGTTTTTGGATATTTTTGCTTACAGCTTCCATCAGAATCTGCAGCTCAGTATCTGGTATCTGCTGTTGTCCGAGTTTATGGAGTCCATATTTAAGCTCCTCGAGGTTTATCTTGCCCGTCTTTTTACTGTCCATCATCTCAAATGCTTCCTTTATGCCAGCTACTTCCTCCACTGATAAGTGTTCGGCTATCACCTGAAAGGCAGTGGAAAAAAAAAAAGTTTCACATTATTTCTTCGAAATCCGACAGTAATAAGGTCGCCAAGTAGTGGCAATGCTGAACGGAATCACTACCCGTAGAGCTCTTTTCTTGAGCTTGTTCATAACAGAAAATTGTTTGAGCCTTGCTTTCACTGTCTCACCAAGTGAAACGTTTGGAGCCTTCTTTGCATTTTGTATCCAAGAATGTTCTGTGAATAGAAGTGTCACAGTATACTCGTTCCATAAGAAATAGATTTCAGAAACAGAGCCAAATAGAAATACATACCGAGTACTTGTGCAGCAGAAAGCCGTTTTTTGGGATCAGGCTCGAGCATCTTTCTCACAAGGTCTTTAGCGGTCTCAGAAACTCTTGGCCATGGATCTCTCTTGAAGTCAATGACTGACCTAATGATCGCCTGAGCCACCCCTTGCTCAGTCTCTTTACAAAAAAAAAAGAAAAAAAATTCAACATCAAGAAAAGAAACACAAAAAGTGGAAGACAGCAAAGAAAATTCCAGAGAGGCAACTAGTGAATCCATGAACATGTAATTAGATAACTTCAGGATCCCAAATCATTCACAGAGGAAACTGGATGTTTGACAGTAAATCTTTCTAATCATGGAAACTCAAACCCAACAGTTGCATATCCGTAGAAATTATTTACTGTTGAAGAACAAATAAAAAGCTTAAGAGAATAAGATTGATCATAACATACCGGCCCAAAATGGTGGGACACCACAGAGCAGGATGTAAAGGATAACTCCAGCACTCCAAATATCAACCTCAGGTCCATAATTTCGCCTAAGTACCTCTGGTGCCATGTAATAAGGACTTCCAACAATCTCGTTGAATCCCTCACCTGTTACAAATTTGAAAAAATTTCAAGTAGAGTAAACAGTACAAACTTATCTGTTGATCTGAGATTTAAAATAGACATTCTATCATCTATACCAGGCTTGAAGAAGACTGATAATCCAAAATCTATGGCTTTAAGGGCTGATGTCTCTTTTTTATTTGCAAAGAGAAAGTTCTCCGGTTTAAGATCCCGATGCATCACTCCATGTTTATGACATATCTGCAATACCAAAAGGTGTTCAAATCATAAAGGTGGAAGTTAGGATAACAAGTTAACAACGCTAACCAGCATAGAGAAAAATAAGGAAAAATAAGCCACTGCGTTAATACAAACAAGGAACCTTGCAATAGAATTACAGTAGAGGCAAAATGGAATAGCTAGAACTTTGACATAACTAGAGTCTAAACGAAAAGAAAGTAAAGCTACAAACCTGAACAACTTCAAGAATAGTCTTCATTACTGCAGCAGCAGCTCGTTCAGTATAATGACCTCTTGCAACAATCCGATCAAACAGTTCACCTCCTTCACACAACTCCATCACTATATGCACTGCATCATCATCCTCAAAGGCATCCTTCAGAGACACAATATTCGGGTGCCTAGGCATATGCTTCATTATCTGAACTTCCCTCCTCACATCCTCTATATCGACAGCTGTTCTAAGCTTCTTCTTTGATATAGATTTGCACGCATACTTGTCACCAGTTTTGATATCAGTGCACAAGTATGTAATACCAAACTCCCCGCGACCAACCTCACGGCCCAGGTCATACATAAGAGATATGTCATGTCCTGTTGGATCTTTCAAAACACGGAGCTTGAAACCAGCTCCAGATCCATTTGTAGTGTATGCCTCGCTGTAAAACGGATTGTTTTTGGTCTTTGGTTTCCCATTTTTACTCCCAGTATCTGGACCAGGGCTCGCACAACAATTTCCCATTTACAATCAACTCTTGAGGAATCCTGAGATTGATATTATCAACAACTAAAATGAGACTCACAAAAATCAAGAAAGCTTAAAATTTTTAGCAATAAATCTCTTAAAATTTCCAAATTTAGGAATTAAAGAGACTCACTAATCCCAAAAGCATATAACAAGACAATGACAAAGGGGGAAACAGACAAAAGAAACGATCGGGAACAAAAAAAAATGCAACAAAATAAAGAACCCTAAAATCTGAAGAGCAGATAAGTAAACCCTAGCAAATGAAATCAGGTGGAAAAAACAAAACAAAAAAAGAGAGAGATGCTTAAATAAGAAAGGGGAAACACAAACCTGAGAGAGAGACCTTAGCCCGGAGAGAAGAGATGATCAAACAAACAAATTGGGGTGAATCGGAGGAAGCAAAGAGGGAGAGAAATGGAGAAGAAGGAGAAGAGTCAAAGTCTCCTTCTTTCTCTCGCTCTTCTTTTCCGAGTGTGTGTGTTTGTGAGCAAAGAAGAGAGATTCGACTCTTTTGGTTTTTTTTTTTTTTTTTGATATCTCAGCCTAATGTGAAATCAGCGGATAACCCATTTGCAAAAGACAATCATACGGTAAACACAACTAGACTCCTCACCAGTCACCTCCACTCTCTCTCTCTCTCTCTCTCTCTAACTAAACTTTTATTTTGGTTTCTATTGAACATGATCATGTGTTATATAAAAACACTGTTTCATGTTTGGCTTTTGTGTTTTGTCGCATCTCTACGGATTTTGATTAAACAAACAATTAATCTTCTTTTTTTTTAATAAATGCATGATTCACAGAGATGACGTTGATCTAGGTATCTATAGGACGACAAAACCCATATAACTTGCAAGTCTCTAATCTCAAATAAGAATCTTTTTCAAGCACAGGTTTTAGTATATTCTTTTTGGTATTAGCGCATTTTTACAGGTATGAATTATGATGATCATGTGATCTCTCTCGTTCGCATTAGTCATGTTTACTGACATTTTACGTTTTAGACGTACTTGAAATCTATCACAACGACTGTGCCGAACTAAAATTCAATTTTCTCGTAACTTTTGTTGTGACAACGAATAAATTGAAAACTTTTATGTAATTGGAACCAGTCAACTATATGCAGTCAAATAAAGAAATATAGAATCGGTCAACCATATATTATATATTCCACGTTTCTTAAAACTGTTTTAATTTTTTTGTAATTTTTTATTATAACTCTTTTATACATGTTGTAGTTACAGTATGTACTAATTCTACCGCTGTCATTTCAGTAAAAGTTACAAATTAAAAAGATCTCATAACTTACCAAAGTCAAAGTCAGCTTCAAGGCTCCTTTACGACCAGTCCAGACCAGTGAACCCAACTTGCTCACATTCGCAAGTACGGACCTGGTGACTAGCATCAAGTGTTTCAATTTCATGTCTACTCGATTTTGTTTTGTAACAATCCGCATCCCAATCTAGACACATCATCGTGTCTCTGTCTCGTCTCCATCCATCGAGAAAATGGCATCTGGGTTTTGCTCATTGGGTCTAAATGTGACCTCTTTACTCTCGTCCCACGCGCTAGCACGGCTCGTTGTGCTACCCACTCTACGGTGGCGTTCGAGTTCTATTTCTATGTCTCCTCGGCTGTGTATTTCCCGCGCTTTATCAGCTGCAACTTCTCCGGTTAGTTCATCCTTCACGTGGGACGACGTAATCGAGACCGGTCGAGCAGAGTATGCGCCTCGAAACTCATCCGATCTCACCGGGTTTCTCGAGAAGGTCGATCGCTGCAATCGTGGATCCGTAAGTCCCATTATCATTGAATGATTGATTCTTGTGGTTTTAAGACTTTGGGTAGTGTGAAGCTGAAACAGAGCAAAAATGTTATCTTTATAAAGTTTCGATTTTTGTTTGTTTTCAGGAAAAGTTAGCAGAGTTTATTCCATTTGTTATAGAGGAACAAATCGTTGGTTATATACATAAGGGGTAACTATTCTTTGCTCAGCTATAAGCTATTCTCTCTGCTTGCTTCTGTGATTCTAGACTTGAGGTTGTAAAAATTTGGACTTTTCTTTTGTGCATTCACAAACTATTTTTGGCAGAATCTTGACTTTTTGAATGCTCTCAAATTGGTTTGTCTCAACAGATTTTTTACCGAGTACTTGAGGGAGTTTCATGGTATCTTTACATTTGCACACAATGGTTCTTTCCCTGACCGTGTTGGTGGCTATGTAACGCTTAATCTGATGTTTCAAAAGCCTGAGGATAGAACCAGAGCAGTTGCAGATGTGATCAAAATCTTGGGTGACAAAGGAATCATTCCAGGAATTCGAAATGAGGTATGGAGGTCGATGTTTGATATTATCTCCTAACTCTTGAATGATGTTTGATAAGTTCTAATGATTCCACCTGTCTTCATTTTGTTGATCATTTCTTTCTCACCAGTTGTATCCTGTGAAATCATCGTTTAATGCTCCGGTCCTATTTTCGCTAGAGCGTGCTGCTGCTCCTTTTTTCGGATTAAAGGTAAAACCATACTCACTGCACCAAATGTTTCTTGAATACCACTTTAGATGATTTTCTGTCAATAAATGTTTAGCGTCTTCTTTTCCAGATTGTGCTTTGCATTCTTTATGCAAGTGATGCTATAAACTCTGCTCTATACATGTTTTGATTAAAATGTTCACATGGCTCTCTTCTTATCTTGTATAGGGTTACGGAGTTCACATGAATGGATATGTTAAAAAGGATGGACAAAAGTCTCTATGGATAGGTAAGAGAAGTCTCGCAAAACCCACTTATCCAGGAATGCTTGATCACCTAGTTGCTGGAGGATTGGTAAGATTTCTCGTAGTCTTTTACTTGTCCATGGTTATCTGCTGATGAAAGAAAGCATTCATCATGATATAAAAAGCCTATACTTGTGATTATAATTCTCATTTGAGGGAATCAAAATGCACGTTTTCTTTCATCATCCGCTGGGAACCGTAGCCTCACGGGATTAGCTGCGGGGAGAATCTCGTAAAGGAATGCGAAGAGGAAGCTGGAATTTCCAAAACCATTGCAGATAGGTAAGACATTCTCTTTATTTTTTTTAACAAGGTAGTATGTATAGCTCTCAATGTTTTCAACCTCTTGCATCTTTTTGTTTTATTAAAGGGCAATAGCTGTTGGTGCTGTTTCCTATATGGATATTGACCAGTACTGTTTCAAACGTGATGTGCTATTTTGTTATGATTTGGAACTCCCTGAAGATTTTGTTCCCCAAAATCAAGGTTAGGCAAATCACTAGTAACGCATGAGTAATCCTGAATTGGTGCTTCTTAGAGATATGCTATTTCATAGCATTGTTGTCCAAATTATTATGCAGATGGAGAAGTTGAGAGCTTCAAGTTGATTCCAGTAGCTCAAGTTGCTAATGTGATTCGGGAGACTAGTTTTTTCAAGGCAAACTGTTCCCTTGTCATTACTGACTTCTTGTTTCGGCACGGGTACTTATTCCTTTCTCCCCCGGGATATTAACATCCTTATATATGACCCCCTTGACAAAACATTCTGTTCCATTTTGTCTATGCAGGTTCATCAAACCAGAACAATTGGGTTACTTGGATCTTTACCGACGACTGAGGAATGGAGATTGCTCATAATAAAGGATGTTACTACCTTACCAAAAAAAATAAAGGATGTTACTATATCTGATATTTTTTCTTTAAGTAAAAGCTCACACTGGCTGTGTAGAAGGTTATTGCGTGTACATAGGTGCATTCATGAACATACACCGATCAAGGAAGTCCACAAACAAACTTCATTTATACAAATGAGAGCAAAACAATTGTTCTCTTCAAAGTAGAGCTGTAAATATTTTATTTAGAATCAGAAAGTTAATAATATGATGAAATAGACTACAAAGGATATGTAAACCTCAACAACTTACTACTACTCATGCTTAGACGTCTGTCTTCATGACCTAACAGCCTTTTTCCAGAAGGATACATGCAAGCAAAGTTAGTATTAACATAAATCCCCCGGATACTAAGGAACACCATTGCTTGAGAGATCACCCCCCAAATTTAGAAACAAACTAAATCTGCTCATGTACAACTGTAAATCCCAACCATTTAACTTATAAAGGAAAAAATGGGGTTTTTGAATAGAAATCGTCCTCCCTCAACATGAACGTATTCATCAATGTTTAAGAACCTCTTTCTTCTAGACCAAGCAATAGCTATTTATGGATAAGAGGAGGGAGGCATGCTCTCTAATTGTTTCTTTCCTTTCTATCCAAATCTTTTTGAAATCGTTGATCTTTATGATGTCTTCATGAGTTACCATCGAGATGGATGTTGAGTTTTCATCGGTTAATGCGCGTTTTATATAGAATGGGGAAAATTAACCGATGAAATCTCAACATATCCATCTCGTTTTGTTTTTTTCTTGTTTTCTTTATAGATGTTTGATTCCCTGAGCAAAACTATATAGGTATATGTTTATCTAACAAGTTTAATAATTGATGGTGCAGAATCCTGGATGGACTCCAGTTCCACAGTTCGGAGGATGGGACCAAAACGGGCCAAATGAGGCTACAAACTACTCGGTTGTCTTCTCAAAAGCTCGCGCTAACAGGAAGCAGAACAAAGCTGGTGTTAGACATTCTAGTTTGGGAAGTGAACAAGAACTAATGGCAAGTGCTCGTCGCGACCACCAGCAACTTCACCATCGCCACGAAACTCAAGATGATGACCCTGTCATGGTAATTCACATCTATCTCTCTCTCTATCTCTCTACTTACTCTACTATGGGTTTTTTTGTGTGTGGTTCATATGCCCCTTGTGATGATCCTTTTCCCCTTAGTCAACGCGCATGGATCATCACAAGGTGGTATAAAACAATTCATGAAATGATTTCTCTCTGTGTCGTTGGTTTGTTTTTTTTGTGTTTATGCATACAAAAATTTAGTATTCCATTTCTTTCTAAACTCATAGACACATGACCTGGTACATGTTAATGATGAGTTGAATTGCTGTCAATATTAGAAACTATATACAGGATCAGTCTATGTTATGGGTTGAATTGCATGTTTTTGTAGGATATTTTTATGGTGTGTGTGTGTAATGTGTTATGCAATTATATAGTTTGCTAATTATATTTTTCTTATATTCTCAAAAAATATGATTTATAGTAAAGTAAACACATTAATTTTGTTCAAAAAAAAAAGAAGAGTAAACATATAATTCCGAAAAGTCGAAAACTAAGTGATACAAGACTCAGAAAACGAAAACCACAGAGTTTCACTATTTTGCCAAGGTTTTTGAAATATCCGGCCTTCACTTAGTTGGAAGGAAACATATCAATCTATTTTCATTGGTGTTGTGGATTCAAATAAATCATTCTATAGATCTTCATTTTTTGCATAATTAAGGGGAGTTACACAAGTTTGTACATTTTGCATGGAGCCTCCAACTTTATATAGGGGGAGCTATGAACGGAGCTAGTATATACGATTATGCTTTCTAGATGAAGCATAAAGATTTTTTTTTTATTCTCACTTGGTCGATACTAATTTATAGCTATATAAGAGAAATATATATTGTCGCACCGTCATAAGTTTATATATGTATACAAACCTGTGTAGAGTAGGTACTAGTCTCTCTTACATAACTAATTTACTTACCATGCGCAGAAGAAGAAGAGGATCTTGACCTACATTAATTGTTGTATCAGGCCAAACTAGGGCCAGCTATGTTCCGAAGAAAGTCGCAATCTATGTGTCATCGATGATATAGCAAAAAAAGATGTACGTCGCAGCCTGTAATGACATTAATTAGTGTAACATTTCTGTAATCTTCTTCATCAAAGAAAAAGAAAAAAAGTTTCTGTAACATATGTGCATCATCTGTTTATATACTCCACTCCTGGTTGCATTCTGACTTAATTCTGCCTAACTATTGTAACTTATGATGGATGGTAGATTCGCTCGGTCTTGATTACTGTAAATTGCACCGTAGCTAAAACTAAATATCTAATGTGCACAAGTTCTTAATTCACTATCTTGTAGAATAAAATGAACTAAGACGAATAGCATTACTAATATATAAAAAAATCTGATCCGGTAAAGTTAACCAACATGTTAGCGAAAATTACATAAAACAAAACACAAGTATCGTAATTCCTTCTTTTTCAGTGATATAGTTGTAGATTTTTCTTACAAACATGCATCTTGAACGAAATGGCTACTAAAATTAGCCATGATAATAAGACTATACAATACTGTTAAAATCACTGGCTAAATGGGTCACTTGTTTGGACATAACTAAAATTAGTCCTATTTGGCTTAACTTATAAAACAAAGTAACTAAAAATTGAAAATTATTAGTAACATACAAATATAAATTCAACGAATGTTAATTATGAAAATACTTTTGTTATTAAATTTATTGAAACGAATTACTTGTCCGAATTTAATGATCGCAGTACCAAACCTCGGACTCGGATAGAAGAAAGAAATCATACGGACCGGGCATCGTCTGAATGTCAACGCGCACCATAAGGCGCGTGAATCCCACGGGGACCCCTTTAAATCGCGGATTATATTTTACAAAATCCGCTCCATTGTCGAAACTCGAAACGCACCTCTCCTCTCCTCTGCTCTCTCCTTGTCAAACCCTAAATTACTTGGTCCTTCCTCTCTTCCTCGATTCACTGCCAAACAAATTCACGCGGGAAATCGAAGACCACGAGCTTAACCCGTTTTGCTGATTAAGAGTTTCTATATATCTCTGGTCGCTATAAGGGCGAATTGCGATGAGATCTGCCTTGTGAAAAAACAATGTATGGCGGTGCTGCTTCTTCTTATTTGCTTCGCCTCTATTTTTTGTATTCCTATCTCCTTCACTCTCACACACTTGTTAAATCTTGAGCTTTGGCTCTTTTTGTTTTTCAGATTCCAATTGGGTTCTTTCTACGAATTGCAGTTTGATCTAAAACAAAAAAAATTATGGAATCAGATAGCGTTAAGTTTGGAGGTAAAAAAGCTTCTGTCTTTTTTTCAATTTTGGAATTCGAGGGGTCAGTGAGCTTGATGGACTTTTGAATTGCAGGTCCGAGAGAAGTGGGTGGTGCTGTAGATCTTATAACGCAATACAAGCTGTTGCCACACCATGAATTCTTTTGCAAGAGGTCCCTTCCTGAGTCACTTTCAGATGCTCATTATCTTCACAATTTGGTGGGAGACACTGAGATTAGAAAAGGAGAAGGGATGCAATTGGATCAGCTTCTTCCCAATGCATCACTTGGCCGGGATACTATTGCTCGCATCCAACCTTTTGTTCTAGATGAACTTAAAGAGGCTTTTGAGCTTAATGACACTGCTCCTGTTGAATTGCCTCTGGTGAGTCTATCTGCTCTCTCTCTATCTCTATATGTGATTTGATGCTTGAGCTATGTAAATGTAAGTGATTATGAGATCTTCGGTTTCTGTTTTCAGGCAGAGAAGGGAGCTCCTACCATTGCGTCAAAATCGAAAAGTGAGTCAAAAGATAAGGACAGGAAGCATAGGAAACATAGAGACAAGAACAAGGAGAAAGATAGGGAACATAAGAAGCACAAACACAAGCATAAAGATAGGAGCAAAGATAAGGATAAAGACAAGGATCGAGATAGAAAGAAGGAAAAGAGTGGACACCATGATAAGGTAATAGCTTATTGAATGTGTCCATTTTTCAATTTATTAGAGTTAGCAGATCTATACCATCTAGAATTTACATGGTACGTTTTCACTTAACTTTCAGAAAAGGAAAAGCAATGGGGATGCAGATCTTGATGATGTTCAGAGGCACAAAAAGAGTAAGGTAATGTATGAATTGTGATGTAACACATCCCCATTTTAATGAAGCTGAATCTGGATGTTACTGTTTACTCGCAAAGTGGCTTTAGAGAAGTAGTTGCTGTTTTGATCGTCCCTAAAATTTTTTTTTTTTTTTGCAGCATAAGAGCTCAAAGCCTGATGAGATGGGAGCGATGAAGCTTGCTGGCTGAAGCAATGGACAATCTCGTTTTTGTATTGCACACCTCAATACGGTTGTGGAGAGGTTTACTTAACTCACTGGTGACAAATTTGTTAGGTAAGGTGTCCTTGTAATATATATATCTTTCCAGGCTTCCATGCATTCTTGGCCACTAGACTCATCTTTTCATCATCTCTAGATTAGATTACGCATGTTTCTCATATGGTAATTTACATGATGATTGAGTCCACAAAGCTATGGTTGTTTCAAATAAGAAGGAATTGTCATGATCTAAGTTTTATAAGAAGATAACCTCACTAGTAACTGTGAATGCACAAGCTTAATTTGGTAATGTTTCTATATGATGTAGTTTTGTCTCATCTAACAGCAATGAATTTGATTTTGTCTTCCTAGGTACAATGTCTAAAAAAAATAAAATACATTGTGGGAGGGACGAAGCAATCAAAGTTTGGGGAGAAGAATCACAACTTGTATTATAATTTGATTTGGTGGCACGCTTTGTACATTTTGTTGTGAACAAGTTATGAAGTTTATCCATTTTAGTGACTATTTTAATAGAAATATTTTGAGCTACATACAGAGTGGGTAATATCACATGGAATTCATACGTTCCAAGTTATTATAACTGTGAAGGTTATCTATCAGTTCCAAAGACACACCAAGATGGTTTCTTGGCAGAAACAAATTTACTAATTTAACTTCCTCTGGGTGTAATGTAATCGTACCAATGGAAGAAAATATACCAGAAACAAATTAAGGATCTTTTCAGAAATGTGTTTCTTTAGTCTCGAACCAACTAGAACGGAGCCAAAGGTTGGTCTGTCGCAGAGAAAGAGTCAGTGGCTGACAAAAAAGTTTTAAGACTTCATCAAGTTTGAGTTCATGTAGGCGCATATATGTAATGAAACAGAAAAATATCAAACTCTATCATCAAAACATACTAACGGAAATTTTCAAACTGTTAACCAACAAAACTTTAGTGGGGAATTTTCCAATCCTTCTCACTCTTCTCTCCTCACTAGTCTGTTCACCAAAGGAATGACTAAGAAATGCTGCTTTTCATTTGAAAGATGGGTTACAGATGTGTGACCTCATATGCTTAACCTTCCTTTTCATTTTCTAGCAAAGGTTTCTCCCTTGTGCTCACCCCCCACGCAAACTATATAGCCTGCTTCCACCTATAAACAAATTGATGTTTTGATTATGGATTCCGTAAAAGCTTTTATATGTACGGGACATTGTGTATTATGAAAACGGATAGGAGCAACGTACTTGGCAGTCTCTCAGAGTAACACGCTCTTGAAGCTGTGCGTTACTGCAAATGACTGACCCTTGTATTGAACATCCGTCTCCAATTGTCGCATGGTCCATCACAACTGAATTAACAATCTGCACCCATATATAAGCAGCTGAGTGTATATACGAGATGTACACTCCCATTCTTTGGTTGGAGTGAGTAAAAGTTCATTGTTACCTTCACATTGGAGCCTATTCGGCAATGTCTCCCAATTACAGATCTTTTGACACTACATTTATCACCGACTTGAGAGCCTTCTCCAAGCATACAATGAGGTCCAACCTGCATCCCATAAATAGTTCTTGGCAATCACGACTCACAGAACAAATTGCCCAGTATCTACCAAATTGGGGACGTACTGTGGTTTTCGATCCAAGCTCAGCTGATGGGTGGACAATGTTGTGATGAGCCGAAAAGGAGTATCCGGATAGGTGATTTGCATCACCAATAACCTGCACAAGTTTGAACAATTATGGAGCTCGATATGTCAACTGAGAAAAGAAAAGAAAAACTAGAAAAAGGAATCCATGTGTGGAATACAATTATGAGGAAACAACTTACATCCCTATTTACGTCCATGAAGGCCTGAATGCTATTCAAGCGGACAAAATACTTACTTTCATCCGCTATATAAACACAGCATTTATGGGTTTTTCGGCTATCCAGACCTGATTCATAAACTTGATGAAAGCTTGGCGAAGATGCGTTTGAGAGAATTTGAGACAAGACCACCTCGTTGTTCTGCATATTATTCTTTCCATTTCCATTTCCATTTTCTTCTACATTGCTTTGGTCAGAGAAGACATCTGATCTCTGAGACTCGAGGGGAAAAAGCACAAACAAAGGGTCAAAATGCTAATAAAACAAATGGTATAATCTCCATTAGTCTCATTTGCAAGGACCTTATCCAACTAACCAGCTGTGTGCGAACAAGATAAGGTAGTACATCCTGTTTTAGGCTCCGAAAAGCAGGTTTTTGATCCAAAACTTTCTGCAGAACTGATCTGTAAGACACAAGGGAAGAGAAAAAGGAACATATTGAGTATCAACATATCAAACTAATTTGTTAGCAGGAAAGCTAGGTCTGACCAACCTCTTGAAGGCATATATATGAGAATCAACGAGATCTGACCGCAGTTCCATCTAAATCGAAAATGAGAATATAATAAGAAACTGTACGAAGATTTATCTACAGTCAGATGAAAAGATGCATTGTAGGTCATTATAAGAACTTACAATTAGAGAACATTACCTTGCCAGCCGCACAGAGAATGCTCTTTTTTACTCGGGTATCTTTCTTAATCTCAGTCCCTAATACAATTTCAGAAGGTAAACCAACAACAAGTTAAAGAATTTTGTTGCCTCTAAGAAACAAAAAGGAGAATTTAAAGTAAGACCTTTGGCAATGTATAACAAGAATTGTTTCCAGGAATCAAGCCCTATAATATCCTCGCAAGCAGGTTTCTTGGTTTTATCTTTCCCACCAGAACCACCGGATTCTGATGGCCCACTGACAGGTTGAGCACAGAGCATTGCAGTTACTGCTGCATCATGCCTTCTATGAGTAGCCGCGACAGCACCCGGAGGAATATCAGAAACAATATCTCCACTTACAATCTACTTCAACGCAAAATACCAGTAAGCTAGAAGCTCAAAAAGTTACATAAAGCAAAAGTTACAAGAAGGCATAAGCTAAGTGATGGCTGACCAAAATGTCTTTCGCAGTTAAGTGATGTGCAATTGCCCTTAGGGCCCCAGCAGTTCCAACATTCTCAGCAACAGCGGCAACCTAAATTAAGATATCCACCAAAATATAAAATTACTACTCAGTTTCTTAAATTTATAACCACCTCAGGACAAGCCTTCCAGGGTGAGAAAAGCTATCAACCATTGGAGGGAGGATAGGCCTAATCAAACAATGGTTCATAGTGTAACTGCATTTGGAAATTCTGAAACCAACAACGCCTATAACGAACACTACACTAAATATTTTTCAATCATACATAGAGATTAACTGCAACTCCACATTGCTGAATTCAGATGATGCATTGCATTAGATCTAGATGGAGAAACAGAGCTCCATTTTTAAATGAAGCAAGGTAAGAATTGTAAAAAACCTCAACATGTAAACGATCAACACAAGCAGAAGATATCCATCCACCAACTTTAAGAGCAGCATCTTCTCCTTCAACAACCTGTTCCATCAATGGCAAAACGAAGAATCTAAGTTCCATCAAAATCTATTGAAAACATTCAACCTAATCATCAAAAAAAAAAAACAAAAAACAGCAATTGTATGAATAAGATATAAGGCGTACGACGATCAGATCCTTGAGATTATTGCTCTCTAGCAGATCAAGGACGTATGATAGCACCGGACGATTCGCTACGGGAAGCAACGCCTTAGGAACTTCCTGAATAGCAAAGAAATTCGAAATCAGCTTATTCCCCTAAACATACAGTCGGAAGAAACAGTTTTGCTAATGAGGGAAAGAGACCGACCTTAGAGACTAAGGGAAAAAGAGTACTAGAGAAGCCTCCGGCGAGAATCACGACCTGGAAATCCATTTTTGCAACTGAATTGACGGTGAAGAGGAAGCAGGGAGAGGTTTCGAGTTTTCTGGGGTTTTGGTTTTGATTTTGATTTTTGAGAACGGATTATCAAAACCCGCTCGCTTATTTAGAGTATCTCTGTCGGATCCGGCGGGTCGTTCGGTTATTATCGGGTCAACATTTAATCAAAACTTAATCATGAGATACAAATATTTTGGATCTAAAAGTGTACTTCATTCAAATCTCTTACTACCAGAAACAGGTAAATCATTCTGATTAAGTTGCCATTAAGAAATTGGAAAAGATGAATGACAATGAAGAAATTATATAAAAGAGAAATGTGAGCAATCCTCCTACATACACACTGCTTCTATATATGTAATTATAAATGTGTCAGTTCCTAAGTTGTTTCCTTCCCTCCTATCTTAGCTTTGTAGTCATTTCACCTAAACTGAAACCAAACCCCAAACTTCTTCAGTCTTGGTCTATGCTTTCTTCATCATAATCTTCCTCATCACTAGCACTAGCCTGTTGTTGTTGTTGATCAGGATCTAGTTTCATATCGTTCATTCCCAACAACGGCCAATCCGGACTTCCCTCTAGCCGCCTTTCCAGCCATGTAGCCGTGTCTCCATTTTCATCTAAATCCACATTCAGATCGAAGTTCCTTACGTTACTAGGATTGTTGTGTGATGCAACTTTCTTCCAAGATGTATACTCATGGCTTCTATTTTCAGGAGACGGGCTCCTGCTGCTTTCGGGAGAACCATCTTCTAAATCTTCTTCAAACTTCAGAGAGAGACCATTTCCTGTTCTTCCACCACCTCGTCCACGGCCTCTACCCCGCCTTCCTCTGCCACTACCAGAATGTTTTACCTCATGCTGTGTCAAGGCGAAAAGGCTTAAAACATAATCATTAAACCAAAAAAATTGTCTAATTGGCAAAATAATTCTGGCTAGTTACCATTTGAGTGCTCTTAAAATCTTCATCGTTGCAATTACTGTCCTCGACGAGTTTCCTGAAAAGTCGAAATATCGAGTTGTTAGACATGAAAACCGATACCAAAGTTTGGTTGTTTGCTAATAGCAGCTGATAGAGTCATATTGTTCCTAACCTTCTTTTGGTAGCAGATTGGTCTTCTGCATCTGAGCCACCCAAATCAGGAACTTTATTAACAGTCTCTCTTAGAAAATCAAAGATATTAAACGAGTGCACACACTGTTTCCTGAAGAAAAAAAAAAATGAAAAGCTTTCAAGAAGCAAGAAAACAATTGGTTTACAGATAAGCAGAAGCCAAAGATGGGGTGGTTCACACTTACAAGTGAAAGGAGCTGACAGTTTTCGCCCCACGGCTGAGAGTTATATCATATGTGTGATTACACAAGTCTTGTAAAAACAGCTCCAGAGCTTTAGCTGCAAATTTACAATCAAACCAGAACGGTTAAACTACATGTGACACAAGCTGTATGAACAACGTCTGAGTAAGGAAATCATAAGAAAACATCACTTACAAACAAGAAGAGGAACAGCCATTGCTATTTTGCCAACTTCCTCATCAGTTTGCATAATCTTCTTAATCCTTGTCTGAAACAAAAACATTTGAAGTTCAATTACTCTGGTAAAGATCCCCAAGAAACCAAAAGACAGCCACCACAGTAAAAGTTCAACACAAAACATCTCACCTTCTACAGAAATTACAAAACCACACTCCTTAAATCTAAAGACACTAAGAAATTTCATATAAAGACATCTCATCTTTTAAGTCTTAAACAAGATATTTCTGCAGCAGCTTCGTCAGCACTTAGCCCTGAACAAAATATAGTCCTCAAAGTCCAAGACACATTCACATATATATACAAAATCCTAAAGAAGACAAAAAAAGATCATGGAACCCTGACCCTGTAATCAAAACGAAAGATAAAGATTGGGTTGTAAAAGTCCAAGACACATTCACATACAGATACAAAATCCTAAAGAAAACAAAAAAGATCATGGAACACTGACGAAGAAACCCTGTAATCAAAACGAAGCGAAACCTAACTAAACTCACAAGTCACAACTAACAACAAAACAGGGTTATATCTTATCGCCAGAGGAAGAAGAACGAAACGAACTTATATGTGAAATAAAACAGTGAAAGTAATCAGCCATACCGCTGGAAAACGTGTCTGGAGCTTCTTCTTCATGAGAACCCGCTTCCAAAGTCAAGGGAACGAACAAAGGGGGGGGATGAAGATAGATTGATAAAACCCTAATTTTAAAATTTTGGTGTTGCTTGCTTCCGTTCTAATAAATAAAGAAGATAAAATCAAATTAAGAAATATATATATATGTTGATTCCATCAAACACGACAACATAAAGAAAAAGAAAAAAGGTTCTTCGAGTTAGAAAAATTGGTCTCTGTTTCTTGACCCGTCTATATCGGACCCAAACCAGACGCAATTGACTTTTTTCCACCAATTTTTTTTCTCAATAATTGAGAAAGGAAAAAAAATAGTAAGATAAAAATCCTAGTATAACAACAATTAACAAGTTCTATGTAACATCATCTTAAATGAAAATAATTAAATATGAAACTTAACAAAATGTCAAAATCTAAGTAAGCTTAAAAAATCCATAGGTTTTTACATTCATTCAATAAATAATTATACTTTCATCATTTACAAATTGATAGATTACAGAAAAAATCATTTCTACTATAGTAGTTAAATAAAAGAAAAATAAAATATAATTGTATAAATGTGTATATTATGTTTGCGTTACTATGTTTACTATAAATATTTTTTTCTAAAGGCGAAATTGAAAGCATAAATTGTTGCATAGCATATAAACTTAAAACTTCATTGGAAAAAGAAAAATTCAAAAATAAGACAGCCACACATGTTAACTGGAGGCTAATCGCTCTCTAGAGTATAGTAACAATATTTTGAACTGGACTCGGACCACAGGAAAGCCAGACGACTGATCACAGTGTCTGATCTTCTGACTAGAGACAGACCAAGCTAAAGTGAACACAGAGATGTCTGTGTCTCTTAGTAATATTCGTCTTCGATTACCCACCGCTTCAGTCCCACCAAAACCCATGATTCTCGATGGAGTTCTCCCATTTCGTGTACCAAAAGCTCATATATCCTCATTCCGTTTTGCTTTCAAACCAAACCAAATCTTTGGAACTCAGACCCCAAGAATCTTCACTCAGAGAGTGTCCGATGAACGCAGAGAAACACAAGTAACAACCGAAGAAGAAGAAGAAAAGGTTGTTGAGTTTCAGAGGCTCTTCTCTAATCTTAATCAATCAACATTGAAGCGAGAATCCGGTACAAAGATTGAATCTTTTTTCTTGTGAATACAAAAATTGTGGACAGAAGTTTTGGCTGAGTTTTGAAAAAAATTCAGGAAGTTTGTCCAGTGCGATTTTCTTGGTTGCTGGCACTACTGTGAGTCTTCTTTCTCATAACTCTCTCAAGATATTTGTTGAAAGTATGAGAAGGAATCAAGTTTGGTTTATGGTAAATCACTATCCTTTCCTTGATTAGGTAGGTGCAGGGATACTTGCAATTCCAGCCGTGACACAAGAATCAGGTTTCCTGGCCTCTGCAGTTGCCTGTATTTTCTGTTGGGCTTTCATGGTAATGATTGATGGCTCGTCTTATCTCCTTTAACGTTTCTTGCTAGTAATGTATTGGTCAATGGTCATCATAAAACATATCTTGGCTTCAGGTTGTGACAGGTTTGCTGGTTGCTGAAGTAAATGTCAACACCATGAGTGAACTAGGCTCTGGAGGCGTATCTCTCGTATATCCCTGAAACCCGATAGACTTCCTCTGCCAACAAACTTCACTTTAAGTTATGCCCTTATGAACTCAGCTTTGACTTGATATTTTGGCAGGTCTCGATGGCGAAGCGGACTCTTGGGTCTGCTGGAGTTCAAGTTGTTTCGTAATCATACTCTCATTCTCATTTCAGAACTTGCTTTCCTTAGTTGCCTTCACTGTTTTTTTTCAATTACATTTGAAACAACCTTTTCTGTTTTGTAGTTGGTCCTACATTCTTATACATTACACCCTTCTCGTGGCCTACTTAGCTCGGTCTTCAGGCATCATTACAAACTTCCTCGGCATTCCAATGTATGAAACCCCAATGGATCCTTATTACTTACAATGACAGTTTTGAGTGCTATGCTGCTGTACTTATTCCCAAGAATGTTCTGTAGATGGGAGAGTGCAACTCTGTTCTCTATGGTCTTCGGAGGCCTTTGCTTCTTTGGAAGGTTAGCTCTCCATTTCAAAACAGTTAGTGATTCCACAATTTCAATCAAAAACTGTCTAAACTCCAAAGCCATAGAGAACAAGAATGGAATAGTGGAAGACCTGAGAAGTAGTACTATAACTTTCTCCATGTGGTTGCAGCCAAAGGTTCATCGGTGCAGCTAATGGAGTTCTAGTGTTTGGAGTAATTGCATCGTTTGCAGCACTAGTGGTAACACTTTTTCGTTAAAGACTTTCCTATATGAATTCATGAAAGGAAAAACCAAACCAAAGATGACCGTTTTGTTAGGCAGTTGCGAGTGGAAACTTGCACTGGGAAGCTCTTCTCAAGGCTAATTTTGAGGCAGTTCCTATGAGTATACCCATTCTTTCCCTTTCATTTGTTTATCAGGTAGTCACAGTTAATCTCATGATTCAACCTTTGAGTCTTGACTCTAAGATGTATAAACTTGCTTAACTGATTGATTTTCTTTCAGAATGTGGTGCCGGTCCTCTGCACAGATCTTGAAGGAGACTTGCCGAAAGTAAGGTGACATCAAACCCTGAAATGGTGATGGTAAAACTCACTCAGTCTGTATGAATTAACTAAGCCTTTTGAAATATTCTTTATCTTCAGAACCGCGATTGTTCTTGGCACAGCCATACCACTTGGCTTGTTTCTTGTGTGGAACGCTGTAATTCTTGGATCGTTTCCAGCAGATATTGGGGTGGCTGCTGAGAAAATGGTTGATCCTCTGCAGCAGTTGAGATCAAGCAATGTCATTGTCGGTGTAAGTTTCGTTGTTCTTCTTGCGTATAAGATAAACTAACTACCACCAATCACCTCACATTAGTCTTGTGTTGATCACACAGCCTTTTGTGGAAGCATTCTCTCTTTTTGCAATAGCAACATCCTATATCGGATTTGTCTTAGGCCTCTCTGATTTCTTCTCTGACTGTGAGTATCATGAAAAACCAAACTTAGTGTTTTTCTTTTCAATCTACTACTTAATGTTTTTCTTTTCAATCTACTGCCTTGAAAACTTAATTGAATAATTTTTTTCTGTTGTATTAACTTTCAAGTATTGAAGCTCCCAAGTGGCCAGAACAAGCCTCTTCTTTACCTACTCACACTGGTTCCACCGCTTGTCCTGTCACTGCTAGACCCAGAGATTTTCTTCAAAGCCTTAGATTTTGCAGGGACTTATGGAGGTTACAAGTTTCTTGACTCTCTTATATTGCCACCTGAGTCAACAAGTACACACATTAACCCAACCAAAAAACTGACTATGGTTTTCCTTCTTGTTATGTAGTTCTGGTTTTGTTCGGAATCATCCCAGGGGCAATGTCTTGGTCAGATAGGTACATAGTCTCATCAGCAACAGGAACAAGATTGCCGCAGCTTGTTCCAGGCGGGAAAGTCACCCTTTCTCTTGTGATGGGAGCAGCAGGATACGTGATTGTTTCTGAAGTAATAGAGAATTTTACAAAGTTTCTCAACATTAATGAATAGGAACAAGGAATTTATAATTTAGTGTTATTGTAATATGAAAGAGGTCTTGCAACTAGAAAAGAAACATCTTCAGAAAACCATACAAACGAAAACAAAACTTGGAACTCAAATATGTTTGGTAAGGAGACGTTTGAAGTCTCTAAATCTTGTTGAATGCGACGATGTCACAACTCTGGATGTACTCGTTGTTAGGCTCTGAGGTGAGATAGTCTTCAATGAGGTTGTCTGGGGAGACGAGGTCATCAACAATGGTGAGCATAATTGTGAGTTTCTTGATCCCGTACCCAACTGGCACCAGTTTAGCTGCACCAAATTTACAGCAGAACATACTCAATTAGAAAATTGTCAAACGAAAAAAAAGCTTAGAGCTTAGAATCTTTATCAATCAAAAGTCCAAAACGTACAAGCTCCCCATAAAAGACCAGGCATCTCAACAGCACGAACAGCCTCCTCCAGCTTCTTCATGTCAGTCTCATCATCCCATGGCTTAACATCCATGAGCACAGAAGACTTTCCACCTATCAAAGAGATAGAAATTCACAAGGACATTAGATGCAATATTAAAAATTCAGATGCAGTTACTCATATGTTTTCCCAATATAATCAACAGACAAGCTTTTATATCAATTCCAGCAAATATGCTAATACTATCCAGTTCAATCTAGAGGCTTACTCTCTTTAGGCTTCTTGGTGTCCTTCTTAGCAGCCTCCCTCTCCTCTGCAGCTTTCTTTTCCTCTTCGGTCTCATCACCAAAGAGATCAATGTCATCATCATCATCAGCTGCAGGAGCCTGTTGATCATGGAAAATAATAGATCAAATACAGCACATTTTCAAACAGAACTCTTATAATTTCTTCTCAATTACCATGTCAACGCATTGTTCAATACTATAATGACTACCCTCTTCTAAGTTCCACAATTAATAAAATTAAGAATTAAGCATTCAAGTAAAAGTACCTCAGCCTCAACAGCTGGAGCAGCAGCAGAACCACCGATTTGAACTCCGACAGCCTTTCCTGGGAAGCTGCAACAAATCAAAACTCGTCAATCATTGGAAGTGATACATAAGTATCCAAATCTGACTACGTTAAACCAAAAATTTCAGAAAGGACGAACCTTTTAGCGAGGTGAGAAGCCACACACTCGTACCACTTGCTAGCATTAGGGAAGGCATCACTGGGTTTCACGGGGACGGCAGCGTAGACCTTAACATCATCCACAGACAATTGATCTCTGCAAAAGAAATCAAACTCTATTAGATACCAAAAAGAGAACAGAAAACAATCCAAAGTTAAGACGACTGTATCGCAAAATAGGAAAAGTGACAAACTTTACCCGGAGATGTAGGTTTTTCCGGCGAGGTGCTCCTCCACGGATTTGACACCCTCCTCTGTGTGTAGATCTGAAAAGGTAACGGCCATTGCTGCTGCTTTAGGGAGTTATGGAAGATTGGAAGAAGAAAGATCAAAGAGAGAGAGAAACGGAGAGAGAGAAACGGAGAGAGAGAAGAAGCCGCTTTAAAAACCTAAAAGAGAGTATAACTTGAGTCTCTGAGAAACCCTAAACCCGATTAAAGAAATATACACTGTTACGGGCTAACCTGAAACCTATATTTGGGCTTTTTTATGGGCCTCTTATAATTTGCTAAGAAACCGATACAGCTTTAGGGAAAGTAATTTATTAGCAATGAAGAAAACAAAACGATAAATTTTAATCAGCGAAAAATAAATAAAGAAAATATAAAATGTTTGACAAGAAAAAGGTATTAGTTAATATAGTTCTTAAATATAGTTTTTATTTTCAAGCATTGGTAATATTATTTTCCGTATAATATTACGGAAATATGATTTGTTAAACCAACCGTTAATACCTATCAAAATTACATGAACATTCTATTAAAGGGAAGTTATATAAAAACAGTAATTATAACGGTGGTGTATATACGAATTACTACGTACGTACGTGTAATGGTCACATTGTCAAGGACGACGACTGGTTTAATTTTATTTTTGGTTACATGGGAGGCGCCGGATTGTGTAATGGTCGCACTCACATATATCATGTATATTAGAAATTTTAGATCCGATCTCATCTACCAAAAAGTTTTAACAATTCGATAAATAAATTCACTTTCGACTTGTGTCGTCTTTAAACGCCTAATATATATATTACCCCGATACTAGGAGCACTGATCTCATAATTATAAGAAATAGATTCACGAGTTGTCATCTTTATACAAGAAAAAACAAATTGTATAAATATACATTTTTATCTACAGTACTACACTTAACGGCGATGCATTGTATAATATTGTAGAACAATTAATGTAATAAATATATTTTTAAAAAATATACTTATTTAAGTAGTAATATAGTATTCGTCGTCATGTTGCTAGTAGTCCATTAAAAGAAGTATAAGCTCAGTCCTTAATAATTTAATTTGAATTGGCTCGATGCGAGTTATTTATATTTAAAAATCCTGCCGTGCACGTTAAAATCATGGTTATGGGGAAGGTACGAGTAGTTTATGTTTACATTGTTACTCGATATATCAAATCAAATATAAAATGTAGAATAATAATACATCGAAATATCAAATATGTTCGTTTGTTATCGCATATTGAGTATTCAATATATTTCCAGTTGTGTATATGATAACGGTATAACCAAGGACTGAATATATTCTTGCTGTCGTCTTTTGTCTTTTGTCTTTTCAACTCCTTCGAAGTATTATAATTAATTACTATATGATTTTCAAATTTTTGGTGGCAATTTAAGTTAAGTATGATAGTATTAGCTACGACGACCATTATTATTATTAAGCAGCTGTTAACAATTATGCATTAACCTTCTCGATTCCTTTCCATGTTCTTTCTTTTCTTTTACGTATACCACATGCACATCATTTTTATCATATGACGTTGAATTTTTCATTTAAAAAAAACTTGAAGAATCATATGGTTTTTTATGCTACTTGAAAGTACACTAAAACTAGCAAATAAATCGATTCGCTTGACATACGAAAAAAGGTGTAAATTAAAAAAGACTCTTGACAGAAAAAGAAAAAAAAAAGAGGTTTTATAATGGGAAAAATGTCAAAAAAATCCCGAACTTTCAAATTTAGGACAAAAAAATCATGAACTTTCGAAATATCAATTAAATCATAAAGTTTGGTTTGACTTTTCGATAAAATGCTCAAGTTTCGTTGACTGGGCCATTTTGAGCACGACGTTAACTTTCCGTTAAAAAAAATAATAACGCAGTTAACTTTCTGTTAGAACCAAAACGACGCCGTTTATTAACTTTTAAAACGTGGTCGTTTTTAAAAAAATTAAGATTCTAATCTAAATTTGTGGGGAATCGAACTCACAACCATGTGTAGTTGCAACTTACAATCAACCACTGTCCCGCAATAATCTTTTAGTACCAAACACACAGCTGCTCTATATATATACACGTTAGATATATATTTATTAGTATATATATTATTAATAATAATTACATATATATATATATATATATATATATATATATATATATGATCTCTAAATTAAGTAAGAATCCAAGTTTTAATTGAAACTTCATTTCTAAACTCAATCAACCTCCTTTCAAATTTAAAAATTTACGAGTTTCAATTATTTTTAAGATAATATTTTAATGTGTTAATGGGTTTTGAAATTCAAATTCATATATGTTCTTTAAAATAAAATAGAATTATGGATTTAGTTAAAACTGTAAGTTAAATTAGATTTTATTTAAATAATTGAAGTTAACCCATTTTGAATTTTTAAATTTATGAGTTACACTTGAATTTGTTTAGTTAACTTTCTATATAATTTTTAGTTACATTTTAGTAGTAAAGTGTGGATTTAAATTATGAATTAATGTATATGATTAAATGTGTCTTTTTGGTTTAGTCAAAAATAATTATTATTATAAAGAGAGAGTGAAACCTTACTTTTATATATATGATTTAATATTTTGTTATTGTAATTCATTTCCTATTTATATATAAATTAGTTGTGTGGTGTGATGCTAAAAAGTCAATGCGGCCCAATGGTCATGAGTAACTTCTGATTTGCAATAGCCTTGAGTTCGATTCTTACTGATTACAGATCTGTTAATATTTTTTTGAAAAAAGATCAATGTTTTAAAAGGTTACTAAAACGACATCGTTTTGGTTTTAACGGAAAATTAACTGCGTTATTTTTTTTTTTAACGGAAAGTTAACGTCGTGCTCAAAATGGCTCAGTCAACGAAACTTGAGCATTTTATCGAAAAGTCAAACCAAACTTTATGATTTAATTGACATTTCGAAAGTTTATGCTTTTTTCGTCCTAAATTTGAAAGTTCGGGCTTTTTTCGACATTTTTCCCATTTTATAATAAGACAGTGTATTCCAAATCTTTAACGTTATCACTTTGACATTGGGAAGCATAAAACTTTATTTTTATGGGAAACCTCTCTGAGATCTCCACGTGATTGTTTTCTTTTATTTTAATTGATGGCCTATAAATTATTTGTTTTCTGTCTGCATTACTCTGGATATTCGTGTATTTGTTTATCTTCAACTTGTATGTTTGGTTTATAAAATGCACTTGGAGTTCGCACCTTTGGGTAGCAGCACTGAATTGTTTCAAGATCAATCCTTCCTTGGGCTTTCATTGTGTCCTTTGTACGACTCTTCTGCACTCTTCTTCCTTTCTCGTATCTCTTTCTTCTTTTTTGTTATACTTTTAACTTTAAAGCTTCTAAAAATGTGTCATTCTTATTTTCTTGTTCACTGAAGGATACAGAGTTCCATTGCTGCTCTGTTTTTCAAAAACAATACATATTTTGTTTTGGGATAAAGATAGGTTTTCTTAAGAGTTCCTGAGTCTTGTTTTGAGTAGTTATTAGATATACTTAAGAACAAATGGTCTTTCTTGCAGATCTCTTTTCTAGCCTTGTAGGATTTGGTTTAGGTTTTAAGGTTTAGCTTTAAGATACGGTCAACTTCTTTAAAGACATTTAATAATAAAGTGAATAAATAAATTTTGTTTAACGGTGTGAAGCATTTGTTAAATCAACGTAATCTTTACTATATTTCTACTCTCGTCTTCTTAGGATTTGGTCCAACTCCTGGACTCTTTTGGGAGTCATTGGAGTCAAAGTGCACCACAAAGTTATTGTTTGGAAGGTGACTTAAAAGGATGGCAGAGAAGAGAGCCAGCAACGGAGAAGAAGTTGTTATTAATGTTTCAGATAAAGAAGAGTCAAAAGACTCAATAGCATCTCCTCCTTTCAATCCATTGCCTTCACCGGAAGCAGATGCTGCGGCAGCTGAGAAGTCTAAACCAATGCCAATAAGCATTCCTCCTCCTGAAATCTATAAGTTTGCTGGTAGCGTTCATAAGCCGCCGAAGACTCCAAGTCCTAACAATGGAGGTCTAGTTCGGAGGAAGTCTGTTTCGAGGTCAGTTTACTCCAAGTCCAAGTCAAGGTTTGGGGAACAACAGTCTTTTCGATACGATCACAACAGAGAGGAAAATGGTGGATCGTCTCTTAGGGAACAGTTCGGTGCTGCTTCATCATTCGCAAGGAGTTCTTTTGACAGGGCTTCCCCTAATAACAAATCCAATAGGAGCATTACGTCACAAGCACTGAGTAAAGTTGATGAGGATGAAACGGATGAAAATGAGGAAATCTACAGAAAGGTTAAGCTACACCGAAGTAAGCGTAGCGCGATGACATTTCTCGCTCTGCTTGAGTTGGTATTGTTTATGGGCATTTTGGCCACTTTGGTTGTGAGTTTAACCATTGATAAGGTGAAAGATCATACCATTTGGGGTTTGGAACTTTGGAAATGGTGCGTGCTTGTGATGGTGACACTCAGTGGCCTGTTCCTGACGAATTGGTTCATGCATTTCGCGGTGTTCCTCATAGAAAAGAACTATCTACTCAAGAAAAAAGTGTTGTACTTTGTGCACGGTTTGAAGAAGAATGTTCAAGTCTTCATTTGGTTTGGCTTGATTCTGATTGCTTGGATCTGTCTGTTCGATGATGATGATAGACACTCTCGTAAGACCAAGAAGTTTCTCGACTTTATCACTGCGACTATTATTACCCTTCTCGTCGGGTCAGTCCTTTTCTTGGTTAAGACGTTTGCCTTGAAAGTTCTTGCTTCAAAGTTCAACGTCAGAAACTTCTTTGAGAGGATTCAAGAGTCTGTCTTCCACCAATACGTTCTCCAGACTCTCTCGGGACCTCCGCTTATAGAAGAGGCAGAGAATGTCGGGCGCGTGCCAAGCACTGGCCACCTTAGTTTCACGAGCACCAAGAATGGAAAAGCTAAAGACAAGAAAGTGATCGATATGGGAAAGGTTCACAGGATGAAACAAGAGAAGGTCTCTGCCTGGACAATGCGTGTTTTGATAGAAGCCGTGGGAACTTCAGGTATCTCAACCATTTCTAGCACTTTAGATGAGGTCAACAATAGGAAAGAGCGAACTGATAAAGAGATAACAAGTGAGATGGAGGCTGTAGCTGCTGCTTATGAAATCTTCAACAATGTTGCTAAGCCAAATCAAAAGTGAGTCATCATAACAAAATACTCTGCTTTCTTTACTCTGTTTCATCATATATGATCATGATCACAAATTTGATTGCTTATTAATTTTTCAGTTTCATAGAAGAAGATGACTTATTGAGGTTCATGATTAAGGAAGAGGTTGACCTTGTACTCCCATTAATAGAAGGTGCTGCTGACACCGGAAAAATCACACGCAAGGCTTTTACAGAATGGGTGGTAAGACATTTATCAAACACCCTTAAGTTTTTTGTGTCCTTTCTATATATGCTACGTTTGTGTCACACATGCATATTTGGAAACGTTGTTAAAAGATTTAAATTAGGTTTGGTGTTGCCATTTTTTTGACAGGTGAATGTTTACACAAGTAGGAAAACAATAGGACATTCACTGAACGACACAAAAACAGCGGTAAAGCAGTTGGACAAACTTATATCTGGAGTCCTGACCGTTGCCACACTCATCGTTTGGTTGGTTCTTCTGGATATAGCATCGACCAAGCTCTTGTTGCTCTTCTCCTCACAATTCGTGGGTCTTGCTTTCATGATCGGAAGCACTTGCAAGAACATCTTTGAATCCTTCATTTTCGTCTTCGTGATGCACCCTTATGACGTCGGGGACCGTTGCGTTGTCGACGGTGTTATGGTAACTAACTGTGCAATTAGTTTATTTAATTTTCTCAATATTACCACTAAGTTAGAATAACACTTATATAATTTTGTTCTTGCTTTGAAGTTGTTGGTTGAAGAAATAGACCTTTTAACGACCGTGTTCCTCAAGATTGACAACGAGAAAGTGTTCTATCCAAACTCGGTTTTGATAACGAAACCAATAAGCAACTTCTACAGAAGTCCGGATATGGGAGATTATGTCGACTTCGGCATCGCATTCTCAACACCAGCCGAGAAAATAGGCACTCTCAAGGAAAAAATCAAAGAGTAAGTATTATCACATTTTTGTTGTTAAGTTTGTCACATTTTAGTATCTAACATCTACCATCTAACAAATCTTTCTTTATATTAAATTAAATCACTCACTAAATTTGGTGTGAATTTGGTCAGATACTTGGTGGCAAACCCACAACATTGGTATCCAGAACCGCTGGTGATGGTGAGGTCGATTGAGAATGTGAACAAGCTGGTATTGAATGTGTTGGTTCAGCACACCATAAACTTCCAAGTATTCGTAGAGAAGAGTATTAGAAGAACCGCGCTGATCATCGCGGTCAAGAAGATTCTCGAGGATCTTGAGATCGACTACACCCTCCTTCCTCAAGATGTTCGTCTCACTGGTCAAAATTGATCAGTTCTTCTTCTTCTTCTTTTTTTTTGCTTCTAGTACGTACAAGTAGTTTACCTCATTTGATTCGGTTTAATATTTTGAACTTGATTTGATTTCGGTTTGATTAAATTTAATTTACTTCGGTTTAATTTTCGGAAAAGACTTGCTGTACTACGTATCTCTCTGTTTCTTCTTCTTGAAACCAACACATTTAAAAAAATTAAAACTCCTATATTCCTAATGCCATATTTTTAGTTGATTAGATTCTCACTCAATATTTAGACCATAATTGGTGTAAATTAGATTTTGAGATTTAACTATTTAAGTGTGAAGAAAATTACTAAGCAAATTATAGTTTTGTTAACCAAACTAAACCGGAATAACTCGAGGGAAGATATAGTTTTGTTAACCAAACTAGAGCAGAATTATAACTTGAGTGAGAGAACAAGAAGAAAACGAAAGAAGAAGCCCCAAGCAAGCAAATATAGGAAAAGACAACCGAACCAAAGCAAGACAACGCCCGGTTATGCGGGGGAGAAAGAAAAGAAACCGGCTTTTGCTTTTTCTTTTTGTTGTGACATGAGGAAGGTTTGGTATGAATCTGAAATTGGACCGGATTCTTCATCAAATATGCCGGTACGCCACACCATGACCATGAATAAACCTAGCGTTCTCTTCACTATAAACTCCAGTCTCTTTCTCCAACCTGTCCAATTTTTGTTCGTAAACATATTAATTTAATTCTTGCGTGTCAAGAAAAATGAAAAAATAAACAAAGAGAGATAGAAAAAGAAATGGAAAATTACGCGAGAGAAATGGTTTTGTTGAGAGTAGCAGCAGAGATGAAAGAAGGAGCATTCAAATACATCAACTCTCCTTGAACTCTCTCTTCGATTCTTCGGTCCATTTCACTGACATCAACGTCAAACTCTTGGTCCGATGCCATCACCCATCCCCACGTGTCCGCAAATGATGGCACATGTGCTGTGTAAGCCTTCACGTCTGTTTCCATTTCAATCATCAAAATAGATCCAATGATACAAGAACACATGCATGACAAAGTAATAAGCTTTGGCTTACATTTGAAGACTTGCTTCATGGTGTTGTAGATTGATGTGAAGACCTCCTTGTGAGTGAATATTCCTGCTGGTCCAGCCTATTTTCAAACAATAAAGGAGTCTTTTAATATCTTTCTCGTAAGTTGTAAATATTTTATGAAAATTAAGAAACACACAAAAGAAATAAAGAAAAATTGAAAGACCTGGGTCACGAAAATGCCATTAGGGGTAAGCTTTGGTTTGAGGATGTTTTGGTAGAAGGATTTGGTGTAGAGCTGATAACAAGGTCCACCTTCCACTGGATCAGCTAAATCTCCCACTATGATATCAAACCTCTCTTCTCTTTTCTCCAATTCAGCCCTTTTTTCACGTTTGAATTATATTTTTAGAGACTTTTAAAGTCATGATCATACTTAAAGTGATTTTTATTTTGTTTTTTTTATAGTTTCCTTACTTTGCGTCTTTGATCACAAGTTCAAGCTTCTTGTTACAAAAAGCTTCGCTGTTAACGGTCAGAAATCTTCTGCAAAAATCAACAACTTCCTAGAAAAGAAAAAAGAAGAAAAATAAACATTTGTTTGTGTTAAGATCATGATGAACGTATAATTCTGTTAATAAAACTGGAGATAATTAATTAAGAGTTTTAACCTGATCAATGTCACACATGACAACTTTCTCGATCGTATTGTGTTTTAGTATTTCTCTTGCAGCAGAGCCTTCACCTCCTCCCATTATAAACACAGTCTTAGGGCTATTCAAAGAACAATGGTTAAGTAAATAACTAACTCGAAATTCTCTATAAACAGTAGTAGCAAATTTAGGTGCATTGTTCAAAGTATTAGGTGCATACTTGGGATGGAAAAGGAGGGCAGGATGAATCAAACATTCATGGTAGATAAACTCATCTCTCTCTGCACTTTGCATTTTGCCGTCAATCACAAGCACCTGTTTTAACTTCATACTTATTAGTCTCTTCCTCCTTATATATATCACCACTCTAATTTTATTTTTTGTAGTTAATCAAAACTATACGAAGAACTTGAAAAAAAAAAGAAGATATTATTTCGTAAGAATATATGGCAAATATGTACCTTTCCGAAACGTTTGGTGTCCAATAAAGCAATATCTTGGAACTCACTAGTTCCTTGATGGAGAACACTATCCAGAAATATAACATTAGAAAATGATATAAAAAGAGAGGAGCAAAAAACTAAAATGAAGGGAACTAAAGCGAAGTAGAGAAGAGAATAGAACCTGTTGAGGGCAAAAGACCACTTGAGATCATCATCGATGGTTTCTTCATACCAATGGCAATCCTGCTGGTTGGAGTGAAGGGTTTGAATGGGTGACGTGTCTTTGTGAATCTCCGGGAACCCATTACCGAACATGATCTCTACGGCTTCACCCATATCCAAGTTGAGAGAGAGAGAGAGAGAGAGAAAGAGTGCGTGAGACTAGACTAGAGGGATAGAGAGAAAAAGGAGTGCTTAATGCTTGGTGATGGGATAATATTCTGTGGAGACAACCTTTGCGTTTTTATAGAATCTTGTTGCCTTGTTGTTGTGTAATATCGTGCGTTATCCACAAAAACGAAAGGAAAAATGAAAATAAAATAAAATGTTAGCATGAGTAATGATTACGAGAGATATATAAATCTTCCGCCAGATTTCTGTCGCATGCTTATATTATATCTTTGCATGTTAACGTTTCCAAACACTTCCTCATCGTGACATCATAACTATAAGAGATTTATATTTAGTAGTTTAGTATTTACAGCACTTCATTTTTTCTCATAATTTATATTACTTCATGTAATGTATTGTATTTTGTTTGTTTTCCTCATTAATTACTCGATAATTTTGTATTGGTCCGTGTAAGATGGTATACTTTTGCGGCCTATACACTATGAAGAAGTATACGAACATCTCTAAATGTTAAGACATATATATATATATATAATTGGTTCACCTAGTAGAATCTAAACAATATATTGATCGGTTTAAGAATCATAAATCATACGAGAGAGAGAGATGCTTCCGGCCGGACCACGGTTGGACCGGTCCAATAAGATGGAATTGAGTTAGTTAAAGACATTTTTATTACTACTTTTTTACTGTCTTGTTAGTTAAACATCACTTTTATTTTCCCCTCAAACTCTAACATCACACTTTTAAGTTCAATCATGTTATAAAAGCTATGGCTTTTTCTCCTATATATATAAAAAAAAAAGCTATGGCTTTTTCTCTCATACCCAAAATCTCAGTCCTTGTAACCCTTTTATTTATTTTTTGGTTAACCAAGATTTTCTTCTGACCTTTCAACCAAAAAGTTTCATAAGCTCAAAGCAATTTTTGCTGCTGTTCAATGTTCATATATTTTGCACATTGTGCTAGCTAGTAGCTCCTTTACTATTAAAAAACACAAGGAGAGAAAAAAGAATCACCTATGTAACCAAAAGATAAAACCAGTAACAAATGTAATTAGGCTCTCTTTATCTTTGATTACGAAGACCTATAATGCGATCGAGGAAGGGAGTGCAGCAAACACGATAGATAGAGAGATATCAAGTGGGACTCTCTGGGAGATTGATCAGCAAAAATGAATGAAATACACATCACTGAAACGCATCATGAATCAACACGCGCAGTATTATGGTGGATCCACTACTTTACATATATATGCAGTACATTGTACACTTGTCACCTCCCTCCCCTCTCCAAGATCATTCTTTTGTTAAACAAAAATTCTTATTCTATATGTATTTTACTTTGTTTTTTTTTTGAATCAAAACTCAAACTCTTCATCTACGAAATTTTTTTAAGAACTTATTTTCACGACCAATACAAAACTTGTGTTTAGTGTAATAATTTCGATGATAAAAATTGAAAACAATTGCGTATATAAGATTAGTATTACAATTACATAAAGAGCTAAACATAGCAATTGGAAGAAAAGAGAAGAATTAGCTAGAGTGGGATCCACGATCTATTGGGTATGGGGGATATATGGCACTCTTAATTAAGGCGTGGAGTTAATCCACTCAAAAGAGAATGATATCTTTGTTGGAGACTCCACTCTTTTTCTTTATATACATACATACAATTCTCTCTCTTTTGCCCTCTCTTTAACCTCTAAAGAAAGAAAGATATATATATCTTTTGTCGACTTCTTCAAGTCGTATTTTAGTTGAACTAAAAACGTGCCTTCTCATCATCATAACCATCACCATCCCCCATCATAACCATCATCATCAGTATTATGAACACGATCCTCATCTCTTTGCGCACAAAAAGATCTTGTAATGAAGCCAACATGCATGTACTTGTACTATGTGCCTAGCTGTCATATCTCTCGTTCTCTGTGTGTGTATACGTTTTTATATACTTGTAAAGACTAAAGAGAAAAAACATGACGCAGTGATATGGTCGAAAACGAACGATAAACATTACAGCACCAAACCTTTTTGATTTGAGGAGTAGTGATTGACCAAAACAAAAACTATAAGAGTAGCGATATTATATATATAGTGGGTTTGTGATATTTCGTCTGTGTCTTGGCAGACAAAAAACACACGCCACAAAAATTTAAGCTTTTGAAATATATGCATGCTAGCCATATTATATGGTTTGTAGGTTGTGATGGAACGCATCATGCGTACACCTCAACGTTTTAGATTTTTATTTTTGACATTATGTATCTCTTATCTATATGCATCTTCTGTTTGGATCGTGTATAGTAGTAGTAGGAGAGAACTAGTTGCATGCACTAGCGTTTAGGGTTAGACTGATAGATTCGATGGTCTTAACAGTACCATACTCAGGCCGGTCTTTGGAAGATACATATTTATCTGAGAAAATTAGATGCATAAGCAATCACAAAGTATAAATGGTGGCGCATGGTGGGAAAAGAAAATCAAGTGGCCCAGATGGAGGAGCTAATAGGTGAACCATAAAGGACAACCACTTTTGTTCGTGTCTTCAAAAGTGGCCTGCCTAATCAATAGCTTGCCGTCGGGTTGTCTTCCACAGGAGGTTATATCTAGATTATGCACATACCTTTATACTATGTGTTACCAAATAGTTTTCAATTTCTAAAACCACATACATATAATTGCTGATGATATTTTTTAGCTTTGGTTAAAAGAGCATGCAAGAAGGATTGTGTGGAAGCTGACTTTTTTAGAATGATGTCAAATTATAATTTTTAATGAAAGCGTGACTAACTTTCCTCCAACATCTACGTGGTTAAAGTGGTTCCACTTATGACTTACCCGACCACACTCAACCTATGCATATCAATTTAGATATATGTGTGCACAAAGTTTGTGGGCACAAGAGCAAATGATCTAGAAAACTTGTTATTTATTATCATAATATATAATTACACCCTAAAATCTTCTTGGCATTTTTTTTTTAAATTTGCTAGTAAAAAACTAAAGTTCAAGTAACTCGTTTAATCAAATAAACCTAAGAAAATGAGCAAAAATGTATGTTTTCAAAGTGTCGTATTTCCGAAATCAGTCTTACCAAAACACGATATATATTTTTTGAAAACGATTGATGGATGCAAGATATATATCAAGGAGAAGAAAACCATATAAACAAAGGTCGTCTCAAGTTGTAATTACGATGAAACTTAGAAGAGGTTTTTTTTTTTTTTTTTGGGGTCAAAACTTAGAAGAGGTTAAAAATGAAAAAGAAAAGAAAAGAGAGAGACAGAGGAAGCCAATGGACTTGAAGAGACCACATAACCAATTCAACTGATTGATTGTTCAGCTAATCCAACTAATTTAAACTTAACAATAGTCCTGTAACATGCCAACTTAATAGACAACTGAAACTACATATGTACTAGTAATAAGTTTTGCTATAATTTTGGAAGAGTAAATTAGTGTTTCTCTTCCAAAGCAAGTGCACCCAATACATTATACATGTACATCTATATATAATAGCAAACCCACTTTTTATGATTGCTGATGTCATCGTTTTAATCTAACGGATGAGATTGTTTTGATTATCTCATCTAACGATTTATATTTGTTAATGATGTCAAAAGTTGCAAGGTTTTATATCCAACAATTGTGTTTATTCGTCGTACCCCCAGGTTTTATATATAACAATTGTGTTTATTCGTCGTAGCTCTAGCTTTAAATGTTCACACCTGTTATTTTTCACATCTTTTTATTTTTACACCTCTTTGTTTATATATATATATATAGATTTATGTGGATCTTGAAAAGAGTTTTTGTTTTTCTGAGTATTGTTGCACACCTCTGAGTTTAAAAAACTCTAAGTATTATTTTTCTATTTACTAATCGGCGTTGACCGACTCATGTTCAAGCATATTTCACTTTTTATGATTGCTGATGTCATCGTTTTAATCTAACGGATGAGATTGTTTTTGTTATATCATCTAACGATTTATATTTGTTAATGATGTCAAAAGTTGCAAGGTTTTATATCCAACAATTGTGTTTATTCGTCGTACCCTCAGGTTTTATATCTAACAATTGTGTTTATTCGTCGTACCCCTAGCTTTAAATGTTCACACCTGATATTTTTCACATCTTTTTGTTTTCACACCTCTTTGTTTATATATATAGATTTCTATGGAACTTGAAAAGAGTTTTTGTTTTTCTGAGTATTGTTACAAACCTCTGAGTTTAAAAAAATCTAAGTATTATTTTTCTATTTACTAATCGGCGTTGACTGACTCATGTTCAAGCATATTTTTTCTCATTGATGTTTCTTTAGGCATTGTTTATGTTCCTATAATGTTATGTTAAATTTAGTTGAATCTGTAGAGTTGTCTCATTAGTTTTATGGGACTAATGATTCGTCTTAACCATTGATTATAATTTTCTGGAAAATTATTTTAAGTTTTTATTTCCCCGTGCGGCAACGCACGGGTTAACAGCTCTAGTATATGTAATAGTAGGCTAAGAAAATGTTACTAGTTGATTAAATAGCAAAACACTCGTTACGTTCTAACACTAAAAGAATGCTCGAATATCTAGGATTAGAACACAAAACTCGAAAAGAATGAAAAGAGAACAATGAAGTTTAAAACATAAATGATGAACGAGAGATTTAATCACAAGTTGGTATCAATCGATAATATTGAATGATTGATCATTACGTCCTGACCATAACAATATATCATGATTTAGTTTGGTTAAATAAGAACATTCTCCCCGGTTTGAGTTAATTGGTTCGGTTTATCAAACGATTTTCCCCGGTTTGGTTATTGTTTGATTTTTTTTTTTTTTTTTCCGGAAGGAAGAGAAACGTGTAAACTTCCTCTGGTTGGAAAATGGCGAAATATCTTCTCCACATCACACTACTTCTTCTCCAACTCTCCCGTTAAACAAAGCTCACGGACGGGAACCATGGCGGTCACCTCTTTCGCCGTACTTCCTCCGTTTGGTCTCAGCTCCACAACCGATAGATCTTCTTCTTCTTCTTACTCATCTTCGAAACTTCTCCGCATATCCCAATACCGGTCTAATCCTCGTTATCCAAATGTGCTTGTCTCGTGCTCAATGAATCAATCCTCTGATGATGCTTCCGACGCTGCCCTTTTCCTCGAATCCAATTCAATCGCTGATTACATGAGGTTCAAGCGCCGTCCCGACCCTGGGAATGGCTCAAGCGAGTTACAGACTGCTATCGTCAGTTATAAGAAACGTTTCCCTTGGATTCTTCTCAACCCTTTTCTTCAGGTTACTTCACCATCCCTGTTATGTTCTGGGTTTCCGCATTAATTGAGAAAAGTTAACATTTTTGTTATTCATTTCATCATCTCTGTATTTTGCAGGTAGATTTGGTCTCAACGATTCATATTGCAGATAAAGAGTGAGTCTTTCTTCTATTTGGTTACCACATATTGAAAATGGTGTCTTTGTTTTGTTTTCCATACTAGTTAGAGCGTTTGAGAAGGTTTTATAGTTAGTTTAGTGTAATGATGTAATACTGGTTTGGGTTTGGGTGTGTAGATACTTCACAACTCTCCAAAAGGAGCTTGAACCATATGATTCTATCTTGTATGAGATGGTGGCTAGTAAAGAGACCTTGGAAAACAGAAGGAACCCTATTGCAGCTAAGAGGCTCAAGAATTCTCGGTCAAGAGGCTTCAGTATTCTCGGGTTCATTCAGCGGCAGATGGCAAGAGTACTAACACTTGATTTTCAGCTAGATTGTCTAGATTACGAAACTGAGAAATGGTATCATGCTGACCTCGATTTCGAGACATTCCAGTTGCTTCAGGTTTGCTTCCAAAAACTATCTCAAGAAACTAGAGTAGTATTAGAATTACCACGGTCAGTTTTGAGTATAGTATCCTTTGGTTTCCACATTGTTGTCTTGTCTGTATCATGGTTATATTGTTTGGAACAGTTGGAATCGTAATTAGTTGATAGCGTACAGAATGCAGATTATCAGTCGAGTGGTTGCTGATTAATCTTCGTTGGTGCTACTTGTATTTGGTGCAGAAAGAAAAAGGAGAAAGCTTCTTTTCATTTGCCAGGGACATGACTATTAGATCAACCAAAGCAATGATACAGCCAGCTCTGGAAACTGAAGGTCGTGATACTTGGAGATCAAAGCTTCTATGGGTTTCGCGGGTTTTCCCTATGCCTCTTGTGGGTCTGTTTCTAATTGGGGCATTTTGTGCTGACTTTGGAGATCAGACGTCAGAGTATCCAGAATTGGAAGCACTTTCACGGCTTGACTTTGGAGCTGCTATGAAGGTTTTCCTTGCTAAGAGATTGACATCCGAGTAAGCACAGTCTTGTTAATATTTCTTAGCTTCTTTTCTTTTTCTCTCTACGCTCACACACTCACATTCCCGGGTAGAATTCGGGAATGCGCTTTACTTGACACAACTCTTTCCCTTTGGATTATGTATGTGCTTCAATGATAGGGTAAATAACAGTAGTTTTATTCTCATTTAAAGGGCATGCATAGATGGGTAGGCTACTGAGAAGTTAACAATTGCATCTTTTGTTTTGTGAAGGCTAACGCAAGGGACATCAGACATAGAGGAGAAATCTGTCATAATTGGTGAGAGAAACAGAGCAGCTACTGAAGCATTAAGAAGAGCAATGGAGCAAGGGCACAAAAGAATTGCAATTCTTTACGGCGGAGGGCACATGCCTGACCTGGGAAGACGGCTTAGAGAAGAGTTTGATCTTGTCCCTTCAGAGGTGAGATGGGTAACAGCTTGGTCAATCAGAAACCCAATGGACGTAGAGACAACTTCTTATCCGATCCTCAGGAGAATGGCAGAGGCTTTGCGTTGGCCACTGAACCGGTACCAAACCTTGGCACTGCTAATATTTTCATCAGTCCTTGCATTGGATCTCTGCTTTTGGGAGCTCTTCTTTGGTTCAACCATAGACTGGGCTTCCCAGATAGGTGCAGAGTTGTACCAGCTCGTAGATAATACAAAAATTGTGTGAAGCACAAGAATCATGTACAAACCGTGACAACAAAAATAGCTTTTTTACAGTCACTCACCAATATTGTAAAGCAAACATAGCTGTCAAAATTTTTTTATTGAAAATATTAACATTCCCATTGATCTTTAAATTTCTCACCAAAAAAAAACAAAAATTGAAAATTAATTAAAAATGGAAATTATGATTCAGACCAAAAAAAAAGAAAAGGAAATTAGAATATTTATCAAAATGGAAAAATGAAAAATTAATATATCGACTTGTCGTCCAAGTTCAACTAGTAATGGTATCTAGACGAAGCAGCAGCGCCCACAGTTAGAAAAAATTAGAAAAAGTTGGATTCTCGAAACCTTTTTGAAGAAAATAAATAAATAGAATTTCTCTTAAACTTCATTCCTCGATCTCCACTGTCTGCAATCGTAATATCTTCTTCTCTAATGGACTCCGTCTTCTCAAACATCGCTCGTGCTCCCGAAGATGCTATTCTCGGTGTACGTACTTCTCTTCACTCTTGATCGATCTTACATTTTTTTTTTTTTTTTTTTTTTCGTATTGGGTTGATTTTTCATTCCGTCTCTGCTTCGATCCATTCCGGTTACCAAAATCGTGGCGTGGGCCGTTTTACGACGGTTAAGTCTGATTTCATAAGGTTACTTAATTGATTTTAGTGTGATCGGAGAAGTTTTTATTTGATCCGTATGTGTTGTTCTATTGAACTCAGTTTTGATATGATTCGTATTTAATGATCTGCTACCTCACTAAATATATGATTATTAGTCTCCGTTGATCAATGATTTTTTGAGTGTTAGTTTTAGTTTTCAAGTAACGTTTCGGATTTATGATTATTTTGAAAACAGGTGACCATTGCTTACAACAATGATCCTAGTCCTGTTAAGATCAATTTGGGTGTCGGTGCCTATCGAACTGAGGTAATTTCTTTTCGTTTTATGCTTTATTGTTTCGAATTATGGTTTCACTTTCACTTGATTCGGTTAACCATTGTTGCAAGCTTTGATTTTGATTAGTTTTGTTTGTTCTAATTACTTGGTTTTGTAAAGGAAGGGAAGCCACTCGTTCTTGATGTGGTGCGAAAAGCAGAGCAACAGCTTGTGAACGACCCGTGAGTTTTAATATTAATTACTAAAGGTCTGTCTTTTCTTGTTCTTGCATTTGCTATTGCCTTAATCTTTTCTCTACTTCGTTAAAGGTCCCGTGTGAAGGAGTATATTCCTATTACTGGAATTGCTGATTTTAACAAGTTAAGCGCCAAGCTCATCTTAGGTGCTGATAGGTAATATTACTTTACTGCTGTTTTTTTCATCTTCCTTTTTGTTTTTGTTTGTAGCCTTTGTGACGTAATATGCCCTTTGGTTCGTAGTGGTTCTAATATTTTCTTAACATTCTTGTTTTGTTGACCAGTCCTGCTATTACAGAGAATAGAGTTGCTACAATCCAGTGCTTGTCTGGTACTGGTTCGTTGAGAGTTGGGGCTGAGTTTCTCAAGCAACACTACCACCAAGTAAACTTCTTTCTATTTAGTTTTTGATTAGTTTTGACGGAAGCTAAATTAGGTAATCACTAGAACTGTTGCTAACTGTGATTCTTGTTCTTCCAGAGTGTCATTTACATTCCAAAACCAACTTGGGGGAACCATCCCAAAGTTTTCAACTTGGCAGGCTTGTCTGTGGAGTATTTCCGCTACTATGATCCTGCAACCCGTGGACTTGACTTCAAAGGTTGGTTTTTTTATAGTTCCATGAATTGAATTTGTGTCTTTCACCTTCCCTGTTTTTATACTTGTCTTAACTTAGTTTGCTTTTTTCATCACTATTGCTTGATTCATCCGTCCACTTTACTTTTCCTATGTTTTCCTTGATATAACCTCAAATGAAGTTACTTTAAGATTGCATTCTGTCAACATATTTCATATAAAGGCATTTGATAAAAACTTTAACCTTCAATGTAAATAAAACAGGCTTGCTTGAGGATCTTGGTTCTGCACCATCTGGAGCTATTGTCTTACTTCATGCATGTGCACACAATCCCACTGGAGTTGACCCAACCCCTGAACAGTGGGAACAGATTCGACAACTAATGAGATCTAAAAGCTTATTACCCTTCTTTGACAGTGCATATCAGGTAACCCACAACGGAAGTCTTGCTTTATTGCCTTATTAAATGGTTGCTTACAAACAAATGAAAATCCATTATAGTGTATGCTTGAATCTTATCTAACATAGAAAAAGAGCAGCATGAATCCATTTTCCAAACACTTTTGTAGGGTTTTGCTAGTGGTAGCCTTGATACTGATGCACAGTCAGTCCGTACTTTTGTTGCTGATGGCGGTGAATGCTTGATAGCTCAAAGTTATGCCAAAAATATGGGACTTTATGGGGAGCGTGTTGGTGCCCTTAGCATTGTGAGGAACCAAACTTCCTAATTTCAGCTTTTGCTTCTATTCATCTGATATTTTTATTAGTCAAAAAGTGAATCTAATGATATAGTATAATAATTTAGTAGTCTAGAAGTGCATTTAACCTTTGTGATATAATGTGAAGGTCTGCAAGTCAGCAGATGTGGCCAGTAAGGTTGTGAGCCAGGTGAAACTTGTTGTGCGGCCCATGTATTCGAGCCCACCTATTCATGGAGCATCAATTGTTGCCACCATTCTGAAAAGCAGGTAAATGTTTATCCTGGGAGAGAGGAGAATTAATAAATCCAAGCTTTAGTTTACAGTTACTGCTGAATATTTTTTGTCGAGGAAGGAACCTTTACACCTGAGTTACTAGATTCTTACATACCGATATATATATACTAGAGCGGAAGCTTACATAATAAATCTTGAGATATTAGGAAAGTGGAAAGAGAGATCTCAACCGTTTCTTATAGGCACTAAATTTGATAGTTTATGTGTTGAAATGGTTATGCCAAGTTTCGTACTCTGTGAAATCACAGCACAAATCACACTAGCATTTTCCTTTGCTTTGTCAAGCTTAAAATGAATCTCTTTATGGAATTAGAGTCTGCTCCAAGTTTCTCATTTTTCTTTGTACACATCTTGGCAGTGATATGTACAACAACTGGACCATCGAGCTGAAAGAAATGGCTGATCGCATAAAGAGCATGCGCCAGCAGTTATTTGATGCTATACAAGCTAGAGGTTTTATAATGCTTGTTTTCTCTGGTTTTCCATTTCTTTTATCTTCTTTCCGGGTTTGCAGAATCATTACTTTGCTTTTTTTGTTCTTGACACGTTGTCTTGCTTGCAGGCACACCTGGTGACTGGAGTCATATTATCAAACAGATAGGGATGTTTACATTTACCGGATTGAACAAGGAGCAAGTTGAATTCATGACCAAAGAGTTTCACATTTACATGACCTCTGACGGGTGAGTCAATTTATATCCCATCGTTTCTTCTCAATATCTTAAAGGCATACGAGAGAGTTTGGTTTCTGCAATGCAAAAAAGTTTGGGAGCTTCAAATTGAAAAAGGGTGGATTTTGTTGTATTGCAGGAGAATAAGCATGGCAGGTCTAAGTTCCAAGACAGTGCCTCACCTTGCTGATGCTATGCATGCTGCAGTTACCCGCCTCGGCTAAACTAGCGACCTTATATATATAGTTTTGTTGTTTCTACAAATAAAATGGGGGAAAAACAAACTACAGCGTTTTTGTTGGCTTTATACTATGGATGAGTTTTTTTTGTTCTTTCTTCTGATGGGGTAATCATATGTTTCCTCATGTCTTTTGACTAAGTTTGGTTAAACCAAACCAAACATTGAAATCTACAATTTTTAAGGAAAATATTTGTTACTTTAATTCCACTGCAACCCCATTTACTTTTATGTGAAGTAAATTATATGAATTCATGATTCTCCTCATAGGAGAATTCATATAAACAACTATATACAGTAATCCCTATATTATATGCTCAAAACATTGTTTAATTTCCAAATAACTTTGTTATTTTGTTTGATCACTTATTAGCAAACAAGTTTCGGTATGGTTCTCGGCTTCTCGGTGGAGATAGAGATGTTTTGGGGAGTTTGGCACACCTAAGAAAAATTGTGATGTGATTGTATTAAAAATAAATACTTGTCGGCATACTATAACTAGTCCCTTTCATCAATGTGTCCATTTATAGGTAGACTCATTTGTTTAAGCCGCTTACTCTTGAAAAAATGTCAATGCAACTTTTTATAGATGATGAAGTGATTGAGAAAAAATGATCATAAACGCCACTTTTTCGAAAATGATTAATTACACGACGTGATTAAACGATTAAACCATATTACAGGATATTGAAATCAAATCCTTTATAATTAATAAGTAGGATATACAGAAATGTTAAGACTTGGTAAAGAGTCGGCATGTTACATGCCCCCATGCTACTATTTGTGCACTAACGAATTAGTCAATTAGAGATATTAAAATTCGATTGTATCACTTTTTAAGTTATTTAAGTTCTTGACAATAATTCTCTTACAACCAACCAGCCTGATTTGATCCATAGTCTTACTAAATTCGACATCAGTCTTAAATAATAGTGTGATTTGTAACGACCCACAAGCATAAATCATCCCTCCCCCCCCCCCCCCCCCCAAGTTTAGCACATAGGATTCTATAATAACTCGGGTCCGGTTTACACTAATTCATTTTTCTAACCTGTTGAGACATATGTATGTTTTGTATCAAGTTGTAGATGTATTTTATTTAGAAAATGTTCTTTACAATCTCACGAAAACCAAATGCTGGATTAGTTCAAATACAACGAAAAATTTCTTACTACTTAATCCACGAAATTCCAAGTGAATCAAAACGACAAAATCCAGAACAGCGTGAAGGTAAATTCTAAACAATTGAAAGATAAAATAAATTAAGGAAAAGTCTTGAGGGTATCTTTAACCGCCCTTCCACAATGTATTTATCTCTTTGATTTTTTTATATATTTCAAAACATACATGCACGCACGTTGTCTCTCCAGCCCTAGAAAACTAGATGAACATTTCTCTGTTTCATTCATTTGCACCAACTCAAAAACAAAGACATAAAACAACTGGAAAACGAAAAGTACAGAACCATTAAGTATTCTTTTTTTTTGATTCTTTGTTTTTTCTCATTCGGTGGTGAAAGAACTGAGACAAGAGGGAGAGCCAAAGGACTAGTTCTCTTGATCTGTACGTCTCTTTTGCTTTCTTCTTTTCCATTTTTGTTTTTTTTTTTTTTTCATATAAAACGATAGACAAGGGAAAAGAAAAAATTGTGTGGGGTGAGATAATAAATTGAGAGGAGTAAATTTGGGAATGGTGCGGACATTAGGACGTAAACTAAGCTGGCCAAGATCTTTCAGTTTTAGAAAGATGTTCGATGGTCGCAACTCTGGACACTCATCCTTCTCTTCTCGTGGAGATGGCATGCATACACCCGAGCGCGAACTTGCCATACATGGAATGGACTCTGAACCATCCACCCGTAGAGGCAAGCAAAATAAGAGATCAGGTATCTACAACATACTAGTACGAGTATAATGCATAAACCAGTATTTTCTGAGTTGGAATTTCATAATCTTTATGATAGAATACCCATATATATATATGTATTGGTTTAGTTCTTTATTTGGAATCCTTACATAATCTTTGCGTTGGTACCTGTAATATTCAGACATGGAAGTGATGAAGGAAAGATTCGCAAAACTGCTGCTTGGAGAGGACATGTCAGGCGGTGGTGAAGGGGTGACCTCTGCGTTAGCTTTGTCAAATGCCATCACCAGACTCGCAGGTGAATATTTGAAGCATTACTAAAAACTTCACTGTATATATAATAAACTATGTATTTGAATGGTCAAAATAATTCACAAACTATATATGTGACAGATTCAATGTTTGGGGAACAGATGAAACTACAGCCTATGTATCCTGAGACAAAGGAGATTTGGAGGAAAGAAATGGATTGGTTATTGTCTGTGATTGATCACATTGTCCAGTTTGTTCCTTCCAAACAAATGGCCAAAAATGGCCAATTCACTGAGGTGACTATATGCATACATTTGTTAGTCAATACTTATGTAGATTTAATCAACAATTCCTACTGGCTTTTTTTTTTGGTGCCTATTAACTCTAGTTTTCTCCTTTCTAGATCATGGTGACAAAACAAAGAGATGACTTGCTGACAAACATTCCAGCCTTACGCAAGCTTGACTCGGTTCTTCTCGTGAGTTTGCATCCGCACAGAATCATCACAATTCATTTAAGTGTGTGCATGTATTGTATAGTGATCACCATGATATATATTCACACTCATAGATATTAATAGACTGACCAGGAATATTTCCTTTTTCTTTATACAATAACAAACTAAAGATAACGATCTAGATTAGTTGAAACCATTTATTATAATTTTTTGTATCACTACATGATCATATTAGTTCTTCTTTCGCAGTAGCATCCTACTAATTCAGTTACTCATTTGGCAGGAGACTTTGGACAACTTCAAGGATCAGAAAGACTTTTGGTATGTGCCAAGAGATATTGAGGATGCAGATCACAATGGAGATTGGAGGAGGCCTGATGAGAACTGGTGGTTACCAGTTGTTAAGGTTCCAACAGATGGTTTGTCTGAGGAATCACGTAGATGGTTACAAAATCAGAAAGATTCTGTGGCACAAGTCCTTAAAGCTGCCACGGCAATCAATGCTCATGTACTATCTGAAATGCACATTCCTGATAACTACATTGACTCTCTTCCTAAGGTAATTTAATTATTTAGTCTTCATGAGTGTTCGGTTCATATTCTTTTTTTTTTATATAAACATTACTTTAAGCTAAGGAGTTGATGAGACGTTTGGTCTTGTAGAATGGGAAGACAAGCCTTGGTGATTTCCTTTACAAGAGCATAACAGAGGAATCCTTTGATCCTGACTACTTCATTTCTTTCTTGGATTTGTCAACGGAATACAAAGTGTTGGACTTAAAGAACAGGATTGAAGCTTCCATGGTGATATGGAAACGGAAGATGTGCCAGAAGGAGAAAGACGGGAAATCGCAGTGGGGGTCAACTGTTAGCTTAGAGAAGAGAGAGCTTTTCGAGGTCCGAGCTGAGACCATATTGGTTATGCTCAAACAACAGTTCCCTGGGATCCCACAATCTTCACTCGAAATCTCCAAGATTAAAAACAACAAGGTAATAATACAACAAAGAGCAAAACAACACAATGCAACAAAATATAATGAAACTAAGTAAGAGTTTGTTGTAATGGGATTTACAGGACGTGGGACAGGCGATATTGGAGAGCTATTCAAGGGTATTAGAAAGCCTGGCTTCAAAGATAATGTCAAGAGTAGAGGACGTTCTTGAAGCTGACAGGCTAGTTCAAAGACAGCTGATGGGAGAGGCAGAGACAAGATCAGAAAGCGAGGCAGAGCTAGAATTTGAAGAGAACGAAAAAGTGGTTGGGTCGGAAACACCAAACTCGAGGAAACTATCAGACTTCATAGGGTGGAGATTGTCATCTGACACTAAGAAGCATAGTTCGATGAGTGATATAGAATTCTTCCACAGAGTTGAGGAGGCAAAGGAGAAGCCAATAATGATGATGAAGTCCCCAAGAGCTCTACCTAAGAAATATTCATATCTAGCAAAGTTAGAGAACATGAGAAGCCCGAGTGACAGACACTGATCATAGTGAGAAGAGGTAATAGAACAAGGCATATAATAGAAAAACAAAAACAAGAGAGAGTGAGAGAGAGAGAGAGAGAGAGGATGTGTACATATAATATAACAATGCAGGCATTGGTATTTAGGATTTGGGAACATGAGTGTTGGTGTTTGACGACATTTGTGGTAGAGTCAGCTTCTTGTTGATGATCATGTTTTCTTGCTTGTTGTTTTTGACTAATTGCTTCCTGTTGTTTTTTTTCTCTAAAAAGGAAGTGTGATTCAGTGTGAAATCTGTTTTGGTTATTTTGGTTATTTGGTATTTGTAATGTAACCTCAATAAACATTGTTTTAACTGATGATGATGCATTTTAAAAGCGATTTTGTAACCAATACACATCGAACCGTGCCAATGGCATATTCCGTAATTAAATTAAAAATCCCATCAAAAGCACATTGACCACCGCAGCAGCAGGAAGAGCTTAGAGAATGAAAGAAGACATGGAGAAGATGGTGGCGGTAGGGCTCGTATGGGGAGCCACCAATGCTCTGATCCGCCGCGCCGCTCTCGCCTGGGATAATAGAAAGTCTTCGACAAGACAGTCTTCTCCTCCTCCTCCTCCTCTTCAGATCCGCCGCAAAATCGTGATGGCTATCCGTGACTGGATCAATCTCCTCCTCTTCTGGCAATACTCTGTTCCTTTCCTTATAAATCTCTCGGCATCCGCAACGTTCTTCGCTCTCCTCAGCCACGCTCCGATCTCTATAGCTGTTCCGGTCACCAACGCCACAACATTTGCCGCAACCGCCGCTTTTGGGATCCTTTTAGGGGAAGAAACTCAAATCGTACCTGCTTTGTTAGGTACGAGCTTCATTGTTTTCGGAATCTGGCTATGTGTTGTGTGAATTTTGGGATTTTTTTGTATGACTCTGTTTCCGCGAGATATAAATCCTTCAAACTTGTTACTAGTTGTGAGATTGAAGATGAACTCAGACGTTTGTTGCAGATATACTAGTTTTTTTTTTGTTGTCTTAAGACTCTCATACTCTGCATTGTAGGCAAAAGTAATAATAAAAGAATTTTCTTCAATACAAAATTAGGGAGAACCAAGGTAAAAATAGAATCGAAAAGGTTTACATCAACGGAAAAACAAAAAAAAGTGTAAGAAAAATGGTTAAGAAAACACAAGGAAATTGGATCCATTAACGATGGCATTTACAATATATAGAAGAAAAACAAAAAAAAAAAGAACTGATAATTAAGAGAATTTTTTGTTTTGTTTCATATTAAGATGTTACGGCATAAGACAAATGGGTAAAAATCATCATCATGATCAGACGATCTGAATCCATTCACCAGTGCTGGGAACACCCTTGTGGACGGCAAAGATAAGATAGTAACCGGGTGGGGCGATGTTTCCATTTGGGGGTGCGACAGCCTGGATATCGTAACCAGCACCAGCAGGTTTGACATTAGCCACACCCAAGATGAGCATCCTCATGTTCATCGAGATACTGTGGGTTGTGAAGGCAGGGGCTAACATGGTAACCTTGAGATTGTCCTTGGTCGCACCTTTTTGGTTAAGGTCGACCTTCACGTTGAAAAATTGTCCGAATCTGATTTGTTTTGGGGTGCCGGTGGCGACAATCTTTGGCCTCATGTTGGCTAGAGCCGGGTCGAGGTAAGGTGGGGAGAATTTCTCAACGCGAAGCTCCGTAGGGAACTCAACGTTGTACTTGTAACCGTCGTTGGTGTTACTACCACCGACAAGAACCTTACCATCAGGGAGAATGATGGCGGTGGAGTGGTACATACGTGGGATGGTGGAGGCCTTGAGCTCTGTGAAACGCTTGCCATGTTGAGCACGGGGCTTGTACAAGATGGGAGAAAAGGCAGGGTCCTTACCATATCCCCAGCCAGAACAACCACGTTTAGCTCCGTTTACTAGAAGGATGTCTCCGTTGGGGAGGATGACAGTGTCACTCATGACACGTGGAGTAGGCATCATCTCTGTCTTCCATCGTGGCTTTGCGCTGTTGATCCTTATCCTGGCACAGTCTTGCAATGCAGGCTCGAACGTCTTTTTACCAGCCCTGTAGTAGGCGTCTTGTTTGGAACCACCGCAGACGAGGACCTCTGCGGGGATGACCTTGGGGTTTTTCACGTAAAGTTGGATGGGGAGGAGCGCGGAAGAACCTGATCCCGGGTAGTTACGGGCACCACCTGGGAGCTGAGGGAACTCCTTGATGACTGCGTTTGTTTTGGGGCTCAGAAGGATGGATCGGTTGTTTGCGAAAATGAAGAGGTTACCGTCGGTGTTGAGCCACACGAAAGGGTAAAGGTTGTTCTCTTCCGGGTCATCGGTCTGCCTGAGGAGCAACGAGTCATAGAGCTTCCTGTTGTTCTGTCCTTCCTCTGGAATGTACTCGTAGTTCAAGGCGTCTCGTCCACCGATAACGAAGAACTTCCCGTCAGGGAGAGTGGCTTGGGTTGAGTACCATCTCTTAGCAGCAAGTGCCTGAGGGTATTCTTCCCACACACATTTATCGCAGCTGGCTAGGTACCTTGCCGTGTTGGCTCCTCCTCCGTATCCTCCGGTACTCACCAATGTCCCGTTTATGGTCAAACCTCCGGATGAGCACCATGTATCGGTGGAGAGCTATCATGAAACATGTGAATTGCAAATATTTAATTCAAATCCATATAATATGGTTACTATTGAATGAGAACATAATTAAAGAGATGGTGAACATACAGCTAGAGGCTTAATAGCACCGTTGTTGGCATCAATCAGAACCGAATGAGCCCAACAATCGATCTTATTAGTCTTGGCGTTCACGACATGGCATGGTACACCAGGAGGCAACTTAATCTTTGAAATTCTCCAAATGGTGGCGTCGTAGTACTGGACCTTGTTGATGACTGGCATCAGGACCGCATGCATACCGGACACACCAGAGTTTTCCAAGAAGAGCTCCCACTTACCACCCCAGTTTGTCTGAGCTTCCATACCACTACCACGCTTTCTTCCGCCTTTCCCACCTACTGGAGCAGCAGGCTGTGGTTTCCCAGCCTTCACCGCCCCATTATCCTGAAAGCGGTTGTTGAACCCTGGGAGGAACGGTAGAAACGGTAGAGGGAAGATGGCCTCCGACACAGCCGCGAGCATAAGGACAGATACTGTCCATATGACTCTTGTCGAGGCTTTCATTTTTTTAAATTTTTTAAACTTTTTTTTTTTCCTTCCCCTGTTTTGGTTGGGGAAATAAGAAATTAGGATCCCAGGCTTATTTTGGATTATGTTGCCTGAACAATAAAGCTTTCGACTCTACGTGTTTTATAGGTTATTATTTTCTTTCACTTACGTTTATTATTAGCTAATTACTATTTTTGAATGTGTGGGTAAGAAGACGTCTCCTCAAAACAACCTGTAGTTTTGTGGAGTTTTAAGAAAATATTTGGTGTCTCTCGTGCTCTTCTTTTAACGATGACGTGCTCATGCAGACATTTCCTTAATTTGATATCATACAGCTAAGGACTAATATCCTTACGTGACATCCTCGGGACAGATCCAAATATATTTTTTTGGTTGGTGCATAATACAAACACAACACTACATATATATATATACACACATAATTTTTGAAAAGTGAAAAAAGTAACGTGAAAATAGTTGGCACCAAAGTCCAAACTCCCAACTAACATAATTAATGTTATGCAGACATTCCCTATTGATCCATTTTAACAATAATTACTATGAATCACGTGAAGATCATTAACATTTAAGTGGGTGCACTTACATAGTTACATATCTTATAGTTAACATAGTTACATCATCAACGTAGACCCGCCCTAACGTTGAAAGCTTTTTTTGTTTTCTTTCTTCTATTGTAAATCTTTCTGACATTGAGGGATATGTATGAGAAGATAAATAATTTTTATAGTAAACAGAATTGTACTTAAAACTTATGTATTGTAGTGTTATAACATAAGTTTTTTTTTTTTTTATCATCTGTAAATCAATTCATCAAACTTGTCGAAAAATTTCACTTGCAATAAATAGAGTCATGACATAAGTAATATTTCAACCAATAGAGTTTTGTCCAATGGTCTCTTGAATTTGTTGAGAACTCACCATACATGTCAAAGCCAGAGATCGAGTTTTACAATTTTACTAGTCTACGAAAATCGCTGTGGTTATCTTTTGCCATGGTAAACACCCTTTGATGACAAGATTACCCACAAAGTATTGGTTTGGACATCGGCCCAAATATATTTTGGTCATGAAAGAAACAAGTAAATCACTAATTATTCACGTACACTAATTTCTTGTGTCTAGAAGATACACAAATGGGACGTGCCTCTTTTTAGTCTAATAAAATCACATTTCAATCCATGTTTGGTTGACAACTTACAAGCTTCCATGAAACCCTTAGTTTGCAGAGAAAAGAGTCGTGGTTTACATTGCGGTTTTTACATTACAAGCCCTGAATAATCAGATAGAGATAAATATATATTACAAACCATAGTTCACTACTTTGTTGCTCCTGCCTTCAGACTTCAGAGCCTACAATGTATACGAGAACAATTCAATATTCAAAATAACCCATCCAAGGGAGAAAAATGAGGAAACACTGAAGCAGAGTGATAGACCTAATGGAAGCAATCTACATGGCATCTCTGAATCAACACAAATGACGTTCAAGTTCCCATGACCAACTTAAGCTTTGTTTCGTATTACAGTTGACAATGAAAGCTAAACCAACAGTGAATAAAAGAAGCTAACAAAAGCAAAATCATAACAAGATACTGTATCTGACTCAGCATACAACTGAACTGACGGTAAAAAATCAGAAGGGCAGCTCTAGTAAACTCTTTAGTAATAAGACAGACTACTAACATATATGAACAAAGATCACAATGCCTAAGAGAGACTTATAGGTTACTCATACAATGTTCAATGAAAATGCAAAGTTAGTAACTTGATTCTTACTCTTCAGAAGACGCCACAGATACAAAAACAAAAGTGATTCTAGACGCCCTTAGAATAATAACTCAGCAGTCAAATCCCACATCATTGCAACAAACACAATTAACAAACAGAACAAAAAAAAACCTATATAAGGTAAGCAATATCTCAGATTCCAACTCAATTCGAATATACTAAATTCATAACCACACAAGCAAATGAAGAATACTCAAGAGAAGAAAGTTCAAACCTTTATGTTTAAAATTCAAAGTGAAATCAGGAAGAAGATCGTTTGCCTTCACAATCAAGAGTTTCATCGAAATTCTTAGAAGGGTATTTAGCAGTGATCCCAGCGACCTCAAAGACAAGATTATCCCCAGAAGATCGGATCCCAGTGATAGACCACGACTTGAAAAACGCCCGGACCCGAATCCCATGGAGCTCCGCGATCTTACCCTGAGAGATCCGACCCGTTACTTTGTTGGAATAAGTGGCGATGTAGTTATCAGGAGGAAGCGTGATTTTGCAGGTCCCGTGGAGGAAGAGGGAGAAGTCACCGGAGGTTTTGTTGAGGACGTAGTCTTTCACGGATAAAGGGAGAAGCCCAATTGGGAACCCATGGTTCGTGAGCTCTGCGTGAGCACGACTCGGTATCTTCTTCACTTGAGGAATCGCATCATCCTGTAAGGAGATCGGTAAGAGAATCAGGAAACAGAGAAGGAAGAGAGAAATCTTCATCTTTCGTTATGAGACGACAAAAAGCTTTTCCAAACCACAGAAAATTTTGGCTGATTCTTTTCTGATTTTTTCCTTTTTTTTGGATGTTTTAAAAGTTTGGATCGGGTCACCCGATTACGACCCGATTATGATCATACCCGTTTAAAATTCAACTAATTAAAAAACCAAACATATTGAACTTGATTGTCACATTTTACATAACATATCTAGAAATTGTTCTATTGATCACTAAGGTTTTACAACTGAAACATCTTCAACCTTTTCATGTAGTCCTCCTTGAAGATTTCTATTTGAGGGAGTAGTGACCAACTTAACCTTTGTAGTTTGATTAATAAGGTGGTTGATGTTGATTAGTATATTGAGATATCAGTACATGGTCCTTTGTTTATGGGAAAATTGGAAATAAGCTCTTAATCTAATACCTGAAATTCCCATTACATCTCTCGATCGGTTACAAGCTCTCATAGTCATGAAGCAAATCATAGTGGTCTAATTAATAAACCATTTCATGATTTTGAGCCCACTACATTCAATACCCATAACTCCAGGGACACACATATTTTATGTTCCATTGACCCAGCAAAAAAAAAGAAAAGGATAAGCATTTTATTAGAATCTTATAAAGATTCCACTGATAGCTAAGGACGTCACGGTTCAGGTTTGGCCGTGGAAAGGTTAAACCGGCATGCTTGAACTGCGTCGTCGATGGATAAGAACACATACTCCTTCCCTATCCTCTCTACAAAGTGCGCTAGCATCATCTTTTCTAATACTTCAAATCTTGGATTTATTATCACCATCTGCAAAATCAAATATATATATAATTTTGTCATTCATTTGCGCTAGGTTTCTTATCAACATTAAGAAAAAGTAAAGTGTATTATTATGAACCTTGATGCCTCTTGATCCAAGGATTCTATGAACTTCAAGTAGTGTTTCCATCCCGGTCACGTCAACGGTTGAAACTCCTGAAGTCAACAATATTATTTAATTAGTAACAATTAAGAAATAATGAAAAGAAAAAGAAAAATCGTTTGCTAATAGACAAGATTAATGAGATATATAAAATGTGAAAATAAATTAAAGTTACCAGAGAGATCAAGGAGGAGAAACTCGACGGCTTCAGGTTCATCACGAATCCACCTCAAGATCCGTTCGCGGACGTAAGTGCTGTTGGCAAAAAAGATAGGAGAACCCAACTGGAGAATGACATAACCAAGCATCTCCTCGGAGGCTGGGTACTGTTCTATGTCTCGAAACATAACCGAGTTTGGTATTCTTCCTAGTTTACAAGTCGAGGGTCTTGCAATGTACAACAACGCTCTTACTATGGAGAACCCAACGGAGATGATGAGACCATAGTCCATACTAATGAAGGAGACACCGAAAAAAGCGGACATGCAGACGACGAAATCAAACTTGTCAACCTTGTAGAGATGGTACATCTCCTCGTAGTTGATGAGTCCCAACATGGCTGACATAATGATGGCTGAGAGACCAACCAGTGGTGTGTAGCTGAATAGAGGCGCTAGGAAAAGAAGCACAAGCATCATGCAAATTCCCATCACTACATTAGACATCGGTGTCTTTGTCCCCGCATTGTAGTTTACTGCTGTCTTTGAAAATGGCCCTGAATATATATATATCCCGGCCATATTAGTTTGCATCGATATCACAACAATTCATATTAATATTGAAACCTAGCTAGCATGATTGATATAAGTTATATACCCGTTGTTAAATAACAAGAAGTAAAGGAGCCAACTACGTTCATAAGACCAAAGGCTATCATCTCTTTGTTCCCATCCGTTTGTTCGTTCTTCATTACAGCAAAACTTCTTCCGATTGCTATCCCTTCCTGAAAATTATCCATTCATCTTCTTTAGAAGATCTTACATATATATCATAGTCGAATATGAGGTAAATAAAAAGGTGAATATAGTTATTTACGGCCATAGCGATGAGGCCAGTGATGATCCCGGCCTTAAAAACCAACCCAAGATACTTGGAGTCAAAGTTCAAAAGTTGAAGAGAAGGAGGGTTTAGTCCTTTCTTTAAAGGCCCAACCTGTATAAGGCAACATACTATTAATAGAAACCCTTGTTGCTCAAGTCTTAAAACATGTTCACACAATTAGTTTAATTATGTTTTGGCATGTGAGTATTGAAATTGCTCACAGTTTGGATCCCGTGTGCTGTTCCTTTTACTAGATACGCAACTACACAACCCACGACGACGACCACCATCGGACCCATTGCTGATACCCAAAACAGCTTTGGGTATCTTTGTTTCTGCAATAGTTACAAATTAATAATATTAATTCTTGCGTGAAGCATATTTTTGAGAAGCCATTTAACTTCTAGCATATATGAAAGGGTGTTTGTGTGAGAATAAATAAAAAATAGTATCTAAACTATTTTTTTCCAACTCAAAGTGGTATGTGAAAAAGGTGAGGAATGACTACATTAACAAATAGTGAAAAGAAAAGTGGAAGATCTTGAAAAGTCCAAATCCAATAGTTGTTTTGTCTCTCTACTAATAAGTGGATAAATTAAAAGACTTAAAAAAAGTAAATGAGATAAAAGAGAAGGAGAAAGTTACAATGTATCGAGTGGATTGGAGGAACACAAGAAAGCAGACCCCAGCCAATGTACTCTGCCACTTCCACTGCACCAAGTAACACCCTCCCAGGATAACACAAATTAGCCATTGGTCTAAATTGGACTTTTTATTTACTTTTAAAAGAAAGAAAGAGAGATGACCTCAGAGCGGTTGTCTAAGATTGAGTGGAGCACTGACACGACGTCGGTCTTGTGCGTAAAATGTTCTAAACCAAAGACGCCCTTAAGCTGTTGGAGGAGAATGATAATTGCGGTACCGCCCATGAAGCCCGTTATGGTCGAGTGTGACAAGAAGTCCACCAATATCCCCAACCTATATTTATAATTTTTTTGGTTACTTTTAAGTAAATTAAGTTAAAACTTTATAACATAAAGATAGATATGAATACCTCAGAAATCCCAAAGCAAATTGGAATAGACCGGTGATGAAAGTGGCGGTGAAGATCAAATGAAGGTAGAGCTCAGGATCATTTTTAATCATCTCCTCACCAAATGTCTCAGCGAGCAGCAAAGAGCATGCTGCGACTGTTCCCACCGCTAGATTGTTTGAACTCCCAAACACGGCGTACACAAATGGCGGCACAAAACTTGAATCTGAATTCCCATGCATCCATTTTTATTTGAATAAGTTATATGTTTTTAATTATATTAAAATCAAACGAAACGATTGTATATAAATATTTAGCCTAATACGGGAGTTCCTTATTGTTGGTTCATAGGAACACAACAGGAAGGGAATTAAGAAATTGAGACAAGTACAGTTGGGCAACACCTAGTGTCAGTTTCTATGGACAACAACGTACTGCCAATACCATTTCTATTTCAGGTTCGTCTACCTATTTTAGTCACACAAGATAAACATGGAAAATACTTTTTTTTTTTTTTTGATAAACCCTATCGGCTGATCCGGTCAGCCCCGGTAGAAACGCACCAAAGTGCTTCAGAGTGGATTTCTCCCCGAACGGCCACCACACTTTCTATTCCGAGTTTGGAATGCTTAACATGGAAAATACTTCTATATTATATGTAAGAATCGAGTATGAAGGTTTTCAGAAATGATTTCTGTATAAAAATATTTACACTTTGTTACAAAGAATATTAAAAAACATTTTTTTATATTAATCTTTTTAAAAGAAGACAAGACACTCTTGCAAAAAATCAAACTCAAGTGGCTTTGTACAGTAAATTCAGAATCAATATCTTACAATATATACAACTTCTTAATTACTAATAGGGAGAAAAATTAATTTCAGAATCATACTGGTACTATAGTAGCCTGAGCTAAACTAAAAAATAAGTATCCAGAGTAAAAGTCAGATTTGCAGATCGAATATATATAAACATAGAAATAATATATTTGACGTCGTTTTGCAAAATCGAAACTATACACCTTTATGCGAGGCAACTTTAAGAAACATAATTTACCAGTTGGAAAATTATATATCTTAATGATTGTTATCATAGGATGCAATGATTCATATAAAAGTGATGTTTCATGATAAATAAATAAATTAAAAACTTTTGGGGAGAGATCTCACATAGGCCTATGATGGGAGGAAGACTGGCGAGTTTAGCATAACTTATTCCCTGAGGAACGGCAAGACTGGTGATTGTGATCCCGGCCAGCACATCGTACTTAAGTTTTTGCATATCGTACTTTGGTAACCACTCAAAGATTGGAACAAAATACTCCAATAACTTTTTTGTTTTCATCAAACCATTTGGCTCTTGCGTTATCGGTTTGAATGGATCGTCGGGAAAGAAGGTTTCCTTACATTTTGCTCTGAGTTTTGTACCAAAGCTTCTCGGGGCCGAGAAATTTACTCCCCGGCCCTTTTGCGAGGGCGATGGAGAGCTTGTTATTGTACCCTCCATGGTTACACACACAACAAGCAAAGGAAGAGGTAAGAAAATATTAGCGTTTGTGTTTTGTTTTGGTTTTGTAATTCTTGCTAGTTCTTTGTAGAGTAATTGGGAGAGTATGGGTTGTATATATAGATGGATGGCCAAAGAAAGTGGGAATTACTGTTAGAGATTTATTCCACGTTGACCCATGTTTTAAATAGGGTGTGTGTGGTGTTTTCTTTGTCTTTTTATGGTTATAAAATCTGCTAATCTTATCTGATACCGCATTTAATTCGGTGTATAATTATATCCATATATCCCATACTAGGTAATTAGCCAAATGCGAAATTATATTTTTTTAGTATCCTTTTTGAATATTGTGTGTTTTGTATAATTCAAATGAAGAAAGATATATAGAAAAATATGTCATATACATGTACGTACCCTGTTCCAAAAAAAATAAAAATAAAAAATAAAAAAATGTACATACCTATTAGTCAGATTTTTTAAGCGTTCCAATTACATAAAGTAGTCAAACTAACACTACCAAAGGGTCTTAAAATGTTAATTTAACTCTTTCTTCCAATTTCAAGATTAGATTATTATTAGCATAGTTTCCCAAATGAACGTCTATTTTTTCAGCATTCAAAATTACCAAATAATTCATTAAAACTGAAATTAGTTACCCATTCACATAATTAGTCAATCTTTATCGTATTCAAACTGCATAGCTTCATTTTTATTTTTGTGAATGCATCTACATCACCAAAAATATTTAAATTAATCAACATAAGAGAAAAATTATAAACTGCATCTACTTACATATATATACAAGTCTAAATCTCTTCATCGGGAAATAACTCATCCTTGAGTGATGGAGCAATCCATTGAATTTGAATATAAGTAATCTCCCATAGGTCATCGTCTTCCTTTTGCACCAAAATCTCTTTCTCCTTCATGGTACCGATCATGGTAATCAGAAGTTCAGGCACAACCTCTTGAAGTTTGTTATCTCCATACTCTCCCAAATCCGCCTTCATACACGTATCCATTCTCCTCAACACTCCTAACCAAAAAGTTCTAAACTCGGCACTTTCTACTATCTGTTCCAAGTAAACTAAGAAGACGTTCATGAGCATCTTCATCGCTATCTTCAATGTCCCTTCCATGCTTCTCATCTCCCTTTCCGCATTTTCGCGCCTCGAATAGTCAAGAAGCTTCTCATGCAAGTCATCAATTGTTGGGAATATGACATGGTCGATGCAGTATATACATCCTGAGGGCGTGAATCCAAGATCTTCATGGCTCATGGTGAAACTTTTTTCAAGAGACGTCACTGCTTTGTTCCTTATCTCTTCTCGCCTCGCAAGGGTCGTTTTTCGAAAAGCCTCGGAGAGTTTGAGGAAAAGATGATGAACAAAGTTAACCCCTCTCATGCTGTTTTCTTCCAAGGATGATGAACTGCTAGTGTTGCTTGCCGGGCTGTTGCTATTCACACTATCGGTAGAAGCGGTTTTGTACCATTTTATCAGCATCGTTACTGACTCTGCCATGAGATCCAATATATTCAAGTTCTTCTCAACTGAACTATTTCTTAGAGCAACAAAACTAAAGGCACAATCGATGCAATAAGCGTAACTCGACTGTGAGAGATTCGAGGCGTTAACTGACATTAAACCGATGAGAGCATCCACGGCTTGGTCTTTGGTCTCTGGATGTCTTCCACATAAAGAAAGTAGTTGTAAAACACTTTTCCACCCAATATTGGTATGTAGATTACCAGAGTAGTCTGTAATGATATTGCTAACAAACTCTGTTATTGTATCGTAACATGTTTCAATGATTTCTTTATCTATCTTCCACATTATCGTTAAGGACCTGAAAATCAACTCCTCTGGTAGATGGTCTTGAAGGTTAGAAGCAAGAATCTTGAGGCATACCTTAAATAAACCCGGAAGCCCTTTCTCGACAAACGGAACGGGCGAAAAGAGCGGAAAATTTGCGACATTGAGTAGATATTCATGGTAACTTGGCCAGAACATGTTGAACCGGTGAATGTTTGACAAGGCAACAGCTATGATCAAGTCCCAGCAGAACTTGACTGTCTCTTCTTCCTCTATCGCTGTACTAAACTTTTGTCCCTTTCCAGCAGCTGCGTAGATTAAAGAACGGCCTAGATTCAACACCGCAACATCTGGCAACACCGCGCTCCTGCTAAATATTTGACCAATCCTGCATTGTTTTATGACTTTAAGATTTTGTTCAAACTCGCTCATTCCAAGAGCCACAGATTCTTCGACACTGTCTAATGCCAAAAAGTGTGAGAACCGACCCATGAGACTAGAACCTTGTCGCCGGTTGAATTTAATGTCTTGGTTAGAAACAGTGTTCATATCAGGTTCTGATCCACCATTGTTTATGGCCTCATCATCAGTCTCAAACTCAATGACAGACTGTGGAAGAAGTTGAAGCTTTCTAAGTTTTAAGAGACAGTCCACAATGTTCCTCCACCCTCCTCTAATAGAATCACCAAAGTTGTTAGCGAGTGTGAAAACCGCTAGAGTAGCCATTCTTGGTTTCATATCATGACTAAATGCGAATAGAGTTTCTTCAGGTGTGGTGTAAGGGTTTAACAACGTAGTGAATTTACAAAAAGAAGCGATGAGCTCATCAAGAATGTCTTCAAGGCCATATTGAGCAACTCTAGCTATAGAGATCATAGCATCAACACACTCATGAAGCACTTCATCATCATCTGAATGCTCAAAGAATGCAGCAACAGCTGCTATTGATGGACCTGCAATGGTTGCAAACATATCCCTTCCTATTCTTCGATCGAACTGGCACATGCTAAAGGGTTGTGTCGTCTTTGTTCTGTTCATAAGCTCAATCCATCTATTTGGATTCATTTCCACTGGACCTGAATGTGTGGATAGAGCGAATGCATTTGTTGCAATGGATTGAAAAAGCTCAGAAAGGTATTCTCTTGGAAGGTCATTATTCGCGTTAATTGCTCGGTTGTTGCGGATAAACTCATCCTCTGTCATTTTCTTCTTAACCTGAGGGTTATGTTGATCCGTGTTGAGCATTATAAGAGAGTAGCAGAGAATATGAACAGTATCTTTGCTTGCAAAAATATCAGTTGATTGCTGTTTATAGAATCTCTCAGAGAAAGCTTCGATCATACGTTCAATCTTTTGTGATTCTCCCGGTAGCCGAAACGACTCAAGAAATGTCCTCAGTGCTGTATCAAGATTCATACCCGTGAACTCAAACGTATATGTAAAGCTTCGTAGAACACTAAGATGAAACTCATCAGGATCTCCAAGGTAATCTCCGATCATTGTCTTATCCAAACCTGGAGTAAATCTGAAAAATGAAGCTAAAGCCATTGGATCAGGAGGATCTGAGACTAAGTAGTTATACTTCAGATACTCTAAACCCTTTTTCTCATCTCTGTTGAAATGATTTGCGGCAATCGCTAGCTTCCTCTTCTGCGCTTTCCTCACTCTTATATGTTCTACCCATGTCTCAAAATCCTCTTTTGGCTTGTCTACCCAAAATGGTATGTACTCGTGAATCTCAACAGGGCTTGGCTTAATAGCATTGGATTGGTCAATTTCTTCATCACCTTCATCTTCTTCTTTATCCATATTGTCAGCGATGTTGTGAATCAAGATCACTAGACCTTCAAAGGCTTGGATTTGTAGAGAGGTTAAAGGACCAGAGGTAGGGAAGGTGTGCCTACACAGAACTTTTCCAGTCTCTTCGAAAATATTTCTACACATCGGATCACAATCGTAGTTAACATAAGCTTCAACTATGAAAGCGGGTTGTCGACAAAAGTTGATTAGCCCTTCAAGAGCAACTTCTTGTAACTGAAGGAAGCCTGTGAGAGCTGTAACTTTCAACAATACGAAGGAGAAGAAAGCTTCGAGTTGTAGCCTCATGAACCTAATAAATCAACACATTGTTAATGTAAGTTAAAAAAAATAAAGAATAACAAATCTAGGTTTGAATGTAAGAACAAAAAAAAAAAAAACAGAGGACTTACTTGCGAAGGAAGTGATATATATTGAGTATACAACTAGAGATCATAGATAGCACAAGAGGGCTTGAAGAAGCTCCATAATGGATTAGATGGTGAAACAGATCATCTTGAACCATCCGAAGAAGCTTCGGGTGCTGCCCGATTGCATCTCCGCTTAACTCAATAGCACAATTGATCAAAACCAAAGCAAAAATCTGGACATCTTCGTCGGCAGTGTGAACATTTGTCCCTTCAGAGTTCTCGACAACCTCAACCACATTGAGCAAAGAGCATAAGAAATGGAAAATGTCGATGCAACATCTTATTCCATAACCATTGCTCATGTCAATCTCGTCAGTATCAGATTCTGATTCCTCACCACCTTCCTCTCCTCTGACCTCAAAATCTTGTAATCTAGAGAATATAATCTGAATCAGCTCGTGCATTGCGTATCTTCCATTTCGTTGCAACAAATCTCCTCTCCCGGAAGATTGTTGTACCACTTGGAAACATGTATTGACGATTGTACAAACCGCTTGATCTTCTAATAAATCCTGTTTTATTCACAACTCATTAACATGTCTTAAAATGTATAAGCCAAAAAAAAAAAAAAAACATGTGTTATGATTGAGGAACGAACGTACAGAGGATGGATGTTTCATGATTCCGATCAAAACTTGAAGAATCCTCATCATCACGGCATCTTCAGAAACCAAATCTGTTTTCTCTAAACGACAACTAGTAATCCCGGAAACAATGGAGTTCATAGCATCTTTAGCACCAGGTGTTTTCTCATCGAAAATCTCGATTTTAAGGATCTTCAAGATGGAGGAGAGTGCCACGGCTGTGGCGCTAGCCGGGATCTCATCGCTTTGAATAACTTCAAGGAAAGGAGATAAATAAACCGAAGGATCGATGGTGCGCCAATCCTGTTGAGGGTTGAAGATAAGTGCCCTAAGAGATTTCAGAGACTGTTGGACAGATGAATCACAATGGTCTGTTTCTTGTGGAGAAAGGTAACTTTCAGCAAGAGGTCTACGAATGACAGCAAGAACTGCACCAACCTCCGTGTTGAGCATGCATGATATGCCTAGCTCTTTTCGCTTCGCTTTCACCGCAATTCTTTCCATATCCGTATCGCATGTTACCATGCTCTCCTTCTTACTCACAAAGAGGAAAATTATAATGTATAAGCTATGTGTTTTCTTCTTTCTATTAACTTGTTTATGTACGGTGTTGCCTTAATGGTGCATGTCCAAAACTATATTTGGTATGCAAATTTTAGTGGCTGAGACGTAGTGATTATGGGTGAGTTTCAACCATTTGTCTTCGCATATATAGGAAACTGCATCACTATCAACCGTCAATTTCTCTCAATGGCGATTAAAGATAGAAATCAATGAATTATTTTATCAAGTTTGATGTGATTTATAAAACTAAATATATACAACATAATCGAGTGTTTGATGTCACAAAAAGAAAAAAAAATATCTCAATGAGATACCAAAAACTTAATCGGGTATATCATCAATATAATATTTATATTTTAATTGAAAATTTTATATTTTGATTTCTTACCAAATTTTTTAAAAACATAGTATCAAATTACGTAGCACAATTTTAAATCATAAAAATAAGCATAAAATATCAAATTACATAGCACAATTAGGAAAATAAGAAATGTTAATAATGTTGCTAGTAATAATGTTATGATAAACTTACATAGCACAATTAAGCATAAAGTTATATTTCTTAAATAACACAATTAACTAATTAAGCGTAAAATTGCTTAGCATAAATATTAGAAATTAAATATCTTGCATACGTAAATGGCTTAATTCCAAAAAACAAACTAACACAATTACGAGGCGACATTAAAACTAAAATTAGCACACGATATTAGTGTTTTATTGATTTGGAGGAGTTTTGTTAATTGTTATAAACAATCTTCATATTGAAGATAGTTTTTTTAGTGAATTTGATTAAAATACAATGGTTTTCTAAAGTAAAAACAAAAAAGAATAAGATTCAGTAATTCTTGATACTACATTCATGTTTAAATCAAGGAAGTCAAGAAAAATTATTCATCCGAAAGCATATGCTTTAGATTAGGACGAAACACAAACACTTATAAAGTGACATCAGTTGTTGTTTTTTTTTGGTAAAAAGGATTTTTTCTCTATTTAGAAAAATAGAAAATCAGAAAGATATAAAAAAACTCACCACTTTTTTCACCTTCTTCAACACCCCAATTCAAAACCCTAGCTGTGAATTATTGTTCTTCTTAGGTTTTATCCTTAAGCTTCTCACGTCTTCCTCAATTTTGCTCTCGAGTACGATTAAACAATGCATGTCCATCACGATGATGTTCACTTCTCTTCCTCATCTATCAGAATCCACTCTCCATCTTTCAAAGAGCACCCTTTACTTACCAATCTCCAATCCTGCTCTAAAACCTTAGTCTCTCAGCTCTCAAACACTCGTCACTCCCTTAATCGAGTATTCGAATTGATTAAGAATCGCCACAGTCCTCCACGGTTCACCCAAACTCGACCTGTTCGTCGTTCCAATTCACACACTCAGATTCTCAGTTCTGTCACTCAGCTTATGATTGGGAAGTCTTCTCCGATTTCATTGTCGCTTATCCAATCTACGCAATTGAATTGGTCCAACTCAGGAGTTGAGGATATTGAGACAACCCGTGGGCTGAGCTCGCCTCTGCTCTGCTGTGCGTCTTTGTCACTAACTAGACCTAACGAGTCGAATCAGTCAGTGGAAGGGAAGGATATGATACAGCAGCAGAAGGGTCACTCGGTGAGTAGAAACGCCGAGGAACGAGTTCTGATTAGTGAAGTGTTGGTAAGAACGAAGGATGGTGAGGAACTCGAGAGGAAGGATTTGGAAATAGAGGCATTGGCTGCTTTGAAAGCTTGTAGAGCCAATTCAGCTTTAACCATTCGTGAGGTGCAAGAGGATGTACATAGGATTATAGAAAGTGGGTACTTTTGCTCTTGTACTCCTGTTGCTGTTGATACACGCGACGGCATACGACTGATGTTTCAGGTAATATTCTTTATTATCACTCTATTGGAAAACTTGTTCTCGGAGAAAAAAAAAGGTCTCTTTTTTTATGTTTTGGGATACAAATAATTCTCATTTTCTTGCCATAAGGTAGAACCAAACCAAGAATTTCGTGGGTTAGTCTGTGAAAACGCAAATGTTCTTCCTTCCAAGTTCATACAGGAAGCTTTCAGAGATGGGTTTGGTACGTATCCTCTTCTGTACTGTACTAGACTTTTGTTTCAATTCATTTGTCTGTTTGAAAGTACAATGGTGGTGTGAAGTTGTGTAGGGAAAGTGATTAATATTAAGAGACTGGAGGAAGCTATTACATCCATCAATGGCTGGTACATGGAGCGTGGTCTTTTCGGAATTGTAAGTTTCTTTTTACACCATAATTATTTTTTCAAAAATTTTTTTTACATCCTGTGGGTTCAATCTTATACTATGTGGTTAGAATCGTCATTCTATTGTCTGCCATGGCAGGTTTCAGATATTGATACGCTTTCTGGAGGTATAGTAAGGCTTCAAGTTGCTGAAGCAGAGGTTAACAACATATCCATCCGATTCCTTGATCGTAAGACGTAAGCTGGTGCCAGTCCCTCCCTTCTGAATCTGGATGGCACTGCTAGCTTCCTTTTATTGCAATTATTAGATTATGATTTCATTTGATAATGGTTCCTTCTATATATAGTGGGGAACCAACTAAAGGAAAGACTAGCCCTGAGACAATACTACGGCAACTTACAACAAAAAAGGGACAGGTATGTTTGGGCATTTCTCAGCTTTAGATGTATCATCTGTCTATGAAATACTTTGGTGATCTTATTTTGTAGTAAGGTTAATCACTCTTTATGGTATCATGTATGTTTCTTTATAAATTTTGGCCTTAAAGATTTGTCTTTATGCTTGAGTATCTAAGATGCTATGGACCTTTACATGTACATCTCGTCCAATCTGGCTTTTGGTCGATGTAGGTTTACAGCATGCTGCAAGGGAAGAGAGATGTAGACACTGTACTAGCCATGGGAATCATGGAAGATGTTAGTATTATTCCTCAGCCTGCAGGAGGTTAGTGAATGTATTCCTCGATTATCAGCTTTTGCATTTGTTCCATTTGTGCTTAAGTGCAGTAGTATGAGTGGATAAAGTAAATACTTTGCTTATCTACCAGGCACAATAACAATAAGTTTTGACAGTGTATGATTCTGAAACTTTCTTCCCTCCCTTTTCATTTTCCTTCAAATGTTAGACAGTGGGAAGGTTGATTTGATTATGAACTGTGTTGAGCGTCCCAGTGGAGGCTTCTCTGCTGGTGGTGGGATATCTAGTGGGTAAGGTTTAGTTTGTTAACTACTTACAGCGATTCACTTTTTTTCTTTGCTAGCTTGATGACAAGGTTTGTCCAACTCTTTTTTTTGTAGGATCACAAGTGGCCCCCTATCAGGACTCATTGGAAGGTAAAATCACATGGCATTGATGTACAATTTAACATGAAATTATGTATATATTTTATTTGAAAAACGATTAATTTTTAATCGTGGTCCAGATAAATACATTACTGATGTAATTGAAGTTATTAATTTGTGCAGCTTTGCTTATTCCCACCGCAATTTGTTTGGAAGAAACCAGAAGCTTAACGTTTCCTTAGAGAGAGGTCAAATTGACTCTATTTTTCGAATAAACTACACTGATCCATGGATTGAAGGAGATGACAAGAGGACATCCAGATCTATTATGGTTCAGGTAGAAAACCTTTACTGACTCTAGTTATGTTGTTCATCTCAATGGGAATGCTAAGTTGACTAGTAGACTGAGTCACTTCTTGCTGTGTTAGAATTCGAGAACACCGGGAAATCTTGTTCACGGCAATCAACCAGACAATAGTAGTCTCACAATTGGTCGGGTTACAGCAGGTGTTGAATACAGCCGTCCATTCAGGCCAAAGTGGAGTGGTACTGCTGGACTTATATTCCAGGTACCTACTGTTTCCAATATTTTCAAGTTTCTGTACCAATCCAGAGCAATATCGGTGTTAATGCAATTAACTTATAAGTTCTTCTCGTCTCTGATTAGATCCAAAGTTGTAATCTTTGGACTTTTTTGACTAATATATATGCCTTACCCTTAATTTCGTTTTAATTTTAATGTTTCAGCATGCTGGTGCTCGTGATGAACAAGGAAACCCTATCATTAAGGACTTCTACAGTAGCCCTCTAACTGCAAGGTATATATGTCTCAAATAATGAAATTTATTTAGTTTTGCTCACTAATTTCACCAATGATGATGTACTTGGCCATATGAATTTGATAAGATATTTTTATGTTTGCTCATGTAGTGGTAAGACCCACGATGAGACCTTGCTAGCAAAACTTGAAAGCATTTATACTGGCTCAGGTGATAGAGGATCAACAATGGTCAGTCTGATACCTCTGTTAGTACATCTTCCCTTGTTTTTTTCAGTATCTGATTCTATCTGTAATTGTATACCAGTTTGCGTTTAACATGGAACAAGGGCTTCCTGTTTTGCCCGAATGGTTATGTTTCAACCGAGTGACTGCTCGTGCCAGAAAAGGCATACACATTGGACCAGGTCGTTTTCTTTTTAGGTAAGCTAACCTCGTTTGCCGCATATAATTTTCTCGAGCTCTACATTCCTGTTCTGAGATTCGAATCATCATTCCTCAAGTTTCATGTAGCGAATCTTACCTTGTTTGTGTTTATAGTCTGTCTGGTGGACATGTCGTGGGAAACTTTTCACCTCATGAAGCATTTGGCATCGGTGGAACAAACAGCGTAAGAGGTTACGAAGAGGGTGCTGTAGGATCTGGTCGGTCATATGTAGTTGGTTCAGGGGAGATGTCTTTCCCAGTGGTGCGGATTTTTCTCTGAACATTCCTAATATCTCATTTCCCAATGGTGTGGATATTTTAACTCTCATTCTTGCCCTGTTGTGCAGAGAGGACCGGTCGAAGGTGTTATTTTTACAGATTATGGCACTGATATGGGATCAGGATCCACCGTCCCAGGTACAGACTAGGCCTTCCATGTTTTTTCTCCTTCCGAGTCTTTCCATATATGCTTCTAATCTTTTAATAGCTTTAAAATCACAACCTTACATGGAACCTTCATCTTTGTTATATTCTTCCCTTTAGGTGATCCTGCGGGGGCAAGGCTGAAGCCTGGAAGTGGTTATGGGTATGGTTTAGGGGTGCGTGTTGATTCCCCGTTGGGACCGCTACGTCTTGAATATGCCTTTAACGATCAACAAGCCGGAAGGTTTCACTTTGGGGTTGGTCTGCGGAACTAAATTTTATTCTTAGATTTTTGTCCTTCATTCTAAAAGTCTTCTGTCGGCCTTTGTCGTGCATTCATCTAGATGATGTTTGTTTATTTTGATCAATTTATATCATCTTATTTTACTCACTGTTTTGTGAGTGGTTGTGCATTCGGATCGAATGAGTGTTTTTCATGATGTTCTTCATTTCACCAAACTCCCACATTCATCAAAATTACTAACAGAACTATGATTAGGATTTGTTTTTCTCATCCATTGTCTCTTTTAGGATGCCATATGATCATGAGCGACTAATCTCCATGCAATTGCAAAGCTTGAAGAAATATCTGACGCAAAAAGTGGAAATAACTAAAAAAAATGTGAAAACAATTCTTTTAGCACAGTGGACAGGGACAGTAAACTCCTCAGTTTGCAGCTTCTGATAATAGTTTTCCTCTAATATGGTTGTCCTTGTAAAGATTTTATCCAAGTAATTTTCCGGATTGGCTTATCTAAGCACTTGGAATGCTCAAGAGGTGTATCAGAAACCAGCTATAACATACACGAACGTAGTTCGAAGAGTATACATGATACAATGATCCCCTAAGGTCTATTTTTTTTCATGAGCTATCTTACAAGTTACAAGGATGAAATGAAATTTCGTATGATATCGGTCACCTGAGAATCATATTCAGGTCCTTCCATCTGGAAATGGCTAACGCCTTCAATGAGGTGTGTTTCGGTGCGTCCCACAGCAGATTTCAGCTTCTTCTTTAGCTGGTTAACGCTAGTGAACCCGTCTTGTGTTCCCATTACGAAGAGTTTGGGTGTAGGGGATGAGAGAATGGCCTTGTGGTGCCGCCCAAACAGAATCGAGGCCATTAGGCCAAATGGGTATCCCAAACTCACATAACCCACCACTTGCTCTACTTGCTCCACCGCTGATCCTGCAATTGGTGCACCTGCCATAGAGTCATAACTTTAGTTTCTTTCCTTTTACAGTATACAATAGTTGGCATGAGATTTCAAATTTGTCTCAGAATGCTAATCAGAAAGAATAATGTGATCAGTTCATCAATTACACACGTCATCTCAGAAAGTTAGTCGGTCACAATGATCAGTACGGGTAGGAGATGAAATGGATGCTGCAGTATTCGTCTACAAATATCTTACTTGTTCTTGGTTGTATGCTCAGCAAGAAATACAGGAAAATCCATGATTAATAACAAACACGTAAAAGATGCAAGTATACCAATAAAGGGGACACTGAAAGCAAGCAATCCTAGAACTGATACTTTTATAGACTTCAAAAAAAATCTGAAAGGACTCGTGTCAACTGCAGATTTTAAGTTATGCATATGTTTAACAGTATAAGTTGAAGGGATATCAAACAGATTTGTGACACACAAACAGGAAACAGAGTAATCACCGTAATAAGAAGAAGTGAAGAACAATCCTTTGATTAGACTATGAGTGGGAAACTGTAACAACAGATAAAGTCTACCTCAAAATCACCTTAGACGCTCTAAATTGAATCTGTTCAAAGTTAAAACAATGCTAATCTTCACTTTCCTCAGTGGATTGAACTTTCTTATTGCGTTCTTATCATCATCCATACTCAAACATCTAACATGGTAAACACCAAATAGGAACAAGAAAGATGCATAATCTACATGACACGAATTACATCAACTAAAATGGTGACATGACCAACACCAATCCAGAACAAAGTTATCTCAGCTGATAATAGTTGAGCAAACTACATGACACGAATTACATCAACTAAAACCACTTAGAGATACACGAGAGAGAAAATGGAACTTGATTGCAATGGTGACATTGCCAACACCAAACCAGAACAAAGTTATCTCAGCTGATAATATCAAGTAAATGAGCAATCTCCTCATCACCTGCCACAGTGGAGGTTTGGCAACAAAAGAACAAAAGCACAACCAAGAACCAATTATTCTGTCATCAATCCTCGGTAATGCTAATGAGAAGTGAATTAAGTAACAAAAGGGTCACATTTTGAGTCAACTACATCACAAGAGCAAACACAGCTCAAATATTAATTTGAACAGAAAGCAATTCACCCAATCTGTATACAATGAACAATTGTTACAGATTAAGCATTACCAGATCGAACACAAAAATCAGAAACAACAATATATTAACTTCCAATCAAATTCAAACTAAAACCCAAATAAGCAATTAGAACCAAAGGGGGCAAACAAAATCAAAACTTGAAAGCAATAGAAGAAGCTTACCAGCAGAAGAACCCACGAGCAGGATCCTATGAGCACCGACATTCTCACAAAGCCACCGACAAACAGCGACGACATCCTTGACCTCAGCAAAGCCAGTAAGAGTAGCTCTCCCCGTGGACTTTCCAGCTCCTCTGGTATCGAAAGTGACGGCCTTGAAACCTTTGGATGCCAATTCAGAAGCTATGCCTTTGAGCAGAGCTTGACAACCACCCAAAAGAGAGAACGGGTGGACCAATACTATTACCAGATCCCCATCGTCGCTGGATACTTCTTCGTTTCTGGGTTTGAAGATTCTCGTGTGAAGCTTCACCCCTTCCTCCGAATCAACGCTACACGATTCCACTATAATGTTTGACGACATTTTCAGAGGGGAGAGAGAGAGAGAGATGAATGAAAAGTATGAAACTTTCGTTATGTTCTGTATGTACTATTTAATTAGAACACTATGTATGATGATATGACACTCAAATATTGTTTACTAAATTTCATATTTTGGATCCTCAGTGTCAGTGGGATATTCATCATTTGAAAATTGAAAGTCGATTAATTGATGTAAAAAAAAGTCAATCAATTTTTGTAAAAAAAACCGTCAGTCAGTTAAATTTGTTTTAAATGGATATTTATCCTTTCAAATATTTGTATCTATTAAATTCGTTAACATATTCCATAACCAGGTGTACAATATAAAGTATAAACTAAAAATGTAAATATGTATAGCTAAGATTTTACATTTTGAAATGTGAGTCTTGTATAATTTAAAAGTGTATATAATGTTTATCCTTTTAGATACGATATATGATGACTAAAAATTAGTTCATTTTGATTACTATTTTTATTTTTTATTATAGTAGTTTATTCCGATATTTTAATTTGTCAAATGTTCAAAGGGCTTAAATATATTGAACAAATTTAAAAGATGAAACACAAAAAAAAATATTATTTTCATAGTAATTAAAATTCGAAATTAATATTGAAATTGTTACAATATATATGATACTTTTATATGTGTAGTTATATTAAATAAATGTATTTAAAAGATAAAGAAAATTAATGGAAAAAATAGAGGACTTTTAGGAAAAGTGAGTAAACAAACGAAGAAGTCTTGGACCAAAGACCCTAGTCTCGATCAATCCTCCTTTTTCTGCCAATAATTTGGGTCAAATTGTTCAAAAGAGCTACTAATATAAAAACTCAATCCTGCTATTTAGGAGTGATCTTGTGATGAAAAATCATATATATATATATATATATTCCATTTAAAACGAAAATCATTTGGTTGATATTTTTTTCCTAAAAAGAAGAAGTCTTTTTATCATTATTAATAAAAAAAAATAAAATGAAGAAGTCTTTTGTTGTCCAACAAATTCGAAGTTTTAACTCCCTTAATTTCTCAAGGTGAGTAAAAACAAAACATATTTCTAGGGCAAGGAACACAAAACAATCTCAACAACTAGATTAGCCTCTAACTTCTCATATATTATTTTGATAACTCTATATAAGAACCACAAAGGCTTCTTCTCTTATTTACGCTGCATTAATTATATTGTTATTAGATCCACTTTGGCTAGCTCTCTGTTCATCTGAGTTAAGAACTCGATTTCACTTTTGATCAAACCGTGAGAAAGTTACAAAACACTAATCCTTCAACCATAAATGACAAAAGGTGTTTCTAGTTTCTCTCCATCGACAGTGTATCTCCGGCCCGTTCTCATCGTCGACACAACGTCTTCTCCTTCCCCGGAGATTGTTAGAAAAAGGTTATAGTTTGTCCCATGAAACATTTGGTTTCTTGCATCATATATAAAAATTCTATATCAAGTTAGTAGTTATTGTATATATGTGTTTTTAAATAAAACCTAGCTAATCATATTTTAATTCGCACAGATACCTAAAATGGCCTCTATGGATCCGAGAAGTAATGGCTGCGTTGCTCCGCTAAATGTATGTAAAGAAAACCATCACTATTATTAACATATATAATGGTTTTTGAAGATCTAACTTGAATGAGATATTTTTTACAAGGAGCGGGAGAGTTCAACAAATTTGGAAGTCGGTGAAGTGGTAGAGGTGCAAGATGATCAAAGTGTGGTGTCTCTTAGGTCCAACGATTCTGACCTTCAGAAAAAGATGATGAAGAAAGAGGAGAAGAAGAAGGGTGGCTGGACAAACGCAATCATTTTGCTAGGTATGACATGTTAACTATACAAAAGTTAAAGATTTTGTATAAGTACTTCAAGTATATTCTTACATAATTATTCACTATTAAACTGAACAGCGAATCAAGGGTTAGCGACGTTGGCCTTCTTTGGTGTGGGAGTAAACCTGGTGTTGTTCCTAACACGTGTTATGGGACAAGGTAACGCAGAGGCTGCCAACAACGTAAGCAAGTGGACAGGAACAGTTTACATGTTTTCCCTCGTGGGAGCGTTTCTTAGCGACTCTTATTGGGGTCGTTACTTGACTTGCACGATCTTCCAAGTCATCTTCGTTATCGGAGTCGGCCTCCTCTCTTTTGTTTCTTGGTTTTTCTTGATCAAACCTCGAGGTTGTGGCGATGGGGACCTTATCTGTAACCCTGCTTCTCCCCTCGGCGTTGGTATCTTTTATCTATCTGTTTATCTTGTAGCCTTTGGATACGGTGGTCACCAGCCAACGCTGGCTACATTTGGTGCTGACCAGCTTGATGATGATGCAAACTCCAAAGCTGCGTTTTTCAGCTACTTCTACTTTGCCCTCAACGTCGGAGCTCTCTTTTCAAACACAATCCTTGTCTACTTTGAGGATAAAGGTTTGTGGACTGAAGGCTTCTTGGTGTCACTAGGTTCTGCCATTGTTGCATTGGCTGCATTTCTGGCCCCGACAAAACAATATCGTTATGTCAAGCCATGTGGTAACCCTTTGCCACGTGTGGCGCAAGTATTCGTTGCCACTGCTCGGAAGTGGAGTGTTGTTCGACCGAGAAATCACCAGGAGTTGTATGAAGTCGAAGGTCCTGAATCCGCCATTAAAGGAAGTCGAAAGATATTTCACAGTACCAAATTTGTCTTCTTGGACAGAGCAGCAGTGATTACAGAGAATGATAGGTAAAACCATATCTAGACAACATAATTCATTTTTTCATTTTGTTATAATTTTAAACACTAAACTAAACTTCATATGATTGTCATCTTTGAACTTATGAATTAATATATATCAAGTTCATTTTGTTATAGTGTGACAACACTAACATAAAATTCATATGATTATCATCTTTGAACTTATCAATATTTGCTGGATTTAGGAATGGGACAAGGAGCAATGCATGGAGGTTGTGCAGCGTAACTCAAGTAGAGGAGGCAAAATGTGTGATGAAGTTGCTTCCAATATGGCTATGCACTATAATCTACTCAGTGATCTTCACACAAATGGCGTCTTTGTTTGTGGAGCAAGGTGATGTGATGGATGCATACGTTGGGAAGTTCCACATCCCTGCGGCAAGCATGTCGGTCTTTGACATATTAAGCGTCTTTATATCAACCGGACTCTACCGCCATGTCATATTCCCATACGTGAGACCCACGGAGCTTATGAGGATGGGGATAGGGCTGATCATAGGGATAATGGCAATGGTGGCTGCAGGATTAACAGAGATCCAACGGTTAAAACGAATAGTCCCGGGGCAAAAAGAGAGTGAGCTCTCCATTTTATGGCAAATTCCACAGTACGTGCTTGTTGGTGCGAGTGAGGTGTTCATGTACGTTGGACAGTTAGAGTTCTTCAACGGACAAGCACCAGACGGGTTAAAGAACTTAGGAAGCTCGTTGTGTATGGCATCGATGGCATTAGGTAACTACGTGAGCAGTTTGATGGTTAATATTGTGATGGCTATAACCAAGAAAGGAGAGAACAGCCCCGGGTGGATACCTGAAAATCTAAACGAAGGTAATATGGATAGGTTTTATTTCTTGATTGCCGTATTAGCTGCTATAGATTTCGTGGTTTATTTGATCTTTGCAAAGTGGTACCAACCCATAAGCCATGATGAAGAGAGCATCAAGGGAGGTTCTGGTGGTAATATGAAGAATGTTTCTGAGTCGGAACAAGTTTGATTCTCTTTTTCTGTTTAGATTTCAATTTTTTAGGCATTAAGTCATCTTTTGAGATGTATCTTTGGTAGAAGACTATCCTTGTTTAGTTTTTAGAAAATCAAGTGCTCGTTAGGATTACTGTTAGCAGAGCATAATAAAATAGGTAGTAGCTAGTTGTTGAAAAAATCTTCCGATTCTTTTGCGTTATTAATATAAAAAAGTTAATCCTTTGGATAAAATGTTTTGCTATCTCTATAGTTTTACTTTTGATATTCACAATATTTTCCTATTTACAGAATTTGAATTGTATTTATTTATGAATGATAATATACAATTCATCTCATATATGTTATATATTATATAGTTTTTGTTTTAAAAATGTAAATATTGGTTTAAGTGTATCTTGGTTGGTTCTTATATGCAACTCAAGTGTTGGGTCGCTATCGGTTTTAACAGTAACCGATTACTGTTCGAGTGTTGGTCCAATTTCATTCGGAGTTTAACTCAATTTGGTTCACGACAACAAAAATACAAAGATAACCGGTAAAAAAAGAAACAAATCTAGTCAAATATAAAAACCAAAGACTAAAAAGCAAGAATTAAGGTTGAACACAGTACTTTTAGCAAAGGGTGTTAAAAGTAGATAAGAGAAATTAGCTAGGGAGAGAACAAGGTGGCATAAATTTCTAAGAAGACTTGGACAATAACTTTGTGGTGTTGACGAGAGTTTAACGACAAAAAACACTGAAGAAGCTGTTGTAGATCAGCCGCTGCAAAGATCTGTCTCTCAACAATCATCTCCACCATCGACGTCCTGAAATCTTCGTACGGGTCCTTCGACTTCTTCACCACCGCAAAACTCTCTGCTCTCGAAGAAGAGTCCGAAGAGAAGCTTCTTGAAGAAAAGAGAGTACCAGAATCATCATCACTTTCTTCTTTGTGATCTCCTTCCTCCTCCTCTTCTTCTTCCTCGCTGCAAGACCAGTACCAAGACCCGGTTGACTTAAAACGTGAGGCGAAGAGAGGATCAGAACCAAACTGAGATGATCGTTGCTTCCTGTTTGTCTTGACCTTCTTCCTTAAATCACGGAACGAACGGCTCTCTTCGTAGAAAGGGTTTGGTGGGAAGAACCTCGATGAAGACGACGCATGAGGGCTAGAGAAAGCATGATGATGAGTCGTCTTTGGTCTTGGAGTTTTGGACGTTTTAGGTTCGGTGAGGAAGAACCTCTCGGAAGACGTGGCTTGACTTGTAACAGCACTAGTCTCAACGACATCGTATAGATCTCGTGGTCGGCAAGAGCTAAGAGATGTTCGGACCATTCTTGAAACCCGGAGCTTCATTCTTTTCTCCATGTTGTTATAGATGTAGAGAGAGAGAGAGAGATTGGTATGGAATGGAGTATTGAAGAAGGATGTAAATGACGTTATTAAAAGCCTTCTCCCATACTTGTCTATAAGACTTTTGAGGGAAGGCAGAGAGAGATAAATTCTCTGTTCTGTTTCTCTCTTTGGAGTGGCTTTCATATTTCGTAATATTTATGATAATTTAATGATTACAACTTTTTACGTTTTAACTCTTGTCTGCAAATGTCTTTTGTCCTTTCACTGTCGTCGTTATCTTAAACTATTCGAATTGCTGACACAAAAATTAACCATTGGAATTTCCTTGTTGCTTTTTTCTTTCTGTTTTTATTTTTATTTTATTTTGATGTCTATGTATTAGACATACTACTTGACCTTTGATTTGCTCGTATAATGTATATTTTTTTTTTATTTCACTATTTTTTTTAAAAATATTTTATTTTGAAAGTTTTAACAAAAAATGTTTTGTAATGCTTGTCATCTTCTAGTAGACTAGTAAAGAGTCAGTTTCTTTTTTAGCTTTTCAAATTCCTCATTATGAGGCAACTTTTAAAATTTCTTGGTACTATGTGTAGTAGAGAGGTGAGTTTGGGTAATTATACTATAACATCTTCTTCGTGCATTAGGAAGATGACTTTATCATTGTAACGTATGCATTGTGCCATCCCAAGTACTTATAAAGTCAAGCTTTCGTTAACGTTACAATATTCCTAATACAAAAAAAAGTATATTTTAAGATTTGTATAATGGAAACTTAATCCTGCCCCTGGAATTCGTGCATTAGTTCTGGAGTATGCTCGTTTTTTTCAAAAAAGGCAAACTTAAATTCAAATTAAATGATTGAAAATGACAATTACACAAAAAGGTAAGTGCACGACGATCACTAGAAGTCAAATTATATGTGCATAAAATAAAAATAAACTACATTGACTTTTTTAATACTACAAAAGAAAAGGTGTATTAACATATACCGATAAACAAAAGTTTCCAAGAGATTCATCATAGATTACTTAAAAACAAATAGTAATTTTTATCAATGTTATAAGATTGGTAAAGGTATATTGTACTACAGTCGTCTTCTATCAACAAGAATATTTGTAGGTTTAAGAATAAATGAAAAAACACTTAGCATATAATTTATAATGTTGCTCGTCTGCTCCACACTAGAGCCTCTCTCCCATGCATTTGTAATCCCACTATGAATACGATTGGGGGATCAAACCCCAATGATGACAGGTAAACCTGGCCAAAGTGGAGGACCACTATACTAGCCTCTCCAATAGCCTCTCGTCAAATTAGCATGATTTTAATCTTCAGCTGCTACACCAAACTTTCTAAAATGTGAAGTTTAAAGCACAATGGGATACATATTTTATTATATATCTCTTGTAAAAGAGGAGTTATAGGTTTGGTTTGGAAGTGAATGTGTGCGTATTGGCTAATCTAATTTCCTTTTTTACGTAAAAATAGTAAGGTTTTTGTGTGTGGTTGCTGGTTGGGGACCATATCAGCTTAAGTCTCTTCCTATTTGAAATTTCAAATCTACTACACTAAGTTGAATTACATAATCTTGTATTATCTTTTCTTAGGTTGTTGTAGACTTATTTTCGATGATTTTTTCGTCGACGTATATGTAATTTTTAATAAATTTTGTTATGAGAAAAAAAAGAATGTTGTATTATATAATTCCTCCCTAATATTTTACTTTTCGAAGTGAAGTTTTTCAGAAATTGATTTTCCTAAAACAAAATTGCCAGCTTTTTGGAAGTAAAAGTGAGACTCTACTACATTCTGTGGTCAGTCGGTGTAAATGACAGAAGATGTTAAAAAAAAGAAGACTGGAACCAGACACGGGCTACATGCTAGGCTAATCGACTCGACCCAGTTGCTCTTCTTCTTCTACGCCTCTTCTGCCTGATCCTCCATATGCTTATTAGCACTAGAACTCCTACAACACAACAACAACCCGGAAAAAATTGGATATGTTTTCATAGCCAATAAAATGATTAATATGACCAAAGGATAAAAGAACATCTTCAAAAAGGTTTGGGTATGTATATATATTTACCACTAGCTGCAACACCAGCTGGTACGATCCACCGCGTAGCAACTAGAAATGGCATGTCAATCTGCAAATCAGGTGTCAAATAATATTAACTTTTTGGTCCTTCCAAAATTTATTAGAATGACTAGAAGGTAAATTGAGTTACCTCGTCTTTATGGAAAAGGCCTCCCAGATACTTGTTTTTGGAAGAACCAAGCTCGCCTCCTTCCTTGGCTGATCTCCAACGTGTTGGTTTCGTATTCTCCACTGTCAAATTCAGGCCTCGGCCCAAATCAATGCCACGATATCCTGGCAATCTACGGTTCCTTCCTCTGACGTGCAAGTTATATCCCTTAGTCCCCCATACTTCATATCTGGAGTCACTCTTACAGATTAGCTCCTTTCCGATCACAGAAGAGTATGTTGAAAAATTTACATCTGTTCTTCGGGATGGCAGTTGGTTATCGTCTATGATTACGGGAGAATATCTCTTAACAAATTTTGAGAAGAGTACAGGGTCTTTGATATTTGAGCTGCTAAACTGTAGCATTTTCTTCAGGAGCCAGTAGCAGTTGGTGACCATATGGCTACTGTCCAGGCAATTTGAGTCTCCATAAACACCAACTCGACCTTCACCAATCTCCAAAAGCCCAAGAACAGCAGGGTCTTCCTGCATACAGAGCCGCATTATCACAAAAAAGCTCTACAATTTCATTACCAAAAAAAATGCAAGGCACACTACCTTCGATGAACCAGTTTGTAGTAAATTCTGTGTCGCACCACTCTCAGAGCTGTCCAGTAAAGGAAAAGTGTGCAAAAACCCACCAGCAGGAAACCTCACTATGTTTGTTCCAGAAGCATATCGACTCTGCTCACCGTCAATACTGAAATCCCCATTGAGAATTTTGTCTCCAAACGCAATCCCAAACGATGCAAGAAGGTTATTAAGTGCAGGGATATTTGCACCTCCAGTGACTGGAGTCCACCAACTGCGCGTGTTATCATCAAAGAATCTCATCTTCACCATAGTATCAACATTATACCACTCAGCAAACACAATCAGACCCAGTCCTGTATTGATAACGTCATCTCTGAGTTTTTCAATTTCTTCTGGAAAATAGTCATCTTCGAGGTCAACCATCAAAAGAGTTCCATATTGCTGAGCATCGAAACATGTAAGGGGCGAACCAAGGGTCTCGATATAGTACCCAGCATCACGTAACATGTTGTACATGATGTGAAAGTTTGTATGCAGGTGATCACCATGCCAATCAAGTATGTCGTTGCGGACATCCAAAGAGTCCCTTGGAATATAACCGGGAGGATATTTTATGCTGTGAAATTGATCCCACAAAATACGTTTGGCTCGTGGTGGAGTGGGAATCACTTTCAGTTTCAACTGAAGAGAACACGTACTTCTTCTAGGCCCACTTTCTCCAGGGGATGCGGGGCTATAGATTTTCACAGTTATATTTCCCTCTATTTGACCTGTGAACTGTGCACCTTCTTCCTTGATCTGCATGTGTACAGCTAGATAACCAGTCCAGGGCCATATGATATTTGGGTACTTAAAGTGAATGCTCAAAAGATTTCCTTCCTCATTTGCAGGATGCCATGTTGGTGGACTCTCAATATAGCCAATGACACCCATACCATTTAGAATTGTCGTGTTGAAAATGACAGGCATAGCACCCGCATATAGTGGCTGACGACAAAACGGCCAGGAATATGGACAATCATTATAATCAAGAATGCTTGGGAAAATGCTTGCCCGGGGATGGTAGCTCTTTAGAATTTCATATGATTCTAATCTGACAAAGAATTGAAAAATTAGAGACTTAAAAATTTAGAAAATAGGATCAAAATAAAAATAAAGAATCCAATGGTGATAACCAATATGGAGAAGTTAACTTACAGATCAACTCTTCCGGCACCCTGCTCATACATATTAGGACCTGTAAGCTTAGCAGCACCTTCGACCAACGCCTGCTTCATGCTCGCTGGATTGAGAAGATCCTTCCTTCTAGCTTCAGGAATAACACTTACAAGCAGACAAACAATACCAGCAACAACAGGACTAGCCACACTTGTTCCAGACAAGCTCTTACAACCAGTGCTGATCTTGGACCCAATAATGTCACGGCCATATGCAACCACATCTGGTTTGACACGGCCATATCTTTACACAAAATGTATAAGTTAGAATTTGCATGAAGACAAGTACTTTGTGTTTCTATGATTGTAGAGTTTGTAAAAGGGAATGTCGAAGCAGCAAATAAATGCAGTACCCATGAGGAATTTCCCAGGTGCTCATGCCACGAGATGAAAATGAAGCTATGTGATCATCATAGTCAATACCACCGACACCTATGACATCACTCTGGTCAGCTGGATTATTTAACGTTCCGTAAAGTGGCCCATCATTTCCAATTGCAGACACCATAATGATATTGCTTGCAGTTATTTCCCAAACCTATTCGAAAGAAATATCCCACCACTTGACTCAACAGGATAATGAAAAATTCAACCAAGAGATTACGAGACAATTACCTTCTCTACAAAAGGGAGATCCAAGTAATCCGGTCCCCCAATGCTCAAATTTAATACATCCATATTTGTTGCTATAGCATAATTGAAAGCATCAAGAAACCACGAGGTGTATGATATCTGCAACAAGCTGAGCGCAAACTTGTCATAACCTATTTGATTACGATAACTTTCATATCTAAGAAAACATGTATGGGAGGAGTAAGGGTGAAGAGTGAACAAAGAGAAAAGGAAAGCACCCAAATATATTGCAGTCAACTATACTGTCTAACGACAAAAAATAAAAATCAAACTGTAACCCATAACAGTATCTTAGCAATTGTAATTGGCTAAACACAAATATAAATTACTGGATCATGTGTGAGCTAGTTTAGTTGAAGGAACATTAAGCTCCTCGCTAGTTGCTACATAAGAAGATGTATATGTCGCGTGATCATGCATTACCTGGTTATCTGTGAACAATCGAAAAGCATAGATTTCCGTGTCTGAGGCAAAACCAAGACATTCCGAATTTTGACCAGCAATAACACCGGCAACAAATGTCCCATGGCCCAGGTTGTCATTCAAAGTGTCCTCATTTGTCCAATTTGTACGCTCCTGAAAGTTACTGCGTCAATACCAGCTTCAGAGCTTAACAAGACAGGTAGAAGATCAAAGAAAACTAGTAGGTTTAAGCACTACTCTTATCTGAAATCATTGAGTAATAGTGGCACCTTGATATTACGGAAATGAGGATGATCAGATCTTATTCCAGTGTCGAATATGGCCATTTTGACTTTAGCACCAGTGTACCCCTTCTTCCAGAGAACATCTGCTCCAAACATGGACGTAATTTGAGTCTTCTGCAAAATAGAATAAATGTAACTTGTAAAAGACCTCACTTACAGTTTACGATATGAAAATTAGCAAATAGATCCGAATAACAAAATCAAGTATTCAAGTAGATTCCTATGAACAAATAGAATATAGTAAAAGATGCTGAGAGAGTTCTGAAGATGCAACTTAACAATCTCACACCTGACCGAGAAGATGTCTACCCCAATTTAACGTGGTGTTACTTGTATTAGCCATAGTAGAGGAATCAGCTCCTTCTTCTAAAGAAATGGAAGTAAATATCTTCCCCGGACGTTTCTTCCCGTCGGGAAAAGACCCTCCAAGCAAAACTCTTTGATACTTAAACTCAACGTTCACGTCTTTAACCATCTCCAGCCCCTCAATCTCTCCAACCACGGCCTCTTTCTCGCTTTCCTCGATCCAAAGAACACCAAAATCAGTCGGATACTTCGCCGCCGCGTTAATCCTCTCGATCCAACCCCAACCACCGGATCGGACCTTCGATTCGAGGTAAATTCGATGGTTTTTCGCCGGCTTATACTGTTTAAATCGGATTATGTAGTTCGTATCCGTTGCAACCTCAGACTCCGAACGAGTTACATTCTGCTGATTGAGATTTTGTCGCTGGGGACGGTAAGTGCTGGGACGGAGCCAGAAGAGAGAAACGGAGAGGACTATGACGAGGATATAGGATCTGCAAGCTAGTGCAAACACCTTCATGGCGATGGCTGAATTTAGGGTTTGATAGCAAGATTCATTCGCACACGCACATCACGTAGCTGGTGAATTTGCTTCACTCCCTATGATTTTTCTAACCTCTGATTCTGATGAACACTACAGACTACAGTGATGGTGGAGCGACTTTTGAACCGGTTAGTTGGTTTAGGTTTTTAAGCAACCGGTTGTAAAATCCGGTTTATTGAGTCCGGTATAATACTTTTCAACAAATCGGTTTTATCTAGGAATTTTTGGTTCGGTTTGGTTTGGTTTATTAAGCTTCATCAATCAGTTTATCTTGGCCGAATTAGTCAAAGGTCGTCAAAGAGAAGAAGACCAAAAATACCAAAAATACACAGACACTTCACTTGGGTCGGAGTTGTCTGGAGATTCTACCATCTTCAAATCCATGTCTTTTCCACTTCAAGAGCTTCAGTCTACTCTGAGTTGAGCAACGACTGTTTTTGATTTGCAATTGAAGATCAGGATCATCAAACTTCTTGTGTTTTTTCCAATTTTGTTTGTTGTTTTTGTGAATGTGTCGGCAGGATAAGTTTTCAAAAACTCGCTGTTAAATACATGAACTTTACTGTTTTATGGGTTTGAATCTGTGTAATTATTCCCATGGAGATTAGATCTGAGCTGCGGAAACATTTACGAAGTGGAACAAGGAAATGGGCTATTCTGGTGGGGATCGTGGCTCTTACTCATATCTTGTTGTTACTTTCATATGGTGACGTCTTGAGATATCTGGTGCCTGATGGAAGAAGACTTAAACTGCCCAATGAGAGCAAGAAGCTGATGACTCTCTCACGAAACACGCTTGCCGTTAGCGTTTCTGAGGATTCGGGGATTCATGTCTTGGAGAAAAATGCGTCTATTTCAGGTTTTGGTCTAAGAAATGAGACGGAGGATGATGAAGGGTTTGATGAAACTGCTGATTTCGAGAGCTTTGAAGATGCAAAGGATAGTGTTGTTGTCATTAAACAAGTTGTTGAAAGTAGTGACACTCTTTATCCTTTAGAGATGAATGTAAAGCAAAGTGCGGAAATGTCAACCAGTAAGTATGGATATCAGGTGCAAGATGTGTCGGTTGAAAGCCAGAAGAAGGTGAAGACCTCTATGTTAAGTGCAAGTTCATCATTAGCTGCTTCATCCGTGGGGAAGCTACCTGTTTCTGGAAACAGTTCCTTGCTAGTTTCTAAGCAAGTTAGTAAGAAGAAGAAGATGCGATGTAACCTTCCACCAAAAACTGTGACAACAATAGAGGAGATGAATCGGATTTTAGCTAGGCACCGTAGAACTTCACGGGCAATGGTAAGTGTTCAGCTATCTCTTTTTGTTTCTTTCTATTTTTTACCTGTGGGACTTAACTGAAAAAGTATTGCTTCCAATGTAGCGACCGCGTTGGTCTTCTAGGAGAGATGAGGAGATATTAGCTGCAAGGAAGGAGATAGAGAATGCTCCTGTTGCAAAACTTGAACGGGAACTCTACCCTCCAATATACCGTAATGTTTCCATGTTTAAGAGGTAAAATTGCAGAACATAGACCTAATTCTAAACTAGATTTGCTGGTTAAGAAAAACAGTAATGGTACATACAGGTGTATATGGATCACTTGACATTCCTTTTGTAATGTGTTGATGAAATTTTAGTACTGCTCCGATTGTAGAATTCATATCAGTTGAGACAGTTTTCTAGTTGGAAGTTAGTATTGTGAAGGGAGGGAAAAGGGAAAGGAAGCCTGAGTTCATATTATATGTTTTGTTCACTTTGTTCTGTTTGGTAGTGTTTTCCTATAAAAGGTAATGTTTACATACCCGAATCAGTTATACACCTCAGGAGTTATGAACTTATGGAACGGACGCTCAAGGTTTATGTGTATAAGGAAGGAAACCGCCCCATTTTCCATACTCCAATACTTAAGGGATTGTATGCATCAGAAGGATGGTTCATGAAGTTGATGGAAGAAAGCAAGCAGTACACTGTAAAGGATCCCAGAAGGGCTCACTTGTACTATATGCCATTTAGTGCACGGATGTTAGAATTCACGCTTTATGTGCGTAATTCTCACAACCGCACTAACCTACGTCAGTTTCTTAAGGAATACACTGAGCACATCAGTTCCAAGTACCCTTTCTTCAATAGAACCGATGGGGCCGATCATTTTCTTGTTGCTTGTCATGATTGGGTATGTATATCCTGAACTTTTCAAATAGTACTAATCATTTCATCAATGGGTAAACAATATTACATTATAATTTTGCGTTCACTAAACAGGCACCATATGAGACAAGGCACCACATGGAGCATTGCATTAAAGCTCTATGCAATGCAGATGTAACTGCAGGCTTCAAGATTGGAAGAGACATCTCACTCCCTGAAACATATGTCCGAGCTGCCAAAAATCCGCAGCGTGATTTGGGTGGGAAACCGCCTTCTCAGAGGAGGACCCTGGCTTTCTATGCTGGAAGCATGCACGGTTACCTACGTGCAATTCTGCTGCAGCACTGGAAAGACAAAGACCCGGAAATGAAAATCTTCGGTCGAATGCCATTAGGTGTAGCGAGCAAGATGAATTACATCGAGCAGATGAAAAGCAGCAAATACTGCATCTGTCCAAAAGGGTACGAGGTCAACAGCCCAAGGGTGGTTGAATCGATTTTCTATGAGTGTGTCCCTGTGATTATATCGGACAACTTTGTGCCGCCTTTCTTTGAGGTTCTTGATTGGAGCGCGTTCTCAGTCATTATTGCGGAGAAAGACATCCCGAGGTTGAAAGATATTTTGTCGTCGATACCAGAAGAGAAATACGTGAAGATGCAAATGGCAGTGAGAAAGGCGCAAAGGCACTTTCTGTGGCATGCTAAACCACAGAGATACGATCTGTTTCATATGGTTTTGCATTCTATTTGGTATAATAGAGTGTTCCAAGCAAAGCGTAGATGATGGACTGCTTTTATGGCTAAGAGTTGCTAGTAATGTACTATGTAGTAATGTACTTGTCTATTGTATGAGTAGGAATAGCTACAAAGTTTGACTCTACCTTGTAAATATTGACCATATTCTCTCCTAATTTTTCTAAACTTTCTATTACCCTTGATCGGTATTGATTTGGGCCTATCCATGGGCTTACTCGGCCTTACATAACAACCCTACCGGCAACAAAATTACAACCTATAAGTATGCCTGAAACGTCGACGTTTAAGTTTAAGGGACATTTGCTTAGACCAGTTCCTTTGAAGCTCGTTCGTCATCAGAAGCTTGAACCAAAAAGCCATGAACAGTGAGAAGGAGGACGAGCCATCGGTGGAGATCGATGATTCGGGTAATGTTCTCGATCTCACTAGCTACCAGCTCCACAGTCTCGACACGGTCGAGTTGCCTCCGACCCTGACTGAGCTAGACCTTACGGCGAACCGTTTGTCGGGATTGGATTCGAGGATCGCTCAGCTCTCCGCGCTCAAGAAGCTTTCTCTTCGCCAGAACCTAATCGACGATGCGGGTGTCGAGCCTTTGTCTCGCTGGGAGGCGTTGTCCGATCTCGAGGTGATTCTCCACTCTCTGATTTTATTTATTTCTGAATCTTATGAGTGCTTTGTCAATAGTGAGATATGTCGATACGCATTTCTCGCATCTGATTTTTTTGTTGGCCGTGGAACAAATTGTGTTTGGCTAGTATCCTGTTCCAATGTATCGATACATATCTCATCTTTGATTTTCACTAGAATTGAATTGGCATTTACAGTTTCAGAGGTCCTAGAAATATGCATAAAAGTTTGTGGGCAGTGAACAGAGTAGATGGATTTTGTTCATCATCTATTGATACTACATTTTTATGTAGGAGCTAGTTCTCAGAGATAACAAGCTCGCAAAAGTACCAGATGTCAGCATATTCTCAAAGCTTTTGGTTTTCGACATATCTTTCAATGAAATCACTTCGTTGGAAGGAACATCCAAGGCCTCTAGCTCACTGAAGGAACTCTATGTGTCTAAAAATGAAGTTAACAAGATAATGGAGATTGAACACTTGCACAACTTGCAGATTCTTGAATTGGGGTCTAATAGATTGCGGGTTTGTCCCCACTCCTCTGATATTTTCTAATTGCTTTACAGTGGTTCAGCAATATATATGAACGCATTGAGGTTTCAGGTAATGGAAAATTTGGAAAACTTCACAAAATTAGAAGAACTATGGCTCGGAAGAAACCGAATCAAAGTTGTCAACCTGTGTGGGCTCAGTTGCATTAAAAAGATTAGTTTGCAGAGCAATCGTTTGACCTCTATGAAAGGATTTGAGGTATGTATTATTTACCATTCTGCAGACATCCTTATTCCTCAAACCAGCATTTCAATCAATCTTCTCATGCATGAAAACAATGTGCTCAGGATTGTGTAGCTCTTGAAGAGTTATATTTGAGCCATAATGGTATCTCAAAAATGGAAGGCTTGAGTGCATTGGTCAACCTACGGGTATTGGATGTGTCGAACAACAAGCTTACATCAGTTGATGACATTCAGAACCTCACAAAGTATTTCACCTTTCCTTGCTTCAGACTGAATTCTGACCGTTGATGTGTTGTTTTCTCCATCCTGACTTTACATTAACCTATGGTCCTATAGGTTGGAAGATTTATGGCTTAATGACAACCAGATAGAATCACTTGAAGCAATCACAGAAGCTGTTACAGGATCTAAAGAGAAGCTTACCACCATCTACCTCGAAAATAATCCTTGTGTAAGTTTAACCCATAAGTAAAGTCTTATAGTCACTGCTCATCAAATTTTTGTCACGCATTATTGTAGGATCACCTATCTTGGTTTTGGTTTGATATGGAATGTCAGTTAAATGATACACATATGATCCCGTTGCTGGTCTTGTTCAATCCACATGGTAATCTAGATAAATATTTTTTTTCTGTAACTTTTGATAATGCATAAGAAACCTTAGACCAACATTATCAAGTGTATATTAGCAAGATCTTAACCTAAGATTTGTTAAGAAATGATCTTAGTTTTTCCATAGAGTTTCTTATGCATTATAAAACAGAATTGAGTATCACAACTTAGTTTTCTGCATCCGTCAATTCACTGGACCCAATGTCTTTTTAGTTTTTAAAAAAAAATTTATGATGCTCACAAGATGTGAAAAAGAATCATATTTTACTATGGATCTATTAAGTAATTTGTAATTTTAAATATATCATTTTTGTTGTCCATCTCTTGGCAGGCCAAGTCTTCGGATTATGTTGCTGTGCTCAGAAAAATCTTTCCAAATGTGGAGCAAATAGATTCTAACTTATTTGCTTAAAGATGGATATACCTTCCTGTGCTCTTTTTTTTGAGTGTCTGCTTCCTCATAGTTCAGAGTTCAGCGCATGGGCACTTAATTCAGGAAATCAGGTAAAATAGAGATTTTCAAAGATATGCATGTGTCTGCTGTTTATCATAAAGAAGTGAAAACGAGTTCTCTTCATGGATATTTATGAAAACGTTTTGAAATTCTAGTGTTCCCTTGCAAGTAAACAATGCTTGTTTTTGGTCTGTAATAGTATGTGGACACTTCTCTGTAAAAGGGAGTCCCGAGTCTGAGGTTGTGTCTTTGTTTCCACCAACACTAACTTGAATACTTATATTAATATATTTTTGGCTTTGCCCCCTGGATTCTTAGCTTTATAGCTAAATGTGATTGTTGTTCAGTATTGAAAAGTTGCTATAGTTGCAGATTTTTACTACTCTTTTGGTTACTTTTTATAAAATTTGACCATCTAATTTATTTTTTCCACAAATGTACTTTTTTTGTTTCATCAACCAAACAAATTTGATATATCAGTATCAGAAGAAGTACAAGAATGTAACAAAAGAAAACAGTATATCACTATTTCTTAAACGGATTAAATGTGAAAGAAAGTCTTCTCTTCTCTTACCAGTGCAAAGTTCATGATGAAGAACAAAATCCGGGAAAACCCTCTCTATCGTCTCCAACTTAACCATTGTAGCAGTGAAGGAGTTCAGAGATATCTACTGAATCCGTTGTAAAGTAAGCCCAGTATTTTGTGTTGCACAAAACATCGCATCCCTCTCTAAATGTCAGTTACTCTATGTGTAGTTGTAAGATCCAACCCGAACCACTAGTTTCGTTTCATCATCCTAAGTCCAAACAGTATGTATATTCCACTGAAAAGTCTTTTATCACTGATATAACAATCTTGGTATTTAAAACCAAGGTTTTGTTGACCGGAGTGTTAATCGGTTCGGAAAGTCAACTCCACTCACCGGTTTGATTTGATTTGGTTGTTTACTTTATACACCACGTAAGAAAACCGGATAGATTAGAGGAGTTGTGTCGAATGAAAACATGACATGTGTTAAATCCACGAAGGCTGGGTCAGTCGTTCCTTTACTAGTTTTACCGCAGCTTAAACATGTAATTCCCGTGAGACAGATAGTTTTGCCGGAGATCGTTTATTTTCGCGTCCAAAAACCCTTCCGACCTCTGAAGTCGTCTTCTGTCTTTTGTTCTCACTCTCTTTTTTTAAATCCGATTCATCGAGCCGGTGAGCTCACCTTCCGCCGCGTAAAATGGCGGCTCTTGAGAGCCCACAGCCAGCTACGGCGACTGCTATGAGGCATGCTTTCGGCAACGTTCTCTCAGTTCTGATCCTCGTTCTCATTGGTGTCCTCGCTTTCTCGATCCGTCTCTTCTCTGTGAGTTCACTAACCTCTCTATGAGTTCGTTTCGTTTCAGTTTTGTTCTACAATATGCTAGCCTTTAAGATCCGATCGGACTAGTTTAGATCCGACTATTCTAGATCCGATCTCATGATTTGCGAGAGATTGTTGTAGCTTCATTTCTTACCCCATCCCCACTGTTTCTGTGTTAAAGAAACAGTTAAGCTGCGTCGGGGAGATATTGTCTTCGTTGTACTGTTGTAGTGATGGTTCATATTATCTCACTAGAGATATTGAGTGGTTTCAATTCAATGCTTGCTCGATGATTTTGTTTGTCATCTCTACTTGTTTGGTTTTACCCACCTCTTGCTTTTCATTTTCATTATTTTTTTATTAATGTGCATTGGTTTTTTTCAGGTTATAAAGTATGAAAGTGTGATTCATGAGTTTGATCCTTACTTCAATTATAGAGTCACTCAGGTTCACTCTCTTCTCTTATATCCAGATACTAGTTTTAGCTTTGTGGGCGAGTTCTCCTATTTAATTTGCTGTTTATTTTCAGTTCTTATCGAAGAATGGAATATATGAGTTCTGGAATTGGTTCGATGATCGGACCTGGTAAGTTTAGGATCTCGTGGTCTGTTGCTATCTTCGATAGCATTTTATTTATTACGTTTCAATTTATTTGGTTTTAGGTATCCTCTTGGCCGTGTGATTGGAGGAACTGTTTACCCTGGGCTAACGTTGACTGCTGGAACCATCTGGTGGTGAGTGTTGTTTCATTGTTATCAGCTATTATTTGATGCATATGTATGGCAGTATGGGTTAGTTTTAAATAGTAATGTTTCTATCCATCTGCCACAGGGTCTTAAATTCATTAAACATTCCTCTATCAGTAGAGACTGTTTGTGTCTTCACCGCACCTGTATTCTCAGCTTTCGCATCCTGGGCAACTTACCTTTTGACCAAGGTTTGTCTTTTGTCTAACATGATTTCTCTTGTAAATTCCAGAATCAGTGAATCCAACATTGTATTTACATTCTAACAGGAAGTTAAGGGCTCCGGGGCAGGACTGGCAGCTGCTGCTCTTTTGGCCATGGTAATTTATTCAATTGGTATACATGGAAATTTTCTTTTAAGTCATGTTTTGGAAGAGCTCTGAATAGCTTTAATTTCTGAGAACATCATGACTATAACTATAAATAGGTTGCTTAGTTATATGATGTCATGGTACACCCTTCAGTATTGGTGCATCGTTTAGTGGAATTTGCCACAAAAGCCTATCAATGTGATACTTTAGAATGTTAATGTTTTTACTAACTGGTTTTCTTTGCAGGTTCCCTCATATATATCCCGATCCGTAGCTGGAAGCTATGACAATGAAGCTGTTGCCATTTTTGCTTTGATCTTCACCTTTTATCTTTACATAAAGGTTAGAGTTTTTTTTCCAATGCCATAAAGTTGGTTTGATTTTCACCACATTGAGCATGTGTATCATATAATTCCTTCAACAACCAACATGAAGCTTTCTCTTGTAAATCTCAGTTTATTATTTCGATTGATCCTTATCTTAAATTTATGCAGACATTAAATACAGGTTCCTTGTTTTATGCAACCCTGAATGCCCTTGCATACTTTTACATGGTAGGACTTGAAATAATTTCTCTTTTTTCTCGTTACCATTGTTCTCTACTCAGCTTCACTTTATTTCCATCATCTAGGTATGTTCATGGGGAGGTTACACCTTCATTATCAACCTGATACCAATGCATGTGCTTTTGTGCATTGTAACTGGCCGATACTCTCCACGACTGTACATTGCCTATGCTCCATTGGTAAGAGTCTTATTCCTTCTGGTGAAAGATCAAAAATATTTTTTTAACTATCGAACCAGAGCAGGCCTTTCTCTGTTTTTTCCTTGAAAAATTCTAAATGTACAAGTGAGACTCAAATATATTATACTCTGTCCAGGCTCTGACTCTAGCTATTAGTAAGTGCAAAAAACCATATTCGTCTTATGATTGAGAAATTAAGAAATAGAAGAGACATAATTGTTTAAACCGTAACATTTCTTAAACTGTCCACTGGAGGCGTGATTAGGAAGATTCGAGAATGATGATTCATATGGTTTTCACGAATAGTAACATTCTTTAATATTATTCTGAAATTATTAGTCTTTCTATGTTGGAGTGGAGTGGTTATATACTTGTAAATATCAATCACATAAGATACTGAAATTAGTTGCAATGCCATATTACTGAATGTTATTGACAACAAGTGTTCGTATGAGTATGCAGGTTGTGTTAGGCACACTGTTAGCTGCATTGGTGCCTGTTGTTGGTTTCAATGCCGTTTTGACTTCTGAACATTTTGCCTCGTTTTTGGTGAGTTTTCTTCATTATTTTGTTATGCCTCTTCATTTGATGCTCAGTTTATTAATTTTCATTTTTCGTATTAAAATGACGATGTATTAGTTGGTGCATAGTTTTGTGGATGCGAGTTAACTAGTTGATGCTTACAGAGTTAGAACTTTGAAGCCTTTTAAAATTTCTCTTGTGGGATATGTTAATATGTGTACGTAGTAATGTGCATTGAGATGGATATATTGGCTTTAAGCTTAATGTTATTATATGTACGAAGTAAAGTTCAAGTGGACAGAATCTTGTACCCCTTATTCTCTTCATTTACTTCTACTTTTGTTAAGGAAATTTTATCATAACTTGTGCAGGTATTCATCATCATCCACGTTGTCGCTCTCGTATACTACATCAAAGGCATTCTTACTCCTAAAATGTTCAAAGTTGCTGTGACACTTGTTGTGTCTATCGGCATGTAAGCTTTCTTATACTGCTGCTCCCTAACATGTCTACGATTACCATTTTCCATATAGATGGGATTACCTCTAGATTTCCTGGATTATACACCCTGGGGTAAAATGTTTATCTCTGCTCCAATATTTTTGACAGGGTTGTGTGTCTCATAGTTGTGGCAATCCTTGTGGCATTGGTGGCTTCAAGTCCAACAGGAGGATGGAGTGGTAGGAGTTTGAGTCTACTTGATCCGTGAGTGGTTCTAGTTTTTCTTCTCCTAGCAATTTAGTTTCTTGGCAAATTTTGAATATGTCCTTGTCCACATTTCAGGAGTTCTGCTTTATCATTTTATAATTGTAACATATCTGACACTTCGTTTCTCTTGGTTTTATCTATCTTACAACAGAACTTATGCAAGCAAGTATATTCCGATTATTGCAAGTGTCAGTGAACATCAACCTCCAACTTGGCCGTCTTATTTCATGGATATCAATGTTTTGGCTTTTTTGGTCCCTGCCGGCATCATTGTGAGTTAAATTTATATTGTATTTTAGATTTTGTACTCAACGCATGACTCTTTGTCCATATATCTTGTGTTGATTCTTTTTCGTTTCTTATCTTCTGGTGGTAGGCGTGCTTTTCGCCTCTATCTGATTCCAGCTCTTTTGTGGTCCTTTACATTGTAATGTCTGTATACTTTTCTGGAGTTATGGTGAGTTGCATGTCTACGAATTCCAGTTTCATCTTTCTGTTGCCTAGTATTTTTAGTCAACCTTGTATTCACCTGTCTTCCTGATCCCTTAGGTTCGTCTTATGCTCGTGCTTGCTCCAGCAGCATGCATTATGTCTGGAATTGCGCTCTCTCAAGCTTTTGATGTTTTCACGGGTTCCATCAAATACCAGTTAGGTGGATCGTCTAATTCCGCAGATGATGTAAGTATGCTTCTCTCTCTACTTAATTCTCCGTGATAAGTCATCTGTGTTGACCAAGTTCTGGAAAATATGGTTTGTGTTTCGATTGTTAGGCAGAGGATACGAACAATGCCCCAAAAGATGATGCTGCTGCTGGTAAGACTGACAAGGGTGAAGAGACTGTAAAAGAGAGGTCTTCTAAAAAGGGCAAGAAAAAAGAGAGGGAGCCTGTTGAGAAACCTTCTATTAAGTCCAAGATTAAGAAGAAGGCTCTTGTTTTGCCACTTGAAGCCTCTATTGTTGCGCTTCTTCTCCTTATAATGTTGGGTGCTTTCTATGTGGTATGCAGACTTTCTTCGAGTTGTTTTTATGGTCCTATCTTGTACAGTTAGTTTAGACGACAAATTACAGGTGATAAGGCTTCCAAATGTGTACCTTTGTTTTGTAGATTCATTGTGTCTGGGCAGCTGCAGAAGCATACTCAGCTCCATCAATAGTTTTGACATCTCAATCACGTGATGGCCTTCATGTCTTTGATGATTTTAGAGAGTCTTATGCATGGTTAAGCCATAATACTGATGTGGATGACAAAGTAAGTTACTTAGCCAAAGACAAGCCAGTTCTTAGATCCTGTTAAGTTTCTTTTGGTAGATGTATAAGCTGTCTTTGATATATGAAGTTGCCTGAGTTTGGTATTGCAAAAACAAAATCATGTAGGTGGCATCATGGTGGGACTATGGTTATCAGACGACAGCTATGGCTAATAGAACTGTTATTGTTGACAACAACACCTGGAATAATACTCACATTGCAACTGTTGGCACTGCAATGTCATCTCCAGAAAAGGCGGCGTGGGAAATTTTCAACTCCTTGGATGTGAAATATGTTCTTGTTGTCTTTGGTGGTATGTGTTTAACTCATGAGATTGTCTTCTTATGTATTATCTCCGACGTATGCTCTCTGATCTGACAATCTTTTCATCAGGTCTTATTGGTTACCCAAGTGATGACATTAACAAGTTTCTGTGGATGGTTCGTATTGGAGGTGGTGTCTTTCCTCATATAAAGGAAGCTGATTATCTGGTACGTCTTTGTTTCTTTTGGTCTTAGCAACAAATTGTGATGTCTCAATCATTTTGAAGACTTTGAGTCTGAACCCGGTTACCTATTAATTGCTTTGCAAAGAGAGATGGCCAATACCGGATCGATTCTGAGGCCACTCCAACAATGTTGAACTGCCTTATGTACAAGCTCTCTTACTACAGGTACGATGCTTTCCTGTAAGTGTAACCTTGAACTCTGTTTACAAGTCTCAGTTTCTTATGTCTTTCTCCAGGTTTGTAGAGACAGATGGTAAAGGTTATGATCGGGTGAGGCGGACAGAGATTGGGAAGAAGAATTTTAAACTCACACATTTCGAAGAGGTGAGATTTAAATCCTTTACTACAACCCGGAGGCGCATTAATTCTACTTAGATTCTGGTAAATATGACTGGTATTGGCATCAGGTTTTCACGAGTCACCATTGGATGGTTCGGATATACAAGCTGAAACCTGCCAGGAACAGGATTCGGGGTAAAGCAAAAAAGCTGAAATCGGTAAGCGAAAGTCGTCTGAAATCGTCATAGATATTATTAAAGCCCACCTGCATTTAACATTTACGTATTTATGTTGTATGTACTTGAATCATACCAGTATTAGTGGAGCTTCTACTTTAATAGTCAGTACACAAGTGTGAAACAATGAGTTTAGAAGCTAAGAGGGATACTAAATATTAACGTAGCTTTGTTTTGTTGGTTGTGTTGGCAGAAAACAAGCAGTGGATGGAGTTCAAAATCAGCGAAGAAGAACCCTTGGATCTAGAAATTTTAAATGTTGGATGGTGAGTTATAAATGTTAACTCTTGGGTCTCTCTTTGTTCTCGAGGAATTGATGCAGACACGTAGTCAAGTTTCTTGTGTAGGGATTCATAAACAGTTTTGTTAACTTTATTTGGATCTGTTAAGGCGAATTTCATGTTTATTGCAGAGACATCTACAAATATGGTGGCAAAATCGAGTCAATCCAACCAAAGCAAAAGTAAAATTGAAATACCTCAAGTCTGACTTCTGAAATACAAATTTGCCATTTGACTTATTTGATCTGTTTAATAGTTTATATAAAACGGAGTCCGTGTTACGTTATAGGATGTTGCATAAACAAAACAAAAACTGAGATTTTATAAATTTATTTTAAACTGTTGAAACTATCGCATAATATAAAATATCAAAGTGCTCGCAAGTCGCAACCTCCCAAACACTAGGCATATGTTAACAGTTACAGTTATTACAGGTATCGTTTATTAACCACAAGTTACTATTATAAACTAAAATAATTTTGATCAAATAAAAACCAAATTAATTATGATTATAAATTATTTTAATTGTAAACTTAACCATTACATATAGTGTTAAAACAATTTTGGTTATATACAATTACAATTAATTATAATTATATTTATTTGATGATTACAATCTAGTTAATCTCGTAGGTAAAATTTGATATTTTTTATTTTTATAGTAAAAAATTAAATAATGATATTACAAAAATTAAATTATTTTATAATATTAAATTACCTTACGATATAAAAACAAATTTACATCCATTTTCTAGATTTTTTTAATCGATTTGGCATATATATATATATATATATATATATATATAATTTGGGCCAAATTTCTCAGAGGTGGAAGATGTCTTCGTGTTTACATGAACATCAAAATTCTCAAAAAGAAAAGTAAAGACAGCTAGTAAATGTATTTAGTAATCGATGAGATAAAAATTAGATAAATCGTATGGACAAGGGAGTATTTGAATTCAACTCTTTTTTATTTTGGGCAAGCATCATTGTACTTTGTGCAAGTACGACAAACGATAGGTTTTGCACTAATAATTTTATTAGAAAAAAAAAACAGATTGTCAAAAGCTCATAACAATATAGTCTTATATGATTTGACGAAAAAAAATTGTCAACGATTTTTTAAATATTATATATAGAACAAAAACGCAAGCAAATACGTATATCATCAGATCATTGTACGCAACTACATCTATATTTTACTAGGTTCGTTTTGTTTTTTCAAAGAAGAGATAACAAAACTAGCCAGGAGATACATAAAAGATGGAATGATAATCAAATTACCTATTGACAATAATATGCACAATAATTTTTAAAAAATAACCTAACATACAAGATAGTAAAAATAGTAAAAATATCAAATATCAATTTCAAATACAAGATACAAGATACAAGATATCAAATATCAAATATCAAATATCAATTATCAAATATCAAATATCAAATATCAATTATCATACAAGATACAAGATATCAAATATCATACAAGATACAAGATATCAAATATCAAATATCAATTTCAAATATCAAATACAAGATAGTAAAGATAGTAAAAATAGTAAAAATATCAGTATTAATTTCACAAGATAGTAAAAATATCAATTTTTGGAAAAAGCAAGTGCCAAAAAAAAAAAAAAACTATTCGAAGCCTAAATATATACGTGGACCTGTGTAAAGCTAACAAGCATGCTTCAGTGTTTTCTGGGACGACATGACTCCAATCGAAGAGCACGTCGCTGGGAGAAAAGTCATTAATCCAAACACACACATTAACATAACATAAAAATAAAAAAAAATTACGTTGGTAAAGCCTAGACCATGCCAGTGAGGCAATGACACATGCTTTTTCTTCATTTTAGTGATTTGTTTTTAACCAAGTAATTATTTATCAAAAAGAGAGAAAATTATCCAACCAATCTACATTATGATCAGCTATTTATCACTATGTTTTCTTCGGTATTATTTCGATAAGGTTTGTTAGCTATTTCTTGTATACATAAAAAGAACAAATATAATATATAGTTGATAAAAATAAAAGAAAGAAGAAATAGTAAAAATATATAAAAGTCAAATATATACAACGTAACTACTTAAAAAGTCAACCGTGTTAATTAAAACGAAGTCAACGGAGACATGTTTCGAGGTTTGGGGACAAAACCAAGAAGGCTTCACAACACTCCTAATTTAGAAAAGACAGGTTTTATAACTAAGATAAATTCTTTAATCCAAGAGCTAGCTGTACCAGAAAAAAATTTAAAAAAATTATAACAACAATGACTCGTCATTGATAACATATTACATTATGTTCAAACACTATATAGTTATCGATGACACGTACGATTTATATGTGTATGTACTAATCAATCACAAATACTATAATGTTGCGGCTCTAAATTATTTACAAAAGTCAGATTTAAGTGGCTGTTATAAGTGCCCAGATAGATATACAGTTATATCATAATTAATCCCCATTATGAAGATTTATATTTGTTACAATTTTTATTTATCTTAAACAATAATAATTTTTAACTAAAACTATGGTAAAAAAAAAATATAGTAAAGAGATCAAAATTCATCTACCGAAAAAAACAAGAGATCAAAATTCAAAACAATTATATAAAGATCGTTTAAATGTTATCAAACAATATGTAAGTTTGAAAATATTTAACTAAAATGAATTGAAAACAGATAATAAAATTAACCAAAATGTGTAAAATATAAAACTAATCTACGATATATATTTTGAATGTTATCTAAAATGAAATAAATAGATATATTAATACTATCCATTGCAAAGTGTTACATGTTAGTGCTCTAACACAATTATGCTTATATAATTTAGAAGAAAGAACACTTTATAAACATAATGTATTCCACTCTTTTGGTTTATAAATTCTGATTACCTACGAAAAGACACTAATTTTTATCTTTACTCAAATGCAACTATTACTTAACAAAATTGTTTATTATAATGTTATAAACCATCCATATTTTTCTTATATCACTTTTATCATTTTAACTGAATATTTAATATATTGAATTTATTTGTGTAATTAGGAATTTTGCGCATGTAAGTATGTGATAAAACAAAATATACCATTTAACAAATTATATGGAAAAACCATTCTTTAAAATGAGTGAAAATAACTAGAAAAAGTTGCTTTGTCTAGGTCGTTTATCCATATTATTATTATTTTAGTTTTTATTTGCAAACTCTTGTTCTCTTAAGCTACTAAAACATTATTTTAACTCATTTTAATTAATGTAAAAAATAAGTTAATTTATATCAAAACTATGAATCCGATTTCTTTTTTGGTTTCTTTCTCGTTAAAAGTACAAATTCTCACACCACCCTCCCAAAAAAAAACCGATCATTACAATAATAATAAAAAGATTTAATTAATTAAACAACTCAAAGCATACGATTGATCATGTCAGTCAGTAGCAACAGTGACAACGTAAATTAATGGATCCGATAAGTCTCCGTTTGTTTGCGTTGTTATTGCCACATCAAAGCTTTCGCTGCACGTTAGCTTCCTGGCTCTCGTTGCTTCTTTCTCCCAGTCCGTAGTGGCCACGACATAAAGCATCATGGCAGCACAACATATCTGAGCGGCTAAGAGACCTAACCAAAGTCCGGAAAATCCATATGCGACCCAAAACGTTAACCCAACAGCTACTGGCGTTCCAACGAGGTAAAACGCTCCTAGGTTTATGTTGGCAGCCTTGGACGGCCGTGCCGTGCCTCTAACAACCCCGCAGCCTACTGTTTGCGGGCAGTTCCCGAGCTCGCAGAGCCCAAGAATTGGCAGTGCGGCTGCGGTCAATTGGATGATATCAACGTCGTTTGTGAAGATCCTTCCCCAGACATCACTTACGCCCCAAGCAAAAGCAGACGACGTCATACCCATTACCCCGGCAAAGGAAACGGCTACTATGGCTGATAACCTAGCCGTGTTGGGGCGGTTTGACCCAAGTTCGTTACCGACGCGGGTGGAGACTGCAAACCCTAGAGACGAAGGGAAAATGTAAAGCAAAGACGTTGTTTGGATTAGTATTCCCATTGCTGCCACTGGAGTACTAGGGTTTATGAGCAAACCGCATAGAACGGTCATGATCTCGTACCACCACCACTCTAAACATACCCCGACGCAGCTAGGTATGGCTAGGCTGACCAGTGGCCCCCAGTCTTTGAAACATTCTGAGCTGGGGCTGGTCCACGTTGGCTGATGTAGACCTGTGATCCAAACGTGTGCCACGAGGAAAATGACAACAAAAAGATTTGAAGCGGCTGCGGCCATTGAAACACCCATGAAACCCCATCCCATGTAAGAAACGAGGATGAAATTGATGGGTATATGGAAGATGGTGCCGGCGAGTGTTGCAAGAGTTAGTGGGCTTGTGATACCTTGGGCTCGAAGGTATATACGAAGAGGGTGAAGAACGGAATTTGTGAGCAAATCAGGAATAGAGCAGAGGATATATGTCTGAGCCAACGAGGAGATGTTTGGATCTTGATGGAGATAGATCATGATCTTTCCCAAGTTAAGCCATAAAGCAACGATTACTAGCGAACTAGTGAGTAAAAAAAGTATGGCTCGTTGGAGAGTTAGAGAGAGGAGTTTCGGTTTGCCGGCTCCAAAGGCTTGTGAACAGAGTGGGTCCATGCCGAGTGCAAGGCCTGCGAGAACGGAGTAGCCTGTGATGTTGGCAAAGGCAATGGCTAGGGATCCACCAGCGAGCTCTAGTTCTCCTATATGGCCGAGGAAGAGCATCGAGATGGCAGAGCGAGCATAGAGGATAAGAGCAGCAAGGATTGTCGGGAAGGCTAAAGAGAATAGAGACCTTGCTTCTGTTTTAATTTCAGTGATTGTCGGGAAAATGGAGGTAGGGTTTTGTTTTTCCAAGTCTACCTTCGATAGAAGATTTGTTTGACTGGCGAGGTTAGAGGTTTCCATCTCTGAGAAATATACAGGAGACAATTAGAGACAATTAGATTGTATTGATATGATTATTTGCCTACATCCTAGACAAAGCCTCTCCGTCTTGTTATATATACATGATTTTTTTTGCATACATGGTTACCACCTCTACATCAAAAAGTCAAGTAAGATCTGAGGTGGCATTTGCACAATAAAAATAAAAATATTTAAGTCAAATCTTTATTTAAAAGATTTACTATGTAAAATAAAAAATTGCTTAACTATGGAAGAGTTTTTTTTAAGTTATTTTTATGAAAAAATACCCCAATTATTTCTATATCAAAGAAAAATGTGCAAAGTTTATACAATAAACTTAGGGAAATTATCTTCTTTTTCATTTAGTAAAAATACCCATTTTAAATTTAATGCTCTAAATTACATTATATGGATTGTTTTTGGTATTACTTCTTACCTATAGAAGTTAAACATTTATATTTATAAAAACAAATTTGTAAATATTATCCTTGAAAATCTTGTGCAACATATTAAAGAATACCACGTGCCGTTATTTACTATAAATTATTAGATTATGATATGTATTTTAAGATATACTATCAAAGCATAAATATGTTATTTTGTTTGATTTAAAATTAAATATGTTAGATTTAACATTAATTAGTTTCTCACTATTTTATATAGTATAGATTATATTTTAAATGACACGTATAATATATTCTTGTTTTTTTCTTCTTCTACTTTTTCTTTTATATAAATATATTCCTTTTTTGTTATCAAAATTATCTACACACTTTTATTCAGAATTGCATTTCCTTCATTTCTCCCTTTTACTTTAAGAAAACAAATCTCTCTTTGTTTAGTTTTTTTTTTGGTTCCTAAGTGTAATCCCAAATATCACTAAAATTACTTTGAAAAGTATAATTTTTTAATTCAGAGTATTAATCCTAATATTGGTTTGGTTAAGTTTTTTGGGTTTTTTGATAGAATAAAAAAATATCCATTAAAATATTGTCAATTTTTTATATTCTAAATGAGTTATTTTGGTTTGATTGAAACTAAATTAAAATTATTTTTCTAGATTGAACACTCTTAGCATTAGTATGTCTTGTTTTCCTTCCAGAAAAATCAAATAAACACTATATCTTATAGCACGATATAACACATAAAATGTTCCAAATTATTACAAGCATCAACTGATATTGAGAAATGGTTGGGTTTAGCCTGGTTGAAATATTTGTTGTACGAACTACGTACTTTAATTCAGCTTGAATTCACAGCTACATCTGTTGGACCAGCTTGTCTCATCAACTGGCAAACAAAGTGAAGAAGTTAGCATAAGGTTCCAGTTTCAAATTCATGATATGAAAGTTTAAGATATATAAATTAACCTGGAAGTAAGTCTCAAACTTTGTGCGGAGTTCACTGTGTTCTTTCTTAATATCACGTAGTGCTGATTTAATTCTTTAAAAGCAATTAAAATATGTAATTGTCAAAACCATGCTAAAACAAACTCATATCTATTTTGTTAAAGAACATTTCTCATATTATATATATATATGCATTTGATGTAAAACTAAAATTATAGAAGAGAAATGAAATTTTTTTTTTTTTTAAAAGAATGGAAATACCCTTCTATGTTGCCATCTTGGATAAATTTATATGCCTTCTTAAGTTCCTTATAAACTTTAATAGCGCCGATGCTGTATGAGACACACAGTATTTCATATTTCGTATTGTTAAATCTTAGATTTGAAACCAGATTACAAAAATATTATCACTAGCCTGGCGCTGCTGCTTTCTAACCGAAGAATGCATTTGGTAATCATGGGTACTTCTATTGGCTCTCGCTCCCTGTTTCAGTAATAATCAACATACAACTTAATTTACGTACCAACCGTTTCATTAATTAGTCAAGTTTTAAACTAATCATATCTTTTCAATCGAATATATCTTTCCATGTATGATGTATTATTATATAAGTTTCATTGTTTGGTGCATTCCATTGATGTAATACTAAGTGGATTTCAAATGGAGAGAGATGGGGAAACTCACAATTCATGTTCCAAAGCTGCAATGACATTAGGGGAATCTCTGAAATAAAGAGTTATTACTTCTATAATAAAATTAGAGTTTGTGTCTTTTGCCAATGCCTCAAGCTGAGTATACTGACAATTGAGGTACCCCTGCATCAATGTTCATTTTGAAAGATTAAACGTGATTCCTAAGAGAAATATATGTTTTCATTGTTTGATCGATGTGTCAAAATGAGTATGTTTATATATGAAAAACTAGCAATTCAAATAATTAAACATATATCAATCATATTGCTGATCTTATGTGCATTAGTTTGAAATTTACTAACCTCGTCAAAGAAAGATTGTCTAATCTCTTGAACTTGTAGATGGAGGGATTTGATCACCATTTAAACTAGAAAATATTTGTTTAGAGAATAAGTTTTTGCAACGTAAAGAAGAATAGTATATGGTCAATCAAAGAGAGTAAAATGCGTGTTCATGTTGCAAGTACAGATCAAATCAACACATATATATATATATATAGATATATATATATATATGGCAACAAAGTGAAAGCATAACATTGTAAAATTTAATGAGAAAATCTTGAAGCAACATCTTGTTAATCGACATTTCCAAGTATTAAATTGTGTATATATTTGAAGCAAATAGTATTCGATGATAATTAATTTGTTCTTGCTTAAAGAGAGATCACATAATATGTTGTCTCTTAAGATTACTAGTATTTTCCAAAGAGTCATGGGTGGTGCAATGACTCTAAACCTATGTGACTTTAAGAAAGCTTGATACCACCAAATCTTGAAATATAAATACATAATCTGGAAATAATAATAATAAAATATAAACAAATTCTTTTGTTTAATTAGCTGAAAATACAAATTTATCAAACGATTTACATTGTATATATTGTGGTCAACTTGCAATTAAGCTTCTGTAATAGGCTTCCAAATGTTGTGCAAATTGATTTAGTAATGTTTTATTTTTCGTTTATTCATACAAAAGATTTTTAGTCAATGTTCCACACAAGTAATTCACTTAAACATGGTTCATGGAAATGTTGAATGGAAAAAAAATATTGATTGTACTTCTACACTCAGGCCGGTCCATATAGTTTTACTAAACTGTGTATAACATATAGGAGTAAGAAAATGTTTCACGTTTATATTACTACAAAACAATGTGATTTTTTTCTTTGTTATTGTCTTTTAGAAAAAGGTTAATTGTATAAAATTTTGAATCTTTGCAAAATAATAACCAGAGATTTTAGAAAATCTGATTCAATAAATGTTTTTAGAACTTGAAATGGATTCTTGAAAAGGAAAACGAGATACAATGAATTGTATAATGTTCCAGCTGCTTCTTTCTGTATACGAATCTTAACATTTCGGACACTAATATAGACTTTTTTTTTTTTGCATCCGATGGTCTAATTTGATATTCATAAAAGTGCATGCATATTAGTTTACCAAATTTTCTTTTATTATTAGCTGATTCTTTTTCTTGGAACTGATAGAAAGAAAAACAAAAGAATCTGTAAGAGCCAAAAGAGAAAGAGTGAATTAACAGTACACGAAACTAGGGAGGGACCAAACAAGATCACTAAAGAACTAACTGAACCCTAATATATATTGTGAGTATCATGCACACGCCATCATCATCAGAACTCAGAAGCCCTAGTTTATCGGCGACATGGCTCCCAAATATGATAACTCCGTCGAGCACTTACTCAGCGTCGGCTTGGACGAGCAAACTGCACGCAACACTGTGGAGAACACAGCAAGGTCACATCCGATCTCACTTCCCTTATCCACCAGGTCAGTTCTCACTACTTCTCAGTTTCCTCGGGTCCAGTTTCGTATGTAGTCATCTCTTAGAAGTTCTATAGGTTCGATGATGATTAATCTGGAGTCCTTTTACTTGTTTGTAGGCTGGTGTCACTGATGGATGCGACTCCTGGAATCTACTGTATTCGGTGAGATAGATATTCTGATTCTGATGGATCTCAAATTCCAATTTTTGACAAAGTAATAAAAGATGATCTGTTCTTTTAGTTAAACCTACGATAGTGTTAAAAAAACACCTACGATAGTGTTATGTTCTCTTGTTAGTCACATACGAAATCTTAAGTTTCTTCTTATCCAGTCCCATGTCGTTAATAGAGAGAGTCCCTGCCAAATTAGAGGTGAGCTAACTTTGGTTTCGTTTCAATATATATATATATATATAACTTTTTTTTTTTTTGTATGTTGTGACGACTTTAAACCAACACTTCTGTCCTGTGGCTACAAACTGGCATATGATACTAAACTTTATTAAATCTGTCTATTTATTGTTGTTTATTGAAGTGATGGTAGTAGCATGATAAATGTGAGTCGTCTTAAGCATCATATCAAAGAGGAGTTGGATAACACATCTCCTCGCACCATGGTGGTGCTGAATCCTCTTAAAGAGGTCATCACCAATTTGGAAGCAGACAAGATTATGGGAGTTGATGCTAAAAGGTGGCCTAAGTAATGCTCAGAATGACCACCCCTCAGCATTCTACAAGGTGAGATAAGGTTTCTCAAAGTACTCATATTTTCTTACACATAGTGTAACAACAGAGTTTTATCTTTTTCTGATCTATGTTCCATTCACTGGAGTTATATACATTGAGCAATCTGACTTCCAAAAGGAGGATTCAAAAAAAATATCATGAACTTTCCCCTGGTGTTCCGGTATGACCATAGTTTCCTTTAATTGTATAACTTTGAAATCAGATAAAAAAGTATATAAAAAAATAACAATAAGCATTGAAGGAATGGAAACAAACAGTTCACGAGAAGAGTGTTTTGTCCCTACCACAAACGAACAAAGAGTATAAGAGGAGAGAGTCACGGGCACTGAAAGACAACATCAATTGATATTATAGTAGTATAACTAAGAAAGGCCACCTTTAAATTTGTTAGTTGTGCACAAATACTATTCACATCCATAAATTTTAAATGTGCACCGCTCTCTCAGTGGACTCTCATCATTCATCACTCATCACCACCATTCACCCAAGCTATTTTTACTTTATCTTTACTTCCACATTTCATTAGTAGTTTTCAATGGTGGTGGCAGCATGCGACTTTGGTACCCATGAGCAGTGCAAACAACTGAAATTATTTGGTTATCCACAGTGACATGTGTGTACTCTTAAGATCTGCCCAAAACAGAGTATTTTACTCTGCAAAAAAAATTTCACTATAAGAAGCTTACCAATCACAGCTTTTATGTTCACTGGCATGGTTTAAAATTCATATCAAATTTTGAAAACATATATTTTTAACTGTATTGGATTAATAGTATTAATCTTCTATAAAATACTACTTTTACATAAATATGGTGATTATAATATGGCTTTGGACAACAAAATGAAATATATTAAAATTTTAAATATTTGGATCAGCGACATCTTAGAATCAAAAGTACACAGATGGCAGATCATACATGGGTATCTAGATCCAATTAACAAAAAAAAAAACTAAACAAAAAATCAAATCAGAAAAATACAGAAAATATCATATAATTTTTGAAAAAAGTTTAGAACCAATTATCACGGGAACTAAAAAAAAGTACTCCAATTTATAACTATGAGTAAGTATAAAACCGATCAATATTTTAAAATTTCATTTCTCGGATTCAGAAACTGAGGATAATCTATTTCTAGAATGTTATATTAGAAAATGTAATAATTTGTCACAACCTTCCACCAAAAATGGAGAACATCCATCAATATTAATAGGTTTCAAACAACTGAACAAGTGAAGTCATTAGCTTAATTATATACTCATATCCACGTGTGTAAGATCAAATAGTAATACACTCGTACGTGAACAGTCTGAAATATTTGGTGGGCATAACAATTGTCTTGTAAGTTATCAAGTAAATTGGGTTGTGTATGTACATATATGTGTTGAAGTAATATTCTGTGCACATCTAGAAATTAGACTAGTACTTAACTTATTTGAAAGAACTTGCATGTAACGAGTTTAGTGACACTTTTATAAACGCAAACAAATAACATTAAAAAAGAATGACTTTATGATTATTTTTGTTTCGATATCATAAACGAACTTAGTTTTGGCTCATGTTCAACACATAGTTCTTGTGTTTGTTTGAGTCTGCATTTTGTTCAAGAAATTGAATTCACATATGGTATAACTCGTGATTAGCTTTTTGTTGTTCAGTGTAATAAACAAGAAACACCAATGTGGGTTGGGTTCTTTTTTTCTTGTGTGGGTTGGTTTTTATAACTAAATAATAGAGTCTCCTTTGTCTTTATATTTGGCATGTAGCTAGGCTTCTCATTCTACGTGGATGTGAGTGGAACCGCCCCGTGACCTCAACCCTTCTGTCTCTTTTCACCTAATTCCCTTACCAAAGTACCAAACACTCGACCACCTCTAACAACATCCACACACACACACCCATATATATATACACACACACACACACATACATATTGAGAAACCACATAGAAGCCATATAATATTTTGGTCGTACCTTTGTATCTTTGGCAAAACACAAAAAACCAAAACCATAATAAAAAGCGCTCCTTATATTTGTGTAATTGATTCTAATTGTCGTATAGATGCTCAAATTCAATTCAACCAAAGCTCCTAATTTATTTCTTCTCTTTCTCTTCCTTCTTGTTATCCTTCTTTGTTCAACGCAAACACAATGCCACACGAAAGGTCTACGGTTACGACCAAGAAACCAGAAGAATGTGAACGCGACGAGTGATCGGACACAAAACCCGGAAGATGAGTTCATGAAATGGGTGAGATTTGTTGGGAGCCTTAAACACTCAGTGTTCAAGACAGCCAAGAACAAACTCTTCCCTTCTTATACGCTCACTGTCCATAAGAAATCCAATAAAGGTGACTTCACTAAAATCCAAGACGCCATTGATTCTCTCCCTCTCATCAACCTTGTTCGTGTCGTAATCAAAGTTCATGCCGGAGTTTACAAGTAAGCACAAATCTTTCTTTTCAGTACTATATTATTTTACATAATTAATTAACAGCTCTATACGTATCATGTGATTAGTCTGAGTTTTATTGTTATAACATTATAATCAATATATATATTTGAATAATGAGGTATAGAAGACAGAAGATTAATTCGGTCGATCTTGCAGGGTGATTATATCAATAAATAAATAATGTTAATTATTGGTACAGTCACAATTGATCAATTCCATTTTAGTACCACATGCATGATCAGTAGATTTGATACAATATTCGGTATTTCATTCCAACAGCCTGAACCGTAGATTCTAGAGTTTTGTCTATATACATTTTGCATTTTTGCAATTTGTTACCACTCTATTTAACTAGTATAGATCTACCATATCTTTACTTTTCGTTCTTTCCAGCATCATCTGCATGAGCCAAAAATATATATGAGTGAAATTGAAATGAGACACGTACGTATCAAATAAATAAATGAATAGCAATCTTATCAATGATCTCCATCCCTCGAAATCAACACTATATGATCACGTGAACTCGGAATTTTGTAAGCTGGATGTATTATATGTACACAATCTCTAGGAAATTGACTTTAATAGTGACATTTTGGGTCTTTGTGTGTTATTAAAGCGCATAGGTGGTCCACAACGCTTATGTCCATAGTTTGATATTGTTATGATAGCTATTCTCAGAACTATAACAATTTGATCAGGAAGATATTAATATTGATAAATATGAAAATTTTGGGGGATAATGTGTGTAGGGAGAAGGTGAATATACCACCAATGAAGGCGTTCATAACAATACAAGGGGAAGGAGCAGAGAATACAATAGTGGAATGGGGAGATACAGCACAAACACCTGACTCAAAAGGCAACCCCATGGGGACCTTCAACTCTGCCTCTTTCGCCGTTAATTCTCCTTTCTTTGTCGCCAAGAACATCACTTTCAAGGTTAGTTATTACGAATATAGTCATATATAGTTGTCTTCAAGTTTATTTGTACGTATAAGTTTTAAATCCATCTCTTAGCGGTATTATATGTATGTATGTAGAACACGACCCCGGTCCCTTTGCCTGGCGCAGTTGGGAAACAGGCAGTGGCATTGAGGGTGTCCGCAGACAATGCAGCGTTTTTCGGGTGTAAAATGCTTGGTGCCCAAGACACTCTATATGATCATTTGGGAAGACATTATTACAAAGACTGTTACATTGAGGGATCTGTTGACTTTATCTTTGGCAATGCCCTTTCTCTCTATGAGGTAAGCATTCTTACTTAGTGGTCTCTGTATCCATAGAACACTTTCTACGGTGAAGTAGCAATTCTAGATTGGCTTGCTCTAATAAAAGTGGTATTTTAGGGGTGTCACGTGCATGCGATAGCGGATAAGCTAGGAGCAGTGACGGCACAAGGGAGGAGCAGTGTGCTAGAGGACACCGGATTCTCGTTCGTAAAGTGTAAGGTGACAGGGACAGGGGTATTATACCTTGGGAGGGCATGGGGTCCCTTCTCAAGAGTCGTCTTTGCTTACACCTATATGGACAACATCATCCTCCCTAGAGGCTGGTACAATTGGGGCGACCCTTCCCGTGAGATGTACGTTTTACTTTACTCCTCCTCTTTGGATCTCATTTTTTAAATTACGTATATAATTACCAAAGTTTAGTCGGTGTAGCTCTGACTCAACAAGCTGATTCAGAGAACATGCCATACTTTATTATAACTGTACAACACACTTCAGTCCAACTTTACAAAACATGATCTCGTTGCCTCATCCATTACATAGTCGTATGTCCCACCACTCCACTATTGTATATTTCAGACCGACCTCATTTTTTTGTCTTTTTACCCAAAAACTTTGCTTTTGATAAATAGTATACTTTTGTGTGTGTGCGCGCATGCGTTTGTATTTTGTATAGATATATATATTGAAACTTAAATCCATCATCATATCTTCTAGTGCTGCAAAAACTCATGTGTATAGAGAAAAATGTTGTAAATGAAAAATATTTGTGCATGTAGGACGGTGTTTTATGGGCAGTACAAGTGCACGGGAGCAGGAGCAAACTATGCAGGGAGGGTGGCTTGGGCAAGAGAGCTCACAGACGAAGAAGCCAAACCTTTTATATCTCTTAACTTTATCGACGGCTCTGAATGGATCAAACTCTAACCTTTACACACGACTTAATAATGTACATTTTCACTATAATAAAAATCAAAATATTTTATATATATAACATCTTACATACATGCACACCCCATTCCAATGACTCGACGCCCATTCAAAACATTGCCGACCAAGTCCTATCTTGCACTTTGATATGTTGTTCTTTTTTCGTGGTTCCATTGTATTTTGAAACAAATTTGTATATTTTAATCGATTATTTTCATATACTAAATGAGTTTCAAAATCTATATCAGAATTCATGATTCTCAGGATTACATTTTTATGTAATAATAAAGTAGGGGTTGGCGGATATGTTTTAAAATGACTTTGATATGGACTTACAAAATGGTGGTCATTTTGTATTTTCCACTCACCTAACTGCTGAAACGAGTTTTCCAATATTTATAATTTTTTTTACTAATCTTATAAATAATTTTTTTAACACTTCTAACAATAGCCACTAAAAAAAAACATTTTATGTTGTGTCACCAATGGGGACCCAAAATCAATATGATATGGTAATAATAATTATATGTACAAATGTTATTAATTAAAGTAAGAAGATTCCTCCGAAGAATCAATAATTGTGGAACATCAAAGAACCAAAAAGGCGACTCCATTGATGATTATCTAAGAAGAAGAAGCTTCACTGATGATGTCCAAGTCAACAGCTCTCGCCTTCGTAATCGTTGCTTTATCTTATTCCTTCTTCTTACTCTTCTCTGCTTCGCCAAAACATCACTACCACGCACTCTTCATCTCTTCTTCCTTCTCCGACAACGCTTCCGTCGCTCTAAACCTCCGTACCCTCACGCGCCGCCCTCATGTAGCCGGTACAGTGGCCAACGCTGAGGCTGCTGAGTATGTTCGCTCTGTTTTCACCTCCTCTGCACTCAAAGCACACGTCGTTGCTTACCATGTCTCTTTAACTTACCCTCTTCATCGCTCTTTGGTACTAACGCCAACAGAATCAGCAACACCGATCACTTTCGAGTTGGAGCAAGAACAAGTTGGAGACAATCCTTACGCTGATGAAGTGATGCCTACTTTTCATGGATACGCTAAGTCAGGTAATGTCTCAGGACCAGTGGTTTATGCAAACTACGGGCGAGTGGAAGATTTCTTGAGACTCAAGAAAGAGATGGGTGTGAATGTCTCTGGAAGCGTTGTAATTGCGAGGTACGGTCAGATTTACAGAGGAGACATTGTGCAGAACGCGTATGAGGCTGGAGCTGTAGGTGTTGTGATATATACCGACAAGAGAGATTACGGCGGAGATGAGTGGTTTCCGGCGAGTAAATGGATGCCACCGAGTGGGGTTCAGGTTGGTACTGTTTATAATGGGTTGGGTGATCCGACGACTCCTGGGTGGGCTAGTGTTGATGGGTGCGAGAGGTTATCTGATGAGGCTGTTGAACTGAGCGGGGATGCTCCGCTTATACCTTCCCTGCCTGTTTCTGCGGCTGATGCAGAAGTGATTTTGAAGACTGTTGTTGGAGATGTTGCTGATGGAGATGTTTATCCAGTTGGGCCTGGACCTGGGATCTTGAACTTGAATTATACTGTAAGTGAAATTTGTTTGTGTGTTACTTATTTTTAAGGGATTTGAGTTTTTGGGTCTTGGTTTTAGGGGGAAACTGTTATAGCCAAGATTGAGAATGTTATTGGAGTGATTGAAGGAGAAGAAGAGCCTGATAGGTACATTCATCAAAATATGAGTGGAGATAGACTAAAGGAAACTTGTGATTACTAAAGGGATTGTATTTGGATGAATTGGTTAGATATGTGATTCTTGGAAACCATAGAGACGCTTGGACTTTTGGAGCTGTTGATCCCAACAGTGGGACTGCGGTGCTTTTGGAGGCGAGTAAAGTTTCTTCTCTCAACATTTATGTGTTTAAAAGTTGCAGATTGTTACATTTGAAATGAGAGATCTTGAAACTATTGTAGATTGCACAAAGATTAGATAAGCTGCAGAAAAGAGGATGGAAGCCTAGACGGACGATTATTCTGTGCAACTGGGATGCTGAGGAGTATGCTTTGGTCTCTAGTCTCTCTACTTCACTTTTTTTAATGTCTACTTTTGTATATGTCGAAAGCAGCAGAAAATAAGGGTTTGATGTGCATTTTCATGCAGGTTGGGTCAACAGAATGGGTAGAAGATAACAGGGAGATGTTAAGTTCGAGAGCAGTGGCCTACATGAATGTAGACTGTGCAGTATCTGGCCCCGGGTTTCATGCCTCTGCGACTCCACAACTCGATGAATTGATCAAACTAGCGGCTCAAGAGGTCCTTTGAAATCAGTTTTACAAGCATATGGGTGGAATATAACAGTCTTTTGAGCTAATATTCTTGAATGGTAAGTGTTAGTTGTTTCTGTTGCAATGACAGATTATAAAGCTTTTTGTTCAACTATTGCTACAGGTCCAGGATCCAGATAATGCAACGCAAACAATCTACGATTCGTGGATAGGATCAAGAAACTCTGTTGTGGTAAATGACAACACTAGATTAGAGTATGAGTTTTGTCTTATGGTTAAACTGATTTGTATACTTGGTATGTGAAGATCGGTAGATTAGGGGGCGGAGGATCGGATTACGCATCATTTGTGCAACATGTTGGCGTTCCAGCAGTTGACATGCTTTTCGGAGGAGGTAAACTTCCAAAACAGTAGATGAACTAAACATCATGGTCTATTGCATAAACACTTTAGTCAATAAGATTTTCAATCATGATTTAGAGACTAATCTTGCTAAGTATAACCATAATTAACAGGCTATCCAGTGTATCACTCTATGTATGATGACTTCACTTGGATGGAAAAATTTGGAGACCCGATGTTTCAGCGACATGTGGCAATGGCTAGTGTTTTCGGTTTGGTAGCTCTACGGTTAGCAGACGAGGAAATCTTACCATTCAACTATATCTCCTATGCATCAGAACTCAAAGTAACTAATTTAAATCTTGTTACATATGACCAAAGCAATTGATAGGAAAAAAGAATACTGGTAATGGTAGTTGTCTACCTGCATAAACAGAAAAGTGCTGAAGACTTGGAGAAGCTAGGCCATAGCATAGATGTTTATCCGTTAATCAAATCGATCGAAGATCTATCTACAGCTGCAGAAGGGATAATTACAGAGAAAGAGGTAACGGCACTGGTTCACATTTGACAAAGTGATAAGTAAAAGTAGTTTATTGAGAAGCAGTCTTGATTGGACTGTGCAGGGAATTAAGGGAGCTCTGAAAGTGAGAGAGCTAAATGACAGATTAATGATGGCGGAGCGAGCTTTAACAGACCGAGATGGACTCTCGGAAAGACCATGGTACAAGCATTTGGTATATGGACCATCCAAGTACGATGACTACGGTTCCAAATCATTCCCTGGAGTTGATGATGCAATCGAGAATGCAAAGAAGCTAAACACAAAAGCATCTTGGGAAAATGTTCAACATCAGATATGGAGAGTCTCTAGAGCTATAAGACAAGCATCACTTGTTTTAAAAGGTGAACTGAGATGAGTATCATTCAGCACAATGATGGAATTGGAAACATAATGAAGGCAGAGTCTATCACAAGTGAATATGTTTTCCTCTGTTTATTCCAACCAAAGTCAAAGTCATCATAATTATACTTTTGACTTTTTGATGAAGTCCAAATTTCAGTTTTTAGTGTTTACCTTTTGTAAGGCCCATTAGTAAAGCCCAAAACATTTCTAGAAGCTAAAATTTCTTCAATGTTTGTTTTATTCGACCACGATCTCAGGATTCAGGAGTTGTAAAAATACGACGGTCACCGTTCAGTACTGACCAGACGAAACCACGATGCTAAACCCCATCACTTTAACCCGGAAACCACCTCTCCCCTTCAGTTCTCTTGGGTTTTCCGGTAACCACACTTCTTATTTTGGTAGAAAGACTCGAACTGAAGCTGGTTCGAGCAGGGCTCTTTCGTTTGGGTACAAAAATGCTGGTTCACTGAATTATGGTCGCAGCTATTGGTCTGGACGTTCCGGGACTGGGTTTGGGCATCTGGGTCGGGTCTCTTCGGTCTCAGGTGGAAGTTCAGGTGGCTCCGGCGGGTTAGGTGGTTCAGGTGGTGGCGGTGATGGTTCCGGCGGTGGAGGTGAAGGTAGCGGCGGAGATGGGAAGAAGTGGTCATTCCTCTCATGGTTAATTTTCTTACTTCTTCTTCTCTCTCTCTTTCTCTGCCCTTTTTTTTGTGTAAAGTTGTTTCCTTGAAACTCAAAATTCAAAATTTTCATGGATGACAATACTCACAAAACTCTATCTTACTTTTCGTTTTGATTCCTGTGGTGCTTGGTTCAGGTACCTGGCTCTTCTATCAGATTCTCCTGTTTTGACCAAAGCTGTGACCTCAGCACTTTTGACTCTCATTGGAGACTTGATTTGTCAGGTAACTATCCTAATGGTGTTCTTGAATCTTAGCTGTTATCTTATCCTTGAAGTTTGGATTGCTCATTTTTCAGGAAGTGTCGAGATAAAAACAGTATTCATTAGCTGCATTATGTATTTTTCGGAGGAACAGATAGACTTCCCTTGAACTTTGCTATCTCTTTTTTTTTTTTCAAATGAATGAATCATATATGTTTCGATAATTTTTTGTTGGCAATGAATTGTTTTTGCTTGCTTCACTTTTTAAAGTTGGAATGGAAGCTAATAGACCCGAGAATACTGGATAATCTTCTCTTTGCTTAATCATATGCTGCTAGCTATGTGGTTATTGGAAGAGCAACATTGCTCATTCGTGTTACATTTGGTTGCAGCTTACAATCGATAAGACCTCATCGCTGGACAAGAAGAGGACACTCACCTTCACCGCCTTGGGCTTAGGGCTTGTCGGTCCGGCATTGCATTTCTGGTATTTCTGTGGTCTTCACTCTAATGACACCGCAAAAACTATATTAGTTTCCTGCTAAGTGAAAGTTCAGTTGAAGAGACTTATGCATCCATTGATATATTACTTATGCTTATTCTATCTGCTCTTTGAAATCTCTCACTCATTAGGTATTTGTATTTGAGCAAAGTGGTGACAGCTTCCGGATTATCAGGCGCAGTTATACGACTTTTACTTGATCAGGTAGGCAAATTTTCATATTCTCTGTCTATAACCAGTCTCTTCCCAATTTTGCTTCAACTTTTTTTAACAACAATTTTTTTTTTGGCAGTTTGTTTTTGCTCCTGTATTTGTTGGAGTTTTCTTATCAGCAGTTGTGACACTTGAAGGAAAACCATCAAATGTCATACCGAAGCTACAACAGGTTGGATTGGAAGCTAATTAAAGTTTTTATTTCCACAACAATGTTTACTTCATAGTGCAGGAACCTAAATTAGAACTTTGTGTCGTTTTTTTGGCATTCTTACTGAATCCATTAATTGCTGATTGTGTAGGAGTGGACTGGTGCAGTGCTAGCAAATTGGCAGCTATGGATACCATTTCAGTTTCTTAACTTCAGATTTGTTCCACAAAACTTCCAGGTTTGATACTAACTCTCTGACAACATGAAATAGGAGAGTGTGAAAATAATTCAGTTTAAGATAGTTTTGCTTCAAACAGTAATACGCTGTTAATTCTCTTCTGCTTAGTATAATCTTTCACCCGTCATACCCTGCAAGAAATTATTAAGTGGTTTCATGTTATTGACCACTTGTTAAAAGCATATTTCGCGACTAGAATGACACAAGCTAATAGGCTTAGAAAGTTTTTCCTAATGACTGATGTTATTCACCATTCTGTGTTAAGTTGGTTCGCTGGCTCTGAGGATAAATCAGTGTCTTATATATGAATTGTTATTGCAGGTGCTGGCTTCAAACGTAGTAGCTTTGGCTTGGAATGTGATTCTATCGTTCAAAGCTCACAAAGAAGTTGTTGCAAAATAGGCATGTTTCTTACCTTAAAGCCTACAGGTGTTATTGGGTTGCGTATGATCGGCAGAGTTTTGGGGCAACGTTCTTGTCTGCTGATGTTACTGTTTAGTGCTTCGAAACAAATCTTTCGGAATCCTGCACTTGCGTTTTATTAGTGTAGAAACAAGCTTGTCTTCAAAGCTCTTTTAATATCATCAATCTTTCATTATTTTCGAATGTTTTCAAAATGGTTCAGAGAAATTTTTAGTTACTTCATAGTACAATTTTAAAAATCTTTGGTTTGCGTTTTAAACTTCCACCCAAGATGAAAATCTAAAAATTCACCGGACCAATCACCGAGCCTCAACAGAAAAAGATTAAAGTGTCAAAAGAGCTACAATAATATGCTTTTTAAGGCAGATGATGTATATGATTAAAAAGTAAATGAACACAATTCCAATTGTGTTTTCGCTCTGCTCATCTTATTTTTTGCTGCTGTCTTCGTTCCTCTCAGATTACAGCCCAATGGTCTTTTGAAATTTCGTAATCTGGTTCAGGAAGATCCATGTCATCTGCCAAAAGAAAACCCGATCATCAGCGATCTCAGAGATGATTTGTAGAATAACATTAACAAGAGAGGGGAAAAGAGTTATTATACCATGACGTGAGGGGCGATCCTGACGCAGTATACAGGGAAACCTGTGTAGAATTTCAAAGGTCCTCCTGCTTTTAAGGTTTTCATCGCACAGTCAAGCGAACCTGTGTATGGATATTTTCCCTGAGCATCCGGTTGCATTTTCTGGATCTGAGTTTTGACAAAGTCAAATGGCAGACTGCAGGCCGCAGCACAGAATCCCGAAACCGCACTTGCTCCTGTCAAAGGGAACAAAGATCATACAACCACCAAACTCAGACATCTATATACCATACAGGGATTACATGACCACAAGACAAAACTGACAAGGCTCTCTTATTTCGTCTAGTGCAGGATAATTGTAACTAACCTAAGAAATTTGTAACAGGAATATAAAGTTCTACCAGCTCAGCAAAAGACCTCATGGCTAGTTGAAAGCTTAAGGGTTAAGACGAAGTAAGGAGTATGCATTGGGAACAATATTGATTGGTCTAGGATCTGGGTTTGGGTAATAGTGGAGATTCTAGATACTCCTCATCAATCAAGTTTTTTGGTAGATGTGTAAGTCAAACACACAGTTGTGTTATGACAACACAACACTCATGTAATCAGGAGATTGTATGCTATAAAGTTTAAATTTCTAAGACGACTCTGAGGAACCTAGACTCTAACTGCTATCTAGATTTATTTAAAGCAAAGTTCTGCTCATAGAAAGATATCTTATTTACTGTATGAGAAACTTGGAAGAGCAGCTTACCTACGACTGTAGATGTCTCCCCAAGACCAAGATTATCTCTCATGTATTCAGCACTTTGATCATAAGATGCAAGCATTCCCATGTTCAAAGCCATCGCTCTGACAACAGTAGGCCCACAACCTTTCCAAAGTGCTAAAACTCCTTCATCAGCGCTAATACGGTACAGCGCATGGAAGGCATTGGTATAGTTCCTGCGCTGAGCTAGCGGCAAAGTATTATCGGCTTGCATTCTGATAAGCGCTAGATCGGCTGGACTACCAACACAAGCACCAATAGCACCAGCTGTCAGACCACAAAGAGCCTTCTGATACAGTGGTAGTGGCTTTCCATCATTAGCCTCACTTGCCTTTGCAGTCAGCATCCTATTAAGATAATCATAGGAGAGAGGATGGTTTATCAGTAACCATAATGCAATAAAAACTTAATTCATTTGGATGGGCTCAGGACAATCCACAAATGGCTTACTTACTTGAATGATCCAAGACGGGCAGTGGTGTAAGTTGCTTGCCTCAGCAAACCAGCAGATAATCCCTATTAGAAAAATATACATCAACTAAGCTCAGGAGACATTTAAAACTGAGATAAGAGTGTGAGATAAGGAATCCAGTCCTCTAGATAGCTGAGACTCAGATCCGGAAATGCAGGCATCGTATACATTTATAGATCAACAAAAGTCATGAATATCAAATAGATAATATACTACACAAAAACGAACATCTCCAAGACAAGTAAACGCATCAAGATAAACTTATCTAAATCCAGAAATATAACCCATACCTTGTAAAAGGCACCAAAACCTTCATTCTTCAACATAGTCGTGGTCACACTGGCAGCAGATCCCTGACCTAGTTGAATCCTCACCTTCACAACCAGAAACAAAGTATCAGCTCATTAGATTCACATCATTTCAAAATCCTATAAACACAGACGAAGAATTGTACATTGTGATGCACCTAAGAACGTAATTCGAATCAATATCCAGATCTGAACCAAAACATTTCAACTAAACAGCACAATATAAACAATTCAAACACAAGCGAGCCTCAATAAGTACCGAGATATAAAACGAAAACAAAACCCAGATCTGAGAGACAAAATCTCCAGACTCGGATCTGATGAGAGAGCACATTTACAGATTTCGCCGGGATGTTTAAATCGATAAAGAATTGAACATATAACAAAGGTTCGACATAGATATGACGATAGAGAAACTAAGGTATCAGGAATCATAGCTGTACCTTGATCATGTCGATCGGCTGGATAACGCAAGTAGCGAGCATACCAGAGGCACCACCATTAACGAAAGGCTTGACAGTAGTCCACACACCAATTGGAGCTTTCTTCTCTTCCGCCATCTCTCTCTTTTTTCTTTTGTTCGTACGAACTCAAGCGAAAGCAGAAGAGAAGAGAGATTCCGCGGAGAAAAAGAGAGAGAGAAAGAGATTCACTTGGTGGAGAAGAGACGAAGTAGTGAAGCTTTGTGGGCTTTATATATTAATCAACAGTACCCAACTGAACTAAACCGCACCAAACAAACCCTTGGATTTTTTTTTCTTTTTTTTCTTTTTTTCTTTTTTCTCATTGCATAATTCTTATCAGCTTATCAGATCTGATCTTGTATAATAATGAGTCCTAACATTTTTTTGTATTTCTTTCAAAATTATTAATTTGGACTTCACTCTTCAGATTTACGCAATCCTTAAGTATTTATAGCTGATCTATTACGTCTTTCTTTGAATCTCCATAAGAAAATGTAATTATTTTTACACTTTTGCTTTTTAGGATTAGAATTTCCTAGTAGTTATTCAGTATAAATTCGAGAATTCTTTTATGGTCCAGTAAAAGAGATCATCTTCATTTTGTAGTTTATATTTTTTAATTTGTTATGAACGAATTTTGGCATTTTTCACGCCGTACGTTAGCTAGTGGACCAGTTGAGTAGTCGTTCTGATGCAATTGATAATACTGATGATACCCATTTGCGAAGATCAACGTGGTTCGTTAGAATTCGTTGAATCTCATAAAATATGGTAACCACGGCAATCGCACGCTAGCAGATGTTGTCGATTCCGACAGACAAGATTACTACTAATATTCAAAATAAATAAAATAAAAAAACTGGACAGCTTTTAACAAAAACATGAAGGTTTGGTACAACAACAAAAAAGACTGATAATGAACTCGGGATCTTCCCCAATGGTCGCTCTACCAAAGAAAATGTATCCAACCGAGATAAAAACATGACCGAATATTGTACAGGATTAAGACAAACATGTAGTAGTAGTAGCAGTAGTAATCAACAAGAATCAAAAGCGAAAACAGATCAAACGAAAAAACTTTTTTTTTTTTTTTTTGTTGTTGCAGATTTCTTGAGAAAAGGTGTCAATAGTCTTCACCTTCATCTTCTTCGTCATCTCCACCTTCAGCACCAACTTCTTCGTAATCTTTCTCCAGTGCGGCCAAGTCTTCACGTGCCTCAGAGAATTCACCTTCCTCCATTCCCTCACCGACATACCAGTGCACAAATGCCCTCTTGGCATACATAAGATCAAACTTGTGGTCGATCCGTGAGAATACCTCTGCCACTGCTGTGTTGTTGCTGATCATGCATACAGCTCTCTGGACCTTAGCAAGGTCACCTCCTGGAACAACAGTTGGAGGCTGGTAGTTGATTCCACATTTGAACCCGGTTGGGCACCTGCAAAACAGAACACATGTCAAATCATTGTTTACAGAAACAACATGAAACTAGAAACCAATAGCAACTTGCTCCATTACAAGGTCATACCAGTCAACAAACTGAATAGTCCTTTTTGTCTTGATGGTACCAACAGCAGCATTAACATCCTTAGGAACAACATCTCCACGGTACATCAAACAACAGGCCATGTATTTTCCATGCCTGGGGTCACATTTTGCCATCATGCTACCTGGCTCAAATACGGCACTAGTGATCTCAGGTATTGATAGCTGCTCATGGTAGGCCTTTGCGGCTGAGATGACTGGTGCATAGGATGACAACATGAAATGGATACGGGGATATGGGACAAGATTGGTCTGGAACTCAGTGATATCGACATTGATGGCTCCATCAAACCTCAGCGATGTAGTCAAGGATGATATGATCTGGGATATCAACCTGTTCAAGTTTGTGTAGGTTGGCCTCTCAATATCTAGGGATTTGCGGCAAATATCATAGATGGCTTCATTATCCAAGAGGACAGCAACATCGGTGTGTTCAAGTAGGGAATGAGTTGAAAGAACACTGTTGTAAGGCTCTACAACAGCAGTAGAAACCTGAGATCAAAGGGGCAATGCATTCAAAACCAAGATTCATCCAAAACAGACCACCAAAGAAACATGTAATGTAATGGGATCTTTATCAAAAGGTACCTGAGGAGAAGGGTAAATGGTGAATCCAAGTTTAGACTTCTTTCCATAATCTACAGACAAACGTTCTAACAACAGAGAACCCAAGCCAGAACCAGTACCACCACCAACAGCATTGAACACCAAAAACCCTTGCAAGCCAGTACAGTTGTCTGCTAATTTCCTCACACGGTCAAGGCAGAGATCCACAATTTCCTTTCCAACTGCAATTATTATTACACAAAAGATTAAGTACCACATCAAGAACCCTAACAAAGTAATTAGGGAGCCTAGAGAGTCGAAAGAAACAAGAGAAATGGAAAGTCACCAGTGTAATGGCCTCTGGCGAAGTTGTTAGCAGCATCTTCTTTACCAGAAATGAGCTGTTCAGGATGGAAGAGCTGGCGGTAAGTACCAGTACGGACTTCGTCAATAACAGTGGGCTCAAGATCGACGAAGACAGCCCTGGGAACATGCTTCCCAGCACCAGTCTCGCTGAAAAATGTGTTGAAAGCATCGTGCGCGACACCAACTGTGGTATCACTACAAATAGGCAAAACATTCGTCTCTCAAAAACCTTCAGATCCACAGAAACAGAGTAGTAGAAACAGAGCGAATTAGGGTTTAAAGTAATACCTGGGCATCATGCCATCAGGCTGGATTCCATGTTCGAGGCAGTAAAGCTCCCAGCAAGAGTTCCCGACCTGGATACCAGCTTGTCCGATGTGAATGCTTATGATCTCCCTCATCTTCTCTGAAGAGCAGTAACCCTAATTTCGAATGTTCTAGGACGGACGGAGAAGGGAGGAAGACGGAGATCGAGGAAATGAAGGAAAATGAGGCGGTGAGCGAGATGGGTTGTCATGAAATTTGTGGGAAAATTGATTATTTATTGAATGGGATTTGATAATTGGTTGGGGTCCGCCAAGTTGTGACAGCCTGCCCTCCCCTCCCTTTAGAGTTTTTAGAGAGACTCTCTCTGCATCGACAAAATACGTGAGATTCGATCTGGATCTAGATCTGGGTCTTGTTGTACCAGCACGAACCGTTTTTATCATCCGGTTTAGTAACTTACCGGAATTTTTGGAGTGTTTTTTTCGTTATGGCTGTTTTGAGGTGAAATTGAAAAACAGCTTAACCGAACTACTAAATCGATTTTATTTATTGGTTTAACTCTATTCTATTTGGTCTAATTCAGAAGATATGTTTGCGTAAGCGCCAAACCGAAACAATTGTCATCCTCCTGGCGTTGTAAGGTTGTCCATGTTTATATGATTTTGATTCTCTTTTTATATACATGTATTCTTTTGTTGTTTTTAAAATAAAATAGCTTGTAGCAATTCTTGACTCTGTAATTTGAAACCAAGGTTCCATGAGTGCGGCTGAGTGATGATGATTTGGTAATGATAATGACTTGGAATGATGGGAAAGAGCAACCCATATAAGTTGATCAATGTAGACTAAACTGGATGCATTTAGATTAGTCAGCTAAAGTGTCACTTTAGATGAAGCTAAGTACTTGATGGGAACTAGTTTTACTAGTAGTGGTTAATCAGTTCCACTAAGTGGCCCAAAAGCTTAAGTAAATGTTTGGATCATTTTTTTGTTCAGAGAAAACGATTACTGAAGTTCATGATTCATGCAAATCATTTTAGTGCAAAAAAAATGTATGAAGTAAAAGAACACACAATGTCTTTAGTGAATCCACGAGTCAAAAGGGAGTGTACATAACTGTTGCATAGTGAGTGAAATTTATAACTTGCTTGTTCGGTTGGGTCTATGGATTACACAAAGGGATTGTTTCATTAAATTTGCCATGAACACAATTATTTTATATTTCCACGTGACTTGTCTCTTACAAACACACAAATAATGGGATAGAGACATTAGAGAAAAATAAGGTATTGAGAAAAATTTCACTACTTTTCCACTGTATATTTATTTAAATCATTTCTATCATCTGATCTAATAGAAACTTCAAATATGTGTGTTGTGGTTCTCATTTACACAAACTATCACAAATTTTTTTAAATAAATCGTTTTTAAGTGTTAAGGCTTCGAATCAAGACGGAATCATACAATGTGGTAGATTTCAAACATTAACAAAATATCTGCAGTAAATCGATTTTAAATACTTAGGGCATGTATGGAGAAGTTGTCGCAGTGACTGCAACTCCGACTAAGAAAACCACTTTACGTGGCCTTGAATGTTTGGTAGATTTGTTATTTTTCAAAAACTCATTTTCAAGCAATCACGATTTATATTTCTGGATTCCCTAAAATTTAGTAAAATTATTTTGCTGTAATCTTCCATTTATGATTTTAGATTTTTAAGTCTTTTAAAATTAAGGGAATCTAGTTTTTAGTTTTTGTATGTTATTTTTTTCAAAAACCACAAACCATATTTTGGGATTTTTAATACAAAAAACAAATAGAAAAATCTAAAACTAAAATCTATAATTCAAAAACTAAAAACCAAATCTAAAAACTGAATTAAAAACAGTATCCATTCATGGCCTTATTTTCCTATTTTTCTCTGTTTTTCCAGTCGATGTGACTGAGATTTCAATATATCAGAGCCGCCAAAATCAATAGAGACATTATCCATGCTTTAATTTTGAGGTTGCTAGTGTCGCATGTTTTAAAAATCTTTGACAGAGCTAAAGGAGAAGAAAATCTACAGTGATTTTCTATACATATTAAACAAATTTGAGAATTTATTAAAAATTACAGTAAATCCCTTAAAAATCTTTAAATTACAATATATTGTTGCTTTTGTTGGCTATAAATGAGTCGTAGAATTGAATCACACGATCTCAAAAAGAACACATCTAAGACTCCGAATAGTAAAAAACCATATAACATGATGCGGTTATTAGCGTTAACAAAAACATCTACATATAAATGTAACTAATAAAACTACATCTCATTGTTCCGCTAATGTTTGTATATAGTTGTTTTCTATTCGAAACCCAAATAATCAAGGATTTTTTGGTTATGTTATTTTTGTGTATTATTAAAATTCAATATGTAAAGCTTTGTTCTATTGACTCCTATAAATTTCCATCATTAATTATTTCACTAAATGAAATTGATGATCTAAAAACAATTATAATATGATCAATCACCTATAATTGTACCTTACTTTTGGTCATCATAAATATCATCACACCAATCCTGCTTTTTTATGTGTAGAGTCTGTTAAAAACAAACCAACAAACACTTGTACCAAAAAAGAACAAAATTGAACCGGATTTAATAAACCAGCTCACTAATATAGATTGATACCCTTAATTTAGCTTAAACCAATCCGGTTCAATGACATTGTCTCGCCGCGGCTTAAGATATTTTTATGACAGCCAAAGATTGAGAAACAGTTACTACATGAACTGGATCGTGTGTGGCAATATTGTAAAACATTAAAAATCCATTTTCGAACAAAAGCGAAGCCGTGGGACCCAAGGCAGGCTGTCACAAAATGGCGGACCCCAAACTATTTATCAAATCCAATTTTATATTTAAATTAATTAATTATTACTTTTTCCTTCACCAAATATAAAACTGACCTAATGCAACCAAAAACTTAAAAAAAGAAGATCTCGCTCACCGCCTCATTTTCCTTCATTTCCTCGATCTCCGTCTTCCTCCCTTCTCCGTCCGTCCTAGAACATTCGAAATTAGGGTTACTGCTCTTCAGAGAAGATGAGGGAGATCATAAGCATTCACATCGGACAAGCTGGTATCCAGGTCGGGAACTCTTGCTGGGAGCTTTACTGCCTCGAACATGGAATCCAGCCTGATGGCATGATGCCCAGGTATTACTTTAAACCCTAATTCGCTCTGTTTCTACTACTCTGTTTCTGTGGATCTGAAGGTTTTTGAGAGACGAATGTTTTGCCTATTTGTAGTGATACCACAGTTGGTGTCGCGCACGATGCTTTCAACACATTTTTCAGCGAGACTGGTGCTGGGAAGCATGTTCCCAGGGCTGTCTTCGTCGATCTTGAGCCCACTGTTATTGACGAAGTCCGTACTGGTACTTACCGCCAGCTCTTCCATCCTGAACAGCTCATTTCTGGTAAAGAAGATGCTGCTAACAACTTCGCCAGAGGCCATTACACTGGTGACTTTCCATTTCTCTTGTTTCTTTCGACTCTCTAGGCTCCCTAATTACTTTGTTAGGGTTCTTGATGTGGTACTTAATCTTTTGTGTAATAATAATTGCAGTTGGAAAGGAAATTGTGGATCTCTGCCTTGACCGTGTGAGGAAATTAGCAGACAACTGTACTGGCTTGCAAGGGTTTTTGGTGTTCAATGCTGTTGGTGGTGGTACTGGTTCTGGCTTGGGTTCTCTGTTGTTAGAACGTTTGTCTGTAGATTATGGAAAGAAGTCTAAACTTGGATTCACCATTTACCCTTCTCCTCAGGTACCTTTTGATAAAGATCCCATTACATTACATGTTTCTTTGGTGGTCTGTTTTGGATGAATCTTGGTTTTGAATGCATTGCCCCTTTGATCTCAGGTTTCTACTGCTGTTGTAGAGCCTTACAACAGTGTTCTTTCAACTCATTCCCTACTTGAACACACCGATGTTGCTGTCCTCTTGGATAATGAAGCCATCTATGATATTTGCCGCAAATCCCTAGATATTGAGAGGCCAACCTACACAAACTTGAACAGGTTGATATCCCAGATCATATCATCCTTGACTACATCGCTGAGGTTTGATGGAGCCATCAATGTCGATATCACTGAGTTCCAGACCAATCTTGTCCCATATCCCCGTATCCATTTCATGTTGTCATCCTATGCACCAGTCATCTCAGCCGCAAAGGCCTACCATGAGCAGTTATCAGTCCCTGAGATCACTAATGCTGTGTTTGAGCCATCTAGCATGATGGCAAAGTGTGATCCGAGGCACGGAAAATACATGGCCTGTTGTTTGATGTACCGTGGAGATGTTGTTCCTAAGGATGTTAATGCTGCTGTTGGTACCATCAAGACAAAAAGGACTGTTCAGTTTGTTGACTGGTATGATCTTGAAATGGAACAATTTGCTATTGTTTCTAGCTTCATGATGTTTCTGTAAACAATGATTTGACATGTGTTCTGTTTTGCAGGTGCCCTACCGGGTTCAAATGTGGAATCAACTATCAGCCACCAACTGTTGTTCCAGGAGGTGACCTTGCTAAAGTCCAGAGAGCTGTATGTATGATCAGCAACAACACAGCAGTCGCGGAGGTGTTCTCACGGATTGACCACAAGTTTGATCTTATGTATGCCAAGAGGGCATTTGTGCACTGGTATGTCGGTGAGGGAATGGAAGAAGGTGAATTCTCTGAGGCACGTGAAGATTTGGCCGCATTGGAGAAAGATTACGAAGAAGTGGGTGCTGAAGGTGGAGATGATGAAGAAGATGAAGGTGAAGACTACTGACACCTTTGCCCATAACTATGAGGGACCAAAAAGTTTTTTCGTTATTCTGTTTTCACTTATGATTCTTGTTGATTACATGTTTGTTTTAATCCTGTACAATATCCATTGAACTTCCTCTGCCTTTGTGTTTTATCTCGGTTCGATACATTTTCATTGGTAGAGCGGCCATTGGGGAAGATCCCGAGTTCATTATCAAGCTTTTGTTGTACCAAACCTTCATTATCTTCTTACAATGTCCATTTTTTCTTTAGGTACAATCTTGTCTATTAGGACATTGTAGAGATGTGTTCTACTTTACATTCATGGATCATGATCCAAAAATTACATGAATTGGTCAGGAAAAGTAAAATGGAATCACGTTGGGCAGAAGAGTTGGGACAGTGAAGGGAGATCCCAAATGGGATCGGTTGGATCGAAAATTGCATATTCTGCGTTGATGTTGTCATAGTAACTGTTAGCTCCATTCATTGCATATAGGGATGCAGATATCTGTCTTTCGATTTCAGCAAGACCCAAATGTTGATCGGTTGAGTTGTGATAGTTGAGATGTCCATGTGTTTCTTCCCCTCCCTGAGCCACAGGGACCAGATGATTGAGTCCAGAGACAAGAGGCCATGAGTAAGGATGCTGGTGACCGTTGGTTTCTGGTTGCCCAAAGACTGATGAATCCGGGCGGTACACATCATTGAGTGGCATTGCCGTAGTGGTGGTGGTGGAGGTTGTGGTGAGACTAGTAGCAGGGGAGGTGTAGTTGATGTTGCATTCCGCAAAAGAAGAAACGGGTTTGTGTTGTTGTCGTTGCTGCTGTTTCATGTTCTGCTTCTGGTGAAGGAGGTTTCTGATCTTCAAAGACAACTGAGAGTTGTTTGGAAAATGGTTTGCGAAATTGGTGCGAGTGTTGGATCCACGTAAGAGACAGGCTGCTTCATCGTAGGCTCGAGCTGCTTCTTCCGCAGTCTCAAAGGTTCCGAGCCACATCCGTATCTTTTGTGTCGTGTCTTTGATCTCTGCCACCCATTTCCCTGAAGGCCTTTGCCTAACTCCCACGAACTTCGTCTTGTTCCCTTTGCTCTTCTCCTTTGTTTTCTGCTTTTGAGTTGGTTGATGTTCCATTTTTTTGGTATATGAATCTGTTTATAGACGTTGAATATACTTATTTATAGGGATACATATAAATAAGTTTAACATTTTTGTACTCGTATGTTTTGGGGTCAAGTTCTTCTTAGTGGGTGCCTCGTCTGTTTAAAGATTTGTTCTTGTTAATTAGTTTAGTGATGATGATGATGTATACGAAATATATGATATATTTTTTATAATTGTTGGTTGAGTAGTCTTTGGGAATCATTCAGAGATTTTATGTGGCTTCCATGTATCAACAGCGTGCGCACCATTTTCTAATTTTCTTAGTATAAAAAAGAAAAAATGTGTGAAAGACAAGTATATAATATATGATGTGTTCGTTTCTCAGCATGGGATTGGAAGGATTTTATAATTCAACAACCATATAGCTAGACTAAAGTAAGCTTTAATGTTTAGAGGGAGGCCTCAATAAGCAAAAGAAGGAGATTTCTAAAATGCAAAACTGAGCCGACCAATATATACTTAAAAAAATTATGATCTTGAAAAAATCTTCATGTTAGTGGGAAACCTCTAACAGAGCTGACAAGAACTATCTATATATGTCTTTTAAGGTTGTTAGAATCAAGAAGACAAGTCTATAACTTGAAAAAATGGTGTCACAAAGATTGTCCTTAACCTTACTTTTTCTCTTGGCAGCATTAATCACAGTTGCCAAAGGAAACAACAACAGGAAGCTATTGACATCTTACAAATATTCTCCTCCTCCATCTCCGGTGTATCGTCATCCTGTGACCCCTCCTACTCCTGTATATAGACCTCCGGTTACTCTTCCTCCTCCTACTCCTGTTTATCGACCTCCGGTTGCTCTTCCTCCTCCTAAACCTCCCGTCGCCTACTTCTACTATAGGAGATCTCCACCGCCTCCAAGGCCTAGATATGGAAGAGTGTATCGACCACCTCCTTCCGGCAAACCATGGTGGTGGTTGTAGTAGCGCGCTCAGGAAAAGATACTAACTGCCTTTTGTGTAATTGTATATACTCACTAGTGAATTGTTATCTAAAAAGAAGTTTGCCTGAAAACATCAAAAGTGCATTTGTGTTGTTTTGACTGATTTGCTTTTAACTTTTTCATTTATTCATTGTATTGATTCGTTTTCCAATATTTATAATCTAAAACTTGTTGACTTGATCTCAAATGAGCAGTTTCGTGTATTGATTGAGGAATTCTAATTAGGGTATTATTTATTACATACACCACTTGTGTGAGTTGCATCAATACATTTTTTGACCATAGACGAATCAACGTAGCCGTCATTGAACTTAAGTAACGTCAGATTCATAAGTTATGTTTCAGGGTTACATGGCATACATAATTTATCCTTTAACAATAACAAGTACAATAATCTGAAACACTCCCTTTTCCGTTGCAAATAACACTAGTACTGATTACTGACGCCTCGAGGCTTCAAAGCTTTTACATTAGTTTATTGTTCAAAGAAAATTGCAAGAAAAAAAAACGAATGTAAACAAGTGATATAAGAGATAGATGGAGACATGAAGATATAAAAAGAACATTTCGTACTTGATCCCTCGTGGCCAGCTCCCCAATTCATTCAGACACAGCTGCCTTAAAATCATTTTAATTATAGTGCTCTGTTGCTTATTTGCTGTCTGCCAGCGAAATCGTATAAGTAGATAACAAAAGACATTTTTTTTCTTTTTAATTATGAAAAAGGCAAAGAATATTCAAAAGAGTACAAAATCAACAATGGCAATGAGAGAAAAGAATCATTCTTCCAAAATTCTCACTTGCAAACAAAAACAAGAACCACAAAAATCAAAATCTTTCTGTTTTTCTCTTTCTCGTATAAGCACCAAAACTTCATCCTTCTCTCAAACCCAAACCCAACACCAAAACCTGTGTGTATTTTGGGGAATCATACCCTAATTCCCCAATAGACACTACTCTCTTTTCACTAACACTTTCATCCTTCCCTCCTAATATACACTTCCTACCATAAAGATAGGACTTTCCCAATTTTATAACTTGTGAAGGATGGACCGACCCCATCATCATCCCTCTCAAAAAAAAGAATCGATGAAAAATGCAAAAGAAGAAAAAAGCTTTTGTAAAACACATAAATGCAAAACTGACGACGCTTTGTTGTGAAGACAGCTCACAGGACAATAAACAAATACACCAGATTTGGGTGGTTTTAGGAGGAAAGCATGGATTGGAGAGCCAGCTGCTGCTCGGGTTTCAGTGTTGACCATGTTGACGCCAATGCTGATGGTGGCAGTGTCTGTTGAAGCTGCCTTAATATATTAATCATGCGACCTGCTGTTTCTTCTGTCACCACATCTTTCCCTGTAAGCACCTACTCGCCAAATATACACATTCATTTCTCTCTTAGTACAGTAATAATGCAAAATATCCAAGAATTAATATTTTCTATATAAATATTAACTAAACAAACCTCGGCAAATACTATTAAGATTTTCGGAAGATACTGGTTATTGGGGCCTAAAAGGTCCACATCTTGCCTGCAAGTTTATCATCAATCAAGGGCGTTTTAGGACAAGTCATGCGAGAAGAAAATAAGATGTAACTTAAAAATAATTATTGCTTACCTCTCAACCATTGAGCAGAGCTGTTCATGAACCGCTTTGGCTTCAATGACATCATTACTTATAGGCAAACAGTTCAACCACGCAGGAAGTACCTAATAAAACCAATAAAAAAAAAAGGTAACTTGTTAATCATCAGAACTTAGAAGCGTCACATGTATTTGTGCCACTGTGAGACGTTATAAGAATCATTAGCTACCTGAGAGGAATCGATACTGTCCCGGTGAAATTGGCAGATCTTTCCCACTGCGGACACAGCATTATCATATGCCATGGCATTTTCAGACTGCCGAGCATTTGGCTGTTGTATCACAACATTTAATCTTGACAGAGCCTCTGTTGAAACAAAAACATGTGTTACTTAACGGTAAAGTATGGATCAAACCTCCATCCTAGTGGGCAGAAGTATACCCTACCTCCAACAAGAGGCTTGAATACAGATCCACCAAACTCAGCACAAACACCAAGCCCATAAACAGCAGCCTGTCGAACTTCTGGGCTCTCATCATTGCAAGCTTCCAGTACAAATGGAAGATAGGTATCATAATATCTGCCAAACAAATACAAGGTAGATACTACATAAGAACGCAAAGAAAACTGAAAATATACAATGATCCAGTGAATGTCTATCCTTACTTAAAGGCAGCATCACGGCATTGTTCTGCTACATCATCAAAAATGCATATAGCAATCCTTCTCTCTTCAGCTGTTTTATCCCTTCCCTGAATACAAATCCCGAAACCAACAATCAATAGCAAAACTGAAAACCCAAGGCAAACTAAGACTAATATTATATAAGAGCCATGTCACCAGCCACAGAGTTAGAAACTATTTTTTATTTTGGACAAACTCGAGTTAGAAACTATATTCATCTGAACCCGAGGGGCAAAATTTTATAAACATTTTTACTAATACTATATTAATTCAGTTATTTCTTGGGAATATACAAGCTTCTGGAAATAACAAAAACCACATACACTGTCAAAACAAAATCAAAAGATACTCCCGAATATAGAAATTCTCCACTTAGTATCATACAGCAACTAAACTAGAAAACTTGAGCGATGAGGGCCACTTACCCACATAGGAGTTAAGTACGAGGATAATTCGTCAAAGAATGGCAGAAATGCCGCCTTGAATGTCTTAACCAGTGTTCCCAATATTTCACCAACCTATATTTCAAAAACAGAAATGAATAAGAATATTGAAAACATATACTCGCATTTAACGAGAGTGAATCACAGAAAACTAACTTGATCAAAAATTTCTTCCTCTTGCTCATTTTCCTCTTTAATAAGCTCTCCCTCTTCGGCGTCAAAGTCTTCCGCAGTGGCCCTCTCCCCTCTCTCTCGTTTCCTACTAGAGCTTGCTGTCATAACTTGCTTTACCTCATCAACTATGGATCTAATTTTCCCTTCATCCAAGAGATTTCCAGAGATCTGGAATACAGTCACAAGTTATAAGATACCATTTTTCCAAGGTAATGCTATGCTTTACTCCAAGAAGGCACATAATAAAGACATGTTCAACGTAAGCTCTCTATCGCATACCCTACACCTAAAGGATGAAAAATAAGGCCTGCTGAATATGCAACAAAATTCATCAATCTGGATACTCTATGCTCAGAGGAATGAATAAGTGATATAGTAAAGAAAACAAAAAGGCCATCATTACGTCTACAGTGCTTTCCAATACAAGCAACCACATAGATTACCTAAATTATTAAGAAAACCAGCAAGACTACCAAGGAAAATGCAGCACTCAAGAAGCACATAAAAAAAAAGTCCCAAGTTACACCAAATTTGCTAATGAAAATTTACCTGCAAGCATTCATTAATAGCTTCCAACATACTCACACAGATCTCTGTATCAGGTTCCTGCATAGAATCCAGTCATCTACCCGATCAATACAGTGAATCAAAGCAAAAAAAAAAGAGACGAAAAATGAATAGAAACCACACTAACTTTATGCAAAGCTTCCAGCATGGCTGGAATAATGTAGTCAGAAAGCTGCTTCAAATAGGAAAGATCGCGCCCTTGAGACTCTCCTTTATCAATTGCCAGCTTGGCTGAGCGCATTAGTTCCGGCATGGCTAGAAAGAAAATTATCCAATTTCTTAGAAACTTGTATTCAAATGAACTAAAGAATACTTTATTAACAATCTATTTTCTGATGTACCTGACACAGCTGCTCTTCTAACTTCTTCGTGAAAATAGAATTTTAGTAAAGGAACCAATGTAGGAGCAACCTATAGTATAAAAATTCAGTCTACATCATCCCAACAACAATACCAGATATTGACACAATTTAGAGTTATTTAACCATGCTAACCTGATCAATCCAAGGAAAGAATCCTTCTTTCAACTCATCAGCATAGCAACAAAGCATGTTGCAAGCCGTTGCTTTTTCTTCTAGAACACTTGTTTTGATCCCTATTCTTTTGTCTCCCAGGATAATGGTCTCCATGCTGCATTGATATATGGAATTAGCAAAAAAATTATACATATTATAAAACAAAACGAAAAATCTTATAACATATCATTTCATTATATGGACAGAATCTAAGCATCGTTACATATCTCAAGAAGAAAAAAACGCAGGAAAACTGCATCTCCAACAACATAACAAAAGTAAATTTTTGATCCCAAGGCATCGGAACTAAATAAAAGCAAGGTATAGAGATATCATAACAATCAGATGAAGTGTCAAAAAGAATGGAAACCTTTCATCATCAGAATCCTCTGCTTCATCTTCTGAATCAGCAGATGTAATTGTTACATCTGGCTTAAGCTGAGCTGACTGAAGCAAAGGAGGCATCACAACATTCATGTATGGGAGGAAGTCTTTACCCAGACACTTGCAAAGCCTAGCCCATGCCTAGAAAAGTGTAAGGCAAGGTAACTGTAAACAAGTGAACTTACCTACTTCTATTTATAAAATAACATATAGACCTATCATATTCTAAGAATTCACCTGTAGCATGTAACTAGTTATTGGATCGTCTGCCTCCATCTGAGACCCTTGCAATGACATTAGCACTTCCATGACCTGGCATGGACATGTGAAATATTTTTAAGCGAGAGTGAATGGATTACTGCATATAGCATCAATTATTATAGTAAGTACGATTTGATTTGACCCACTCACCTGCCTAGCATCATCCCTAAATCTGTCCTTTCCAACTGCCATTCCAACAAGACTGATGCACTCCATGGATTTGGCACGAAGCATCCTCTTAGATTTGTCAGTTGCATTCATCAAAATAGTTTTGAGATATGGCATGACAGCATCATAATACTTTTGAAAGTGTTCCTACAAATTTAGATTATGTTAGTTTAAGAGTTTCGTGTATGGAAAACAATAGATGCAACACAACTACTTTACAAATACCTGTGATGAGTCAGCAACTGAAGCAAGAGCAGTTAAAGCTCCTTCTTGCACCATTTGTTTACCATTCTATAAGAAGCGCCATTATAATCCAAGTCAAATCATTTAAATATATTTGCTATTTTTTTGTTATATATTTTATGAAATAATTTACACAAAGGACTTACTTGTAGTAGCACAAGCAACTTGCTCACTACTCCGTCTAAGTAAGGTGCCAATATTTCAGGTGTACAATTTTCACTGAAGTTGAGTACCGCTGAAGCAGCATGAGCCTACATGAAAAGGTCACAATGTACTGCTTTAGAAAAGTATCAGAAGATTATATTCTCATAGAAACAACGGATCTTACCTGCACTCGTGGATTCTGGAAATCATCCATAGCAGCAGCAAGTGCAGGAAGCACCCTCTCATGATGTTGGTTTTGCAAATCTGGACCCAAATCCGTAGACAACTGTCCAATCGCATTTATAGCAGCCCACCTTACACGAGGATGAGGACTTTGAAACTGGCTCAAAACCATGGACACCACTTGCTCTAGATTTTTTATCATTACCTACACCAAAGTTCAAGAAGTTTAATATCAGATTGAAGACCCCAGAGCGATTTTACGTGTTGGCAAGTCCTCCCAAGATAAATCAACTCAGAATCAATCATTATCTAACATCCAATTGAAAGGAAAAACAATGAAACAATAAAGGAAAAAGTTTGCTTAAGACAGGATTCAACTGCAGTCACTGAAAAATATACCTTTGAACAACCTTCAGCAATCTGAGCAAGTGCAATCAAAGAAGCATGGTGTTTCTGCCACTCAGAGGCAGCCAAATAAGCAGAAAACTGTTGATATGCAACTGGAACGATGGTGTTTCCTCCCAACGATATTGCTAACCGATCCAAACACTCTTGGCCCATGCTGTAGTTGCTTGTCTCGCCAGCATCTTCATCCTCAGTCTCAGCGCTGTACCAAGCAGGGTCGTCCTCAATATCCTCGAGCATCTTCATAAGGACAGCGAACAACCTGTCGATGAACTGAGGGAGTTTTCTAACCATCCCTGGGGCACGCTCACGCGCCTCAGCCAGAGTTACCAAAAACTCAATCGCAAGATGACGCGTACTTTCCTCCAAGGAATCAGCCTCTGCGATCTGAAGCATGGAACCAACAATGTCAAGAAGCTGGCGTCTAAGGAACCGTGGCTCAGTACCAGCCAATTCAATCAAAAGCTCAAGTGCCTCCTGTGCAGTTGCCTCATTCCCGTTGTTCAGAGATTCGGTCAACGTCCTGATCATGGCAGGCAGAACATCTTGGAATCTATCTCTCTCCGTTGAGTTGGAGAGACACTGAACGAAACTAATAACGGCGTTGAGAGCGGCGATTTTGACATCGGAGCTTGCAGAGTTACTACTCAGACACTGGAGAAAGACGCCATGGAGATGCTTGATGTGAGGAGTTAGAGTCTCCCCAACGTACTGAGACAATTGGGCCAATATTAAAAACGCGGATTCCTGCAATTTAGGGGAATCGGATGATACACACTGGAAAACAAAAGGAAGCAACTCCGGCCATCCGTTCTCGGGTAAAATCCCCGATGCAAGCTCAGAGACTGTATCGCAAATCTTCTTAGAGATCGATTTGGCTTCCTCACGCTGAATACAAGACAACATCGAGGATTTAAGGGACGATTGAGTGGGGAGGGAGAGACGGGGCCATAGATAAGCGTCGTCGCGTGTTAACAACTTGCGGAGAAGGACGGCGGCCATAGCACGACCTTCGGGATGAGGAGAAAGCTGAAGAAGATGAGCAAGCTTCAAGGCGAGGGTATCAGGATTGCTCTGCTTAGCGAGATTGAATAGAGCCTCGGCGGAGGAACGTTGCTCGTTGGAAGAAGACATGAGGTGAGAGATTAGCGTCTCGAACGGCGCCGAATCGGAGCCTAGAACCATCGCGAGTTGCGTCTGTTGAAGCTGATTCGCCTCGGAAGCCATGGCAGGTGGCGGCGGGAAAAACTAGGGTTAAAAAGTGGGCTAAAAGCTCTCTATCGAGAGAGTCTAGAGAGAGAGAGAGTAAGCGGAATGAGGAGGAGCGAAGAGGGATGAGGTTCTGAAGAGATAATTATATTTTTTTTCCTTTTCCTTTTTATTATTTTCCCAATTATATGTATTCGTGATTTGAGGTGGGGTGGGCCGTCGGGGCAAATTAAATTAAGGAAAAAGAAAAAAATAAAAGTAAGCAAATGATATGTCATTAGCTGTATTTCAAGGGTGGATGATAAAATTGATCACCAGTGCGTGTTCCTTTTTTTTTGTAATAAATTCAAAGTAATTAAAAACAAATATGGCTATTATTATTCAAAAATAAAAATAGTTGGCATTGCTAATAATTTGAAATGATAGAATCTCATAACTTTTTGTAAATTAACTAAAAGTGAAATGTATAATTATATATAATTTTGTGTTACTTCTAATAAATTTGAAACGCGTGTCTAATATAATTTAATTATATTTTCCTTATTAAAAAATAAAAATAGTTGGCATTGATATAAATTTTAAATGACAGAATCTATAACTTTTATAAATAATTAAAAGTGAAATGTATAATTATATATAATTTGATGTTACTCTTAATATATTTGATACGCGTGTCTAATATAATCTTATTTTCTAGTAAATTTGAAATTTAATTTAATGTATTTAAGAAGTGATATAATAATGGTTGATATTATTGACTTAAAATGTAGTATTTGAAATGAGAGGATACTGTATATAGTAGTCCTGGGCAACCGGGTACCCAATCGGGTTTCGGTTCGGGTAATTCGGGTTTCGGGTAATTCGGTGTAAGGCATATATAACCCAATCGGTATTTTACAAAAAATTCGGATCGGTTCGGTTAGTAACTGGTCGGGTTCGGGTCGGTTTTCGACTTCAATACAAAATCCGATTGGTACCGATAATTTTTCGGGTTATGATCGGTTTGGTTATTTTTTGTAATCAAAGTATTCAAATAACCGATTCATATCCGATATAACCGATTAAAATTTACAATAACCAATTAAATAACCAAATAACCGACGAAATATCATAAATAACCGATTAAATAACCAAAACAAGATCAAACCGATTTAAACCAAAACAAAAGTTTAACAATCTCACAACTAATACAAAGTTCAACAACTCAGGAAAGCATAACAAAAGATTGAACAAGTTCAAATGAGCATAATAACTCTAAAGTAGCCGATAAAAATTTGGAACAATGAAGAAGCAATCCACGATGAAAAAGGTCACTCCTTCTCCTTGTCCCTGTGAAACAAATAATACGATGTTCAGTCATAACTTGAATCATTGAGCAAAGCAAACAACACATACGATCTTCAGTCATGAACATGAATCATTCAGCAAATCAAACACGTAAAGACATGAAGTTTCAATACCTTTACTATTGCCGCATTCCAGGACTTAAGAAAACACCACACAAGAAGGCCAATACAAACATACCTTTAAAACATCAAACAACAGAGAACTACTATTAACATTGTAACAAATATCAAATAAGAGAAAACTTGTTGATCATTAACAAATAGAAGAGATTAGTTACCTTTGCTTTTATGAGATTAGCTAAGGCTCATGAGTATTTTCATCTCCAATACCAAACTCTGCAAAACAGTTATAAAATTACATTACAAACAGAATTATAAATCAAAGTATTATGACTTATGAGTATCAAAATTTGTTAAAGATTACCTTTCTCAAGTTGATCAAACATTTCAAAATCTGAGAGTAGTTGAGCACTTGTGATCACTGTCTGTTCACCACTCTTAATGTCTTGCCTCATCCATTGCTCACAACACATGAGGACCTCAATCATGTAATGAGTCAGACATGACCTATGAGGATCAAGAATCCGACCACTAGTGCTAAAAGCACTCTCGGATGCAACAGATGAAACTTGCATAGCAAGTACATCTTTAGCCATCTCAGCCAAGACAGGAAACTTGAAATAATTCACTCTCCACCAAGACAACACATCAAATTCGGAGCCCCTAATAAGCTTTGGAATCTCAACAGCATCTGCGAGATAAATTTCTAACTCAGTCCTTACTTCTTCATCAGCTTTATCAGCAACCATTTCTTTATATGCCAAATCCATTCTCTCATATCCCAAATCATCAACCAAATCCATCTTATCAGGAATCTCAGTTGACTGATCTTGTCTAGCCCTGGAAGTCTGAGAAGATGCACCATTTGTCTGGCTGTAACGAGCAGCATACTCCTTAAACATTGCCTCAAGGACATAAAAAACTGAGTCACACATAGCCTTAGACTCAACAGTATCTTCACCATAAAGCTTATCAAAACACATCTTCGCAAACTTCAACTTCTTTGTTGGATCAAACACAGTCGCAATGATCAGCATCTTGTTGATATTATTCATTCCATCCCAATACTTCAAAAACTTTTTCAACATTTCATCAGCTCGATTCTTCAATTCCTCATCTCTGCTATTACTCAGAAATGAAAGGTTCCTCTCTATTGTAACAATCTCCCCATAACACTTATGTGCATTCAAGTTGGTTGAAGCAGAAACAACCAAAGTAGAGTTGTATCATAAGTCTTAAGATTTGGCTGTTCACATACCTTTTATAAATACAGTATATGATACCTTTACTTAAAAAAGAAATTAAATCCTATATTTATTTATATATTATTTTCACACACTATTATATTTGAATTAATTATAATTATTAGGTCTGATTGGAGTAGTCATGAGTATGATTGTGTATATATATGTAGTATATTTATACTTAAAAAAAATATATTGTATTACGTTAAATGTTTTAGTCTTTATAAATCCATTTTACATATAAATTTTCGTAATTTAAAACTTTCTTACAAATATGTAATCCATGTATGTTTTTGTAGTGTATATGGAAATAGAGGATTCATACCGGAATGTCTCGGACCTGGACAAATTCGATTAAGCTCCAGCCATCACGTTTCTTAGGCTGATTTTGGAGCTCTTTTCTCTCGAGATTATTCTTCTTCCATCGCCACTTCTCCTACGATTAGACTCTCGATGTTGTTTAAGCCAACTGCTCCATCTTCGACTTTACCGTCGCGGTGTAATCACATTCGACGTCAGACGTAATCTCCACCTAAACTCAGGTGACTTCGAGAGCCTCCGTCTCAACGTCTGAAGCCTCACGTGCCTTTCTCTTTATGCTTTTGGACATTAGGAAATTTTAGGCCCAACAAAAATAATGAGAGAATAGGCCCATCTTGGTCCAATAGAAGAAGAGGTTGGTCGTGCCTAGCTTCTCTTCTCTTCACCATCGGCCACCGTAACACGATTTCCCGGCCAACAATCTGATGTTATCCGGTGAGTTTATGGTCACCACACCTTGGTGATTCTCTCTCTCACTGCCTTTCTCTTCCTCGACAGTGAAAAAAAAAACCCGAAACTGTTTCTCCGTTACGTTCTGCTCGTGACGACATCACTACTCTTTGGTCGTCGTCAGGATCTCGAGCCGTTCCGTCGGAATCTCAAGCAGCATATACATGTAGGTGATGGGTATAACAGAAAAAAAGATATCAATTAATCTTGTTCTCTTCCAATTATTATCATTCTGCTATATTGGTTTGGGTATATCAATACTGCCTCTGGTTCTAATATGGTCGCATGTTTGTTTCAATTTGGAATGTACAAGTTTGACTTTTGTTTTTCTTAAGATCACTTTTATGCAATGGGACTGTTGATACTGAACTGTTTCACAGTAAACCCAACTCATGAACCGTTTTACTAAGCGAACAGTCCAACCTTTGTAACATTCACATCTATCTTAGTTCAAACTTCAAAGTAATTAGAAAATGGTCCTTTCACCAATTTTTTTTTTTTTTCAGTTTTCTCTTCTCTTCCTGTCATCTTCGGCTATCTCTTAGAAGTCAGAACAACCCAGCTCCTCCTCTCATTCTTTCTTTGCTTTTCCTGGTGAGTTTGTTGGTTTTTACAACTGCAATTCGAGGCTTCATAAACCCAACATATAAGTTGTCTAGACCTCTGATGGGTTTTGTTTGAATAGAATAAGTTCTTCTTTTGGTCTTACCTATCTCTCAAATTTTACAATTGCTTTGCACTTTGTGGATGCTCTTAGTAGATTACTAGCTAAATATCACACCAGAGCAGTCAAATTTGGAGTATTTGAAACACTAATCTCTTTCCTAATTGCTTGCTTTTGGAAATAGGGTTTAGGGATTTAGTCTTGGAGAAATCTGGAGCCTAGGTGCTGGCTTGGCCGATCCTTGAGCTATGTTGTTGAATAGGTTGTCGAGGCGTTGCTACTGCACTTCTGCTCAACGACCATGGTTGTTTTTGGGATTGGGCAATCCCGGAGACAAATATAAAGGGACTAGACACAATGTATGTGTACCCAAATGTTTTGGTGATTGTGCATTAAAAAATAATTCAGATGTGGTTGTGTTGATCCTCTAATATTTTAGATCTCTGCTCTTGTTTTGGCTACGCTGCAGATTGGGTTCGAAATGATTGATGCTTTTGCTGAGTCAGTGGGGATTCAGATGAACCTGGTCAATTTCAAGGCTATAATGGGACAAGGTGTGGAGCATCATGAGTTTTGTTCCTTTCTCTTGTACGAACAAAGAATGTGTGTGTTTTGATGTTGAATTAAGGGCTTCTGATTTTGTGTTGTCCCCTCTCAGGTTTCGTGGGTGATCTCCCTGTTCTCCTGGCTAAGCCACAAACCTACATGAACTTGAGCGGTGAATCAGTAAACTGCTTCTCCTATTCTTAGTACGAGTCTTTCAAAATTTGGTGTATTGTAGATTATGATATATGAATTTTGTGAGATCCTGGCTGTGTACACGTATCTCAAATATGAATGATTCGTGAAACTTAAAGACTGGTCTCTTTGCCAATAAGGTTCTTGAACATCATTTACATGCTTCTTCCATTGATATATAAACCAAGGTTACTCGAGAAGCTTTCTGATTTAACGGTTTCAACCATGACAGCATTATACTTTTGAAGAGATGTATGGTCTCTATTGCTTGCCAAGTGTCTATTATTGCAATTAATTAGCTGTATATCTCTATCTTTGTCAATCATGTAGCTTCTTAGCTTTCGTTGATTATGTTAGTAACTGTGCCTCTCTTTAATTTGGTTAGAGTGGACCTCTTGCGGCTTATTACAAGTTACCTCTCAATCGTGTGCTTGTGGTAATCCTCTTACCGTTTCTGGCTCAAGGCCTGACAATCCTTACTACTTGTTTCATCAGAAGACACTTAATTTCATTGTTACGCTGGAATGTGGTGATGTAGGTGCATGATGACATGCAATTGCCATGTGGTGTTCTTCGTCTTCAAGAAAAAGGAGGCCATGGATGTCACAACGGGTATAGTATCTCGTTTTTCTCACTAGGATGCGGTCGTGTCTAAAACATAATTCATCAGTAACGTTCTAACTTTTCCCTGGTTCTCGTAAGACAGTTTCTGGCACATGTTTCAGACTGTAGTATTTACTCCTGATATCTAAATCATAATATTGAGTAACTTACGTTTTTACTTGTTATGGGTATCACTGAGAGTAGTTTATCTGGTAGTTACTAATCTTGTGGTATTCTCAGGTTAAAAAGTGTTATGAACCATTTTCGAGGCAACAGGGAATTTGGAAGGCTACGAATTGGTTAGTTTCGACCTCCGTTCCACTTAACACTTTATCTCCCTCATGAAGATCATTGGTTCTAAATCAACCATTGTTATCAAATAAATGGTTAGGAATTGGAAAGCCTCCGGGACAAATGGATCCGAAAGCGTTCTTGTTGCAGAAGTTCAGCATGCCAGCTCGAGAACGGGTAAGCCTCTGAGCAGTAATCGACATTGAAACTATGATGGCTAATATCACCATAAGGAAATGGATTAATGGCTCCCTTGTGTGTGCTCTGTGTTTCTGGGAAAGATGGATGGAGCTTTAGCAGAAGGGGTGGATGCTCTGAAGCTGGTATTGTCTAAAGACTTTGGAGAAAGCTGGAGATTATTCAATGTGGAACAGAAGTACAAACACTTAAGACAACATACAATAATTGCAGCTTAGACCAATTGCTTTCTACTCTCTACAGATCATATTCATCAAAGATGAGTTCGATTATGGAAGTGCCTTTTATAGGTTTTTGAATACCTGATAAGAACGACTCATGTGTTCTTCAAGTCAAGTCAAGTCAATGTATATATATTTATGATATTGTGCCTGTCTCTTCTTGTACCTGGATATACACTCTATTTCTAGATTTCAGATTTTTAGAGTCGACGGTTGTCCTTAATCCGAAACTATCTGAATTAATCACACGCAATTTTTACATTTGACCTCTACTTGAATTAGTGAGAATTTAAGGTTCAAAAAACTTGCGTATATACGGCGGCGACTGTTTAAGTTTCTGAGTTTTGAAGAAATCCTCACGTCCCGTACTGTAAAATAAAACATGGCGACGGGATGCGAGTTCCCGAAGATTCAAACCTTCGAGAGTGCTCTCTCTGCCGCCGAATTTGAGTCTACCGTCGAGCTCACCAACTTCCCAGCAGTAAATACTCTTTCTCTCTCTATTTCTTTCTCTTCCGGTGAATCTGATAATCGTCTGATTCGTATATGCTTCCTTCTTCTCAAAAGGTTTTCAGAAGATGTGTTAGTAACTGGGATGCCTGTTCTAAGTGGAATCCATTCAACGGAGGCCTCGATTACCTTGAGGTTGTTTTTGCTTACCTAAACTCTCTCACTTGATTTCGATTTCCGTTTCCTTTTTTTTTTTCTGGAAATTGAAGATTGTGTAATCTTATGCGTTTTAATTGGATCATATGAAGGAACGTGCAGGTTCTGTTCAAGTTGAGGCTATGCTTTCGAGGATGGCTCCCATTTTCAATGGTGATATCAGAAGCCATGAGAGGGTACACACTCCATTTCGCCCCTGTTCTTGAACATATGGCTAGTCTCTCTAAAATTACTATCTTGTTGTAGCTGGATTGTTTTAAAACCTAGCAAAAAAATTAGCTGAATTTTGAGGTCTAATTGTTTCTGCTTCTTCTTTTATAATAGCTTCTTTGTACCTCCACCTCAATATATGCTTTTCTTTGTCCTGTAGGTATCATTGCCGTTCTCGGAGTTTATCAGATACTGCAAGCAGCACATGAGAAGCAAAGAGAACAGTTCTTCTGTTAATGTTAAGTCTGCAGATTTTACTCCTATACCTGAGGACCATACACCTGGACAAATATACCTAGCACAGGTTCGGATGATATCCATTTTTTCTCTTTGTGCTTCTGGTGTACGTATATTTTTTGCCCTTGTTTTGACATTACATATATATATGTATTTTTCTTTTCCAGTTTCCAATTCTGAATGATGAGAAAGAAGAGAAAGTTCAACTCAAGATTTTGAGACGAGACATCCAGACGGTAGGCGTAGTTCTCTCAACTCTTGTTTCTACGTTGCTGCTTATTTAAACTATCTTAACATTAACTATCTGAATTGATGCAGCCCACACCTTTAGGGGGAAAGTCACTGTCTTCTATCAATTTTTGGATGAATTCTGCACAAGCTCGATCAAGTACCCACTATGATCCACATCATAACCTTTTATGCATAGTCTCAGGGCGTAAAAAAGGTTAGCCCATTGTTTTCCTTCACCTCAAAGTGTCAGGAAATTGTTCCTGTTATCTCTGTCTTTAGTGGAATCAAATTGGTAATGTTATGGTCCAACCATAAACAAAATTACTTCACAGAAATTAATGGCATGTGGTTTCTAGAATGCCAAGTCAGCTCGTCTGAAGTTAGTTTAAGCCTTTAAGGTTCATCGAAAATATTGGCAGGAATATGTTTTATGCTTCCTTACACCTAAATTAATTTCAACCTTCAAAATACAGTTGTCTGGTGGCCCCCTTCTGCCAGTCCCTCGCTCTATCCGATGCCTATATACGGAGAAGCGTCAAACCATAGGTATCATTATTCTTGGACTTTCCGTATTTTGCTTTGTGGTTACATCATAAGCAAACTTATCAATGATTTTCCTGTGCCAGTGTTTATTTACATGATTTCTCATTGCCTAGTATGTTTGTTGTTCATGTAGTTTGGTTGGTCTTGAAAATCCAAATTTATCCGATTATCCAAGAGCAGAGCATTCCCTGAAGCAGTCACAGGAGGTTACTCTTAATGCTGGTGATGCAGTATTCATTCCTGAAGGTTGGTGAGTATACTCATAATTTCTCAGAAAAGCTCTCTTAGTAGCTCATAGCTTTGCATCTAAGATATCCTGCATCATCTGTGTCAAACTGTTTTCCTAATCACTTGTAGTTATCATGTCTCTGTTTTGTAGCCTATTTTCTGGCTGAGCCACTATTCCAATAATGTATGCAAAAGAAATCTCAAAAGTGTGTCCGCCTGAATAATTGGCATTTCTTTAGTTTGTGGGTTTGTATATGATATACGTTATGTCATATAGTATGCATATGCCTAGAGCCTCTGATCCAGACGCTTATTGACATGGAAGTCCTTTAGGTCTTAGCCAGACACAAAAAAGACCTTAAAATGTCATTTTGGTTAGCTAGCTTACTTGAATCATGCTAATGAAAGTGACACTTCTTTGGTAGGAGAAGTGCTTGTAATGTAATTGTAAGTATTTGAAATTGAAGCTTTGACACTTTTGCGTAAGCCTCGTAGATTTTCTGTGAGAACATTCAGTAGGCAGGTTGATGTATTTCAGATTAAAGATAATTTTACTTATGCAGGTTCCATCAGGTGGATAGCGATGACCTGACTATTGCTGTCAACTTTTGGTGGCAATCAAACATTATGTCGAATATGCCTGAACATATGGATTCATATTATCTGCGTCGAATCACAAGAAGGTCTTGATTACAAATCTTGGATTCTTATGCAGACTATCTTGTCTTACCATTTTTGTTTTGTTGTCTAACCTCTGTTCCTTTTTCTTGCACGTGCCTGGATTTTTTGTCATACACTAAGATTGATAGACAGAGAAATGGTGTGTAAGTTATCCTGTCGCAGCAGTAAAGATTGTTAGAGTTATGATATGTTTCTTACTCATCCTGATTTTGATCTAAAAATGTATGTTTATCTTCTCACCTTTGTTTGTAAAATGGATATTGACAGAGCCTGTTAGTTTTGAAGCCTTCATCAACTGATTTGAAGCAACTGTCTAAGCATATTGACCAATCTCACATTGAGATGGCAGGTAATAAGACCCTGATTGTGTTAATTATGAGAAAACCTTCATTGTTTTTCTGACTTGGCTAGTGATGGAATGACTGCAGAAGGTGAGAATGGTAACACAGAAAATGAAAGCGCTAAGAAAGGCCTCGGCACATTGTGTGAAAGAACGTCACTGGATGATCTGGATCCTTCTGCTCGCCATGCACTTCATGAGCTTATTTCAATAGTCCATGACCATGTTAATGCTGTTGATACAAATAAAGGACGCCAGTACACTTCACCTAGTTGTTCAGACCCAGCTACAGAGAGCAGAAAAAGCAAGATTCTGGTGAATGCATTGCCTTGTTTAGAAGATGATCGTGTTGCCCATATGCTTTGGGATCTTGAAGCATTTAGACTTCGAGATGTCCTCGTTGCAATGGCAGTAAGTTTACCCTGAAATGCCTTACTTTACTGTGTTTATACTCACATGATATTTCTGTAGCTGAAGTTAGGTTACCCTAAAACTATTTTTACTGTGTGGCCTCATCTCTGGTTACATATATTACAAGAAGATTTTATTTGCTTTTGCGCAAGTCATCGTTTTTTATTACATGTGCTCCTATCATTTAACTCATTTCAGCATTATTTCCCAAGAACCTTAGAAGCGTTAATACTTCACATGCTCTCACCCATTGCTGCTGAAGTTCTAACACAGAAGTTTGACGAGATTGACCGACAGACTGGTGAAGAAGACAGGTTTGTTTTGAAGCACCGTTGTGTTTTTATTTCAGTACTTTGAAACTGGAGAGTAACTTGTTATTTTCTTTCTTATTTCCTTTCCATTATAAGGAACAATTTCTTTCGAGAATTTTATGGTGCCTTCGATGATGAAGCAGCTGCAATGGATATTATTTTAAGTAGGAAAGAAGCTTTTGCATTTCAGGTAATTCACTAGCATCACTTTGTCGAAATGTTTGGCTTCCTGCTGATATGCATAAACCTGGTTACATGGATGTCGAGCATCTCTTTTGCTGAGTGTGAATTAACGTAACATCAAAGGGGATAAATGTTTTGGCATCTGGACATGAATCCATATTGTCAACTCAGGATATCTCCTCTTCTAACGGAAAAGATTTGGGGACAGCATTGTTATAAGCAGTACCAAAGAACTTAAACTGACTAGTTCATGCAGAAAAGACTTATCAGCAAATTCTTTGAAGATTCATATAAATGTTCTATTTACTTTTGTTATACAGGCCTTTAAGAATGTATTAGACAAGTTTTTGGCGGTCAACGTTTCTTCACCAACAATGAACATCTGAAAGGGGACTGTGTGTTGGCAGATGAGTGCGATATGACAGAAAGGATGTTGCTGTTGATATGGAAAAGGTCGTGTCATATTAGTTGGGAAGCTGATGAAAAAATATTGCTGTTGAGCTACACGAGTGTGGCAGCTCTAGTCCTGCGTTCTCAGCTGATTCTAGTATGCACAACAATCTCAGTTTCCCTTCTGTGTCAGTGCCCCTCACCTTCCAGACTGTTCAGCTTCGCTCTACGAGATGCTTTTGCTAGCACCTTCACATACTAATCGCTTTTCGACAAAAAAGACAAGCCATAAAATTTGTTGAGCCTGGTCATAAGCTGAGCAGATATGATGGTGGTACTAAACAGATTTTTATGATGCAAGTGAATACTTTTTTTTTTTTTTTGATAAAAGCAAGAGATTACTTGATCTATCAATCATGCTTTGGCTTTGGTTGAAATTTGAAGTACGTAAGAAAATTGTATCAAACTGATTGACCCTGTATGTTACATGTAGACATGTAGTTTGTAGTTTATACATCAGCCTGAAGACCATACTTGTAACACATGCATAAATGTAAAGAAGTGCGACGTGTGTAGTATGCGCACATACCTCCAAAGATAAATTATCCGCGACTGACTGTATAAGCAGAAGAAACAAGAAGGTAAATTATTTACAAGCAGAAACCCGATGTAAAACCTTAAATAGAAGAAGAGAAACTAGTGTTCCAAAAAAAAAAAAGTAAGAGAAACTAATTCAAACATGGACAGAAACAGAGTGCAAGACCTGGAAGACAATCCAGGTACGAGACAAGCGCTGTTCTCGATTGGTCTATTAAACCGCCAATTACATAGATCCCACACCCCATGGAAACAAAGGACGCTGACCGCGGCGTTGGGAACGACGGGATCGGGATCAGCCCATTATTTACAGAGCCTCGGCGGAGGATGGACCACCGCGGGTTTGGCTCATAAGGACTTCCACTGATACGCTCGCCGTGCTTAGACTCGGTGGAGGAGCTTTTTAGTTAATTACTCGTCGTCATTACTTTTAGAAACCGGAGAGTTTCTGTGTTTCTCTTATTAACACAAGAGCTCAGAGTTTTTATTTTCAACACACAAATAGTAATTTTACATAGTAACGTTTTCTCGTGTTTTACATTTTGTTCGCTTTACGGTTTAATTTTCCTCAAATCTTTTTCTTTTGTTGCTTGATTTCTTCTTCTTTTTTGTTGTTCAATCTCCTTTTTCCCTTTCCTTTATAGCTATTTTTTTTTTCTAAATTTTCTAATTATGAATTCTTTTGTTGTAAAACTTGTATTTCCCATTGAGTTTCGAAAAAAGAAAAGGTAATGTTTCTCTTACGGAGCTTGTTACTCTTGTCGATATCTCTATGGATACAATCACAGTTTTATCACTTGTAGGAAGTCTCACCTTTGACAGTTCATGCACAACTGTCAACTGTGAGTGTGTGAGTTCAGTTCACAATATGTGTTCTGTACAGAATCTGCAAGATCAAAGACCGATGGATGTGTTGGACTTTCAATGCCTCGCAACGAATGATTCAATAAGTGGGTTCACCATCTCCGGCCTCTCATCCTGTAAATTTTACAGAAACATAGAAAACAAAGGTTACTACTTGCTGCCTTTCCATCTTTAAGAGGGAAGCGGAGAGAGATACCTGAGGACAGTGGCCGGCGTTAGGAAGAACAACGAAATCTTCAACTGCGTCAAAATTGCTGTATGCTCGTCCAAGTTCAATTGGCTCCCATGGATCTTTCTCTCCCCATGCAATTAGAACCGGGCACTGCAACAGCTAGAGAGTTTTAGACTAATCTTTAGTTTTACCCTATGGTTAAGAAGAAGACCGAGTAACGAACCTTGACCAGTGGGAGTAAATCCTCTGGAAGCGGTCCACCGGAATAACAAATGAATTCAAGGAAGACATCAACTGCACCAGGCTCGAGCCCTGGACGTAGTATTGCCTCAACTAGTTCATCTGTCACTTGCGAGCTATCATGGTAACACTAATTCCAAATTCACCAAAACAAATAAAACTTTCTAAAGCACAATACAAAACATAAAAGCATTCTTTGTGTGTTTCAGATGCAACCATATCAATACCTGGCAAAGAATGCTTTTTACTGTCTCTGGTTTAGCAATGCTCTTGAAAAATAATTTTCCTACCGGGGTATTCCTGAGATTGACATGATAATATATTCAGTTAAAATACCAGAGAGGGTCTTGCTGAAGCAAGCACATACAATACCTAAGTAAATTCTGGAATGATTTGATGAAAGGTCTTCCAATCAATGGTTGTTTCTTGATATGAAGCATGCGGAGGGATATGTTAATAAGCATAAGCCCTCTGCATATCTCTGGCTTACTTACTGCTGCCTGAAGACCAACAAGTCCTAATGAACACAATCCCTCTTGTCATCATTACTAAACCAATAACAAAAACTTGAAACCTGAAATATTTTGCAACTTCAAAAGCTCTACCTCCTATAGAGTTACATATAAAGAAGGCTTCATCTTTGACCACATCCAGACAGAAATCAGTGAGTTGCTCACCCCATGTCTCAAAAGTGTAGAATGGTTCTCCACCAAACTCACTAGGATTCGGTTTATCAGAGTATCCATATCCAATAAGATCAATAGAGTACACCCTATGTGTTTTCCCAAGAATAGGTGTGTTCTTCCTCCAATGGTCACTGACAACAGAGCAAAAGAAACATGTGAGGAAAAATGCTAAACTATGGTTCTCAATTCCCTGACCAAGAATCCAACACCTCAGTTATATAAAAGGCCTTTCAAGACTTGAGAAATCAATATAATATGTTAATGATACCTATCAGCAAATTAAGTATTGTGGTAATGAGAAGCTAAGTGGCAAAGAGTTAGACCTGTTAGCACCGAAACCATGAATCAAGACCAAGGCAGGACCACTGGTTCCAGCACACTGATATCTTATCGAGTAACCTTTCCATTTCCATGTCCTGGGAAACACCAACAAAAACCACATTTCGTCAATCTATGGGAAACCCAGAAAGATCAGTACAATTACTCATCTACAGGTTTATGCAAAAATAACAGAGGAAAGGTGAATTTTACAAGGTTCGAACTTGTAGCTCTTCAGAAGAAGCTTCGTCCGTGACCGAAGAACATGAGACAGACCCAATTCCCCTTGGAGTTGAAGATCTTACTATGCCTGTCGAATTCGATTGTCGGAGAAAATGGGTTTCGGTGAAACTGATAAAAGAAGAGTTCTTGACACGGAACAGCGACGGTGATTTGAAGTTGGTGAGGGGTAGAGCTGCAAAAATGCTAGCTTTCGCCATGAATATTTCGGCGTGGTTTCGTGCTGAGTGAGAAGACAGTTATTATATCTTTGCCCAAAACCGTTTTGGAGTTGTCACGAGGACAAGTGTTCGGCTTTGGACCAACCGTAATTTTCCTTAATCATGTCCACGTCTTTACAATTACAGGCAATTAGCATGTCTTACTTAAAAATTAGTGCATCATATATTTTTAAAATTTTCTTGTATAAAGTTTAATGTGAGAGGTGTGTGTGAGCATAAGAGATGACTGAGAAAGATTCCGAACACAAGAACAAGAAGGGTATATTGTTTTTGCCCTTAATATCATATTGTACATGCCAAGAATACACATATACACACTGCTCTTTTGACTATAATAATAATATGTAATCAAACTAAAAACTCAAAAGTCCTAAAAACTGAGAAGCGAGTTGGCAAAGTTACTGCTGTGGTGTGCACAGCCTTCTTTCACCCAATTACCTCTGAGTCATCAGAAGGCCATATCACTGTCTCCATCAGGCGTTCTCGCATCAACGCCAAGTTCTCATCTGATATATCTTGGTATATCTTTCCATGGTCGCATTTCTACAAGCCAACGATAACTATACAACATTAGATTTTGGTCTTCGCTGGTTCCTATGGCAGGACGGGGAATTTAACACACATAAACCGAAGCTAGAGCGAGAGTAGCAGGCCATTTTACCTTGATCCACTTGCCATACAAGTGGAGACGCGTAATCATCACTCTTTCTGCAAGCTCCTGATTCTCCTACAATTCGTTGAGACATAAAAGAAAGGAAATTCACTGTCTGTGTTTTAGCTCTCAAATAAGACACAAAAGTATGCCTCGTTCTCTCTTTCATATCAAGCTCTAAACAAAGAAGAATCAAACATTGTAAAATATTACAACCTGTTCAACACATAGTGGTTATGATAAGAACAAACCTATGGAACTGCTGTATCTTTTTCCAATCCACCAAACCAAAGACAAGTCTTATAAACTGCTGAGTGCTAACTAACAAACTCACCACCGCTACAATCAGCTACATTCAATCCTAGGCTAGTTATACTAGAGAGTATAGACTTATAGCTAAAGTTTGAGCAGCTGAACTTCTTCGACTAAACCCAACGCATCTTGGCTTATGAGACAATCATGGTTCTGGTGAGATAAACTAAACTTTTTACCTTGCCGAGGGCACGGAGAAAACGTTTGCCATCGGTTGGTCTGTTCGATATGATATGACTGTCGTATAACAAAGGAGAAACATAATTAGGACCACGAGACAAAAATGATCGGAGTAAAGTGTTTTGGTTGAATCTAAATCCTACACAGAACCTCATCAAATGGGAGATTTATACAAACCATATCATGGACTTACTTATAGAACCAAGTGTACTGGGGAGGATTCATCTCGTAGAGCTGATGAAGAACCGTCCTCACAGCTTTGTATGTGAAATAATTAACAATTTGCTGCAAAATTGAAAGTGAGCCATAAGCTTATTGCCAAAGGTGAAATCTTTCTCTTCAAAAACAAAGGTTCATGCAAAAAAGTTCTAACCTTTTGTACATCACCGAAGGTATCTTCGTAATTCCCAGCAACGTCCTCATTCACAATCAAGAGCTTTTTGCTCTTCCGATTCGCAATTCTCGATACCCGCTTCGGAGAAAGCCTAAAAACAATGCGTGAGCCAGTAAAGGAGCTGCCTAATTCCAGATTTCTTGCACTGCCAAGGATCTTCTTCCTCGGAGAGCTCCTGATGTTACCCGCATCCAGACATAAACATGGACTGCTCGACGTGTCCATCACCGATGAGCCAACGACAAACCAAGCACCCACCATTACTCCAAACAGCAAGATCAGGACTTTTCCCACCAGAATCAACAAACAGTTGGTAAGATTCCTTGGATCGATTGAAAGAATCAGTGGGAAAGGAATATGGAAGATAAAACCCCTGTTCTGTTTTGTAATACAAAACAGAGAACACGAATTGGGTCTGTAAGATGGAAAATGGCCGTTGAATCTTAGCCAGTCAAAATCAGGGAGTTCTGATATTTATTAATTTTGCTAGCAAGCAAAGGCAAAGACAAACTAGAAAAGCAACCGGGTGGGCTTTCGGGTTTACGTGGACGCCTCCGTAGAATAAGGTGTATTTCTTGTCGTCTAGTAACTTGTAACTTAGAAAAACACATGGGAGAAGAGAATTGCAGAGTCACGCACGAGAAGGTCTTCAAAATCACGAGTTCGATTATGAATCTAAGGCGTAATCAAAGGCACGCACTTTCTAATTAGCAATGGAGATAACAAATTGGCTATAAGACTCTCGACTATCTTGTTCGGCATATCTCAGTCACAACTCACCATGAACCTCGCCTCCATAGCTCGAAATACTTGACTATCATAGTCACCAAGGACCTCGAAGACATCGTTTGGAACTTTACCACTAATGCAATAACCCAAGGCTTGTGTTCAACACGTATCTCTCATCACAGCCACTAAAAGCCTTTTCGTACGTGTTCTAAGTCTAGTCTACGAAGAGGCACACATATCAATTTCTCAACCAGATCATTGTCTATATATTCTATTTGAAAATAACCTATCTGCTCTTAGAATGCATCTTCCATTTGTTATGCCATTACATGATACACCTACTACTAGCAGTCGACTATGGTGGTAACTGGTAAGGAACGAACTCAGAAACATTTAGTCATAAGATACAACATTTTCGTGGAACCCAGTTTTAACAAGACTTACATATTGCGTATATTCAACATTTCATACCAAGTCTTATAGAAAGACTTGTCTAGTTATTGTATGTATATGTACAAACTTGACTTGAGACTCATCTCCATCCGCGTATTGTCGCAGACTGATGGCAGAGAGTATTTACTCGGTGATTAGCATTTCCGCTTCATCCATCATTCCTTGAAGCTTCCCTTTCTGAAAACACCAAACAGTTCTGTTAGTTCAGGTATCACCAATTTCCTACTATCTAGCCTCAACCACTTTGCGAGTTAGCTAGTTTGTAGAGGATCAAAGGCAAAAACCATTCCAGAAACCAGACTAAACCCATAAAAACTAGGGGAAAACATTTGTTAGAGGCTTGAAAATTACTGCAAGAACTGCAGAATGACCTGCTATAGTATGTCAAGTTTATCAGCTACACGTTAGGAAGAAAGCATCATTTACTGTTTCTTCTCTAAGTATAGTCTCATTCTCCAAGGACTTTGCTTTTTAACCGGCTATGTTGTTTCCTCAAGGAATAAACTGCAGGACTAAAGATATGACGAAAACAACCTAACAAATCCACCAATGCTTATGAATTCATGGTCAGCAACAAAACTCAAGAGTTTCCAGAATCTATCAGATAACAAAATACTTGTCCTATACATCCTCTAGAATCCTAAAACCCTGACAATTTTATCAGCCAAATTTAGGGAAGCCAATTCGAACCACCATATAACATTTCAGGAAACCATGCCGTCATCTCCGAAATCCAGAACATTTAGCATCAAATTCAAAACCCAGAGCGCAAGATCTTAGCTTTACGACCAAATTACCTCAAGAAAAATCTTCCAGGAATCACCACAAGAGCCAGAGACACCATTATCGTGGCACGAATGTATAGTCTTAAACTGGTCAATATCGAGCTTCTTGTTGATAAACCCAACTTTGAAGTAGATGGAATCAGAAGGTGGGAGATCAACCTTGATTTCATCGACATCGAGCCAAATGAAGAACTTCCTCACCTGAATACCCTTGAGCTCAGTAATCGAGCCGTAACCGATACGGCCAGAGATGGTCGTGTCGTAGTGAACGAGGTAGTCAAATTCAATTTCACAGGAATCGGGCAAGTGGACAACGAATCGGCCATCAGCGGCGAGGGTGAAATTGGTGACGTTGTCCGGTAGGAGACCGCTTGGGAGACCATACTTTGGGAGGAGTTCATAAACGGTAGAAATCGAATCCGGGTCGGGTTCGTTGAGGGAAAAGGTAGTTGGAGTAGAGAAGGTGAGAGAGAAGAAGACGATTGAGATGAAGATACGATAAAGGGCCATACTTTGTTGGAAGCGAAAGAGAAAGAGAAGAAGAAGAAGATTTGATGGCGTTATGTAGAGGATCGTTCAGAAAGCTAATTTGAGTTTAATTTGGCTCTTTCTTTTAATCTTATATTTTTGAAGAGTAGAGGATTGTTTACGTAATTGGCCATAAGAATCGTCGGAATATTCCACAAAATTTCTTTCAATTTTATTATTATTAAGTCAAAGTCGTCTAATATCTACTTTTTCAGGTCACCTATATTATCTGAAAACGTTTTTTTGTTCCACAAGATTAATAGTTTCACAAAATGTTTGTATGCAATTAAGAGAATAGTTGCATATTGCAAAATTAAAAAAGAGTGAAATAAGTTTATAGACAACATATTAGAATACGGCACTTTAATAACACATTCTACATATATGGATTGTCTCTTAGCTTATCTAGCTAATGTCATTTAGATAAAAACAACTACATGTCTCTATATATATGTACACACATAATCAAGTTCTCATAATTGGATTAAGAAATACATAATGAGAAATTCGTAGTTTTGAATTGGTGGCCATGATTTCTCAAGCTAGTGACTTAACTCCAATATGTGACTCGGGATCATGAACTTCGACCATGGTCATCATGATCTCCATGTCTTTGGATTCCTTTGTTCGAAGCGCATAATATTCAATTTTCTCACCGTAGATCCTTTGCAAAAATATATAGAACCACATTGCAAAGATTGTCACAACCACAAGAAACCAGCTGAATTGGATATTTACTAATGATATTGCCCTATGAAGAGCTTTGGCGCTTGAGCATCTAATGGTATGTTTACCCTCTTCAACGTGAAGAAAGCAATCCTTGGGAACCAAACTTGGCGTCCAAAGCATGCAAGCCATTGACATAAGCCATATTCCTTGGAAAGAAACACTAAGGGACCGAACAAAACTCAACATGAAGCTACTTGGTAAGCCGATTCCCAAGAGTGTTGTGACCAAAGAGACAAAAACTACCAGTTGGAGCAACAAATGGTAGTGTCCCTCAACGCCCGTGTGGTCTGACGAGTGGAAATGGAAGAGGAAGAGTTGCTGTGCGAAGGCGAGGGCAGCGATCAAGTTGGTGAGGGAGCGATGAGCCACTGGTCTTGTTTTATCAAAGACAATGGCGAAAGCTGCATAGGTGATGAAGGTGAGAGAGATGCAAGAGTGTTCAAAGTTATGGAGATGGTTTGATGGGATGGTTCCATCATTGGGATCAAATGGTTGGTGATTCTTTTGGCCAAGGAAGAGTTCCACAGAAATGGAAAGTGAGGAGCCTATAATGATTGCGAGAGGCTCTAAATATCTTGGTTTGGATACGGGAAACCATAAAGGTGATACGTATGATTTTGGGTGTAGAGAAAATAATTTGATGTGGCTAAAGAGGTGCCAAAGACCAAGTGCAAAGAAGAAAAAGCCTGGTAAAATGTGACCCACCAATGTTCCCATGTTGAAAGCTTTGGAGGTTAACACTATGGACAGTCCTATAAATATAGCTTTGGGAATTAATTCTAATGAATTGAAGATGACTAAAAAGAGTTGATGAGCAGAGAGACTATGCACAATTTCTTGATTTTGCTTCAAGAATGATGATGCTTTGTGTCTAGTCATGTATGTGTAACGCAAGTGAGAAGACACGATACGATTTTATATTTGTAAGAAATCAATTCTCAAGTAACTTGCAAGTATAGACTTATACGACCTTACGTGTAATACCTACGTTATCATATCATCTTTCCTATATGTGCATAAGCTATTTGGGCCTCTCATAGTAGACTACGTTTGGGTTTTAGTGCAACCCAATTAATGGTCCCGTTGCATATGAAAGCAGTCTTTCACAGAGTGATATATATAACTTGTACTGAGAATAGCTTATGCTATTTTTTCCTTCGAAGTTACGATCCAAAAAGTTGTTGAGTTTTCAGATAATTCTTCTTCGCTAACTAAATAACTCGACCGATCCAGATAGAACCATAGCTGAAGAATAGAATCCAGCTAAGTGTTAAAGCACACCTACCTTTTATTTTTTTAAACAATTAATGTTTAAAATACGCAATAATGACGAAAAAGTACTCTTTTTAGTTTAGCTTTATTTGGCTTTAAATACAAAAAGCAATAACTATAAGTTTTTTTAAGGTCCCAATTATTAAATACAAAATTACAAACACCCATAAGATCATGTCCACGTGGTCTCGACCGACCACTTCAAAACCCGAAAAGCCCTGAAAATATTTTAATATAATTAGCTAATAATGTGAAAAAAATAACACCCGTTCAAAGCATTACTCTTTTCTTCTCTCCAAAGATAAAACTACTTCTTTATATATATGTACACACTCACACATACAAGAGTCATCTAGATTATTCACTCACACAATCTACAAACCTAGTTCTTAATCACAAAAAAACCAGAGAAAGACCAAGAAGAAGTCATGGCGAGATCACCATACTATGGCTCATCGTACTTAGATTACCTTTCTCTACCAAACCCACATCTGTGTTTCTTCTTCATCGTCGTCTTCTTTGTGTTCTCCCTCACATGGTACTTGAACTGCGAGTCCGTCCTCGAAGACACCCTGGACCAGCTCAAGCTCTTCCTCATGTTCACCCCTCTCTTCCTCCTCCTCCTCGTCCACTTCTTCTCCGGTGGCCTTTCCTTCTACGTCCCCTGGCCTGAACAAGACTCCATCCACCGTGCTGGTTCTTCCCCTTGGGGCGTAGCAGCCGTGCTCGTCCTCATCTTGTTCATGGTCTCGTACCAGTCTGATTTCCAGGAGAGGTGGTTCCCGTTTGGGGCTAAGTAGATGGATCGAAGTTTACGAACCAGCTTTAGTTATCCCCTAACGAGATATGGAACAGTAATGTAAAATATCAAAGTACCCTGAGTAATACGGTAATAAGAGACTGTATGTATTTTTGTTTAAGATGAAAGATTTAGAGCTGTTATGTGAAACTTAGATATGTGTAGTAATGAAACTTTTTCCGAAGGTCTTAATTATCAAGATATTATGTATGTATAGAGTGAACTTGTCTTGTCTCAGCGGATGTTCTTGAATTTTTTCGTTAAGTGTCTGTTGTTAATTAATGAGATAGAGTGATATTTTTGGATGCAACAGAAAAGTTTGATGGATGGCTCCTAAACTAATCAACTCTTGTGCAATAGATGTGAACATGGTGCGTATTGCGTAATGTGTGTGTGTGTGCGTATAATGTACATTGACTTGAACAACGAGCGGTAGTAGTGGTTTTTCTTGTCTTCTTATGACAAGTGGGGGGTTTGTTATTGTCTATGTAATATTTTCATGGCTTTTATCTTTTATTTGCTAAGAAATTGCAACAACTTCTGCGATTGCGCTTTTGTTTGAGCACCTCTAGTGACTAATTTGACTAATTTCCTAGAAGATACCGTTTTTAAGTTGATTGATTTTAAAGACCAGATAAGCACCCACCCACCTTTCAAGAGTTGGAAACACCTATTCGGAAACCTTACATATTTTTTAGTTACACAAATATAATTTCGATCCATCATTTACTATAATAATACGCAAGTGTTATCTTCATTTTTCAAGTTTGATTACATTACGACCACTCCTTTATAAAAGTTAGGGGCCGGGTAGAATATTCTAGAGTCTGATATTACACTCAGGACTGAAAGTGACATTGTCCCACTATAATTGAGCCAAATATTCAAGTCCTCCTAAATAATTAAAATGGCTAAACTAATTATAATCAGAGCTAAGGACCAAGAAAACTGTAATTAATCAGAGGACTAGGCTTCAATGATCGGAGAGTCAACTCTCTTATAGATTGGAATAGTAAATAAAATATTAAAAAATGTCTTTAGGTCTCCTAATAATACAATAAGGTTTCGTTTTCTCCATGACATTTAAGTTCTCGACCGAACTCTTCTTAGAGCCACACACATATCACTGACTTTGCGTATATGATCTTCTCCCAAGTCAGAATCATATAATTTAAAAGCGCAAATTCAATAAATTAGAAATTAGAATATACTGATCGACAAGAAACAAAACAAAAAGAAAGAGAATATATATACATGTACGTCTTTTTCATTTTTCTTTAGAAATACATATACATCAAACATGTGACTCGCCAAAAGTTAATTAGAAGGAAAACGTTTGAAAGCAATCTTCCTATATTTGTGTTATATCGTGCATATTGATCTTCACCAAATTTTAGATATCAGATTTCAAATCATTTCAAATTTTAGATCACATGATTTGGCTTTTTATTTTAAATTCAACTTGGATTAATCATTTGGGCAGTACATTAGCGGTAAACACACACACACACACATATACATAAAACTTATGTATAAGTTGATGAAGTTATATGCGTCACAAAATATTGAGTTGAAAAAAAAAAAAAAAAACCATTCCAAGGATAATGCATGAAACAAAAGAAGAATCATATATAAATTACCTACTCACTCGCTCATCGAGGAAGGTAATAAAATATACCTTTTGAATCGGTCAAGCGACTCACGCCTCATAGAACTGATATATTCTTTAGAATATGGACTAATGACACCCGTCACGCCGTAGAATCGGTCTAAATGAAGCAATATAAGATGGGAGTTGAATCATCATTGGTGGACTAATATAGATACATAAAAAACAAAAATGTAAATTAACTGCAATTTTTTATATGATATTGGTATTTAATTTCAAAAATGAAAACAATATTATATAAGATTAAGAATTATAAGTTAATTTTAATGGCATGCCGAAGAGTGAAACAAAATCAAAATCAAAGTGTTGAAGCACAATTACCACTTATATCATGTATATGTATAGCAAATTAACAAGAAGTTACGTTCGTACGTTTGATCGTTTGAACATGCAAAACATATTAATTGACCCTTCTGCACTCTCTACGAATCTCTCCCTCACTTCCTGTGAGAATCTTTACATTTCCCATCTTGATCATAGATCTCGCAAAATTTCTATAGAAATCACTTTGGCTCTCAGCAAAATGATTCACCAAAGATACAGTTGGCGCTCCCGTTGAGGAGAACAAGATTTGATCTGATTTTATCACACCACGGTTGTTTTGAAGGTTCTTGAAATAGTCGTTATCAAATGAGTCCGGGCTTGTAGGATCAAGATTCACCCTCACAGTGAGATCTCCACCTTTGGGACATTTTCGTAGCAACGTTTGCAAGAACTTCGTTTCTATAGTCGGATCAGACTGTCCCTTCTTACCAATAAAACTGTGCAGACGATTGTTTATCACTCTACACTGAACCCTCCCGAAGGTATGAGCACCTGCATGTACATTATTATGATCCTTAATTAAGATATATCGTAACAAAGTATACTACTCAAGTATTTGATCTTTATACTCTAAAATTACAATCACATTTCTGAGGTGTCCAATATGAAAAATACATATATAGTAAAACTCGGAAGTACATTACCAGATAAAGCGACGAGATCTGTAGTGTCAAGATTATGTACGGAGAATTTGGAAGTAAGAATATGGAGGGAATCAGATCCTAGTGGAAGTGTAGCCACCGCGTCCGCACTGATAGCCGTCCGGCCATCTCTCCTTCCTAGCAATACGTCCCATGACGGCCCTCCCGCCTAAAGTATGATATAAATATTTTCTGAAAACATTATATATAGTTTTTGGTATACACTAGGTTATGTTTTCATAGGTTTAAAATTAAAGGGAATCTAAAAGCACGTAAATTTATTTCAAAAATGATGTTATTATACTACATATATACCAGTGCGACAGAGATCTCAGCTGCGATAGCGAGGATATCGGCACAAGAGACCACTCCAGGGCAAACATTCTCGAGGGCTGTTTTGATATCGTCAATCACTTCAAATCCGCCAAGAGAACCAGCGTTTTGGAAAGCCTCCTTCTCACCCTCTACTACATCCGCAGGAGCAGCGTCCAATAGTACCGAGCCATCGCACCCCTGTGTTTCACACACTACTACTTCAATATTGTATGCAAATGTTCACCTAATTCCACTAACAAAACAGACCTAATTATCATGTTTTCTTGACAAATTATATGTCTATATATATATATATATATATATATATATATATATATATATATATACTTTCCTTAGTTTATGATTAGAGAAAAAGAACAAGAGAAGTGATATTTTAGTTTGGGTTAAGAAAGACCGGTACTTTCTTAATATGAAAACCAAGATTAATGATGACAAATTATATCAAACATGTATAATCAAAAACATCAAGAAACTTTAAATTTGACCTTGAAGAATGATTCCACCAATGCAAAACTCTAAACTTAATTTTCCGTTACAAGGAGAGTAAGTACTTTTTTTTGGTGAAACAACGAGTAAGAACAATTAATAGCCCATTAAACCTTAAGAAAAAAAAATGCGGCCTAATCAAATATGTAAAGTCATGTCATGAGTTAGCCTTCATTCATAAACTTCACATGTGCTAGCTGGTTTTTAGATATTCAACATGCATGAATATGAGATCACGTGTGGATCAAACGATCGGTTTCATATTGTTAAACCAAAAAAGCATAGAGCGCAGATATATATTGTAATGAGTAGAAACAGATCTTACGTTCACGAAACAGTCGTGAAAGTGAAGACGCATGACTTTAGCAGTGAGTCTGACATCGCCACGGCTAGCTTGCTCTATCAAACCCCGAGCGATGACTGTTGCGTTAGGACAGGTCGTGGAGTAAAAACCAGAGCTAAGCTGAGCATTACCCAAAACCCCAAACAATATCCAAATCGAGAATAAAATGAAGAGAAGAGTTTTGCTTAGATACATTTCTAATTTGCTATCTCTTTGTTTGAAAATACCCTCTAAAAAGCTTCTTCTATTTCTCACTTTAATTTGTTGATGCTAAAATGAAAAACTTACAAAATCTTTTATAGAGAGTTTATACCTAATGTTTGAAGAAAGTTCTAACATGTAACATAAATATTATTACAAAACATGTCAAGTGTCTAGGCTTTTACTTTTTCTTTTATAGGACTCGGAAAAATCATAAGTATAATTAATGATTAGCATTCAATTAAGTAGCTAACCATTTGTCGATTTTGTAAAGTATACAAATAGATAAAGTGTTCATTGAGATGAATAATAGATTTTAAAAGAAAACGTCTATGTATACTCATGGAAGAAAACTGTCTTGCAAGACAGAACAGTTAATTAACTCGAAGAAAAATGGTATTATCGTAAATTCGTAATACTCGATGAGTTCAGAGACCAGAGTTAAAACACACATACATGTATTTTGACTTTGTTTTGTGTAATTTGTTTCTTCTTCTTTTTTTTTTTTCCCTTTGTGTAACTTTTTTTTTCGTCATTGCTAAAGTAAAATCATATACTTCTCAACAAAAGAAAATTTCATATTTGTTTAACTAACTTACCTTAAATATATATATATGAGACAGAATTTGATTATACAAAATTTCAAATATTAAATATATAGTTTCTTTTAGTTAGTTACTTTGCTATTTCTATCGATTTAAAATGGACTTTAAATGAGTTAAATCGTATATTTAAACTTAAAAGACTATTATTGAAAACATTACTTGAAAACAGAAGTAATTAACGTACGTCAACAACACTAATAATAACATAATTACTTGTTGGAATTGCATTATGCTTACTAATTCCTTTCCGCGTACAATTTTGGAAGTGCCTTTGTTCAAGACTTGAAGCCATCAAAATGGAGAGCCACTTATCTCAAAACAATCGGAGACGTTTTCAGTGATCATCTGCATGACTAGAAAGTCTCGAACTTTCCTTTTTTGGTCTCAGATAATTTTTACCGGTTGATATGTGCTTGTTGCAATGATTTTGTCTTATAGTACTAGTTTTGGTCTATATATACTAAAATTAAAAAAAGCAATTGACATAAATTCTTATTATTACACACGCGATCATTCTGATACACACGAGGAATACTATTGATTAACATTATTACATAAAATAGAAAACGACACACACATAAACATAATTAATTATTGATAACCCTGCAGTTTCTTCTAACCTCCCCACTAGCTCCATTCGCAATATTCCCCATTCTGATCATCGAACAAGTGAAGTCCCTGAAAAACAAGTACTGGCTCCGACTATAAGCCTCCACTAGACTCTTTGTGGTGTTCACGGCCAAGTCACTCGAGAACAGAATCTGATCAGAGCTTAAAAGACCTTTCCCTTGGAGTAGGTTCTTGAAATAGTTGTTGTCGAAGGCGTCCACAGAGTTCGGGTCAAAAGGAGCTGTTATGTTTCCATTACCTCCCACGGGACAAACTGATCTTAGATTAGACAACAGTGATGTCTCAAGTGTTACGTCCGGGGTTCCCGCGCCTGTGAAGTTGAACAGACGGTTGCTGAAGAGATCACACTTTGCTTGTCCAAAGGTGTGAGCTCCTTTATATATATATTTTATAAAAAAAGGCATGCATCAGTAACTCAGAAGAGAAAAAGAGCTATTAACTAACTAATTAAGGTTTATGTATAATTAGGGAGATGAGTTAACAACCTGATAAGGCTACGACGTCGGTGGTGTTAAGGCCTACGGCTACAAACTTGGCAATGATAGAGTCTAAAGGTTCAAAAGGAGATGGGAGATTGTTTGCACTGTTCTGATTTGCTACCAATCCATCTTTTCTTCCTAATGCCACTCTCCACCTTGGCCCTCCACTCTGCACATCAAAATTCATAACCCGTGATTAAGTTATCGACAAAAAAAGAAAGAAAATTTATTTACATATATTATTGTTTAAATATTTCAACCGCAAAAAGACAATCATTAATTAAACTTAACCTAACCATTTGTTTTTGTTACTAAATTATAATCGCCACCTTGGTCATATTATATAAATAGTTGTCCCGTAAGAGCTGTAACTCTCGTGTTATAATTAAGGAACAACTAATAATATTAAGATGGTTGTTAAGTGGGAACAGAAAGGCTTACCAAGCAAACCGAGTCACGAGCGGCCAAAGTAAGGATATCAGCACAAGAAACAACACCAGGACATGCCTTTTCCACAGCGGCTTTGATAGTATCAATTACTTCAAATCCTCTCACAGAGTTCACGTTTGGGATCGCGAGTTTCTCACTATCGGTTCCATCCAACAATATAGACGCATCACACCCCTGAAATTTTCATGCTACGTACGCTTTAGGAAACTGATTCCAGGTGTTTGGGGCATTTCTCTTAATGTAACAATATTTAACATATGTAAATATTTTTTCAATAGAAAAACATACACGTAAAAAAAGACAACAGTACTTACATTAACAAAACAGTCGTGGAAATGAAGACGAATGAGAGAAGCAGCAATCCTTTTTTCGGCATTCATGGCGATACTAACTTGGTTACGGACAATTTGTACAAGAGAGGGGCATGATTTAGCATATATGTCAGGATTTAGCTGTGCCCTAACCCCTGAACAAAGCATAAATAGAGTGAAAACAGTAAGCAAGACATGTCCTCCCATCACCTTGGACGTTTGTGTTTTCATTGTCTAGCTAGATGGCTTGTTTAAATGACTGGCTAGAGTGATAGTTTATTAAGATCACGAATCGTTGGGTTCTATTTATAGATAGTAACGATATCACGGGGTCATCACTTGTGCATGTATGGTATAGTGGGCTATTAAGAGAATGATTTAGTGCATGGTGACGTGCGGCGGCTTCCAAAGATTGATTTCTTATGCTCAAGAGGATGCATTAAACTCTCCATAATATTATAATTCTTGTAAGATTAGGCACTAAGAGCCATTTAAGTTCATAGATTCATTGATTTCTATCTTGTTATTTAGTAAATTGGCCGGTTTGATAATACGTTTAATCCACTAAAATAAGTGACTGAGTTTACTATCTAACATCATGTAGTCAACTTTGTTTCAATAGTGTTGTATTTTAATGTATTTTGAGGACGCAAGTGGGATTTGGTGTAAAACAACTCTCCCCACTCGTATGTATGTATTTTGAGGATGCAATTTTTTTTAAAACATTTTAACTCTTTCTTTGGATATTAGAAAAGCTAAGCATGCATGTTTAAATTTTATTTAATATGATAATGACTTACTAAAACATCCCAGTTCATTTCATATAAACAATATTCGACTTTGTAATCGCACGTAATTAAAAATGATAATTAAACTCGGTTGTTTATTAAGAACACCAATATGGCGAATGGATAACCTCATCATATACGTTGAAAACTATGTTTTAAAAAATATATACCAAAAGAATACTTATCTTCGAAAATAACCTTGATAGATGGTAGATTCCACGTAATAGTCATTTTTGTTATGGTCAGTGTTACTTCTTCCTCCTTGAACTTTGCAACTTGAGGCGATTGTTTAATATTTTATTCAGTTCACAAAGTGCATAGTCCAAATCGTTCCACACACTTCCACTACGTGTTTATTAGCTGCAGGCCTGCTTAGCATTATATGATCGGCATGCCAAAATAAAAGATGGCGCAAACCGCAAAGTGTATTCTTAATTCTTTATTATGTCGATATTGTATGCTTATGTAAACGCCAACTCCTTAACTCGATCTCTCTACAAGTCAATATCAGTTATATTTTTAAATCAACAAATACAAATTGGTAAAACAGTTCAGAATACTAAAATTTGTCAATAATGCGATTTTAATAATTTGGGCTTTTTATCTTTTCTTTCTTACACATAGTTTAAACAGAAAACCCGATATCTTAGTATAGAGTGGTATAATTTATACCTTATCCTCAGTGCTAAGTTTCATAAAAATATATTTTATTGTTTTTCAGTGTTGCTGAGTTTACATCATGATTGTATTTTATGTGTTAAATTGTTCTAAACTGAATTTGGTCAAACATGATATTCAATAGTTATATTTTAAAGATCATATTTAATAAAAATAGTACGTTAAATTTAACGTAAATATGTACATTTTTTCACACTATATACTTATTTAGAAGCAATATGTCGTATCATATTATTAATCACCTTCATATTTACTAATTGCTAACTAAATTTTGCAAGAATTTTTTTTTTTTGGTAAATTTTTTTTTTTTTTTGGTAAATAAATTTTGCAAGAATTGCGAACACAATTAAATGGCTCAAAATGTATCGTGGACATTAAATAACTCAACCAACTGATCCATATGGGCCCAAACTTGGTTTATCAGACGCAGCCCAAATACGTAGTACAGATGAAAGCAAAGTTGTATCCAAATAAAAACATCATTCATTCTGTCTGCAATCTGTCTCAAACCGAGACACATACATATTATGCTTATGCTATTATTATAAGTGAAGCATCAAAAATACAATTCATAGAAACAAACTATATAAAATCCATAAGTTTTTTTCCACTACAATGAACTTTGTTGCTTTTACTACAAATCTTATTAACCCGGGAAACTCATCAACAAGATGAACCAGATCATCATAGAGGTAATACCGAGAATATGTAAAAGTTCAAAAAAAAAAAAAAAAAAAAAGCTTACCATGAAGACTTTATATGAACTTCCCCCTGTGAAAGTGAATCTCCTAAACTCTGATACCAAAAGCGATGACGGGGAAACTAGACTACGCCTACTAAAGACAAGCACTTTTCTTGACATATACATCATAAAGCTGCAGAGATACATCACTAACGCCTGTGCACATAAGAGACTTACATTATTCCAAAGGGACAATGCTACACATCAACTTTTGCATCACACCTCTCCATCCATCACTGGTTACCGCCTATCATCATGGGTTCCTCCTGTCAGCTTCATTCCTTGGTCCAGGTGTCATATGGTTGTTCATTGTTCTCCAACAGAAACATTCTCAGATGTATCTTCAAGCTTCTCAATCGCCATTTCATTATCCTTACTCTGATCCATACCAACCTTGCCCTGATTCGTTTCCTCACATTGTTCCCCTGAAACTTCCCGAAACTCTGTCTCAGCTTTTTCCTTACCTTCAGGTTTCTTTTCCCCAGAACTTCCCACATCAGTCGTATGTTTGCTAACTTTAGCTTCATCCACAGTGCTCTTATTGTTGCTGTTAATTTCTTTCACAGTAGCCTCACCATCCCTACTCGCAGCATCTTGCATACAAACATCTTCTGCAGCTACATGGTTGTCCTTTGTTTCACCACTAGTACGTGCATCAGATCCCCCTGTGTCATCACCATCACTTTCAGATTCATTCTCAACAACTTCCTCGTTAGCATCTTCAGCAACCATATCCCTCCTCTCGAGATACTGCAACCTTCTCCTCATGTCACCCAACTCCCTCTCCATCAAGAACAACCTTTCCTTCAGTGTTAAGTTCTCTTCCTCCAGTTGAGCAATATGGCTATCCTGATCATCCACTCGGTTTTCCAATACATTGTTATACTCCGACCCACCATAATTGGGATAAATCATCTCAAACCGACTTAAATCATGGTCCAGTCTCCTCTCAACCTCAACATGCTCCTCCACATCACTCTCACTCGATCCACCTTCATCTTCATCATCCTCATCATAAGGTTCCAACTCATTTCCATCAGCCCGCAGCCTAATCAGCCCTTTCATGGAGCCATAGCCATCAACCCCCCACTCCTCTTTCGCCATATCCCCCAACACCTCTCTGGATGGCGAGAACATGGGCGTAGGCAGTACCGCAGGTGTGACAGGGCAAGGAGACACCAACTCAGCAATTCCACCAGATTTCTTTGCCCTGATAATGAACGAAGTCGTGTTTCTGGGAGCATAAGGAACATATCGGTTACCATACTTCTTCTTCGGATAAAACTTCCTCGTCTTTAACCTGTTCTGAGACTGCAGCTCGTTCAAAGTCGGCGGCTTGTAACCACCTGCACCAACAGGTCCAACCTGAATACTACTACCAGAACCAGGCATCTGCTGCTGAGGGTTATACATAGGAATCCCAGAGTTATGCATTCTCCTAATCGGCTGCTCCATCATTGGCCTCTTGTCACCTGTAATCTTCTTCCCTTTCCAATTGTTCCGCATCATTTTGGAATGCTTCGAACCAAAGTTGTTGGGAGGAAGGCTCTGGTACTCAGAACTCAAACTAGGGTTAAGGTTAAAGTTGCGAGGATTCATCATCATAGCCTGGTTGTTCATCATAACCTGAGGCTGCTGGTTCATACTCATAATCGGATGGGATTGGCCTAACAACGGCGTCTGGTTCATAATCCGTGGCTGAACCGGGTTCATTACCTGAGAAGGCGGCGGCGGATTCATCCTCTGTTGCGGCGGAGGCTGACCAATCATCTGCTGTGGAGGTGGCGGATTCATCAGCTTAGATTGATCGTTCATCTAAACAATACAAACACTAATCGAAATCGAACCAAAAAAAAAAACCCAAAACCCTAAATCGAAGCAAATTAGCAGATAGATCAATGGATAAGAGATCAATCCGAGTGCTTAGGGGAGTGAAATTGTTGTTTAAGATACAAAACCACAGATCAAAGAATACAAAAAATACAAACACAAATCAAACCAAAAAAAACCAACAACACTAGAATTTGAGATTTTTCGTATTTTTGATTGTTTTGTTTTTGTTTGTTCAGTTTGAAGTTTTTGGGGAGTTTTTGTAATTTGGATCTGGAAACTTTTTTTTTTCTGTGTTGTTGTCTGTCTTTGACAGCTTAAGAGAGAAAAATAAATAAATAAAAGGGCAAAGAGAACCTCTCCTCTGTGTGTGTACGAACGGCTTGAGAGATGATGAGAGAGATTCTTTAAATAGAGGCTGAGAAAAGATGCTTTGTTCTAATCAACGACGGAGATGACACCCGTTAAACCGACGGCTACGATCTGTTTTTTCTTTCTTTTCTTTTAAAGGTTGAGTCGGTTACGGGTTTCTTTGATATTTTTTATTTTTTATTATTTAGTTTTGAAATAAATTGTAAATCAAGAATTTGGCAAATATAATTTCACTCGTTTTTTTGTTGGTAATTTTAAAATCTAAGATCTAATTATGATATTATTATTTTTTATCTACAATGTTATTATTTAGGTAATTATATATATATATATTTTTAAATGATGGTATGTTTGACTTAACAAAAAAAAAACAAATAATAATGAGATGACAAAAAAAAAAAAAACAAATAATAATGATGATATAATTATTTAAAAGAAGGTAGAATAGTATAGAAGAAATGGACCATTTCCAAAATTTGGGCTATTGAGTACATTCTCGTCTAATCAAAGTCGTCTCTAATCTATAACGCATTCGTGTTCTTGTCCTTGTTACATCATTGGTTATGTTATTTTCTTCTTCTTTCTCCTCTTTCTTCTTCAGGTCATCTGCATATGCATCTAACATCTATCAGGTTACGACTATTCATATAAAGACGACTCAATCATGCAAACACAGCCAAGCCTAACCTGAGTTTGGGCATGAGTTACGAGCTTACGTATCCTGGTCCAACAGAGCTAACGGGTGCAATGAGCCTAGTCAAAAGTATTAAAACATATTTGACTTCTCATGGAAATTAAAAATTCTTGACTTAAAATTTCAGTCTAGTAAAAAACGCATACTTGACTTGGTGCTTCTCTCTCTGCCTTGACGAAAGGAGATATAGAGATGGATTCTGTGTTTCTTCTATTTTACATCAGCGTCATGGACCAGATTTCAAACCTTGAGATACGATAAGCAAGTTACATCGCATATTACCATATTATGTTTCGTGTACTTTAAGCTTTTTAAATTGTTGTCAAAGATTGCATTAAACGAGTTATTGTAGTACAAATTCGACCTACCAGTGCAACAGGGGAATCAGGGAAACCCCACTCCTGATGTTTACAGACAAAAGCAATCTCTGCCAAGTATAAATGTCTGACAGTCCAATGATTCTCTTAAAGTTTTTATGACTTCTAAGCTTCTCAAAAATGTTGCAATCCTAGTGAAAGTTTCAATTCTGAAGCCCAATCTCCTCAAGTTCCACACAATTCAAATCGCACCGGATTCATAAGTGGCAAAAATTCTTCTAATTTGTTATCCATCTACCTGATCATTTAGCAAAGGTGAGTAGATCGTCCGCAGAACATTAATCCATCAACTTACAATCGTTTCCAACTTCTAGTAATAACGAATGAATATGGATGTTGTTTTCCTAACATTCATTGTTATAAAAATGAATATGAATATGTTATAACCCGTCTACAGAAGCAACTCATCTTCTTTCTTTTTTTATTACTAAGGTAAGAGACAAACAATTGAGGCTAATCTAGCTCTCAGACGAGCTCAGACACGAGTCGAGGCTTTAAACCATGTGATTCAGATTCATGTTGGAATTAGGGTACGAGCCGGACAAGTCATTTGGATTGTAACAGACTAAACATCTCTCAAAACTACCATTTACTTAAAACCCGACACCAATAACATCCATCTATCCATAGAGAAACAAAGACAAAGACTGATAGGGGGTTGTGTTACTTGTGTATCATAGACAACGATTGAACACCATATATGACAACTTCCAGCTACGGCCTATGACACGGAATGAGTATAGTACCAAGCTTCCAACATGTTTGTAACCTGAGTCAATTAGGCTTCCCTCTCTATGAAATGCAGGAAAGCATATCCGGCACCACAGTTTGTGCTTCAGGGCCAGAAATGCTTATGTACCCTTCCTGACATTATAAGACTCATATATTAGAATGTTACTTATTTTCTTACCACATTCGAAGTCATCTAGCAAACACAAGATAATAACAATAATCAGGAAGAAGAAAGGAGCACACACTTTCTCTTCCTACGATCAATTGCAGCAGCACCCATATTCCTGGTTTCATTCTTAGAAAGCATATTATTGTACTGCATTGGAGAAAGGGCTGGAGAGAGAGCAGCAGTTGCAGATGGTGCAGGTGGCAAAGAAGTTGAAGGTACAGCCGGTGGTGGTGGAGCTATAGGCTCTGGAAGAGGCCGAGGTAGAATGTGCTTCAGCCTGTTGTTTCTGTAGTTCTTCCAATAGTAAAACTGTTGCCTATGTGCCAATTCCTGGAAGTCGGATTCAAAAGAAGACAGGGTTCAAAACTTTAGAAGACTTCTTCAACAATATAATACAAGGACATACTGTATGTAGTATGAAAATACTTTACTTATCTCATGAAATCAATGGAAATAACACAGAACTACAGAGCCAAACTAGCAGAACGCAAGTATGGTTAGTATTAAAGACCCTAAACTCCCTAAAACCTACCAATACCCTACACATTTGAAGCACTCCCTATTTACACTGCGCACTAAAAGGCAGGTGTGGCAAGTTTGGTTGATGATTCTTATACCTTGTTTGCGGGATGGGCCATAGCAGTTCTGAAGTTGGGGTTTTGAAGAAGTTCGAGGAAATATAGGCAATGTGGGTACCTATACCAGGACATAAACACAAGAACAAAAGAAAACAGATAAACAAGCAGAGAAATCAGATATATTTCAAACCTTCATAAGACTACCATAATTCCATAAGATATTCCAACTCACATTATGAACTTGATGTACTCTGGTCGCTGCCAGTATTGAAGATATTTTAAGTATCCAATAAATGCTTCATCTTCAAAATACCGATTCTGTGCCAGGTCTGCAAAACAGAACCCAAAGGATAAGTGCACAACTAAGAAACAAAGAAAGAGCATGTGAAGGAGAAGGTGGTAAGTAAACCATCCAAACATGCAAAAAAACAAAAGATCTCTTATCACTTTCTAATAGTTAACTGCTAGTGTTATATCTTCATGTAGCATTTAGACTCCCCTCATCTCACCTAATTTGTATTGGTGTGTCATAAGCAGGTACATTCTAAAGTTTTTTGCAGAACTGTTCTCATTATCAACAGCGGGAGAAGACCAAATGGGATTAGGAGCAAAAAATTTTATCCAACCAAAGCACACAAGATCTCATTTAAGTTACATGAATACAAAACTGCTTACACAATGTAAAACCCAAATTAGCGAAACTATTTTCGAATCAAAAGCACAAACGCTAAGCCAGTAAGCCCTATTAACGAATCCTCCAAAACAATAGAAGGGAAAAGGCTAAAGGAACTAACAGTGGATGTAAGTAGGATTGGCGAGACATTGAATGAACTCAAGCTCCAGTAAGAACCGTTGCCTTCCACCGTCGGGATCCTTGTAAGTAGTCTTTGGCCTGTAGAGATGGAATTAGAATACTAAACAGCAGATTGAAACATATGAAAGTGTACAGAAGAAGAAGAAGAAGAAGAAGAAGAAGAACCCACGGGGATGGAATCTCTGATGTATCATCAATCTCCTCTGGCGACGCCATGAACGAACGAGATCTGAATCAACCAATTGACGAGTTCAATGAACGCAAATACCAAAACGAGAATCGAATTTTGGATTCTCAAGCGGAATCAGAAAAGCTTCGCACACAACTTCGATCGACTGAAAAAAGTAGCGAAAGAAAACAGACGGAGACGGAGGGAGGAGGAATATAAACCAAAGTCCTAAACCGGTTCTGAGTAAAATTGAAAATACAAAATTTCGGTTTAAAAAATATGTTAAAATAAAATTGAAAATACAAAATTACATATTTGTTAAAGACCATGAATCACACAAACATAAATCTTGGATTTTGAAGATATGGAATCTATATTCAATGGCTATTTTTTTGTTACAAAAGTGGTTTGAAATCGAGTTTATCCATCAGTGAAATACAATTCTGGGACTACAATAGATAAGGATGTTGTACTCTTTGTCATGCTAACTATGGATAGGGATTAGGGAAATGAGAATCTCTGCAGGCTAAAGAGGAAAGAGTCAAGCTGTCAGAATTCTGAAGGGATTAACATTTGGCTCCAACTGAGTTTGCCCTAATGTAGTAGTCCTCGCAAAAATGCGACAGTGTTGATGTGAAAAGCTAACAATTATCTGCTAGTTTTCCCACAGTCAACCAAAAAATATAAATATTAGTGCCTTTAGACCCTGGACTACCCTATGCAAGTCCCAAGACAGTTTTTGTATCCAGTTGGGGGTACTGTGCTCAAGTCTTACTTACCAATCAACTACTTGCTAGACAAAATCTGTCATTCATAAGTTACTGGCCTTCAAATATTCAGGGGATGACTTTAACATGTTTCACCATAGCTTGTGAATCCCAATTGATAAATCTGATGAGATGGAGACGAGCAGAGGATGAGAAGAATGCCACTCGGCTTTGAACACTCTTTTCTTATGAGCTTTCATCGAGAGAGACGGGCTTGGTGCATTGTAGCGGATATCAAAGATGTGGATCACAGGGTCTGCAGAACCAGATGAAATGTGTAAACCATCAGGAGACCAAGACTGGTTAATTAGTGCCGACTGCGACTCACTGCTTTCTTGCTTCCACCCAAAAGAAAACAGTTCTGTCTGAGGCAATCTTACATCATACAACCGCAGTTGCCGGTCTAGCTGCCTGCAAACATAACACAAGCAAAGGAAAGAAGAATTTTGAGGCAATTGCTTTCTTGGGGTATATATATATATATAAATCAAGAGTCTGTTTTACCTTGTGTGAACCATGACAAGGTTAAAATCTCTCGGGTTTGGCAGTATATTTGTGCATCTGTTGTCTAGTCTATGTTTGAATGTGACTTTTTCTTCTCGAGCATCAAACCCAACAAATCTCCTATCGTCTCCACATGACAAGACAAGGTTGTTATGGCGCATTCCAGCAACTCCCATCACAGCCGATGAGTGTGAGTCCCTATGCAGAAGGGTCGACTTCCACGCATTATTCTCAGATTGATCCCGCCATAACACTACTGCATGGTCACTCCCACCAGTTATGAAACAAGGATCATCCCAAGGCGTAAACATGATTCTGTTAATAAGACCTTTGCTATGAGGCCTGTCCTCCAGAAATTTCGACTCACAACTCTGCAGATGAACAGATATCCAAAAATATGTGAGCACATAACAAGCCTTTCCAAAAATAAAATCGTACAACCATCACAAGCTAGATCTTAAACCAAATAGATAAATCCAGGATTGAACATAATTCCTAATAATTCCAGCAAAAATGATTTTTTATTTATTTCAAACAGATAACAGTTTAAGCACACATTCCACTCATGAATGTGCAATAGCAAATTTAAATATGGTAAAACGTTAAAGTGTGTAACCGCTTTCATAGAGTTTTACCCCTCCAGATTCATTTAGATATATGGCTGATATTTGAGGGTGACCTTCATCTGCAGTATACACGGAGAAAAGTGCACTTTTGTGTGGATGCCAAGCTATATCTTCTGCCCATTTCTTCTGATCTACTGCTACCCGGTTGACCGTATTAAACAAAGTAGCTGTCGACCTGGTCAATGGTGAAAGCATTGATGGATAGGTTAGTATTCAATGAAATATAGATTAAGATATTCACAAAAATAAGAGTTAAAAAGATTGGTGGTTCCTGAGGACAAAACTTCCCAGTAGCGAACATTGTACAAATTCTATTCTCTTAAGATCTTGTACACAATGTATTGCAGCTTGTTGACAAATATATGCGAAAACTAATTTCGCCGACTTAATATATGGATGGATGCAGATGATATCAGTTGGAATTGGAAATAGATACATTTGACACATTTGAAAATCAAGGAAATCTATATGTATTTGAAGTTACAATCCCATAACCACTCCTAAAATCAGTCGGCATAAATATCAATTAATTAACTAACCCCAAGAAATTAGCAAGAACTATCATAATCAGTAGATCAGGCATATTTACGGCAGAGTTTACCTATCGGATTGAAGCTTCCAGAAATGAACCGCCCCATCCAATGCACTGAAGAATAACCAAAAACCAAAAGCAAGACGGGAAAAGAAATAGATTAAGCACATGAGTCAAGGGTATATTAGATTAGCTAACTGTGTCTAATGCCTTGGTTCCCTTTCATGTTAAAATATAATTTCCTTCGTAAGAAAATCCGAATGTCATCCACTAGACTGGCAGAGAAAAAAATAGGTAGCGGTCTTTCATTTTTTTAGAAAAGAACCAAACAAAAATAATGTAAGAAGCACCTTGTAGCAAATAGTTCACGGCTTGAAGGAGAAAGAGCAAGGCTTCTCATTCTTTTCGTGTGGCAACTTGGTAGCATACCTACAGTACGACCTTCAATTGTGGGACGCAAAGAGCTCCTACCTATAAGCGCTATCAACTCATCATGTCCTCGAAATTCTGAAAACAACAAAAAGAAACAGTAGATTCAGACGCAATGAGAAGGTAAGATGAGGCAAATCGACCAAAAGAATGGCTTTACCAGATTTTTCCTGTTGTTGAGAAATGGTAGAAGAAGCTCGGATCCTTGGCTTTGCAAAGTCCTTATTAGTCTGGTTATCTCGAGCTTGAGCTTGAGCTTGAGTTTGGTTATCACGATCTTGAGTTTTGCATACCACTTCATTAAGAATACTAGGAGATTTCTTGGCCTCAAGACTACTTTTGGCTTCCTTTGAGGCATCCCTTGTAGCCATGGGTTGAGCTACGTTATCTCGACCATGTGATTCCCTTACCACTTCACTAGGAATACTACGAGATCTCTTGGCCTCAGGGACACTTTTATCTTCTTTGGGGACATCATAATCCCTTCTATCCATGGGTTGAGCTCCATTGTCTCGATCTTGGGTATCCCTTACTACTTCATCAGGAATACTGCGAGGTCTTTTGGCCTCAGGGCCACTTGTGTCTTCCATTGGGATATTTTGATCCCTTGTAGCCATGGGTTGAGCATGGGTGGTCTCATTTACTTCTGCTCTAGCGGGTGCAGAAGTTCTTCGTTTAAAAGAAGGTGGCAAGATAATGGCTGGCACTTTCAAGGATTCCATCTCACTACGTGAATGCGGAGTAGAGGAGGTTTCATTAGGAGTCTTCGCCTTATTTCCCTCAGTCCAGAACTCTGCTATACCAAATAAACTTCCATTACCAGGCACTTTTGATTTAGACTTAGACAAGGTACTATCTTGAACACGATCAATTTGTAAAAATTTTGCCTCCGCATCTGCCATCAGTTTTCTCTCTTCAGCAAGCTGCAGATACATCAGAAATCTTAAGAACAAGACCAAACAGTAGGACGGACTCGCGCTTGTACATTTCAAGAGAGAAAAAGACAAATCCTTAGAAATCAGAAAACAAAAGGGGAAAACTTTTGAATTTCAATTAGGTGCCCTTCAAAGTTTCAAGCAAGAGGATGACATTTGAATGAATGAAAAATATCATAAATATGTTCAAACTGGATTCATATTGAAAAAAGAACAACAAAAAATGGAAACGGAAAGATCCTAAGAGCAGTGAATCAACCAAATCCAAAAAGAAGAAAGAAGAGACCTTTCGGTCGAGGATTGAAATCTCGTCTTTAAGGCGTTGGATTGAGTTGGCACGCTGGTCCATGAACTCTAGTAGAGCTTCTCTATCATCTGGGATTTTAGTTGAGAATGTTTTCGCTTCGACTTCAGTCACTTCACCTTCTTCCCCGTGTTCAATTTTAGGTTTTATCATCGCCGTCGTCGCCATTAAAGTCTCGGTTCGTCTTCCTCCAATCCAAACCCTTTTTATTACCCGCCCGATCGTGAGAAGTGGGGCTTATTTTCCCTCTTGTCGTTTCAATTTCGCAGCCACATTTTTTTCACTTTTTCCGATTTTGCCGCTTCACTTACTAGGGCTAATGTAATCGCGTGCAGCTCAACGGAACTTGACAGTGTTACACTTGCACGGAATATTCCTTCATTTGGAATTTAAACCGTCAAAATCTACAGTTGAGAAGTCTATGACGGACGTTAAGCACAGAGATACATCCGTTAAACAAGCTTCAATAAAACAACAACAATGACAACAGAAAAACCAAAATCAGAAGACGAAAAAATATTAATTTTGATTAAGGAGACTCTGTTCTAAGAAATTAAATTAAGTTCAATTACACTTGTAGCTGCGTTTATTCCATACATACTGAACACAAAAGTAGACTGTTCTAAGAAGCTAAAACAACTCGACTCAGCATACAACAAAATTAACATTTCAGAAATAATATCAAAAGTGTATACCAATTTTTGGATTCCAAAGGATGAAAAGTAAAAACACTCTCGCTTCAGCATTCAGAAAATGTACATAAACGCAATGGAAGTCAGAAAGGATGTCAAGAGTATGGAGACAAAGTTCACACCATTGTTGTCAAGGATGTCCAGACCTGATATCTTCTTTACTGTCGGCCCTGGTTTCCCTACAATCTGCAAGACACATAATTCGGTCAACAACGCTTCTCCCTCGATTCCACATATTCACATGTGTTCTTTTAAAATGTACCTTGTTCCGGACAGAGCAGAAGCCACTGAATTGGATGGTTGCTCCTAGTACAGAATCAATAAGACTCCCACATAATCCAGCTAATGCAGAGAGTGGAACGACTAAGAGTTGCTTCAGAACCACATTGCTTGCACAACTTGCGGTAAAGAGTCCGAAGATAATGAACGTTAATCCAACAGTGGTGCCGGCTGCCAAGGCAGCTAAGAGTCCTGCTTTTGTAACTCCACCATTTGTGCCCTTTTTCACCGGCTGAGAATAATACCAAACGTTTAGCTAAACAGAAAAAATTAACTAGCGGCTTGCAAAAAAGGAACAAGAAAAAACCTTTAGCGTTGTGACTAGTCGAGGCTGGGCATCACTTAGAACCCCAAGCTCCGAGGACCAAGTGTCTCCATTACAGCATGCATAATGACCGATGATCCCACCAATAAGAGCAGTTACAGTTTCTGACTGCTTTGAGTCCAAACATTTGTCCTGCCAACCCGTTAAAGTACATGCAATTACAACTAGAACTGATGCAATTCCACTATTGCATAACACTTGTACCCTGAAACAAGATATTCGAGGAATCCCCTGTCAAAGCAATTTTTGGTTGTCAAATAAATAACAACTTCTGCAAGTATCATTTGCTAATATGCCAGTGGAAAATAAACGATGCCCAGCCTCGACTAGTTATTTGGATGTGGAAAAATAACTTATTTTCCTTGGCTAACCATAAAAAAACAATCTCTAAAAATGATGTTCTAAAGTTCAACATCAACATAAACAAAGGAAAAGGGAATATCTTTGTGTGTGGTACTGTGGTTCTATGGTATGCTAAGAACGGGAGGTATAATTTTCCCACAGATAAATAAATTTTGCACAATGTTGAAGTTAGAATCGGCTCTCACTGATCTAGAGTTCATTCCCTTTACTTGATCGAAAATATATTCTCCCAAAAGACTCTCAAAACATATGTATAAATTTCAAGAATGCCTTCAAAATGTATATTTATCATTATCCCAAACTTCAATCTCATAGGAATCCAAACAGCTCACTCTCACATAAGTCAATACACCAGACTCTACCAGTTTTAAAACTTACCAGTTCCTTTGCCCACCTTCCTTGAACTCAGCATCAACGCGTCGTTTTTTATCTTCGCCAACTTTAGTAAGCTTCGAGGAAGTAAGAAAGAACACAAGCAGCAGAGCTCCGTACCTTTTTTTAGATTCAACACATTGATCCGATCAATACCAATCGGGAAACAATAGAAAACACTTTCTCAACAACTAAACAATCGAATGTTCATAACCAAAGAAATCAAAAGCCGGAGAAAAAACCTGAAACCGGCGGTGAAATGGATGGTCATAACGAGGAATCCAGCAATTCCACCGGAGAGATCAAGTGACCTCCGCTTGTACGAACGGAAAGCGATGAGTGATGAAAGAATTACGGCGAGGATAAGCCTGAACTGCGGCGACGTTTCCATTTTCCCAAGTACTGGCGGAGGAAGCTCGAAGTTTCAGTTGTTCAGCGCCGAGAGAGAGAGAGAGAGCAGTTGACCCAAACAACGTCATCACTCATCACTTTGTGTTGGTTAGAAGATGTTGTTACGCAGGCTTGGACCTGATATTAAATAATGGGCCTCTAATGGGCTGACCCGATATAGATTTTGTAACAGACGAGATAACGCGGGAGAACATATCTTCCTTCCTACGTGGCCGGAGAGAATCCAATCGGCGAACGAGAGATGGGACCAGTAACGATTTCGATTATGACGTGGCACCACTTAAATCACAATATCCGTATTCCCTCTCTCTTTCCTCTCACACCCCTTTCTATCTGAGCTTCTCTCTCTCTGTAGAACAATAATGGCTGCGGCTGCTTCTTCCCTTACAATCGCGTCGTCGTTCTCCGAACCTCGGACTCAGATCCTCCATTCCTCGAAGCGTTCGAACCTTCCTCTTCAATACAACATCCCTTATAAGGCCGATTCACGGAGCAGGAGTAGAAGATTAGGACTAGTCGTCAGTTCCGTTTCAGCCCCCAACGTTGAGCTTCGTACTGGACCTGATGATCTCATTTCTACTCTCCTCTCTAAGGTCTGTATCCCCGAAACTTTACGCCCATCTTATAAGTTGAGGATCTGACTTAATTTTATATTATGGCCTTATGGGAGTGGTGAACAGGTTGCGAATAGCGATGGAGGTGTGACACTGAGCCCTGAACAACACAAGGAGGTGGCACAAGTGGCTGGAGAGCTTCAAAAGTACTGTGTCAAGGAGCCTGTTAAAAACCCTCTCATTTTCGGAGGTAAACTATTTAGGAGCATAGCTGCCATTGCTTCTTCCTTGAATCAAAATGTGAATTCTCCAACTGTGGTGCAGATTGGGAAGTGGTGTACTGTTCTAGACCGACCTCTCCCGGTGGAGGCTACAGGAGTGTGATAGGCCGCCTCTTCTTCAAAACAAAAGAGATGATACAAGCCATTGATTCTCCTGATATCGTCAGGAACAAAGTTTCCATCAATGCTTTTGGTTTTCTTGACGGAGATGTCTCCTTGACAGGTAGCACTTGAAAACCCATATATGTATCCCCAGTCTCATCTTTTCCCATCTTTAATCTTCAACCACTTTTATGATCCCAGGGAAGCTGAAAGCTTTGGACAGTGAGTGGGTTCAGGTGATCTTTGAGCCTCCGGAAATCAAGGTAGGATCTCTGGAGTTTAAATACGGGTTTGAAAGCGAAGTGAAGCTTCGGATCACATATGTAGATGAGAAACTTAGGTTGGGATTAGGCTCGAAGGGATCATTGTTCGTCTTTAGGAGGCGTCAGTAATATATGTTTTTTCCCTCGTGCATCAATCAATACAATGCACTACAGAAATGAAGAAACAACATATGGGCACTTGTGAGCGTATAACTTTCGAAACCCACATACCTGTGTACACATATGGTGTTTTATTAGGAACTTTGTTGTAATATAAGCTTCATTCCAAGAGAGTCTCACTCCTAATGAGTAGTTGAGTACGCAATGGTGAGCATCAAAGTATTTTCACAAAGAACTACTAGAGCCACAAATTCAAAAGATGAATGCTAAAATTCAAAACTTCTCACGGTTAACTGAAACATTAAAAACACCATGTACATACAGATTCAGAGCTGCTACACCTGTGACTGTGAGGACCAAAGCATACATGAGTTATTCCCGAAGAATCTATAATGCTCTCAATAAAAGATATACAGATGTAAATGATGAAGTTTGGTTTAATCACCGCAAGCCTGGATGATTGCATTACACAATCTACACACGTCCTCTTCCCCGTCCTCTTCCCCGCCCTCTTCCTCTTCCCCTTCCCCCTCTTCCCCCTCTTCCCCTTCCATGGCCAAAGTCATTGTCTGGTCTTCCGTAATCAAACATATTCATTCTGATATCCACTGCCCCGGTTCCATGCATCTCCTGTCCCTACACAGAAAATTACAATCACAGTTCTCTCATCGTATGGTCCCAAAACGTAATACAAATAAGTCATTGAAAGGAAAAAATGGTGTGCTAATCAAAATTATGGTCAGGTTAATTAATCAAATGGCCAATTAAGCATATACGCTACAGATCATAGGGATAATCAAAGATGTTCTGACTCACATAAGAGTCTTCCAAATCAAACTGATTCTGAAGCTGCCATGCAAGATCTTCATCGCGGGTGGTGTCGCTTGGATGGTCTGCCGTTGCAAGAACTCCCCCGCCAGTATTCCTCTTTTCCCACTCCTCCAGTGTAAACACTGCAGAGTCTTCTTCTTCTCTCCCCCTCCCTCTACCTCTACCTCTACCTCTACCTCTTCTTCCTTGGTACTGCCGGTCATTTGAACTCGAATTTTTCATTTTCTCAAGAAGTATCTGCGCAGCCGCTTGGTTCTGTAAAGGAATAGCTTCCACCACTGCAACAATGGGATATATTATGGCGCTAGCGAGTATGAGAGTTACTTAGACTTATATGATATGAATGATAGATATCTCATCTACAATTCAATACAATTGCCAGATGAAAATGCCAAACTAATTTAATTATCAAAATAGATGGCACACCTTGTTTAGGTCTTGTGTCTGAACTGCTTGGCTTTTCCTGATTTTCAACTTTGACAGATATATTTGGATCAGAATCTGCAGGATTCCGTTGTAAATTCTTATCTGTACCTTGTTTGTTCCCACCAGCTTCACTACTTTCACCTTTTTCTCCGCCGGTGTGTTTTACGTTGCTTTCTGCAGCAGTAGGTATGATGTTCCTCGAAGTCGTCTTGTTGTAATCTGTCAAACATCAGACATACTGACAGATTATACATTGTCCAAACTTCCATCATGATACTTGATGCAAGCCAATAAATTTGAAAAGCAATTCAATAAATTTGTTGACAAAGATTGGCCAACCGTTTAAAGTGAAAGAAACATGCAATAAACTACTGGAAGAAAATTGCATGACAATGCGCAAAATAAGATAACCCTGCTTACCACGGTGATGGGAACCTCTTCGGATCTGCAACTCCTCAAATGGGGGAGGGCCATCACCAGCTTTGCTTTCCTGAGATTTCCTTCCAGATGAACTAGCCAAACTAGCATATTTTTTCTTCATCTGCCATTCTTCAGTGAGTGATGGCACATTACCGCCCAATAAAGTCACCTCTTTCGGAGTCAAACATACTAGACCGTCACGTACCACAGCCTTATTTTCTAAACGGACCTGCCAACAATATTATGTTTTCATAAGACACCCTCCTGATGCATGACAGTATGACACACACACACATATATTCAATCATAATGCACAAACAACACAACATGAATCTGTCAATTTAATTATATTGAGATGTAATACCTTAGTACCAGGAATCACATCACTGCTAATCGATGGAATATGAGAGTACTCAAGTGCGGATATCTCAGTCTTCCCATCAGTCAGAGCGAATTTGAGCACTCGTTTACCATTTGAATTTCCCAGGAATTCCTCTGCGCTACTTCTTGTAACATCCCTAACAGAACTTATCTATGTTCACAAAGCAAAGAAAACCAAATCACCACAATACAGAAGTAGAAGTACCAATCTAAAAACTAGGAATACTCAAACGTTGACATACAAACAAAGACTGGAAACTACTTAAAATCTTAGTATACCACTCTCTGATCATCAACTATTTGAATTAGCCAAAACCAACAAGTTTAGAATCAGATAAGAATGCATTATAAATTGTACGCATTTGGTTCTTAGTGTTACTGTCTTGAGCTGTTTGAAGCAACGTACCTGGAGCACTTTGGGGCCTTGGAGATGAGAACACCTGCGTAACTCTGTTGAGTCAGGGAGGGACTTGCCTCCGATTAACCTAATATCCATGTTAAGCAGCTCGGCCTCCACTGACTCCACCACCGCGCTTGTTTGATTACCGCCGCCAATCAAGGAGTATATATCATTGACAAGAGATTTCAGGTAAGATACGTCTCTGAAGCACCAGCCCCGGTTGGTTAGGGCATTTATCACGACGGCGTGGGCGTGGTCGCCGGCGGAGGAGGTGGATGTTCCCTCCATTGCGTCGATCCTCTGGTCGCACCGGAGAATTTCGAGATTCTAATTCGGGGTAAAATGCTAATAAATAAAAAGGAAAAAGACAAAAAAAAACAAAAGAGGGAACTATAGCCCCATATGACATATAATGAATTTTTAGTGAAATTTGTTTGCAATTTATGTATGTTTTTTTTTTGGTCATCAATTTATGTATGTTAAAAATAAATAATTTGTTAAAAATATTAGAAAACATATATATTTTAAAAATTAATTTAAATTATATACTTTACTAAAAAATAAATTGCTAAAACAAGTACTACGTATACTTTATTATCTCACATACAAATATGAATTATGCAAATGAGTGCTTTAACAAAAAAAAAAAAAAAAAAAAAAGAAATTGTGCAAAGTTATTCAAAAGTTTTCCAAAAAATTGTTTTTTTCCGGGTTTGGTTAGTGGGCCTTAGCCCATATGTAACTCCGAGATTTTTGAGTCTTCGACAGTATGACTTTTCGATGAACCTGCTTCGGTGGTTAGGAATCCGACAAAAGTCGATAAAAAGTTATGACGATGGACGATGGTAACTCCGTCTACGTCGGCGGCCTCCCTTACGACATCACCGAGGAGGCTGTCCGCCGTGTCTTCTCCATTTACGGCTCCGTGCTCACCGTTAAGGTATACAATTCTCTTTCAATTGTTGCTCTAATATTCTAACTAATTTAGGTTTCTTAATTAGGATGATTCATTACTTTCACGGTGAAGATTTCGTTCTGGTATTTGATGAGGTTTTTTAATCTTATTGGATGATGTTATGAATATGTACAAATATCTACAAAGTGATTTAGTTGATTGATATATCTATACGTGAGCTGGTCAGAGTGTACTTTGACATATCTGTACTGTTTTGGGAATTCAGATTGTGAATGACCGGAGTGTAAGAGGGAAATGCTATGGCTTTGTTACATTTGCAAATCGTCGATCTGTTGATGATGCTATTGAAGACATGGATGGAAAAGTATGGTTCTTGTTCTTTGTTGTAAACCAAAAGCAACAAATTTTTTGAGTTTCACTGCTATAGTTTTTGTTTTCCCTTTCTACTATGATGTTTTGGAATATATTTATATTTTTTGACGGTACTGAGCTCGTAATCAGAATATTGGTGGGCGTGCAGTGCGTGTGAATGAGGTAACGACAAGAGATGAAAGAATGAATCCAGGTCCAGGGCGGCTACGACCACACGGTGGCTGGGAGAGAAGCCCTGATAGGAGAAGTGATGGAAATTATGAGAGAGATCGGTATAGTGATAGGTCCCGAGAACGAGATAGGTCTCAGGACAGAAGGAGAGATCAACACTACATTGAGAAGCAAAGAGCTTATGAGCATTCACATGATTTTCAGAGGAGAAATGATCATGATTTGACTGATAGAATTGGTTACAAGGAAAGAGTTTTTGAAGGTGATGGAGGAGATTGGCATGGGGATAGGTCTTATGAGGAAAATGCTAGGGGAATCAATGGGGATAGGTCTTATGAGGAAAATGCTAGGGGAATCAATGGGACCAGTAGTCATGAAGGTAGGAGCCTAAAACCAAAGAAAGATGATAGGTAAACTTTTTGTTAATATTACGTAGTTGTAGACTTCACATTGGCTGTTAACTTTTTGATATAAGAATTCAAACTTCTAGTGCTCCACCTGTTTCTTTGAACTATGAAATTCTTTTTTCCTGTAAAATTGGTCTGCTGAGCCAATACTGGGATGCTAGTGTAGAGTATTGTTACATTGCTAAACCAAATCATCCACACCTGTTGTGGTTAAGGATGATAGTTTATCGTTGATAAACTCAAATGCAGGAGGTTTGGTTTAATAGATTTAAAGAAATCGCTTACTCTTATTGATTTTGGCTTCGTTTGGTTTCGTTGAGATGTCTGAATCTTTGTATGTATTTATTGAATTAGCAGTACCATGCTTGATGGTGGGCGTGGAAGAGATCACTTATCTAATTCAAGTGGAGATCACAGTCATCAGGTAAAGATGATGTTTGTTAGCCATGTATTGTTTCGTAGTGCATGTAAAACAACTTGCATTATTTTATACAGGTGAAAGATGAACTCGAAGCACTGATTAAGATGCGTGAGGCTCTTCGAGATGAGGTATGAGGTTGTTATCTGTCAATATAGGCTGTTGGTAGATTTATTTTACACAATCATGAGCGTATGAAAGAATTTATGGAATAGTTTCAATTTTAAGATGTTGGTGGTAAAGGAGAAGTTGGAAGAAAAAGAAGTAGTGTGCTCAGAGTTACAAAAAAAGTCTAAGGTATGTGTTTTCTATATCTTAAAAATCCGAAAATTTTGACTATGATTTGTACTCATTTGAAATGGTAAAGACAGAGATTAGAAGATTTGTTGATCAATGAAAAGAAACTGGTTTCACAACGCCGAAAAGAATTGGCAAAGGTAATCAATCATAGGCTCCGGTCCTGTTTTCGAAGTTAGTTCTGTTACGTAATTTTTGTTGACATTTGGTCTTTTGTTTGTGGTAGCTACATAAATCATTTTCAAGGGTCAGAGAGTGCACTGACAACCTGAAAGACTGTGAACAGGAACTCCAGGTTACTTTCTAAACTTTCACATTTTTCATCAATTGTCATTAGACAAGGATTAGGTCTAATTGAAACAAGACTATTTTCCGCAGTCGATTGTTAATTCAGCAGCTAGAGATGGCGTGACAGGTGCTGATGAAGGACTGGGAAACGGGTATGCGTAACACGGTCAACCGCATATATGTTCTGCTCCGTCTAAAGTGTAGCTTTGATGTATCTTATACTCTTATATGTGTCAGTCTCCTAGTTTTTTCCCCCCAAGCCTGAGGTACACTGATTTGGTACATATTTGCATTTGTTTTAGCAAAATATGTATGCATTTCATTCAGTATGTATTATTGTCATACGAACATCATCAAAATAATTGTTTTCACGTACTACCTAAAACCAGTCAGTCACCAAATTACAAAAGGAAAGTCTCAGAGCTTTGTTAGAGAATAGTCCTAAAATCTAATATTTAGTCTGGCCAACCTTTTAGATTCTGATGCATCTTTAGCCCGATGTATTCTAAAACATCGTTAATTAGATTAATTGGATTATGAAATCCCAATATTTTCTATTGACACATTGACCAGAAACTCAGAAACAAAGAGAACAAAAGCAGTTACAAATGAAGTATTATAGAGGGGACCCTATTATAGAGTACCTTATGATTTATGGTATTTTATTGTTAAATCTAAATTTCTAATCATCATAGAAAAAATAACTAAAAGTTAGATGACATAATTTATTGGATTGTGTAACGAAACAATCACACTATATAAAAATGGTTTTACTCAATATAAAATTTCTGTAAATATTATATCTATTATAAGGTTTGCTCACAAAAGCAAAGTATTATAAAGTCATTCGAAAATGAACTCTTATTATTTTATTACTGGATGAAGTTGACACATTATTCATTGTTTTATAATGTTTGCTTCGTTATTATTCTTTACTAAAATTAATATACTTGGCTATAGTTAAAATGTTTTTAAAAAGGAGGGGAAAAGAAACAGTTAAACTATTAAGGTTGAGGCGACCATCATCATCTCCACCGTCCATTACTCGTAAGCCGAATGTTTTTATTTTGATAAACATGTGAACATCCATCCATCCATGATCCATCCATTGACCTATCGTTTGCTTGTAAAGCCAAGTTAGCCAACCAACACTCAAATCATCATTATACATGACGACGATCTTAAAAACAACCCCTTTTAAGATACTCTCTTATGTTTGTCTTCTCATACAAACTTCAGTATAGTTGTATTATTCAAAATTCATTGATTAAGGCATGGTTCGTTACACAGCTTATAGCAAAGCAGTATACGGTGAACAGCATAATCAAAAACGTTCTTCCTCTGGTGGAATTCCACGTTTCTCCTGATTCTCTTGGTGAGCCGTATTGTCAAATCAACGCGGATATGAATATTTCAGTGGATATGATCATATGGATATGAGTAATTTGGTCACTTCATTCGATTAAAGTGTAAGTTTTAGTCTTGTAGATGTACTTAAGGTAAATAATATAAGTGAGACACTTACTATAAAGCTTAGTAGGTCATGACTCATAACTCATGCCAATACCAACTTTAATGTATGTGGTTTCGATGGTACCTTTAAACTCAAGTTAAAATAATGATACATCAAAATTTTATTTCATAAAATTCTAGTTAATTTTGTTTTGACCTAACAAATGAACTTAAAATATTTTATATTCCCACCACAAATTAATAGTCTAGTTTAGATCACTCTTCTATATATATAACCTACAACATTGAAGTTGATCCTATCAACTAAAACACCACCCCATCCAAAAAAAAAAAAATATTAAGAAATGGAGAAAAGCCAAAGATGTAGCAAAGACACAAACACAAGCATAGGCTTCTGCCTTCTTCCCTCTGAACTCATACAAAACATTTTGTTCCATCTTTGTATACCTGAGATCATCCGGATGAAACTACTCAACAAGTATGTTTTGACAACAATCTCTGACCGGAGCTTCATCCGACAACTCAACGACGGATCACAGAGAGACACGTGGATCTTCGTCTACACGAGACGTTGGCGCCGCGACAACGGTGTGCTCCACGGCTTCTCGGACCGATCAGTACGGTGGTTCAAGATTCCGGTGGCTGAAATACTCGCCGGAGAGATTCGCCCCGGGGAAGATTTGTATTTACTAACAGCCAGCGGTAATTTTCTTCTCTTTGCCTCCAATACTCATAGCGGAATCATAGCCGTTGATTTAGTGGGCAAGATCGTTACAAGAATCAGCTCATGCCCGTTAGGTCCACGTGGAACATCGTCTTGGAGACGATCCGGTATGAAGCTTGTGCCTGATCCTTCAAGTCCGAGCCATTTCCGGTTTATGTTCGCTGAGATGGTGAATAACCGACCGGTTCTGTTTACTTATCATTCTTACACGGCCACGTGGTACACTAAAGAAGCAGAGGATACAAATAATTGGGCTTATGAGAAAAACAGTAATGTGTTATTCTTAAGCTTGTCGAATCGACCTCACGAGAGTACAGTGATGAGCGTTGTGGACGGTGGTTCGATGACAAACCAGTTTCCGACGATTTTACGGCCGAGTATGAACCAAGGCGCGATCGGACAATGCCCGTCTAGTGTCGGGTTCAGCAGAAACGATCTAGAGAGTCAACTGTTGCACATACATGGAGATGAATACAAAGTGGTGATTAGATTAGACAGGGTACATAATTCAAAGATGAATAAGATAATGAAGAGTTTAGAGGTTTGGGAGATAAGCTCAAATGGTGAAAAATGGGAGCTAGTGTCAAGAGCTCCTAGTGAAGTGATAAGCAAGAAGCCTTGTGGTGTGATGATGGGTTGCTTAGAGAGGAGACTAGGGGTGATTAGAGTGGCTCTAATGACGAATCATGAGGGATTATGGAATATAATTTGGTTGGATTATGACAAGCATAAGGATAAGTGGGAGTTGGTCCCATTACCTGATTGTAGATTCTTGCAAGGCTCAAATATGGCTGGGATTAGTTTCTCCTCTGGCCTCACCTTCTCTTTGTAAAGTTTTTTATTTTTTATGTATATAAAACTTTTAATGTCGGTATCAATCATACGACCATACGTTTTTTTTTTCTCTTTTTGTTTTGGTTATATGATTGTAGTAGAGGGATTAATAAATGAATTTCACGAGGGACAGTGCATGACTCATGCTTGAGGATTTAAGTCAACCACGGATGCAAAAAAAACTCTAGAAAACTAATAATTGAATCACGGGCTTAGAAGAAATAGGATTTTTTCATAAATATATTTTTATCATATAGAAAAAAAAAAAAAAGTTACAATAATTTTAGTGATGAAGGTTTTTCAAAATCCTTTCATCACACTCGAAAGCTTTTAAGAAAAGTCAACTTTAGAAAGCTTCCTAAGGGCATCCTCAATGCATAATCCTTAAAAGTGGATCTAATGATTTCTTTAATAGTTTAATTGAAAAAGTGGATCTTATGATTTCCTTTAGTACCTTATATAATATACGTACCTTATATATAGAGTTGAATTATGTATTAAATTTTAACCAAAAATAGTTTAAAGATCATGTTAAGGATCAGCATTGAGGATGGTCTAAGCCAACTACTAAAAAGTAGAATGCTGTTTATAGAATATAAAACTATGATTTCTCTAACTTTTAGAATACTCTTATTATAGGATTTATAATGATACTAAAGACGTTTGTTTCTAAAAGAATACGTTCTGATGGTTGAACCTATGCCATTCTTTAAATGTAATGTAATAGATACTAAAAAGCCAAAAGAAACAAACAGAACTATGTAAAACAGGCACAAAGGTGGAGATCCAGTCAGATTGCGTCCAACCCACGAAGACACGACCTCAACCTTTCTTTAGTAAAAGAGAGTCTTTAAGCTGGCCACGTGGATGCGAACCACATTGCTCTTCGCGTGTAAAGACACTAAGATAAGTACTTAAATTAGTGGCTTAGTGCACGCACAAACGTATGCGAAGTGCACGGAGCCTATATGTCAATGTCTTAATATAATATGATGAACAAATGTATATGAAAAATCTACGAATTAGCTCACATTTTATCCGCAATTCTTATGAGTTTTGTATATGTGCTCGTTCTCAGCACAAGCAAATCTAGTGGATATAACTCATCTTTAAAAGCTAGCTTGTTAGGAGAGAGTATGCATATTCTTGCTAAAGCTTCCACCGCTAGACTACTAGCAACATTACTGATATTTAAGGGCGGTTCTGTTCATAACTTAAAAATCTTTGAAAAGGTTACAACTATAGAATGCTGCTCTCTGACACACTCAAATACATACTTGGCTCACTTGTCCCGACAGTTATGTTTCAACTGAATGCAAAACAGAGACACTCCAACTACTAATCTGCAGACAAAAAATGTCCAGTCTTTTGCCAAGTAACTTGAATAGCAGATGTATCTCTTACTCTTCTTTCACATTTTCACTAAAACAAAATAACAACACGAACCCATCTTTTGTGCATCACTAATAATTGTAACACAGAGAAGAGAAACTGATTTTGTATAAATGGATAAGAAGATAAGGGGGAAACAGGGTTTACAAAATTTAATACTATAGAGGCCAGAAACCAGTTTACTAGAAACCTCTGTAAATGTAAAAATGCTAAGAATTTCAGATTCCGAAATCAATTGCTACACACCTGGCAAAGGGTGCAAAACAAATGAAACCTCTCTTATACAACAGAAGCTAGTTTCCCCTGATTCAATGGCGTCAACTCTTCATCCTCCTCGCCTTTCTCGCTATCCTTCTTGTTGTCCTTCTCGCTGTCCAACAAGGGTTTATCCAAAGCGACAGACTGCTGATAACCAACACCTCCACAGATAGTGAAAAGGAGACAAACCAAACCAACTGGAGTGGCGTGCTTATCCCAAATCAGAACATTGATCACAACAGTCAAGAACTTGTTAACAACACCAGTCACTGTAAAAGCAGTGGCAGAGATAGCATTCCTAGCAGCAAATCCAAAGTAGCTAATAAGGAAACCAAACACACACGACAAGGCCACAGCGGAAAACGCAACAGGCTCAAACAAATTCCCCCTGTTCTCATTCACGGCCGCGAAAACCTCGGTGTGTTCTCCAGTGAGAAACCAGAAGATCGGAGCAATCATCAACGACAAGAGATTATTATAGAGAACGTATCCCCAAATGTTCAATCCTAGATGCGACACCATATGCTTAATGTAAACCATTTCAGTAGTAATGGTAACAAGATAAGCCAAAGCCCATGAATAGGCAGTAAGAGTAAAAGCCGAGTCAGTTGCAACATACCCAACAGCACCAGCGAGGATGACGATGAGAGACAAGAACGTAAGCCTTGAAGGCAAAGGCTGACCACGAAACACAGTGTCGGCGATGGCGACTAAGAGAGGCGTGAGAGATCGGAAGACAATGAAGGTGTCGACATTAGCGTGACGGAGGAGGTTGGTGTTTGTGAAGATGGCGAGGTAGAAGACGATAGCAGCAGGGAGAAACTTCTTAGCAGTCTCCCAGGTGAAAGGATCGTGATGGAGAAACCCTAATTTGCCGAGAAGCCAGACGGCGACGGTGCAGGTAAGGTACTGGAGTGCGGTGAGAAGACCAGGGTAGTTGAAGTATGTGATTGCGAATTTGTTGATGACGGCGAGGAGGCTGGAGCAGAGTGCGTACCCGATTACGAGACTCGTCGTCGTGTATTGTTTGCTTGAATCGAATCGAGAGGAAGACATTGTTGCTTCTTTGGTGTTTTTTCGGGATCCAGATCGGTAGAAGAAGAGAGGATTTGAGATCTGGATCGGATTATACAGAAGAGGAAGGCGACGACTTCATCATTCACAGTGTCGTACGGGAATGGCAAATTATTTGGCTGTTAATCCTTTTTGAGTCACTTTGAGTTTAATTGTGGTGTTAATTTTGGTCAAATCACCATTAATGGAAGCAAATTAAACTTATTTGTGTATTTAGGACATAAACCAGTCAATGCACTTAATTATGATTGCACGTTATCAATAATTCAATATCTTTCTCTTTCTCTTTCTCTTACAACTTTTGAATAATTTTTTTCTAAAAAGTAAATCATCTCGTCGTAAGACTCTAAATCAACCAGAAGGTTTGGCTCCGACATCTAAAAATCAAAATAATCTTTGCCAAATAAATTAAAAAGAATATTTCTATTGTGGAGTTAATTTCCTTTTATTTTTTATTAATCGTGTATATTTTATGATTGCTTGAGGGTTTCAGATTCTGCTGATCGAAGAAACTAATCTTTCTCTTTCTCCTTCTTTTTCGTCCTCTTTTCTGGGTAAAGATCTGTTCGATAATTTGCTGCAATCACTGAGGAGATGGCTGCCGTAGGAGTGGATACGAGGCGTGCTGAGTCAGCGATGGAAGAAACCTGCAACGTCAAGGGAGCTGCGGCAAAACAAGGTGAAGGGCTTAAGCAGTATTATCTCCAGCACATCCATGAGCTTCAGCGCCAGCTCCGACAGAAGACTAATAACCTCAATCGCCTTGAAGCTCAGAGGAATGAACTCAATTCTCGAGGTCTCTTTCTTTCTTCATTAACCCTAATTTAGCTGGGATTTCTCTGCGAAATTGGATATTTTTTTTATCATCCTCTTGGGTTTAGCAATCTCAGATTCTGTGCTAGGGCTTTCGAATTGGTTCTCCTTGGAGCTGAGTAATTTCAAATTTCAAATTTTTGTGTGGTGACTGTGTTAGGATTGAAAGTTTCTGATTTAGAAGTGATTGGATGTTGAAATTGTGTATTTTTGAGCCTTGAGTTTTAGCAACATTAACTTACCATGTTTATATTTTTTTATTGTGTCTTCTAGTTGATGCATTAGCAAAGTATATTGCTATCAACTGCAAAAAAAGAGTTGTTTTATGCGAATTTTGCTATGCAAAGTGCATGGCTTTTTTCAGAAAATCCTAGTTCTTTCTTCACTCTCTTAACTGAATAATATATATCCTCATGGGAGGAGTCATTTTCCACTTATCCATGATTTTAGTTACACATTCAAAGTTATAAAACAGCCTCTGTTGTCATTATGATCATCATCATATTTATGTTCGAAAGTTTTATTACTAGTCTTTATAATCTGTAGTTAATTCTAAATCTCAAACCTCTTTGACACTGTAATTCTTTCTTAACTGAACAGTACGAATGCTCAGAGAAGAATTGCAGCTGCTTCAAGAACCTGGGTCCTATGTGGGCGAAGTGGTAAAAGTGATGGGGAAAAACAAGGTCTTGGTTAAGGTATAAATTTTTATTGTAGTCTATGATCTAATTAGATTTGTACTTTTTGTATTTTTATGAACTATAAGTCGTAAACTCCCATAATCCAGGTTCATCCAGAGGGGAAGTATGTTGTTGATATTGACAAAAGTATAGACATAACGAAAATCACCCCATCAACCAGAGTTGCTCTTCGTAATGATAGCTATGTTCTCCACCTAGTCCTACCAAGTAAAGTAGATCCGCTAGTTAACCTCATGAAAGTTGAGAAGGTTCCAGACTCTACATATGACATGATTGGTGGTCTTGATCAGCAAATCAAGGAAATTAAGGAGGTAAGTGAAAGAAAAACGAATCTAATAGTCACTGGTTTATTGATAACCGTCTCTGTTGGTTCATACGTGTAAGGTTTATATAATATCTATATTGGTTTATCAGGTCATTGAGCTCCCAATCAAGCATCCTGAATTGTTTGAGTCTCTTGGAATTGCGCAGCCAAAGGTACACACGATATTCATAGCTTTTTCTCTATATTGTGACGATGTTTTAAGTGGATTAGGACTGATCGTATACCCCTCTATTTCTAGGGTGTGTTGTTATATGGTCCACCTGGAACTGGAAAGACACTTTTGGCTCGGGCTGTTGCTCATCACACTGACTGTACTTTCATCAGAGTATCTGGTTCCGAGCTGGTTCAGAAATACATTGGAGAAGGTTCTAGAATGGTCAGAGAACTTTTTGTGATGGCAAGGTTTGTATATGCTAGTCCCTATTTGAAATTTAAGGCATGGTAAAAGTGCTTGGTAGGAAAAAATGGAACTGTTGATAAGATAACATTTTCTAACATGTCCGCAATTAGTAGCTGAAATTGGCATGTAATGTTAAATAAAATGAGGAAAGTGTTCTTTGTTGCTACTATTAATATGGTTCTGTCGTGTAGACGATCTCAGCAATGAGTATCTTTGTTCTAGTTCCCAGCATTTACGCTGCTGTAGCTTGAAGAGCAAACTACAGATTGTATGAGATGATTGTGTTGAAAAATAGTTGTTCCAGTTGGTTTACCTTCCTAATGCCGCTGGTTTATGGTTTTCAGGGAGCATGCACCATCAATCATCTTCATGGATGAAATTGATAGTATCGGGTCTGCTCGTATGGAATCTGGAAGTGGAAATGGTGACAGTGAGGTGCAAAGAACTATGCTTGAGCTTCTCAATCAACTTGACGGATTTGAAGCATCAAACAAAATCAAGGTACGTGTTAAGTTTTATAGGAAAGAATTCATGAATTTGAAGGATGAGTCTAAAGTTAGAAAATTTTGTTGATTCTCTTAATTCTGTTGCAGGTTTTGATGGCGACAAATCGTATTGATATTCTGGATCAAGCTCTTCTCAGGCCTGGAAGAATTGATAGGAAAATTGAATTCCCTAATCCTAATGAAGAGGTAATGCATGTGCTTCATATAAAACGATATTAGAAGTAACTTTGCTCTGTTGTTTTTGGTGAAAAGAATCAATAATTCTGCAGAGGCACCTTATTTAGATTTTAGACTTATGTTACCTGAAAGACATTTCCTAAAAATGATGAAGATGTAGAGAAACTATCATTTACTGCATACAACACTTCTCTTCATCCTCATGTTCATTTGCGCAAAGTGAGGCATGATTGTTTGAAAGATGTTAGATGTTTAATCATTTGCTGACAGAAGTCTTGTTTGGGAAGGATGTAATTTTAAAGGCTCTTAGTGGTAGTCCCCTACTGATATATATAGGTTTTAGATAGTATGGAATAGTATGCTTGATGAACATGTTTGGCTAATGTATACCTATAAAATTTGTTGCAGTCACGTTTTGATATCTTGAAGATACACTCGAGAAAAATGAATTTGATGCGTGGAATCGATCTGAAAAAGATTGCAGAGAAGATGAATGGTGCTTCAGGTGCTGAACTGAAGGTAAAGTGTTTCTATTCATCTGCTTCTCTCTTGCTCTCTCTCTACTGTTTGCCTCTCTCTAAAGCTTTTGGTTATTATGATCAGGCCGTGTGCACAGAGGCAGGAATGTTTGCACTGCGGGAGAGGAGAGTTCACGTGACACAGGAAGACTTTGAGATGGCGGTGGCGAAGGTGATGAAGAAAGACACAGAGAAGAACATGTCTCTACGTAAGCTATGGAAGTAGGAATCTCTTTGTTGTGTACTCGAAGTCAAGGGAAAACCTCAATTTCATTTCAGACCTGAAAAGTTAGGGTGTCTTTTACTTTACAGTCTGTTGTTGGTTCTGAAACCTTTTTCTGGTTACTCCTTAAACATTTGAAACAAAAGAAAGTTTCTCTACCTAAACTACTAAGTTTATATCTCAATGGTCTCAGAGCATAGCATTCACATTTTAGAGTTCTTTTATCCTCCTAATCAGTCATACCCGATTGGTGAGAAGAGCCTATTAAAAAGTTGATATACAGTATCCTGACTGATATGATGAAAGATTTGGCACAACACAGACTTACTAGCTAAAAGATGAGCTGCTTGTTACCGAGGGGTTAATTAGGTTTGGTTTAGTTCGGTTACCCAAAACCAGTGTTGGTATAGACTAAAGATAGGCCTGGGCTCACCTGGGACTGTGAAGACACTATTGGCTCGGGCTGTGGCGCATCATACTGACTGTACTTTCATGGCTCCGAGCTGGTCCAGAAATACATAGGAGAAGGTTCTAGAATGGTTAGAGAACTTTTTGTGAGGGCAAGGTTTGTATATGCTAGGCCCTATTGGACATTTCGTGGTTGGTTAGAAAAGATGTAACTGTTGACAATATAAATCTTTTACATGTCCGTACACAGTAGCTAAAGTGGACATGTGGTGTTAAATAAACTGAGTAGAGTGTTCTCTGTTCCTACTATGAATTTTGTTTCAAAATGTCGACGATCTCAAGGATGATTATCTTTATAAGTATTCTTTCAGCATGCCTAGCATTTAGGCCACTGTACAAATCTTTTGTAATGAGATGATTGTGTTGGAAAATACTTTTTCCAGCTTGCTTACCTTCTTAGTACCGATGGCTTACGTTTTTCAGGGAGCATGCACCATCAATCATCTTCATGGATGTAATCGATAGTATCGGGTCTGCTCGTATGGAATCTGGTAGAGGAAATGGTGACAGTGAGGTGCAAAGGACTATGCTTGAGCTTCTCAATCAACTTGATGGATTCAAAGCGTCAAACAAAATCAAGGTACGCATTAAGTTGTTAAAGAAAAGTTTATTATGAAGCTGAAAAGGATGAGTTTATGGTAAAATAGTAAGAATTTTCCAGACGAACTTGTTTATTCTCTTAGTTGACTGTTGATAACTTGATATGGCGGTGGCGAATGTAATAGAAAGACACAGAGAAGAACATGTCTCTGCTTAAGATGTGGAAGTAGGAATCTCCTTTTGGCTTCACTATCATCAACACTGGCTATACAACACTGTGCTATCTGACAATAAATTTTCAAATTCAACACATGTGGCATGTGTCATGAACAATCTCTAAAAACTATCCGTTATGAACATACTGTACATAATAAATCCTTTATTGTCGTCGACAACACAAATGCGATAAATAAAATAAATTAATACTCAATATATATTTATTTATTTTGTCAAAACCGACGTGTCTAGTAACAATTGAATTTAAATTTTTTGGAAATTTGGTAAGTTGAATTTTGCTTTACATTTTGGAAAAAGGAAAGAAAAGAAAAATCAATGCCGATGAATGAGAGAGAGAGAGAGTACGCGTGGACCTAAAGCTAGAATAGATCGGACGGTAGAGAAAACTGCGTTAAGAAACAAAAAGAAGGAATCCGACGGTCGATAGTGTAGCGTCAACTCAAAGCCAAACCCTCCCAAATTTTTTTGTCTTTTAAAAACCCCAATCTCTCTCTCTCTCTCCTTCAATCTCCCTCTCGCCGCATCATACATACATAGCTTTCTTACACATATCGTCTGATTTAGCTCTCTCCCTCCTACGATTCCGCTAACATGGTAAGTTAAAGATCCGCTTCTCTCTTCGTTCTTTAGGAGGATCAGATTACGTTTCTTTATTTTCTCTGTCTCAGATCTCACGAGTTTGCGTTGATGTTTCTGTTTTTCTAAATTTCTATGCGTATGCGAATGTCTTGTTCAGGCTCTACCGAACCAGCAGACTGTAGATTATCCTAGCTTCAAGCTCGTCATTGTTGGTGATGGAGGCACAGGTAATCTTCGCCGTACTTTTTTTTTTTTTAATCTTCTTTTCATTTGAGATTTATGGCGATGTTACTGAGGTCTGAGGCCGTTGGTTTTTGATTATATCAATGTTCGATTGGGGAGATAGAGCTGCCTTCATATGCTAAGCAGATCTTCCGAATCGATTTTTTTATAATCGACACTGTTTTTTTAGTGGCTCAATTGATGTTAAGTATGCTGTAACGTATTTGATTGTATCTCTAAACCTCTGATTGCTTTTTGTGGTTGTGCAGGGAAGACTACTTTTGTGAAGAGACATCTTACTGGGGAGTTTGAGAAGAAGTATGAACGTAAGTATACCACAATGGTACCTCAGAGTCACAAATTTATATTCTTCACGTTCTGATGTTGATCCTCTTTTGTTGCAGCTACCATTGGTGTGGAGGTTCATCCTCTAGATTTCTTCACAAACTGTGGCAAGATCCGTTTTTACTGCTGGGACACTGCTGGACAAGAGAAGTTTGGTGGCCTAAGGGATGGATACTAGTAAGTTTACTTTCTCTATTCTTAAGATCTGCTTTGTATGTTGTTCAACCAATTTTTTTCAGTTCCTAATATATGCATAGATTTGCAATAGCTTTGATTAAGGTGTGAACTTTAAAAACGAACCTGGATTATTTGAATAAGACTTGAGTGGTAACTGTTGAGTTGACAATTCCATTTGAATATCTATCTAATCTTTGACTTTCTTGCAGTATCCATGGTCAATGTGCCATCATTATGTTTGATGTCACAGCAAGGCTCACATACAAGAACGTTCCGACATGGCATCGTGATCTCTGCAGGGTGTGTGAAAACATCCCGATTGTTCTGTGCGGGAACAAAGTGGATGTGAAGAACAGGCAAGTGAAGGCAAAGCAAGTCACATTCCACAGGAAGAAGAACCTTCAGTACTATGAGATATCTGCAAAGAGCAACTACAACTTCGAGAAGCCTTTCTTGTACCTTGCTAGAAAACTGGCTGGAGACCAGAACCTGCACTTTGTCGAGTCACCAGCTCTTGCTCCACCAGAGGTTCACCTTGACATTGCCGCTCAGCAGCAGAACGAGGCTGATCTTGCAGCTGCCGCAGCTCAGCCTCTCCCAGATGATGATGATGACGCATTTGAGTAAATCTTCCATAATGTCTGCTGCGGGAAGCTCTTGCTTTTTCTTTTTTGGTTTTCGTCTCTATGTTGTTCTGATATGTTACATATAAAATCTATCGGTCTTGTAACAAAAATTAGGGCAATATTTTTGGATTGTTCCATTGGTATCCAAAGCTAAGTTGTTTCTTCCCAGGAATATGAGTTGATTTGGCATGGCAAACTTGAATCTCTCTATGCAAGTAGATCTTGTTTTGGAGGAGATATTTGACATAATCAACCTCAATGGTCAATGCTATTACCCATCTTTTGACATTTCAAAACCTGACCAACAACATTGAGGTTGATTTATGTTCTTTGACTTCCAAGATCTTTTTAGCATTTAGCATTCTTCTGCAAACCTGTAGAAGCTTCGACTAGACCATGAATAATCGGCGAGAAAGAGAAGTCACCCCTTTTTTTTCTTCAACAGTGTGCTCTAAGACCAATTTCTGTAAGTTTGAGCTTAAAACATTTTCCACCATGAACCCTCATGCAGAAAGAATGAACTATACCATACCATATCACTACAACAAATACACATATTCGCTTGGAAAGAGTCCCAGGGATCTTAAAAGCTTAAAATCTAGAGTTAAAAAAAAAAAAAAAAGTTTTAAGGTTCGTTCTTTCTCGTGCAAGTTTAGCTACTTTGGATTCGTTTTCGTTTTTCATCAAAAAAAGAAATCTTAATTCTCTTTTCAGCTGAATGGATGAATTTATTTTGCTGTTGGCCAAAAAAAACATCATATACTGTACGATAAAGAAAAGAAATGAATTAATAGTTTATTTTGTCGAACCAAAATATATCGATGGACCTAAAACTGAAAAAAAAAAAACAGATCAAACGGTGGAGAAAGCTGCTTAAGATTAAAGAACCCAAAAGAAGGAATCTAACGGTGTAAGGAATAGCGTCAAACCTAAGCCAAAAACCTCCCAAAATTTCTCTCCTTTTAAAAACCCCAATTTCTCTCTCTCTCCTCAGTCTCTCTCGCCGCATCATCGCTTCTTAAACCTCACCATCGTTGCCGCCTCACTTGGCTTCTCCTCTCTCGAGTTCCGATTTAACATGGTGAACCATTCTCTTCACTTTTCCTGCTGATATTTTCGTCTTTTTTGTTTAGATATCTTCGCTCATTGATTTAGGATTCTCACCGTCTCAGATCTCACGAGATCGCTTAATTTTGTTGATGAATCAGTCTTCTTTTCTTTCTTTTTTTTTCGGGTTTTCTAAATCTCTTTGTGGATATCTTGTTCAGGCTCTACCCAACCAGCAGACCGTCGATTATCCCAGCTTCAAGCTCGTCATCGTTGGTGATGGAGGCACAGGTACGGTACTCCCACCGTTTTTGCTTTGTTTTGTGTCTATGAAATTTAAAATTTCATTTCATTATCTGTTTTCGAAACTTATTCTTGTTTGAGAGATGGATTTGAGATTTTGATTTTGTACTGGTTGAGATGTATGATTGGTTTGATAATATCAATGCTTGGTTACGTTTATGGTGATTGGGTTCGTAGTATTTTGAAGAAAGTAGTGCTGACAAGATTCTTATATAATCTGCAATGTTGTTTTCAGTGGCTCAGTTTTAGTATGGTTTAAATTAGATTGCTTTTGTTTGGTGTTCGTACAGGGAAAACAACTTTTGTGAAGAGACATCTTACTGGGGAGTTTGAGAAGAAGTATGAACGTAAGTTTATCAAAAGATTGCTCATGACTGCGCAGTTTCTGTTCTTTATGTCTCTTTTTGATTCTGATATTAAGTCATGATCTTGTGTCTTGCAGCTACTATTGGTGTGGAGGTTCACCCTTTGGATTTCTTCACTAACTGTGGCAAGATCCGTTTCTACTGCTGGGATACTGCTGGACAAGAGAAATTTGGTGGCCTAAGGGATGGATACTAGTAAGTAGACTGATCTCCATTGATAGGATAATGTGTATAGTCGATCTTGAGTATGCATAGTTTGGAATAGCTCTGGTTAGGGTTTGACATTGGCAACTGATATGTTACCTGGACAATTGGAGTAGGACTAGTGTGTTTTTGAAGTTATCTCCTAAGATCACTATATGTAATATAGTATGCATAGTCAACAACAGGACTGATTTGTCACCTGAACAATAGGAATAGTACTTGAATGATAATGGTTATTTATATTCCATTTAGATATATAACGAATCTTTAATTTTCTTGCAGCATCCATGGTCAATGTGCCATCATAATGTTTGATGTCACAGCAAGGCTCACATACAAGAACGTTCCAACATGGCACCGTGATCTCTGCAGGGTGTGTGAAAACATTCCGATTGTTCTGTGCGGGAACAAAGTCGATGTGAAGAACAGGCAAGTGAAGGCAAAGCAAGTCACATTCCACAGGAAGAAGAACCTTCAGTACTATGAGATATCTGCAAAGAGCAACTACAACTTCGAGAAGCCTTTCTTGTACCTTGCTAGAAAACTGGCTGGAGACCAGAACCTTCACTTTGTCGAGTCACCAGCTCTTGCTCCACCAGAGGTTCACCTTGACATTGCCGCTCAGCAGCAGAACGAGGCTGATCTCGCAGCTGCCGCAGCTCAGCCTCTCCCAGATGATGATGATGACGCATTTGAGTAAATCTTCCATAATGTCTGCCGTGGTTTTCTCTATTATGTTGTTTTGATTTGAGATTTTTCATATATATCTATGAGTCTTTTTATAACAAAAATTTGGGAAATTCTATTGGGATAGTTCTGTTTGGGACCCGAAGAGAGTTTGCAGCTAAGTTTTTCTGCCCAAAAGGATATGTGGTTATTGCAAAACTTGATTTCACCAACTTTTCTGTTACTTCGCCGGTTGATGGATTTCTGTTACAACGATTTAGCTGCTTGGTCATATGAAACCTTATAGTAATCAGCATTCGTCATAAGAAGATACTAATATATAGCTGTGCTGTTTGGAACTGTTTGCTAAGTTATTAGTGTTTCTATTCCCGTAAAGCTCTCTAATGTTATCTCTCATAGATTCATAGGCCATGGCATGAATCATATGTACATTGCAAGTTTTCCTCAAGTCCAACACAAAGAAAAGAAAGATATTCGCATTTACATTCACAAGTTTGGAATAATAAAAAACCTGAATGGAAAATAGAGTGACAGACATTTGTACAACCTAGCTCAAGTTTATCCTATGTAACAACAAATTCTAGTTGTCAATGCTGTTGCTGCTATCTGTATGTTGTACTGTTGTCATCAGAGATAAGGTTTCTTATCTGCATCAGATGTTCCTCATTCGAAATGTTCAATCTGAGACGGAGATTTGTAATCCACGTTTCTTGTTCCCAAGTTATTATTGGTCCAGATGCGTGCAACCTCTCGATACTGCATCGGTATGCATCCAACTCTAACCTATGAACATCAGCTGCCTCTGAGCTTTTTCTTTCCAACTTCTTGATCTTCATGCTTCGGTAGCCACAAGACGATGACTCTGTGTCACTAGTGTTACCAGTTTCTATGGGACTGAATGAAACAGCACTGAGACCATCCGTATCCATGCTACAACTACCAACAGAAGAAGCAACACTCTGTCTATCTTCTTCCTCCTCTTCTCCTTCGCGAAACTTTGGAGGATAAGCAGCTAAAGCTCTAGTTTGAATGTGCGGTTCAACCAAAGAGTAGGTCCGTTTCTTGAGACCTTTTGACAAAAGTACACCAGACTCATCAAGCTTGTCTTTGCTCTCAGATGAAATGTAGTCGCCTTTCGGATTCACCTTTCTCCTTAGCTCTCCTGTTGAAGTCTGTGCGCTTAATCTTGATGTACCCTTCAGTCAAATGGTATAACAAAAAAAAATGTCAGCTCAAAAACAGACTTTGAAAGATATATTCGCAGAGGAAAGAAACAAGTACCTGTCCGATCATGATCCACTCGTTGTCTTGCCAAGATTGTCTGACCCGAATGTCGGATTTGGCTACCTTGAACTTCAGTGAGGAACCAAGTAATCTGATCAAGAAAGAACCTTTCTCCAAAACCTTGGAAACGATAGCCATCTTCCACGAACAACTTTCGAAAACCTCAAGAATGTCACCAGGAGCCCAAGAATCTAGGACTTGTAAACGAGGAGGCTGGGGCCTCATACTCTTCCTCGGCACCCTCACGGCAACATCATCTCTATCATACATGACAGTGTAATAATGCCCATTTCCCGATATTATCTCTGCGGACCTCCAGGCACCAGATGGAACCGATGATTTGCTTAACACTTCAACTTTAGCTCCCTTCCTGAATCTCATCATCACTGTTTCAAAAACACCATAAAGTGAATACCTTTTCACATTCCAACTGCTTAAAAGATGAGAATTTAGCATAACATAAGCTAAAAGCCTGGCTTTTTGACAATCATCCTAGGCATAAACTCAAGTCCTTATACTTGACTTGAAACCACAAAACAAGATAAACCCAATCACAATAAAAAAAAAATAGTTTTTTGATGAACCTGACAAGATCCAGTACAATTCTTTCACATCCAGAAACTTAAACTTCAATCCAATGGTATAATCAAACAATAGATTGCAGAAAAAGTCCTCAAATTGCAATAAAACCAAATGGATACAGATGTTGATCAAAATTGAAAATATAGTATGACTCCATTCTCAAGGATCAATCTTCATTACTTGTAAATTTGATCAAGAGAAGAAAATCATCACTACATTAAGCGGACATCAAAACAAAATCAAAACTCCAAAAAATTTCAAATAAAAAATTCAAAAAAAAAAAATGGAGTTTTTGAGATTACCTTTAAAACGAAGTAATATTGTGAAGGTCAGTGAATGTTTAGCAAGCAAAGAAAGCCATGAACGATTCTTCTTCAGCTGCCAGAAACAACAAAAGTTTTTCACTTCTTTTGCTTCCTTTTTTTTCTTGTCCTCTTTGATTTTCTGGGCAACCAAACATTTAGATCAAAAGGGCTGTAAATAAAACAAAAATTAAAACGTATTTGCAAATAAATTATTAAAAAAATGAAAAAGATAAATTCATATTCCACATCAGCATTCAGCAAAGCCAAAAAAAAAAAATGCGGTTTAAATTTTAAAGAAATGAAGAAGAGAATAATTAATAGTTCAAGTTGCGAACCTGCAAAATGAAAGAAGAGTATTTATCCAAAACCCGCATGAGAAATGGCCTTTTGTTTCATACTTTCATTTGATACAATAATAAGATTTTTATTTTTGAAACTATTGAGTGAAATAACCAAAATATAAATTAATTAAGTGACAATATATAAATTGATGTTTTATAACAAAAAAGATTGATATATGTTTACTTTTTTTTTTTAAGTTACTATCAAAAAATGAAACTAATTTGAAGTAATTGAAAACTAGTCTCTCCAGACCTATATATGGTAAATTAATCTAGTCAATAGACCACTAAAAATTGGTTAACTGTTTCTAAAAATTTTCGTTGATTTTCTGCTTTATTTCTTTCTTTCTTAATTTCTAGGAGGAGTGGTGTATAGCATTCAATTAATTCAGTAAATGATTTTGATATGCAACTAATATGAGTTGACAAAAAGAAATATACTAAATGGACAAAAAAAACAAACACAAGTAATAAATTTGATCATCTCGTGTGAAATTTGTCGTTATATTCATCTCGATTGATTTGTCTTGTAAAGAGATGTCCACATATTAAATTCAGACAACAACAACAACAACAAAAAAATGTCTAGGAAAATAAATAAACATGACTACAAATAAAAATATAATGCATGCTTTAAACAGAGGTACCTGTAGATAGAATTATATAATACGTACTAATTGCTTGCTAGTGAATTGTTGAAATATACAGTCTACTGACTCCATCCATTGATCGGCTTCGTTCACATAAATGTGTTTGATATTACGTTTGTGTGATTCTTACACACTCTTAACTACTTGATTATCGTGTAGTTATAGTTTATGAAATAAGTATTAAGAGTATCATACGTTACGTTATTTGTTTGTTTCTTGGTGAGCACGAGCAAAGTGCGTGTTCGGGTCTCTGCCTACAGTTTCGACATTATTACTTACTTATATACTTTATGAGAAAGAAAAAAAAAACGTAATGGGGGGGGGGGGATGGTGAGGTCAGGTGGCTTTTTAGAGTTTAGATAATTCCCAATTCACTTTTTTGAGAGCAATAGAGATCGTAGGGTCCTCCATGTTTTGGCTTCTTACGATATGAGAGATTTGTTTACATTATATCTCTAGTCCTTGTCTTGCAGTATTTATTGTTATCTTCTTGATTTCACAACGAATCTTGGCATCACCTCACCTGTGTACAATTTTTTTCATAACATTTGACTCCGCACATTAATTTCCTTTATGGTTTATAAGATGTTACAACTTTTGGATTTCATTTCTTTGGTAAACTGCTTCTTAATTGGAGCTCATGAATGAAAGGGTGTGCGAGGTTTTTCTTTGTTCATTACGTATAATCAAGAACACAATTCAAAATCTTGTATACTCTGTGAACTCTCATCAGCAAAACAAACTTTTCTTTTGGTTTTGGTTTTGGTTTTTGGGGCCTTTCCGGATAAGAATGAAGCAGTGGCTATACTAGTAGGCTTTCCTCGCATGGAAATTCACTCTTACATCCTTCACTTCTGATCCACTCTAACACCGAAGCACAGTCTTCTCGTCTTACGAAATGCCTTCATTAACAGGTTCACAAACCATTACCAAGGAATTATTATTACTAATAACCAAAAGAAAGCTTAGTCGAGTGTTACTTTTGATCTTGGTACCTGTTTATGGAGCGGTACAGCTTTAGTTCAGAAGCTCCTCGAGTATATCTTATATCTTTTCTCATTCTAAGATACTCGGGTATCTCCAGCATCTCTGATTCACTCTCGTATGCATCGTATATGCATTGAAGTATCATATCCTGGGGGAACAAACAATATTATGACCATGCTTGATTGACACTAAAACAATTAGAGTTACATTAGAGCTTGAATTGAAAGAGAGAGCCTCTTAAGTTTTAAAACATATACCAGAGGTTTTGAAGCATCCAGCCAGTGGTACATAGGCTCACCTCGGAACCATGTCATTTGCCTCTTTGCAAAGTTTCTGCATTTCAATCAAAACCAAGTCTACAGATTTTACCTTAAACCTTTAGAGCAGTTATCAAAGTTTTAAGATATTAATACAAAAACGACTGTTCACGCATAGACATTACTCTGCAACTCTATTAGTTATCAAAAAGCCTACCTGAACACTAATTTTACTACGGTTACTTTGAAATACTGACACCATAATCCTTTTAAAAGCGATTTGAAAGGATATCATGGATTCTTTAAAATTTACAGGAGAAAAAGTGAAGAAATGAACCCATGTGAAAGAATAGAAACACAAAACTTTGATTTTCAGTTATTCTCAATCACTATTTCTTCCAAAAGCTTATACACTAGATATTTCAAGTCTAGGTAGAGGAATCACCTGGATGCTGTCTGAAATTTGTTCAAGAAACCATGAAATTCTGCAGGGGAACTTTCACCCCCGTTATGACGACATTTCAATAGATATTCCATGGCCTGAAAACAAGGAATCATATTTCCATTGTTGATCCAAAATGGTATCAATGTAATAAAGTACAGCAAGTAAATTGATATGATGAACTCGTATAGAATTTTTCAACTAGATAAGAACAGACTTCCTTTCTGAACCAACATGAAATATGTAGATGGTGATACGCCAATAGTAACGGCTATATGTTTAAACAAAAAAATAAAAGTAACTGTTATATGTCATAGCGTCATGCAATATCTAGAACCAAATCCACATTCGCCACTGAACTGGACATGCTGCAATATTAACAGCTAAAATTCGCTGCAGAGCCCTTAGCTAATTATAATGACTATGCACTAGATTAACACAAGAAAGCCTTCTCTTCTTAGTTCGTTATGCACAACCCAGTATAAAAGGAAAAAGAAGAGTTTACCTGTTTGTACCCAATGGCACGAGTTGCAGAATTTGAGTTTGGAAGAAGACCAAGATCAAGAAGCCATTTAGCTTCTGACAAAACTCCATTGGATCCTGGAGTTGAGAGACAAAACATCAAGGAAAGATGACGAACTCAGAAACTCTATTTGGATATATAAAATTGCATAAGACACAGCAAAGAGCATGCAAATTGTCTTTTTTGGGTTTATAATTGGAAATCAGATAAGAAAAAACTTATCACTGTAAGGTACCATGGGGCTGCAATTGTATTCTTGCAAGTTAGTACCAATTAAGAAGTTGCACTTTTCTTTACCTGAAAGCATGTCTTCACATCTAAAATCAATAGATCTGTAGAGAGCAACCCGTGGGCTTGACAGGAAGAAACAAAGGAAATCATAATCCAAATCTGTCTCTATGTTTTGGATAGAGATATCAGCAGAACAATCGTCCTCAAGAAAGTCATCAACATCAAGAGAATTTAAATTTTCTCGAAAAGAATCATATGGAATGCGAAAGGAAGACGGAGGAGATCCAGTTGACTGCCAGGACAAAAAACATTTGAAGCAACATGAATAATGCATACAGTAAACAATATGATAGTTCATCAACATATAAGGCAAGAAATCATTTATCTACAGGAGCAAGAGCAACTCCTTCAAACAGACAGTTGAAGTTAACAATTGTCAAACCTTGAGTATCTCGAGGCTACGCCGTAGTCTGTACCAATCATTACGAGGTAAAGAACAGGCTTTTGGATCACCAGCATTAACCACCATTTCCACAGCTGCGTCCCAGTCATATTCGGTTTGAAAATCAACTATCATATCATTGACCTCAGCGATGACTTCTGGAGAAGGTCTAGGCACATCCGGCTTCCCATAGATAAACCTAACATTAACAAGAGCATGACGATGGTGTGATATTAAGTTTTCTTCAGTAAATCTTGATTGCTTTTAACATTCTACGAGAGGGCACTAAACAAGTATACAATCTACCACCATACCATCGCAGGTACAATCCAGTGCCACCCGTAACTATGGGGACACGCCCTCTATTAAGTATATCTTTCGTAGCTTGCCTTCCATCAATAAAAAATTGCCCCACAGAGTAGTCTAGTAAAGCATAAAACATGTAAACGTTATGGACTTGTCATACACAAGTACTAGAAATATCTACATTTGTGGCATTTGAAACATCAAAAGAGCTAAAAAAAACAAACCTTCAGAGGGGTGCAAAATGTCGATAAGATGATGAGGCACCTCCTGAAATAATTTGTAAAAGACAAAAAACATACGAAGTGAAGCTCAAAGGTATACACTTTGATGTGATTCACGGCACCAAACACTTACCAAATATTCAGAAGGATACCTTTCTATCTCTATCTGATGGCTTGGCTGATCCAATATCAAGACCTTTATACACCTGTGCTTGGGGGTAAAACAATATCAACAAGACCTTTATTAATAACACCAACCATATAGGCAGAGTTCTAGAATTTATCAAACTAAAAAGAATTAAAAACTTAAACTTTAGCATTTTGGAAACAATTAGGCTCGACACGGGTTCAAAATTGCAAGTGAGAAAGGACCTGAACGGAGTCAGCACTGACGATTTCGCCATTGAGACGTTTGGCGAGCTCCATGGCAAGTCTGCTTTTTCCGGCGCCTGTAGGCCCAGAAATCACAATCACCTTCTCCTTTTCAGACTTTCTCTTCTTAGTCCCGTTCATAGGAACAGAGCAAGTCATGGTTCTGCTGCAAAAGCTCCTGCGCAATGCAAGGCTCGGCGGTTGCAGCCTCAAGTAACACGTGCGGCTCCAATACACGCCACTGCTAACCACCATTGTATAAACGGATGAAGAAGCTTTAATAAAGCCCTACAATTCGGAAGCTCGAAGAGATTTGGTAAGGAAATAGGAGTTTATGGGAATGGGCTGGGAGGATGACCCGCGCAAAAGCTTGTCTCGAAGAGAGAGACGAAGACACTGAGCGTAGAGGGGATTAGATTAGAGAGAACTACGGTTCGGTTAGGTTTACAGATTAACCGAACCCAAATTACGAACCGTAATGGAAACGGTTTAGTTAAACCGAAACGTTTTTAAATGATGCCTGTTTTTCCTGTCTAAATTAATTATAACACGTTAACAAAAACTCGCAACTCTTCCACCCAAAAAAAAAAAAACACTTGGAAACAAATGATGACGTACATAAGTCTCATTCTAGAATGACTTCAAGAGATGTAGTCATGTAGAATCACATCACAGTGATCTGTATGTTGGTCTAAATACATCTGTTCTATTGAACAAGTCATGTCCTTTGTAGCCACGACTTGTCCGTGGTCATTGTCCACGAAACAGTCAGAGATGGATGATCAAATAAAGCCGTGAAAGTTTCACAACAACAAATAAATAATCCTGTTAGAGCAAATCTTTTATTTAAAACTTTATATATAGATATCAAGTGATGAATCACAAATGAACAACGTAACTCCTATACGGTTGTACTTGAAAAAACCCAAAGAAGGAAAGCACATAGGAAAAGAACAAGAGGGATTATGTGAATAGCTCTCTCTCCATTGGTAGACACCGGAGATAGCTCCTTCTTGGGGACGTCGTAGACAACAACACCTTCAGGGCTTGCAAAATCCGGCGAGAGGTTGATCAGAAACTCTTCGGATGGCCGTGAACTTATTTGCAACCTCTGCATCGTGTGGCGTATTAATTTGGACTTGGAACTATATATGTATATTATTATAGAAACCGTGATCTGCTTAATATGGTCGGTCTTTGACAACCTTGCAGACTTGTATGTGTATACGGTGTTTTCTATTCATCAGCATTATATACTTGAAAGATTTCAAAAGTCAAAGCGTATAGTATGCTCAGTGACATTTAATGTTTGCATGCAAACTCCTGAAGTTATGGCTTAAGTTATGATGAATATATATATATATATATATGATCCGTTGAGCTTTGCTTTCGAAACTTTAAAGTTGTTAAAGTAACTTTTGATGGTAAGACGACTAATTACGATTCAGTTAGCCTCCCAAGAAAGAGTTAAAATTTGAGAAAACGAAATCAAAATTCGTTGCATGTATCCTTTTGGTCTAATTAACAATCATAGGTCTTATGCAAATGCAATACGTAATTTTGTATAGATTGAGTATCATAGAGTAGAAATAGGGACAAATTAGTAGATATGATCAATTCGAATCATGTTGTAAACCTTATTTTTAAAACTCTAGATAATCATATTCATAAACCAAAACTTTTCTTTAAAGGCGTTGACATATTCAATCTTTTGCCAACATATTAAGGTTTAACCTAGTAGGAGGTGCATTATAAATTGGGACATCGAGCGTTGACAAACAAAAAATAAAAAGCATTAGGGATATGTAAACTCCTTCACAAACTCTTAAGAATAGTGTTTGATTGAAGCGAACTTGAAGGTGCACATGTACGTGAATCTTCTCCTCAAGTCAAAATGGGTGTGATCATATGAGATTGGACATGTCAATTCTTTATATATCAACCAATTGTAACGAGTTCCTAAACTATAATATATAGGCCGGAATATATGCTATACCGAACACTTTTTATAATTATTAAATCAAGAAATTTCAAAACCTGTTCACCAGAATAAGATTACGCAATCCGTTCTCCGTCGTCGCCAGTTACTAACCAACGTCTCTTATGTTAACGTCAAAGTTATGCATTCACATCCAGTACTATACCAATAACTTCACTTTATTAGGAGTACGTTACTTAAGAAAAATGCAATACAATGATGTAACTTCTTTTTGAATAATCGTGCTCAACTCAATCAAGATCGGGCTATATATCCTTTCTTGAGATTATGTGGCTAATGTTAAATTTGGAAAGAAAAAAAAGTCAATGGTGAATAAAGGAAAACAAAAGATGAAATCGAAGCGTAGAGTCGGCCAACCAATGGGAAGGCCTATCGTAGTGCTGATATACGTTGACCAATCAATCAAGGAAGAAGCCAAACATGGATTTCATCTTTCAACTAACCACACAACAAAACGTTGACTAGCCACAATCAGACAAAACACACAGTAAAATTAAATGAATCCTTAACTATGTTTTTATAATTTCTTAATTATGTTAAATACTCTTAATACACGATCTTTTAACTCGAAATTGAGTTATCCGTTTTACCTACGTGCACAACTGAAAACCAAACGTGTCAAAGATTCGATACAATAAGACAACTTGGCACAGACACAACTTGCAGAAAATTAATGTCTCTTTCTTACATTATTTATGACAAACCTAACCTATTATAATAGTACGTTTTACACGACTCTATCATATTACTATCACTAATTAATTAAGTTATGACTATTTTACTACTAGTATATTTGACCATGAATACATCCAAAACTATTTCAAAATTACATATTTTCCTTTCGACATTGGTATTCAATGTATATATAGCAATTTTCAAAACAATGACTATTAATATTATTCAAACAATATAATTCAACGAAAATTTAAAAGATATACACAACTCCATGTGTTTTTCTAATTTGGTCTAGTTTGAAAGAATCCGTGATCCTTGTTCTGGCCACGAGAGTGTTCATCTGAAAGAGAAAAAAAATGAAGTCAGAGAAGCTCTAATTAAAGCCCCTGTAATGGAGGACAAGAAAGCAAACATAATCGCTGCTATATCAATCTTAGCCCTTGTCGTGGTGATTATCGCCGCCCGAGTTTCTCTTAAACTCTCCAAAACGTTTTATCTCATCGCCGGCGTCGACATTTCGTTGATCCTCGCCGTGTTCTGTTTCCTCATTATCCGAAACCGTTACAACAGAGAAAGGAATCTTTTGGTATCAAGATTCCTCTCCGAAGGCAGAGAGCTCCGAACCGAGTACAGTTTCTTGAGAAAAGTCGCCGGAGTCCCGACCAAGTTCAAGCTCGAGGATCTTGAAGAAGCCACCGATGGATTCAGATCTCTGATCGGAAAAGGCGGTTCCGGTTCGGTGTTTAAAGGAGTTTTGAAAGACGGGAGTCAAGTCGCGGTTAAGAGAATCGAAGGAGAAGAGAAAGGAGAAAGAGAGTTCAGATCCGAAGTAGCTGCCATAGCTTCTGTGCAGCACAAGAACCTTGTCCGTCTCTACGGTTATTCCTCTGCCATTAGCGCGAACCGCCCGAGGTTTCTCGTCTACGAGTATATCGTAAACTCGTCTCTCAATATTTGGATTTTCCCGGAGAAAGGAAACAGAAGAAGATCAGGAGGAGGATGCTTGTCTTGGTACCAAAGGTATCAAGTTGCAATAGATGTAGCCAAAGCTCTTGCTTATCTTCACCATGATTGTAGATCAAAGATCTTGCATCTTGATGTTAAACCCGAAAACATTCTTCTTGATGAGAATTACAGAGCGGTTGTAACCGATTTCGGACTCTCTAAGCTGATTGCTAGAGATGAGAGCAAAGTTCTAACCGATATCCGCGGGACTCGGGGGTATTTAGCCCCCGAGTGGCTTCTTGAACACGGTATTTCGGAGAAATCCGACGTTTACAGCTACGGAATCGTGTTATTGGAGATGATTGGAGGACGGAGAAGTATCTCAAAAGTAGAAGTTAAAGAAACGAGGAAGAAGAAGTTGGAGTACTTCCCAAGGATTGTGAACCAAAAGATGAGGGAAAGGAAAGTAATGGAGATTGTAGACCCACGGCTGATAGAAACCAATGAGTTAAAGGAAGAGGAAGTGATGAAATTGGTATGTGTGGCTATGTGGTGTATACAAGAGAAGTCTAAGAACAGGCCTGATATGGTTATGGTGATTGAGATGCTTGAAGGGAGAGTTCCTGTTTACGAGCCGCCGGATTCAGATGTCGTTGTGGTCGATCTTTTGGCGGCTGATGATGATGCAAGTAGTACCGGTGTGAGACGGGTAGTAAATGTTCCGAGATTGCAAATTCAGAGGGAGAGGAACTTTCGTTTGCCTTCCATTTGCTCTAGTATCATATCTCCCATCTCTCCCCGCTAGTTGTTTTTTTTTTTTTTTTTTGTATTTTCTCATTTTTTGTTTGTTAATTTCAAATTTAAGCCTAATTTACTTAGAATGCTTCCTTGTTGTGTTATTACTATAAAACATCTTTTAATATGGAATAAGCACAATTTATATAAGGAAGACTGATCAAAGCATATATATATGGTTTCAATTGTTTCAACTTCCTGGGGTACTGTACTTACATCGATCATGAAACTTATTGCTAATTGGTTTTGATGTAAGTCATGAAACTTTATATGAACATATGTAGGCCAAAATCCACAATGAGATTTTATTTATACAATCCAAAACTATATTGATTGACTAAATCAAATTCGGTCCATCTACTCTAACAAAATATAAGCATATATTAGAATCATAAAATGTCAAGATGAATAACTATAATAAGCACAAATCATCGTCTCAATGGAACGTATTATGAATCATAACTCGAAAAATAATATATTGTTAGCAATGATCTAGAATCTTTTTATGAAAATGATGTATTGTAGCTAGGAGGGCCTAGACTGCCTAGTAGACAAAGCCTCCCACTGGGAACCTTTAACCGGAATTTGGGTTGATCAAAGTAAACCGAATCCCCCAATTCTAAAATTGAGGCAGATAGTAACCAAAGCAAAAAGTTTGGGGACTAAAAGTTGAAAATAATTAATAATAATGGACGCGAAGGCAAACAAAAGTGCAATCCACATTATACAAGAGTTTATGGATTGCTGCTAGAAAGCTCTGTTTCTTTTTTGTTTTATTTTTTTAGCTCCCTTAGACTTCTCCGTCGAGTAACCTCGCCGAGGTATACTGTCTCAGGTAACCTTTCTATTCGCTTCACCAATTTTTTTAGCATCTGCTCTGTAATGTATAATTCTGGTTTCGTTTTGCAATTTCGTCTGTAAGACAACGAAGTTTTCGTATCTGGGGTTTCCGTGAATTCTTGGAACTTTTGTCAATCGATCGAGCACTTTGTGCCTTTTCCTGCACAATGTCTAAACGAACTATAGATTTGAATGATATTTTTTTTCTCTGTTAGAGCTTTTATTGTTGTTTTCGTATATCGTATGTGAATTATTTGAAGTTATCCGTCTGATGAATAGAATAGTTGGAACTGGGAACAAGGGACGCTGTCTTTGCTTCTTAAATGTTAGCTCTAATTTAGGTTTGAACAATGTGGTATTTGTTTTCTCTTGTGTCCTATGGTATCATTATCTATGTTACTAAAAGTGCTAAGATCTCACCTGATTTTGTCAATGTGGTATAATGCTTGATGTATTCGTTTTCCTTGCAGGGTCATTTTTGTTTCACCAAGTGCTCGTTTCACGGCATTGCTTGTCCTCCAGTATGAGTATCTCCGGTGCTGCAGTTGGTTCAGGTCAGAAGATTCTTTTTGTTTTACTACACATTGTTTTGTTTTTGAGCGAGTTCAAATGGAAAAAAAATATTGAATATAACTCTTGTTTGCAACATCATCTCAGGGAGAAATTTTAGAAGAGCAGTTGAGTTTGGGAAAACTCATGTCGTTAGGCCCAAAGGGAAGCACCAAGCAACTATTGTCTGGCTACATGGGCTTGGAGACAATGGCTCAAGGTGATTCCTTTCTGTTCCAAGTTGGTTTTCATTTTGAAAATCAGCTACCATAGTACATTAGTTTGTCCGACATGGCTTCCATCTTGATACGTGGTTTGTTTTTAAGTTGGTAGTCATAATCGTAAGTCTTTTTCTTTTTCTGACTGCAGCTGGTCGCAGATTTTGGAGACCCTTCCCCTTCCAAATGTGAGTTATACGTGCTCAATTAATTTACCTTGATGAATACTAACCCATCTATGTATGTATTTCTTATGTAAGATCAAATGGATTTGCCCGACTGCTCCTTCTCAGCCTATAAGTTTGTTTGGTGGTTTTCCCTCCACAGCTTGTAAGTATATTTGCTACATAGCATTCGTCTTTCATTCTGTTTAGTGGAATCTATTCTTTATGGAAAAAGAGGAGAATACAATTAAGTTTGATGATGTTCTTGCAAAGAATGTGCCATGGGAAAATCAAACACAATTTTGGTTTTGAATTTCGTAAATTTTGAACAGAGGTTACTGAACAAAGTAGCCAACCAAGTTAGAAGGAATAAGCTCGCAAATATAGATCAAACTCTTTACACTTCTTTAGTTTTGTATGAAGCTCATCATTAATTCGGCCCAGAGAAGGATTTTATCATTCTTTCTAAATATTGGGAATCTCTTTGCAAAAATTATCTTCTGTTATATACATAAGGGACAGGTTCTTAAAGGATCTTACTTTTTCCATGAACAATATAATTTACCTTTAACCAAAAAAGAAACTTTACTCCTCTCCTTGGAGGCAATAGTATTGGTATAACATATAGAGCATTCTTTACCTTGTTTTGTAGACACTATCATCAGACTGGTGCATGAAAGTCATTATATAGTGACTAGTGAAGTATTTTGTGTGGCAAATGATTTGATGACTTGCTACTGTAATTTATGTAGGGTTTGATGTGGTGGACATAAATGAAAATGGACCTGATGATATGGAAGGATTGGATGTGGCTGCTGCACATGTTGCAAATCTGTTGTCGAATGAGCCTGCTGACAGTAAGTTTATTTCCTGTTGATCTAGAATATTAAGTTAAATTCTTTTGTTTGGATTCTAGACCATGGTTTTGCTTTCAGAACTCTCAACTTGTTACTTGTTCCTAGTTTTCTCACAAGCTGTGGCTGAAAACCCAAGATTCTGAGATTCCATTTCTAAATCTGTGATATCTTTCATTGCTGAAGTTAAATTAGGTGTTGGTGGGTTCAGCATGGGTGCAGCGACATCCTTATATTCTGCAACTTGTTTTGCTCTGGGTAAATATGGAAATGGCAATCCATACCCTATCAATTTAAGTGCAGTCATAGGCTTAAGCGGCTGGCTTCCTTGTGCAAAGTATGTTTTCCTCTTCTCGTAACATTTCTCCTAGTCTGATTGGTATATTGAAGTCACTTTTGTACGTTTATTATTCTCACAGGACACTGGCTGGCAAACTAGAAGAGGAACAGATTAAGAACCGAGCTGCATCGTTGCCCATTGTAGTTTGTCATGGAAAAGGTAGTTAAGCAAATTATATTATACACTACTTTTGAACTGTTTCACTTCTCAGCATGTTTAATATGCTAAACCAATTGGTCGGTCATGTTTTTACTGGAACCTTGCTGTAAATACAGTTCATATTTTTGAAGAAGGGTTGCATTTCTGAGATTTGTCTTGTCTTAATGTGACCAACTGATTCATTTTCAGGTGATGATGTGGTACCATTCAAATTTGGGGAGAAATCTTCAAAGGCCTTGCTTTCAAATGGGTTCAAGAAGGTGACCTTTAAACCTTACACTCAACTTGGTCACCACACAATCCCACAGGAGATGGATGAGTTGTGCGCATGGTTGACATCCACCCTCGCCCTCGAAGGTTGAGGCTTTCGAACGATTGGGCTCTCTGATGAAAAACCTGTAATTCTTGAGAGCGTGATTTATATGAATGTCTCGGAAATTCACTATGTTTCGTTGAAATATTTGTGTAAGACAATTTCGTCTCCATCAATGCCAATGGTCAACCGAACTATGCAATTAGAGGGATTATAAAAAAAAACTTTCATTTATTGGTTAATTTAAAATGAGTAGGCGCCGACAGTTGCGCATCAGGTGACTAATTGCATGTTTACACGTGTGTGGAGCATAGTTTGACACGTGTGAGGACCATACTGCACTGAATCATCGTTGCTCATTTCTCACTCCGAGTGGGGAACCTAACACCATCATCAAGCGCGAAACAATGGGGAGAAATAACCAGAGATGCTCGCTCTCTTCCTCTCCTCTTCTTCATATCCAGCTCTCTCTTCCCTCTCTAGATCCGTGACTCTAAGCTTAGCCAGAAGAAGAACACTCTCTGCTCTCACAATGTCGATGAACCTTAGGACCCACGCGTTCGCAGGCAATCCCTTGAAGTCCAAAACTCCGAAATCAACCGATCCTTTTTCACCCACCTCTGCTTACGAATCCCTCAAAACCCTGATTCCAGGAATCCCTAATCAACCCACAGTTTCTCCTGATTTTAAAGTCCTTCCCTTTAGCAAGGGTCGCCCATTGGTGTTCTCGAGCGGTGGAGACGCTAGTACCACGCCTATATGGCATCTGGGATGGATCAGCTTGGCCGATTGTAAGGTTTTGTTGGCGAGTTGTGGGGTTGATCTGAGCGAGGACTCGCTTGTGTATTTAGGACCCAAGGTGGAAGAAGATTTGGTGTATTGGGCTGTTGATTTGTCTGAAGACGGTGTTGTTTCTGAATTAGGGGGTAGGAAGCTGTGTTTTGTCGAGCTCCGAACCCTAATGGTTGCTGCTGATTGGACTGATCAACGCGCTATGGATGAATTGGCTATTGCCGGCCATGTATGTGGCCTTTTCCAACATTTTAATTATGTTTGAACTTCTTGTTGTTGGTTACAGTTTAGTGATTTGACGCAAGACATTCAAGTAAATGATATGGTTTACGAAATTTTGAGCTCATCAATGTTGCTTTAAGATGTATCATTATTGCTAACTTTTCTGCAGTTTAGAACTTAGGAGTCGTTTCTCTCTTTTCGCCCACAAGATTGATCTCAACCCATGTACCATCGTATTGGTGCTAATACATGTTAACTATATCATGATAGGCCAGGGCATTGCTTGAATGGCACAACGTATCAGGATTTTGTGGATCTTGTGGAGGTACAACTGTTCCAAGGGAAGCAGGAAGGAGAAAACAATGCACAAATGAGACATGCAAAAAACGGGTTTATCCCCGTGTTGACCCGGTATATTGGTGCTTTCTCCTACTGTAAATTTCCCTAAGAGTATGACATTGTGAAACTTCTGTCTGATTGTCTTTTGTCTATTACAGGTGGTTATAATGTTAGTTATTGATCGTGAAAATGACCGTGCGCTTTTAAGCAGGCAATCTAGATATGTACCGAGAATGTGGAGTTGTTTAGCTGGATTTATTGAGGTAAGAACTGAATTTTTTTTCGAATATTTCTTGTTATCCTTTTTTCATCCCATCTACCGTTGAGTAGGCCCTCTCATTTTGCTTGATCTTGCATCTGAGTCATATATATAATCTACGCTGCTTCTGCTAGCCAGGGGAAAGCTTAGAAGAGGCTGTGAGGCGAGAAACATGGGAAGAGACTGGCATTGAAGTAGGAGAAGTTGTCTATCACAGCTCTCAGCCTTGGCCTGGTAAGAAATTAATATAGGTGTTAGCTTAGGGTTTCTCTGTGTTGCATTCATATGTTCTATCTACGTTTATTAGCTTATGGCTTCCAAAGTTTATCTTAGCTAATGTAGAATGCATGCATCCACGAGTGTGATAGGTCCTTTACCGCATACATCTCACAGAATAGTGCTGCTATTGTTGGACAAGTTAGTTGTTGAGCAGATTAAAAAGGAGGGTTTCATTATGAGCAAATTGGCATCCTTAGCATAGTAGTTATCCAGTGTGTAGATTTGACATTTATATCACCTTTTTTTTTTACAGTCATACAGAACTTAGTAACATATTAGTAACATATATATTACAGCCTTATCCGTAGTATGTCTACCAAAAGATTCCTCATACTTTCCCATGTGTAGACAGTAGACCTTACATGCTGCTTCAATTGTTACGACTGCTGTAACTTTAGGTAATTAGGAACCTTGATCTTAATGTCAAAAGAGCTTTAGAATTTTCTGGAAATGCAGGTTTAACATAAGCAAGAAAATTGCCATCTTTAATTGCAGTGGGACCAAGTAGCATGCCTTGCCAATTGATGCTCGGGTTCTTTGCTTTCGCCAAGACGGTTGACATAACTGTAGACAAAGAAGAGTTGGAAGGTATATATACTTCTGACTCTTTGAAGTGCCAGCTTTTTGTTAAAATCCATCACATTCTTAACATGTTTTCTTGTTTATTGTTTTTGTTGCGCAGATGCTCAATGGCACAGTAGAGAAGATGTGAAGAAAGCACTGGCTGTTGCAGAATACAGGAAGGCGCAAAGAACAGCTGCTGCAAAGATAGAGCAGATGTGTAAAGGTGTGGAGAGAACCCAGAGTCTATCGACCGATTTCAATCTTGAAAGCGGTGAGCTCGCTCCTATGTTTATCCCGGGGCCGTTTGCAATCGCCCACCATCTGATCTCAGCATGGGTAGATGAGGCTCCTGGCAATGTTCATTCTAAACAGCAAGCCGGTGTCTCTCTCTCAAGTTTGTAGCTAGGAAAGATGACTTTGATGCTTAGATACCAAACTTTTGCTATGGTGATGCTTCTTTTGAATTGATGCGTACTTATTTGTATGGACTTGCTCCAAGTTATTTCTTGCAACAACAATTAGATTTTACCTCAATAATTTTTAATAAAAGAATTTCCATATAAAGCTGTTTCTAAAATTAGCTGTTATTCCCAATCATGTTGTTAGTCAAAAATAATTATGTAAATTTCAAGTTAAACAAATGAGAATTCCACAATTCTTAACTAGACATCTCCGTAGGCTAGCATAAGCATTCACCGTCTCCTCTTCCCAGATTCTAAAACCCTTTCTTCCTCCAAAGTCAGTCCAAACCATTTTGTTCGTTTTCCGAGATCTAACAACTATGGCAGCCACCTTCTTCCGGCGACTCGCTAAGTCAGCTCCGATCACATTCCCAGTCGCACTTGGATCCCAAAGCAAATCTGGTTCTGGCGCTTTCCGATTCTCTGCCGGTGCAATCGCGGCACTTTCCGGCGGATTCTCTTACTATTACTTAGCATCCGGCAACAATCTGGTGAACTTTTCTTTTGTTTTCGCACTAATGTTTCTTATATCTGTTGTCTCTGATCATTTCGAATTCCATTTTTTTTTTTTCTGGTTTGGGTTCCTTTCTCTTGCATTTTGTTCAATGTATGATTTGTTGTATTTCACATTCAATCAGACGAGTTTAGACGAAAAATACAAAACATATAGATCTTTATAATAGCGTATTAGGTCTTTCTTCTCAGTAATTTGGCTTGCGTTTATAATCGTTGTGCTTTATGATCGCAGGTTTATCTGGATCAAGCTAAGGAAGAGACTGGACCAAAAACAGGTGCGCTTTTTGGATATAGTTATAGCGTTTATACTTCATTATGTACTCGGAACTTATTGTTTTGTGCTGTGTTATTTCAGCTCTAAACCCTGATAAATGGCTCGAGTTCAAGCTTCAAGACACTGCTAGGGTTAGCCACAACACCCAGTTGTTCAGGTATTGGCTTGACTCATTAATGTATTCATCATAAAAAGGCATATTAGCTTTGAATTTGTGACACTATTCAAGTTTTTCATAATCTGGTAAGTGATTGTCACTAAGTATTACTTTGTAACTCACATCTTATATCGTAACTGGGGAACAAATAGTTATTGAACAAAGGAACATTTATAGGGTTGTGGGTGGCATGGTATGGATAATTGTCTAGTGAATACTTGTTTGTTTCTCATCCTTTCTTGTGTAACTTCTAATATGTGCTAAGCATTTTGTATCCTTTTACTGCATAGAGGCTTAGAGGGTATGCATTATGAACCATCTGCATAATTGAGTGTCATTTTTGGTAAAATTTCAAGTGCTTTAGTTTGTTTAATCCTTTAAGCTTATGTAGCCATATCTCAGTAATGGGAATTGCTGCTATTAATATGGTTGGAATCCGCAGTTTAGGTGTCGAAAGTTGTTTCTTACTAACTTTCTTACTATCTCTAAGAGCCTCTTAAGCTCATATAATTTTTTTTTTTTCGCAATACTCATGTATTTAAGTCCATTTTTAAGGATAATTATATATAGGTCATGGTGATAAACTTTGGTTTTCTTGTTTTGGCTTTGCCTTGAAATCTAGGTTCTCATTTGACCCCTCAGCTGAGTTGGGTCTACATGTTGCTTCTTGTCTCTTGACAAGGTATGCTGTGGTCACACTCCTTCCATTTTACAGGAAAACAAATTTATTTTTGGACGGCTTGTGTAAAATTTCTCAACTAAAGTGGTAAAGCTTACCTTTCTGTTTTCTTTGTACAGGGCTCCTTTAGGCTATAATGCTGAAGGGAAAACGAAATATGTCATTCGACCGTAAGTTCATCTAAATTTTTTCACTAGCTTTGCATTGTGTCAATTGCTCTGCTAACCTATCTGTTACATTTTTTTTTTTACTTTTGTTGGATTGCTTTAAAGGAGGCCATTTTTAACACACCGGATTTTCATTTAATTAGTCGTTTTACCTTCTGTTTTCATGAAATTCTACAACTTAAAGTTGAAGGCTGATAGCTGTCATTAAGAGAATAAAACAAAAAGCTTGGAAATAATGCAGAATTTATGCAGACTTATTTTTGAGAGAAGGTTTTTCTTGATTCTAAATTACAGCTGCTGAAGCTACCACGTTTGTGGTATCTGTCTCTTATATTTCCAACTTTTGGATTGATTAGTCAGTATACAAATTATCATGCAAATAAAGTTTCCAGATCATTATATTTCTAGCTTTATACTATAAAGCTTTTTAATACCGTGACCTTATTATCTTATACTTGTGAATTAATTTCAGTTACACTCCTATATCAGACCCAGACTCTAAGGGATATTTTGATTTACTGATTAAGGTATGAGTGCACACATGTGCATAACTCTACTTTTGCTACTATTTTCTAGAAAAGAAGTAGATGTGTTATGACTGCACGTTTTTTTTAACTTTGTTGTTGATGTAGTTATCTGCTTTTTGTAGGTATATCCAGACGGAAAAATGAGTCAGCATTTTGCCAGCTTAAAACCGGGAGATGTGTTGGAAGTAAAAGGGTATAGTTTAATACAGCCTTCATTAACTGCGGTTGGTGATAGTTCTTTATTTTATATGGTAGTAACTGTTTCTTTTCTTGTAGACCCGTTGAAAAGTTCAAATATTCACCGAATATGAAGAAACATATTGGCATGGTATACCCTTACTCCCTTGTTACAACCAACTTTACTTAAGGTTCTTACATACCATCTGTTTTGTTTGTATGGAAGTATAAGTTTAGAGATATGGACTGCACTAGATTTTTCTCATCTCAGGGTATGAATTATTCGCGTACTCTCATTTGTTGATATGCAGGTCCTCAAAAATTCAATTGTTCCATGAAGTTCCTGTTTATTAGCATGAATTACTGACTTGTAGTCATTTTTTGTATTATGCTTACAAGTAAATGTAATGAAAGAAAAATTCTGACCTATGATTTTGTGTTGAAAAAAATCTTGAAGATTGCTGGTGGAAGTGGGATTACTCCAATGCTTCAAGTGATTGATGCCATTGTGAAGAATCCCGAGGACAACACGCAGGTGACCATTTTATTGTTATCTTTTTTTTCCCGAAATTATTTTTTACACCCAATATTGAAGTATATGTCTATGCGAATGAATTTCTGAACTGCTTCTGGTACTAGTGCTGGTTTGTTTACCGAAATCTTGAAAGTGTTATCCTCTACAGTTCATTTCAAAATCAGCTGAGGTTTTTCATTAAAAAAGAAGTGTGTTAGCATGGAACTTTACAATTTCTTTGTTTGCACAGATTTCACTGCTTTATGCCAATGTTTCTCCAGATGATATACTTCTGAAGCAGAAGCTTGATGTACTTCAGGCTAACCACCCAAATTTGAAGGTACTCTTGGATTTATCAATTGATTAGTTTGCTCGTTGTTTTACCATAGATTAGAAGACACACATATCTTAAAAATATTTTGATGTTAAAATCGACAGATATTCTACACTGTTGACAATCCCACTAAAACCTGGAAAGGAGGAGTAGGTTACGTTTCAAAGGATATGGCACTAAAAGGCTTACCTCTTCCTGCAGACGATACTCTAGTCCTTGTAAGTTACCTTATTATCTTCAGAACCATAGTAAGGCTCTGTTTCCTGAGAATGAGAGGATGACATGATGATGTCAAAACACTTAGCATTATAGATTTGATCTAGTAACAAATGAGTGATGGAATCAAAACGTACACTGTTATTTAATTCATAATATGTGGTGTGCTTCACCCTTGATTCAGGTATGTGGTCCTCCTGGGATGATGGAGCATATATCTGGAGGCAAAGCTCCAGACTGGTCACAAGGAGAGGTTTGTACCAATTCATCAACACTTTTTTTCTTTGCAATGTTGCTAGAGTTAAACCTTTGCGATGAGAGTGTGTTGGTTTGCATGTAATTATCAACTCTGAAACGCTGTGGAGCTTCGACTTAAGGACCTTTAGGGAATGTGTTCTATAAAAGGCTATGAGATGGCTCTTAAATAAGCAGTCTTGTTATTAGGACACGTTTGATAATTTCATGGCAGAAGTTGAAACGAGTCATCGAATCTGTAGATATTAGTCGCAAAAAAACTAATCAGTCAAATCAACAAGATGCAGAGCAGTTCATGTCTAATGTCTCGTGGCTTTTTTTACCGCAGGTCAAAGGGATACTCAAGGACCTCGGATACACAGAGCAAATGGTTTTCAAATTCTGAGAGGACGTGAGAATCAGAATTCCGTAGTTTCTGACATTTCATGTAATAAAGTGTCCTCAGGCAAACATTAATTGTTGAAAATAAACATAGCAAAACAGATCAGTTAGTCATTGTGTCTGCAGGTAGTAGTGGGAACTTGATTTTGATGATAAATCTTAATGCGAACAAGAAACTGAATATGATTTGAAAGATGAGAATTGTGCATTTGCATTCATGTCTGTGTGTCGACTTATCTCTTGTGCTTGGAGCTTGTAGAATTTCTCAACTTGGCTTAGACCTTTTTTGATAAACAGTAGTTTATTTTGCTAACACCTACAAATCAATGTCCTCTTCATTATATACCCTCCAAAATCTATCTCTAATCGTATAAAATAAAGAACTGTATCAATTCGCTAATGTACAATCGTTGCAGAGTAATCCAATACACACGTTGCAGAGTAATCCAATACACACGTTGACACTTCTGTGCATAGAAGATTGATGTGAATTTTCTACCAAGTACAGAAACTTGACATTCTCAAACCATGAACGATCACTGCAGAATGGTTAAGAATTTGCAAGAGTGGTTAAGAATTTGCAAGAGCTGACATATTTTCGAGTTTTGCATTGTGTGTGAACGAGATGTGGAGTGGTCCCAAATTGGCAAATTTTATTACAAGCTGTTACTTATCAAACAAAAAGGATAAATGCAAGTGAAGCAACCATATCTTGGGGACACAACACAAACACGTTTCAAAGGAAATATAAATAACGATGGATTCAGTAATTCCCAAGAACAAATGCTGAATGATCATTGAAGAAAACTTTCCTCGTTCTGGTTTACTGAGACGGTTTCTCCTCTTCTTTCTTGGAGGATAAATACCTGTCATCAAGCGCATTAAGGGGATTTTCAAGTAAGCTAAAACTGTGGAAGCAATTGCATAAATTGTACACAGGAAACATACTGGCTTTATTTCCTTCAGCTCTTAATTTAGAACAGAGAACTTTTTTTCGAGTTCAAAAGGACGCTTTTCGAGTGTATTAGTTCATGTATACATGGTACTCGGTCAAGTAGAACTTACCCTTGGGCTCTAGCCCAACGTGAGAGCTGATAGAGCTGTACAGTCTCGTTTGATGCATGGCACGCAAGTAGCAAATAGTTGCGCGGTTGAACCATCCAGGCAAATCTCATGAACAATGCAGAGTAAACGCACATCGCTGTACAAAACAAAACCAAAACATGTAATGAGAGGCTTACTAATAATGATGCATACATATAAGGACGATCTCTTTATTTTATTTTACCTGAAGACATGTTTCCAGAAATCATCTCAGGGGGCTTTTGCATATCCACCAAACCCTGTAGTGTAACCAATTCAAAACTATTATGGATCATCAAAAAAAGATGAATTGTTATTAAAAAAGGAAAAGACATGGAAAGAGAAACATACCGCAGCAACGAAACCCCAATTAGCAATAGGACCCCAGAAATGAGTTGTTTTAGGGCCAACAGGGCTGTTCAAGAACGATTGGAACCTTGATGTAGCCATATATATATATTTTCTGAAACAAAAATAAGTGCGATAAGTAAATACTTCATTCAGAAGCACATTTTTGTTTCTCTCTTAAAACTCGAAACTATATAACCCATAGAGAGAGTTGCAACAGAGCATATACAGAATTTGATTGGAGAATCATGATGATATAACTCAAAGAAAAAGCCAAATCTTATCACATAATCTTATATATATCACAAAGCACATGAACCGTTTCTATAAGCGATTGCATAGAGCCCACCAAAATCAAGGGTTTGCCCTCTCAAATTGAGTTACTCAAACACCACAATACATTTTCTCGATTCCCAATCTAAAACTTTTAAGACTAATTTAGGTAAAGTGTCAACAAAGAGAACAATTCGGTTTATGTGACTGCTCTCCTAAAAGAGTAGCAATCGAATTCGAGATCGAGACAAACCTGAGGGATTCGAAGAGCCCCGACTGGTCGAACAGGAATAAAAGTTTCGAAGAAGGTTTGCTACCCAATTGAGCCGAGTTGGTGTGAGGGAATATAAATGACAGACAGATATTAGAAAAGAGAGAGAGAGAGAGAGAGAGACAGAGGAGGAACAACGCCAATGATATCACACACAAGTCAAAGACCATATGGGTTTGGGCCTTTCTTCACTTTTGTTTCTTTTTGTCAAATGAAAAAATTAAATTAATTTAAGGGATAGGTTCGGTTTAGCCAAACCAAACCAAATGAATGCTTTTCAAACCAAACCAAATGAATGATGTGTCTACGTACGAGCTAGGAACACCATAGTGAATTGCTTAATTTAATTCTTGATGAAGAGATTTGAAATACAGTTTGCATTTCTCTCTTCAGGCATTATGTCATGACATATCAAAGAACTTTGTTTACAAAAGAAACAAACAGTAAGATAAATAGGTCTCTCTTTGTTTTATCCTATTTTTGGTAATACAATTGTTAATTGTTAATTTAACTACAAATGTGAAACCATAATTAAGATAATATTTCTGAAAAGAAAAAAGTAAACACATAAAAAAAGAAATCTTCCAACTCCTTTAATCATTTAAAACCAAAATATCAAGAAAACTTCCAAAAAGACAAAAGTTTAAAAACTTAGTTTCCCATAATTATAATTATTCTTTGTTTTCCGTTTCTTCTTCCAAATATTTAGTTTCCGGGAGGCAAAAAAAAAGAATTCACATTTCATTGAAGGAGAGAAGAAGAAGAAGATGGCGTTGCAGAGATCAACGGCGTCGTTTAGGAGACAAGGATCTTCAGGACTCATATGGAAGGACAGGTTCTTCAGCGGGGAGATTCGTAACGACGTCGAAAGACAAGAAGACCGGTGCAACGATCAATATCGTGACGGATCAATGGCGGCTACGGCTGCAACGTTGCAACGCAGCGCATCGGACGGAGGAGGATGTGGGCATGGTGGAAGATTGGGTGAGATATCTCCGGCGTTGGATCCACCTTCTCCTAAGATATCTTCCGTTGGTTGTGGCTTTTGTTCTTTGTTTTCGTCTAACAGCAGGAGAAGAAGAGGCAGAGGAAGGAGAAGATCAACAAGCGTTGGAAGTGCATGATAATTAATTAATATTCATTATTAAGTTGTAATTAATTTAACATTAATTTTACAACATTTGGATGATGGGATTCATATATAGGATTTGATTATTATATGTCAAAACAAATTTCGAAACCTTGATGGTCGTCAAAGCGAAGGATTGCTTCTACTTTCTTTGGTTTATGATATGATGGTTGAAGGGATCATCAGGCTTATTATTCGATTGATCCTTGCAAATGTGTTTGTTTATACGTTATTGTGGAGGCTTGTGCCCATTTGATCCTAGCCAGAGACCAAATCATAGTTTGAATGGTATTTCTGAATATATATATATATACATAGAAATTTCCGGTAATGTAAAAGACAATTGATATATCTAAATTTCTAGCCTTCTTATTGTTTTGTTGAAATCACAAAACAAAAGATCCAGAAAAGATTTTTAAAAACTTGACAAGAACGGTCGAGCGTGGTGTTACGTACGTACGTACGCTGATAAATAATTGGAAAAGTTGTCGCTGCACGACCCTCGGTATGGATTCATTCCACCGTAACGTACGTGTGTTGTAGTAGTATAATATTGACACATGGCTACTTTGGTTTCGGCAAATATGCTTTTAATTGACCACAAATATGCTCACTCCGGGAATTTTGCAGGCGTTTCGATGAAACTCATATTCCCAATGCTACCTTCTTTTTTCTTTTATAGAAATCAAAACCTCTTTGCTTTTCTTTTATTTGTTGCACAAAACTTCTTCCTACTACTAGCTCGTTGTATTAGATGTTTCTTAAAGTCAAGGACAATGGAGTGTTTTAAAGGATTTTCCCCATCACTGGTGGAGTGGTGGTGTCCTTATTCTCTAATAGTCTAATTCATATGCAGAAACGAATGATTGACCAAGTAGTCATCTCCTACTTTCAACAAACATCTCTCACGAAGTTGAGAGACTCTAATGTATCTTCACATTTGAATCTTTACTTTCTAAGGGCATAGATTCTCGAAATGAAGTTATTGGTGGAGCGCGCATATAGATTAACGTATAATAATCCAAACAAAACTCAACACATAGGTCAAGAATCCTTGTTTTAAACTCATAATTAATTATATATCGTAAGAAGAATAAAAACGTAGTAATAGTAAATTTACAGTAGTAAGCCTTTTTGATTACGATTGGTATAAGTTACAACCTAAAGAAAAAAAGAAGAGAAAGAAAAAGGAAAACAATATGTAATAATAAAAATAAAGAAAACAAAATCAATGGGGAGAGGCAGGACGAACTTTGGTTTTGAAGAGGAGAATGTGAAGTTTGTCCATTGAGAAATAAATAAAACAACCAGTTGAATGTGTCACGAACGACCCAAAACTTGACCCTACGATGCAATGCCATGCTGGTCCATACCCTTTGTCAAATTCCTGCATATCTCACTTATATCAGTCTTATTAACTTATGGAATGAATATAAAACAATATAGATCAAAAACATATTCAAATGTGAAAAGTTTCGATCCTGTTTTTTCTACAAGAAAATGGATCTGGTTAGAAATTTCAACAATGTCATCAACATGTCAGACTTGTTTTACCAAATGTCTAGACAATAATTTCGAAAAGATGTTATAGTCAAATACTCAACGTGAAGGTTGAGAGTTAAGAGAGAGAGAGACAAAAGAGGGATCCCAAAAAATAAGTTAAAAAAGGGATAAGAGTGGAAGAGGACCACATGGCTCTGTTGGGTCATTCCCCTTTGATGCCCTTTTCATACCTTAGCTGGACCATCTCCCCCCATCACTCTTGTTTTTGTTATTTAATTCTCAATACTTAACTCTTTTCTTCCTAACATTTTTGATATTTTGAGATCCAAAAAAATTGATAACACCGGTCATTATGTTTGATATTGACATCAAATATCATGAAAAAGCAATTGGTTAAAAAGGCTCAAGAGTAAGATAGACGATGTGTCATTTTCCTAGCATACCTTGTAGTCATGTGAATCCTTTTAATGACTTAGCAGCGACAATAAGTTATTTAGATGTTTTTAGCTAAGGCATATATTAAAAATGACCTACGCACTACATAGTTGTTTTGTAGCTAGAGATGTGTGGCTTCTAGTGGCCTCAACCAAAAAAAACCCAATAGAAGCTATCTTAGTCTCATCAATTTGTATGCCCATTCATTTTAAAGTACAAACAAACACACTAGGGACGTTCTAACTAGGGGAATTATGATTGGTTAAAATGCAAATCTTGTTTTACAAACTTGTTGAAAGAAATGATGAAAAAATAACCAAAAAAAAAAATCGCATTTCTAAAGATATTGTGAGTATTGGTATTATCAATTTGTTTTTGTCTCTTTTGTACTTCATGAAAACGAGACTCTTGTGATATGGAAATGTTTTATCATGCATATGTAAAAATATGATAAAAAATAAATAAGAGAAAGAGACAAAAAATAAAGAAGAGGTTACTTATTACCTTCTTGAGATTGAAAGCCATGTGCTTCGAACTAAACTTCTCCAAACTATCTAAAGTCATCCTCGCACACCTAAACGCATGTGCCTGCATAAACCCCGGCATGTCCGCAGCTAGTATCCTCACCGTCAACATCTCCGCTGCCGCCGCTATCCTCGCCGCCGTATCCTTCTCCACGTGAGACACCGACTTCCTCCCTTCCACCGCCGCCGCACCGCCACCGCCTCTCTTTCTTTCGTTGTTTCTACTACTACAAGTCGTCGTCTCCAACTCGAAGATGTCTCTCATCATCACTTGGTTTTGTGTTTTAAGCGAGGACTGAACCATTGGTTTCGCTTCTACGTCGTCTTGATGAGATATCGACGGTGGGGTGATCGGGATCTTTGGTTTGGTTTTAGGGTTTGTGAGTGAATGCTTCGAAGTTGTGATGGAGAATCTGTAGAAGTTCATGAGACTTTTCTTCTTCGGCTTTTTGGTTCTCTCTTCATTCATTTTTTTTCTTTTTCGGTAACAATTATATTTTGTGGAGCTCTTTAGTGGCTCGTATGCGTTATTTATACGGAAGAGTCAGAGACATAAAAATTAGTCCTCCCTCTATTATTTTTATTTTTGATTATTATTGAATATAAAGAAACAATTTAATATTTATTATTTTAAAAAATAATTAATTAGAGTGCATCCTATGCGTACCATTTATAACATTTTCTTATACATGAACTTAATTAAATATTTTTGTTTAAGTTGGTCCTAAGCTAAGAGTGTACAAAATATTAACTAATGTAGCGTTACATGTGCATATTTTGCCTAGCATAGTATCTAAACAAAGGGTTATATTATGAGTGTTGGACAATGTTCGTTATTATTAGAACTGTTATGATAAAAACACAAACCGTAAACTAGATAACAGAGCATTAATAATCCTAAATTTAGAATCACAATATGAAGCAGTACCTCCCAATGTTGGAGCTAGTTGAAGTGACAGTGTGGCTCTGACGGAAGGATCACAAACGATAAAAATCGACACAAGAGATTTATGAGAGGATTGATTGAGAACGTGAAACCTGACTACCTACCGATCTCTCTTTTTCATGTGTATGTGTTTTTTTTTATTTACATGTTTATATTTTCTTTTTCTTGTAAAAACAATGTGTCCATGATACAATAAAGTTCAGTAAATAGAAAATGTTTAAAAATGTATTTGATTTTTAATTATTGTTAAAGTTATTTGTATGCCGTTCTATAAGATAACACCATAATTATAGGTACTACATTTTGCATGAATTCTCTTAAATACATATTTTTCCCTTCATATTTGTTTGTTTATATAGTTTAGTATCATTTTTTAGTTGTTTTAGTCAATTAGATCAAATTATTGATGACACAAGATGAGACACTAATAACAAACGATTAATTAACTAGGCTTGGCCGTATCAACACCAAGAGACAAATTAAATAATCATGTGGTTTAGTAAGTGAATAGGGTGATTTGTATAGAATCAAACCATGTGGCTTGTTCTAAGTCAAGTGAAAATTAACATATATATATATATATATGAGAATTGAGATGATTGTTTTTTAATAAGTTAATTGTGTGTATGTTGAGACAACAACATATTGTTCTCAGACACTGTTAATTCCGGGTCCCCAAAATCTGATATTTTATAGTCGTTAACCTTATCGATTCATGCTGAGCATATCAGGACCCGGTCATGGACCCTCTTTGGCTCGTGTTCTTCCAACCAGTTTTAGTAGGGGCCTTGCCCAATTTTGTTAACTTCTAATTAAGCATTTATGTGCATTTTGTTTGGTTTTGTAGCAATCTTGATACTTGATAGTGATATGTAATGGTATAGTACGATATAAAATTATGTATTAGCCACAAAATTATCGTCACTAATGTTCTGTGGCCAAATGGAGATTTTGATGGTCATGAATTTATGTTATAATGGTTATATAGTGGCTACATATAGCTAAACACATGGCTACAAATATTTAGTGGTTAATTGCTACTACATAGTAACTAATTCGTTAAGTAAATAATTAGTTGATTATGTGAAGTCTTATTTACAAATTTACAAGCATGCATGTTTTTTTTTGGTTTTCCAAACAACCATACATAGCCTCTTCAGGATATAGCTCAGTAAGATCATGAAGATGGGTTTTGGTGCATTTGAAAACTAAGAAGCTTCTTCACTATCCTTTACAGTTGGATAATGTGTTGCAGACTATGGAAACCACAAATTACATGTGATTCTTGCTAGCAATTTAATTTGGGACAAGTTAGGCCGATGATAAATAAAAAGAAATAAGAGAGCACGTACGGGTACGGCGTCGTTTTAGTAAAATCTGTTCCAACCCTTTGAAAACGGTTCAGGTTCCAAACTTGTTGTCTCACAAACGCTTCGGTCTCCTAAAAAGGTGAAAAAGCTTCTTTTATTATTTTTGTTGAATTCATTCAGAGGATTGGGATCGATTTCTAGGGTTTTCATCAAGCGTTCGCAACGAGCTCCCACAATTGAGGTTATTGATTCCTTCTTCTTCTCGAATTTTTCCGTATCTACTAGTGTGTGGGTTCAGCTCGCATTTCAGATTTCTGAATTCTGCGATCGATGATCTCGAATTGAATTCGTTTTGCCCTTTTGAAAATTTTCGTTGTAGTGTCGTTGGTGGCGCAAGAAACATAGTCATTGGGGATCGCTTGTAATGAAACGAATTGTAAAGTTTGGTACTTTAAACTTTCCTGAATCCATCGATCGAGTTTTACAATAGAGGGGTTCTAGAGTTGTTTTAGGGGTTCTGTGTGGGTTATTTGTATATTAGTTAGTGTTTTATTAAGCATTTGGGGACATGTCTGGTGGAACTCCGGTTGGTGGTGGTGGCTACATTAGGCAAAGACATAGCCAAGGTTATGCATCTGGTGGTGATGATCTTGAGGACGATGCTTGCTCTAGGCCACAACCTTTTGCGTTAGAGAGTCCTAGAAGTAAAACTTGGGTTGAGATTTTGGAGAATGTGCTTTGGATTGCATCTGCTGTCTTCATTGTTTATTTTGGAGACAGGCACTCTAATATGATACACCTTCTGCTACACGATGCTCGGATCAAAAGGTAACAGTCTAACATAGCTCTTCAACTGACTTTTTCTTTTCACTTTTTTTTTTGGCTTATTGCTTGTGTTCCATGTTTGGGTATAGACTTAAGGATGCCATAGAGGTTTGAATTCAATATTCTTGGTTTCTAATGTAGTTAATCAACATAGGATAAACCTTGGATTCATTTACAGAAAGCATATTTTAGTAGGGACGCTGGAATAATAGAAACTTAGTTAAATATCAGGTGTTTGGAGAATCTGTTTTCTTAATATTCTCAGATTTGTTGAAAAAGATTCTTTTAAGGTCCATGGGTTTTTTCCCCAAACCTGAAGGAGGATTAATAAGGACATGTGCATAGGCAAGGTGGATACTATTTGAAGGCCTTTTGATTGTTAAAAAATGGTTTTGGAAATGCCATTTTTCTTGTCACGATTTGGTGTAGGTTTCTGCAATTTCAACATTTGTTTGGAATGATGGATCTTGCTGAAAACTATCTGAACATATTGTCATCATCTGCCTTGTTTCCAGGATGCCTTTGTATTTTGGGATGTTGGGAATAGCTGTGAACATTATAATCATATTCTACGAAAGCATGTTATCGTGGAGCATGAGAAGGTTTGATGAGAAATGGGAACTGTGGAGTATATCTGCTCTGCCTTTCATCACCCTACTCGGCCTCATTTCATTTGGCCTGTAAGTAAATCACTTGTTTTAGTCAATCAGGAACGACCAGGATTTATCATTAGTTGTTGTTTGTGATAAATATGCGAAAGTGCAGGCTCTCGTTTGCTCTGTGGCCAATATGGGGATTCTTGACTCTCCCTCTTCTGGTAGGATCTCAGTCCACAAAGCAAAATCATCCCCTATAGACAAATCTCATGTGGTTACATGAAAGCTTGGTTTTGTTTTTTTGATGGTTTGCAGTTCACATTGTTCATGGCCTGCCTAGTTGTATTCCCACATCTCATGATAATCAAATTCAGACCCCAAAGCGATGAACTGCGCATAGATTGATCTGTAGAGGATGGAGATAGAGTGAAGCCCTAAATTTTTCTTCAGAAGTCAATAAATCTGAAAACTGAAGGGGATGCGTGTGTTTTGAGGTGTATATAGATAGATGAACTCACTGATGAATCTATAGGGATCTTTTTTTCCTTTTCTTTATTGTTTTTGGTCTCTTGAGATTGGTTCATGTCCTGTTTCATTTCTGAGTTTAGTGAAATGAAAAGTGTTCTCTTCTGTCTCCTTCAAATTCGATTTAAAAGTTTGTGTTGAAGCACGATAAAAGAAAAGTGAAGCAGGTAAGAAAGACATTTGGTAATAGTAATTGTGAATCCTAACTTGCAAAGTGCAAATAACCAAAATTAATCAACACAAACTTGTAATATTTTGCGTTTTCTGTGAATCAAAACCTAGGATCAAAGCTTGAGGACATGTAAAAGGGCTAATAACTTCTATCGAAAAAATTTAATTTTTTTTACTGCAGTTACTTCTTTACATGTCAATAATAGAAAAAAAAAAAAAAACAAAGAAGAAAGCAAAATTCTATCTCCCTAAGAAAAAACTACACAAATTGGTGAAGGCTGAAAAAGCATAGTGGTGGTGACGGGTGGGATAAGGGAGGAGCCAGAGAGAGAGAGAGAGAGAGAGATGGGACACGTAATGAGGCTGCTGATAAACTCGCCTTCTTCTTCGCCTCTTCTCCAGCTCCGATACCACCACCGGACTCTTGACCCAAACTCTGTTTTCTCTCTGCGAACCTCTATTACCAAAAGCAAGGGACGCTTCTCTTGTCTTTTCTCCGGCGGCAGCCAGAGAGAGGTTAGTTAGTGAGACAACTTTACTCTTACTTCCCTTCCCTTATTTGTTCTAACTTAAGGACAATAATATAGTTAGAATCTGCTCTCGAACCCCATCAATCAGAGCCTTACGACCGATTCGTTTGATCGATTAATTGGTTCTTCCGCTTGTTTACTCACATACAGTATTAGTATTTTTGAAGTTTTCAATTCTTCAGGATTAGTGGTATTTGTTAGTTATGTGGGTTCACGAATTTATTCATGTACCTTTTCAAAAGAGTTGGGAAATGCATTTTCCGACTTGAATTACTCACTTTAATAGGGAAGCATGTTGATTAGTATTTTTTTTGGGAACAAGTTTAGCTACTGGTTATACGATCATTAGTTTGAATGTTGAGCTGTTATTGGGATTGTTAGTAAGGGCTGGACTCTTATATACGGATGTCTCGGTAGATTGTTTCTAGGTGTTGCTTTCCCATTTGGGTAACAGTTTAGAGTCTCTCTCTGGTTTGGTGAATGGCTTGCTATGTTCATAGCTTTTTTCTTCTTATCACATACACTGTGCCTCCTTCGTTTCTTCTGCTTCTCTGTACAGGAAGTAGTTTGTTTAGCTATAAATTTCTTTAGGAACTACTCAATCCACACTTTCTACTTCTGTGAAAAGGTTTACGACACATTAACGTAAAGAACCTACAAAAGTTGATATGCTTCAGAGACTGAGAAGAGTAGCATCATGATTTGGTGGCTAATACTCTGCAATTCGATTTCCATGACTGTGCAGGAGCAAGCTCGTAAGTCATTGGAAAGCGCTCTCGGTGGGAAGAAAAATGAGTTCGAGAAGTGGGACAAAGAGATCAAGAAAAGAGAAGAATCTGGTGGCGGAAATGGTGGCAATGGAGGAGGAGGAGGAGGAGGTTGGTTTGGGGGTGGTGGTTGGTTCAGTGGAGATCATTTCTGGAAAGAAGCGCAACAGATTACCATTACTGTCTTAGCAATACTTGTCGTGGTATGATTTTGCTTTAAAATTAATTCGAAAATCACAAAGAGAAAGGTTTTTTTGTTTGTTTGTTGTTGATGGGTTTGAGTTGTTTACTGGTTGCAGTATATGTTGGTTGCGAAAGGTGAAGTAATGGCTGCATTTGTGTTAAACCCATTGTTGTATGCGTTGCGAGGAACACGAGAAGGTTTGACTTCTCTAATCTCCAAACTCGCGGGAAGAGAAGCTTCGAAAGTGAATGCTGATAACTCAGAGGAGATGTGGAAGAAGGAAGGTTTCACTGCTAAAGAGAGTGTCGTTCGGAAATGGGGAAGTGACTGAAACAAATTCTTAAAGCTGACTCAAGATTCAAGAACAATGACTTGAGTTTTAATTTTTGTAAAATGAAAATGAGATCAAATGCAATCGACCATTTCAGTTTTTGTAATGAAACTTAGGTATTCTTCTTTCAACATTAAGCTAAGATATATGTGTCATAGATAAATGCTTTTCCACAAATAATGAGCGAGCTTAATGTACGTAGCCTGTAAGTTTCTGTCTATACAACTGTCCTGTTGTTGCGGGAATGTGGTGATCTTACAACTATAAAGTAGAAGAAATCTCTACATACGTCTTATGGTAATACTTGGCCACGCAGAGAGCTAATCCAGACTATAATCTTCAAGCCATATGATAACTTCGTTCCTCTGCAATGCAAAGCAATGTGAAAAAACAGATGAGAGCACAAATCAGAAGAAAATGCAATAACCATCATTTGGAGTGTCATGATGATAATACTGACACAGATGAGACAATAGTAACTGATATTTTCTAACTAGACAACATTAGTAGAGCCGGAAGCATACCATTATGAATTTCCATGTTCTTCCTGGATCATTGTAACGAGCAAGCATACAACCTTTCTTAGCTCTAAGACCATCTTTGTTCAGACTTTTCCTCAGCTCAATCTCTTTTGCGCGGACAACATCCTCTGTCGGTTTCCCACTAAATTTCACTGCCGCAGCAAAACCGCCTTCCATCTGCTTCAACTTGATCTTTTCTTCATTAGGCATAGGTAAGCTAGAGGAACAAAGTTTTCTCGGTCAGTCTCATAAACCATATTTATAGTTGGCAGTTGTGACTAAACTATCCATGATAAGGTGTACCTGCTGAGATCTTTTCCTGATGGAATGACAATTTGTACTGACACATCAGCAGAGACTTGAGCATCTGTTGTTTGGGTGAACACTGGTGTTGTCATTGGTATTTTCTCAGTGGTCGAGTTCTTACCGAAAATGTAGCTTCATAAGTAGCAGCATATGTTACATTTATCACAAGTAGCAGCATATGTTACATTTATCACAAAAAATGATGGAAGAATTAATTGAAACACACACAGAAACTTATAAGATCCTCACCCAGCGACATTGTTGAAACCTGAAGAGCCAGAAAGCTTGTCACCATCTGTCTCCACCACAATGAAAGGTTCATACTTTCTGACCTGTCAAACCATTAAACCCCGCTTAAGGCAGAGCAACTCACATATGCCATTTGTTATATGAAAAATTTGCATATTTGGTGCACTAAGCCAACCCATGAAGATATGTGACCTCATAGTTTGCTGTTCTTTTGAGTATTTGATACTTCGGAGTTTCCAAGTCGGGAGTTTTATATATCCGTAACTGGAAACAAGAAAGGTAAAACTATATAACTCACTTGGTAAAGAGGTGATCAACCATTTTTTAAAGAAAGCTAATGAGAGAGCAGCCACCTGCTTAAATACATCAACAAGACCTTCAAAAGAAAAGTAGTCGTTGTTCTTGATAGAATCCCACAAGTCCTGCACAATCCAGTTGTGTAATATAAGCAGACAGCACTAAAAGGAGCTTTCACAAGAACCAGGATAACATAGATATACCAGATGGCTGTTGAATTTCTTAGTTTCAGGATTAACTCCCATGATGGATGTTCCAGTGAAGACAAGCTCAGGTTTCCAAGGTAAAAGCATGAACTTCATAACCATCGTCCATCTTGTGGTAATCTCATATGGACCTGTCTATAGCAGCTGCATCAGTCTAGCATTCATAGAATACAACTACTGACTGGTAAGAAAAGAGAAAAAAGCTGTCTGAAGACCTGTTTAGCCCAGTGAAGTTGAAAAAGAGGAGTGAAGAGGTTCTTGAGGAGAGAAATGTTGAAGATATAACCGGAGATGGTGTCGTGCTTGGTGATGGGGTCTCTGAACTTGACACGCTCATCATAGGCCGTCGGATCGATTCCTTGGTCGTCGAATAGGTGAGGAAGATCCTCGTACAAGAACCCGACGAGCTCATCCATGTTCACAGTCGACGATGTCGATGCCACATCCTTGCCTACCTCAAGACTCAAAATTGGCCGCAGACGGGGGGTGACGTTGCGCCTCGGAAGAGGGAGGAAACGGGTGGTTGCATGGCGGCGGGAATCACTTGCGACGGCGGTGAGAATTGGCCGGTAGAGGTGATGAGCAGTAGTAGCCATAGAACGTTGATAAAATTTACTGTTGGCTAAATATTTTAAATGAATAAAAGGAAATGAGAAAAATCGTATGAAAGGAAAGAGTATAAAGAATTGTTACTATGAAACTTTAGGTGTGCTTGCTAATTACTGTATAGTAGTAAGTATTGGGTTGACATTTTATCTAAATATAACGCCAGTTGACCAAAAAAGAAAAAAAAAGTTCTTACAAAAGAGGAGGAGGCTGGAGAGACTTGCTTTAGTTAAGGTGTGTGGACTATGTACGTTTAGGAGACGTGTTTAGAAACGAACCAATCGAGAGCATTCTACTACGTATGTGGTGTGTCCGACAGAACATAATGGTCATGTATGATAAGTTTGTCTTCAACAAAACATTGTACAAGTTTGCTTTTGGTTCACTTTGTGGGCTTCATTCTTAGGCATTCATTATATAACTTTTAACATAACAAGGCCCATATTATTTGGGCTAATGCGCATGGCCGTGCTTGCTTTCATCTCAACCAGGTGCAGTACATAAATAACATATGTCTTCAATCACCTAGCAATGACACACACACTATATGTAGTATTAATTTACTCAACAAGAGTATCATGGAACAATAGAATTATGGCTTAGATTCAATATATATCTATAACATATAAGCTGATAGTGTCAATATATCTATAATACAAAAATGGGTGGCAAAGTTGTAAGAAAAAATCTGCAGAATTGGATATTATATAGCAAATGGTAAGGGGATATTTCTTTTCTTTTATAATAAAAAAGAAAAAAAAGAGAGGGTGAAATGAAACTGTGGATGATAATGAGTGAATACTGAATACAGACGCCGAATTGAGTTAATCATGTCCTTTGGGGGGTGGTTTTGGGAATACCATTAAAAGTTGAAAGATGCTGAGGTTTATACTTTTATACCCTTTTTCTTTTCAAAAAAGAATATTCCTCCAAAAATACTTTTTGACCAATTTTCTTATTTTTTATTTTCTTTTATTGCATATCGCAGTTACTATAAAATACAGATCAAAAGTAGTAATCGTCAAAGTCAGTCGTACGATCATGGATTTACATATATATATACGTCCCACGTGTTTTGGTCGTGACAACTTGACCCGTCTTTCATGATGATATATCTCTAACTGTTAATAGTTCAATTTAATACAATGATACTATTGGAAATTCATATATTCCAACAGTCTTCCCTTTTTATTTTGTTCCAAAATTCGTATCTATATAGGATACCAAATAAACCAATTTAGAAGAAAATAAATTAGGATATCATCTAAAAATAAATTTCAGATAAATCTGTTAAAAAAAATATAAGATAGGCATGTGATTTGATAAAATTTATGAAACTGACAAATAGTAACGCCATCTGTTATTATCTCACCCACACACACAAACACACAAAATAAAGAAAAAATAAAGAGAAGAAGAAGAAGAAGAAGAATATAAGCAAAGAGATATTCTCCCCAAAAGAAAGACACGAAAAAAGGATATTCTAAATAGAAACCTTACGAATATTCTCTTTTATTTTATTTTTACTAATCCCTTTTTTAATTATATATCTCTTAACCTCTTTCTCCTTCCCCCATCTTTATTTCTCCTCCCTTCTCTCTCTCTCTCTCTATCTCCCCCAAGGAACAAGAAAAAAAAAATGAAGTTTGGTAAGAGTCTCAGCAATCAGATCGAGCAGACACTTCCTGAATGGCAAGACAAGTTCTTGTCTTACAAAGACCTCAAGAAACGCCTCAAACTCATCCCTTCTTCCAAGTCCCCTCCTCTTGCTGCTGATCCTCGTCCCGTCAAACGCCTCCGTCTCGATCCCTCCTCCGCCGATGATTCCTCCTCCGCCGGCATGTCTAATGAAGAGATCAGTTTCATCCAGTTGTTAGAAGACGAGCTTGAGAAATTCAATAATTTCTTCGTTGAGAAAGAGGAAGAGTACATCATCCGATTGAAGGTTTTTAATTAAATGATTTAACTCTATCCGATTCGATTTGTTTCTCCAGATTTGTCGTCTCTTTGTCTGATTCGTGTGGGTTTTGTTATTATTAAAAAAAAAAAAACAGGAGTTTCGTGATAGGATTGCCAAATCTAAAGATTCAATGGAGAAGATGATCAAAATCAGGAAGGAGATTGTTGATTTCCATGGCGAAATGGTTCTTCTTGAGAATTACAGTGCTCTTAATTACACTGGTATGTTGGAATATCAACAATTCATATATGTGTACCTGCTTTTGTATTAAATAAAAAAAACAGAAATGTTGAGATGTGGTTTTGTCGTTATAGGATTGGTTAAGATACTGAAGAAGTATGACAAAAGAACAGGTGATCTCATGCGCTTGCCCTTTATCCAGAAAGTTCTTCAGCAACCTTTTTACACTACAGACTTATTGTACAAGCTTGTCAAAGAATCCGAGGCAATGCTTGATCGCTTCTTCCCGGCCAACGAAACTGAGTCTGAGAATATCATCCAAGCTGAGCTCTCCGAGCACAAGTCCATGGAGAGTCTCCACATGAAAAGCACCATCGCTGCTCTCCGTGTTTTGAAAGAAATCAGGAGCGGCAGCTCTACCGTCAGCGTCTTCTCCTTGCCTCCTCTTCAGTTGAACGGCTTAGAAGACGAGGCTTGGAAGAAGATTCCTTTGATGGAGCAAGAAGCCAAATAGAGAGTGAGTGAGAGGGAGCAATACACTCTTCTTTTCCACTTTTTTCTTCTTTTACACAATAGAAAGCTAACAGATTAAAAACCAGATATTATTATCCATCAATGTACACAAAAACGCAGAAGAAACGACAGGATCTTAATCTGGACAGCTTTGCTTGTTGCTCATCCTTAGGTTACACAAAACTACTATGTAACTTTGTTTCTGTGTTGTTGGGTTTGTAGTAATTGATGTAATATATATCACTCTCTTCAGATGATTAATTATTGATTTCTCCTTTCCGCATCCCTTATGTTTGATTATTTGAGTTACTAAATTACTTACAAACACATGACTGCAGAGATTGATTACTACGACCACAAGAACATGACTTGTTTTAACCTTTTCCAAACCAATGTCTTGTACTTACAACTAGAAGGTGATAATTCAGAGCTAGGTACTTCTAGTGTGGTTTGAGATCTAATCTTCTTTTATTTCTACTTATTTGTTGTTCAATGGCCTGAAAGATCTTGAGCTTTTACTGGCCAAATAGATATCAAAACAAGTTCCTCATAAATGATACAATGATTCGCTACAAACCAACACCAAAACCAAAAGACCAAGCACAAACTCTTTAAGAAACTGAAATGCAGAAAAGTGAATAACATGTTGATGTAGAACGTTGAAGTGAAAAAGATAACAGAACTCATGGACGGTTTTTGATTTGGTAGTTGCCTAAACAAAACTTCAGTCAAAGCCTTCCTTTTGCATGGAGACCCATCATACCGAGCAATCAATTCAGAGAGATTGCCTCTTAGATCAGAAGCTTCTCAATAGCATCCTGCAGAAATGACAAAATGTAAATGATTAACCAATCATTCAGACATATGAGATTCAATGGTCAGGACTCAGGATAAGAGTGAGGAATAATGTGTACCTTGAGTTGCTGGATCTGTGATTTCAATTGACTACCTTCGTTTGATGTGACTGAACAAGCGATAACAGGTCTTGTAACACCACATGCTCTTCCCAAGGCTTGCTTTGAAGGAACAAACACATACGGAACATTCTGCAAATCATTCACTAAATCAGTCAAAAAGAAACATGAGAGAATGCCAACGCTGAAACTAGTGGTTAAAATGATATACAAAACTTGACTAAATCTAAACACAAAACTAATGAATCAAACAATCAAAACTATTTAAACACTAGTGGTTAAAGACCTCATTATACCAAGAACTAATGACGAAAACAATATGGTTTGAAGTTATCAAAAGAGAAGTCAACTGTGTTATATAACTCCCAAAGACATAAGGATATCATAAGATAAATCAAACTCGCATCTAGTAGTAATATTATTGAACCAGAAGAGAGAAGAAACCAAACCTTATCCTCAGCAAGTAAGGGTAGATGAAGAAGAATCTCTAGAGGCTCTGCATCTGCAGCCATAACCACAAACTCAGAGATTCCACGGTTAAGCGTCTTCGTAGCTGAAATCAATAACAAAGTTAAAAAGTCAATTACAATCATCAGGAACTAATTCTTAACAAATCCAAAAAAAAAAAACGGGTAAATTAACAGAGGAGGATATAATTAACAAGATACCTTCGTTAGCACCCTTCTTGAGCTGCTTGTAGTTAGTAGCTTGTTGAACAAGATCAAGAATCGTTATAGATAGCTGAGAATCTGCAAGCGGATACGCTTTAGGGTTTACTGCCTCTCCAGTCTGCAAGATAAAACCAAAAAGAACAATAAATTAAAACCAAAATCAAACAATCAAAGAGAAAGATTCCTCCACTAAAACTAGCAGGTGAAATCGAGAAAGAGCGAGAGTTAGAGAGAAGAAAGAAGAGGGTACCATCTTCGCTGAGTCTAGGGTTTGAGAGAGGATTAGGGTTTTAGAGAGGGACACGAGTTTCTCGGCTTGAAGATTCTTAATGGAAATGTTGGCTCAAGCTATGTTACTTATATGCGTGTATTTATATATACATCATATTAATGGGCCTGGGTAATATATTCTTCGGCCCATGTAATTTTCAATCTCCCTCGCACTCTAATCGCAGCCGAAAGAACTTATGTTAGGGGATTATTGGATCATTGATTTGGATTGATTTAGAAATCCAAACTAAAGTTATTGTTATTTAATTATTAATTTTAAAATAATTATTAAAATTATGTGTTGTTGGTTGTATGATTTATAAATACTAGTTAAAATCCTATGTTATTCGTTTAATGATTTGTTTTTGTATTTTAAAATTTGCAGTATGTTTTAAATTGATTTGAAAGGATTTGAAAGTGTAAAATAGAAGGATTCAAAACCAAGGATAAAACATGTTATTTCAAAATTCATGTATTTTGATTTTAAAATAATAAAAATTCACAAATTCTATGTGTATTTACAAATCAATAAACTAATAACACCCCTAAAGTTTTGAGCTTGATGTTTAATCCTTTTCCTACTAGTAGGTGCCTCCAAACCAATGTCTTATACTTACAACTAGAAGGTGATAGTTCAGAGCTAGGTCCTTCTAGCGTGGTTTGACGTCTAATTTTTTTTTTTTTTTCACTGAAATGATTATATTGATAACCAAAGTTCGGAAATATTGCAAATCACAAGATAAAGACGATAATGAAATTACAGAGACACAATGATCTTTCCATAACCTATAACTAGATTAGGAAAGGATTTTACAGAAACATTGCTTAAACCAAAAACATTTTCTCTCGAGACTGATTTAGCTCTCAAAAACCATAAGGACTTCCCGTATACCAAACGATGATGACAAGCTTCAACATAATGGCCACAACAAAAGAATGGAACTTGGCCTTCTCCGCATAAAATGCATCTTTCTCTATGAGTGCTTTGTCAAGGGTCTCCCGGATGAAAATGTAAGATAGACGAGATCCACTTAGAACATTTTCAACGCCATAGCAAGCTGGTAATTTAGACATAAACAAAGCTCAATCCCTAACTAACCAAGAGCAATAGTCGAGGAAGAGAAACTTAGCCCAAACGAGGGAAACGACTGTCCAAAAAAGGAAAACTATAGAACCTAATCACCTGATGTTACCAGATCTCACACGAGTACAATATGAACAGAGCAACTAGGCTACACAAGGGCGAAGATAGTGGAGGCGAGGGAGATACCAAGTTAATAGAGAATCATTCCGATGTTGCATAGATTTGTCGAGGTAAAAAGATAAACGAGCTCTCGAGAAGGAATGCTATAACCTCCACGGGAGGCTTTGACTCAAAGAGGTGAACCACTAGTCAGAACAGAATCTGGTCGTGACTCCACTTAAAGGTTAGGAAGCTGGAACGGCAACCCCAAGCATACCAACGACCATCAGAACCAAACCAAATCTCATCAGACCTGAGACTCGAAACTTAGTTACCCACCGACACTAAAAACTTCCACGCTTCCTAGACTAGGAAAGACAAAGCTGGAATTGAAAAGCTAGGTAAGGAAACAACGGAGGTGACCGACGCCGGCTCTCTATGAGTCACCACGCACCAGTCACAAACTTGACGGCCGCTTGTTTTAACTCAAGGAAACGGAAGAGAAAATAACTTTTTTTAGGTCTATTTTCTCTAAGGCTTGATTTTCACGTCTAATCTTCTTCTAGTTCTACTTATTTGTTCGTTCAATGGCCTGAAAGATCTGAGCTTTTACTGGCAAAATAGATATCAAAACAAGTTCTCATAAATGATACAATGATTCGTTACAAACCAACACCAAAACCAAAAAACCAAGCACAAACTCTTCAGAAACAGAAATGCAGAAAAGTGAATAAAATGTTGATGTAGAACGTTGAAGTGAAAAAGATATCAGAATTCATGGACGGTTTTTGATTTGGTAGTTGCCTAAACAAAACTTCAGTCAAAGCCTTCCTTTTGAATGGAGACCCATCATACCGAGCAATCAATTAAGAGAGATTGCCTCTTAGATCAGAAGCTTCTCAATAGCATCCTGCAGAAATGACAAAATGTAAATGATTAACCAATCATTCAGACATATGAGATTCAATGGTCAGGACTCAGGATAAGAGTGAGGAATAATGTGTACCTTGAGTTGCTGGATCTGTGATTTCAATTGACTACCTTCGTTTGATGTGACTGAACAAGCGATAACAGGTCTTGTAACACCACAGGCTCTTCCCAAGGCTTGCTTTGAAGGAACAAACACATAAGGGACATTCTGCAAATCAGTCAAAAAGAAACATGAGAGAATGCCAACGCTGAAACTAGTGGTTAAAATGATATACAAAACTTGACTAAATCTAAACACAAACAAAACTATTTAAACACTAGTGGTTAAAGACCTCAACCATATTCAAGAACTAATGACGGAAACAATATGGTTTGAAGTTATCAAAGAGAAGTCAACTGTGTTATATAACTCCCAAAGACATAGATATCATTAGATAAATGAAACTCGCAACTAATAGTAATATTACTGAACCAGAAGAAAGAAAAACACAAACCTTATCCTCAGCAAGTAAGGGTAGATGAAGAAGAATCTCTAGAGGCTCTGCATCTGCAGCCATAACCACAAACTCAGATATACCACGGTTAAGCGTCTTCGTAGCTGAAATCAAAACAAAAACAAAAAAAGTCAATTACAAACATCAGGAACTACTTCTTAACAAATCTCAAAACCACGGAAAATTAACAGAGAGGAGGATATAATTCACAAAATACCTTCGTTAGCACCCTTCTTGAGCTGCTTGTAGTTAGTAGCTTGTTGAACAAGATCAAGAATCGTTATCGATAGCTGAGAATCTGCAAGCGGATACGCTTTCGGGTTTACTGCCTCTCCAGTCTGCAAGATAAAACAGAAAAAAGCAACAAATTAAAACCAAAATCAAACAATCAAAGAGAAAGATTCCTACACTAAAACTAGCAGGTGAAATCGAGAAAGAGCGAGAGCTAGAGAGAAGAAGAGAGTACCATCTTCGCTGAGTCTAGGGTTTGAGAGAGGATTAGGGTTTTAGAGGGGGACACGAGTTTCTCGGCTTGAAGATTCTTAATAGAAATGTAGGCTCAAGCTATTTTACTTATATGCGTGTATTTATATATACATCATATTAATGGGCCTGGGTAATATATTCTTCGGCCCATGTAGTTTTCAATCTTCCTCCGCACTCTAATTGCACTCCGCACTTTGAGTTGGGAGTTTGACTTTGGAATTTGGAGGAATCAAGTACTTTAATCAACAAATGTGGAAATAATGTAGTTTTTAGAAAATAAGTCGTATTTATTTGGTGCACAAACATAGACTCGATAAAGTAAGGCTTATGCAAATGCCATGTCAATAACATATGCCACAAATTAATTGATAAATACAATTTTCGAGCACAACAATCTTTCAATACGGTCTGAATTATTGACTGCTGCTCTCATAATTAGTTACTATCAAATTGACAAACTTGAAGCTATGACTATGATTTGTGATCACTCACTTTGTTTGAAAAAAAAAACAAACAAAAAAATGCGTGTTAATGGCTGGCTCCAATGTCGTATGTTCCATATCAAAAACAACACACACGATTGTACCAAATACAAGACCATACCATAATCCAAGGAGAATAATATTCTACTCTTTCAGTTTCATCAACCCCTTTGAATCTTTAAATGAGCATCTCAAAGATGTAAATCTACAGGTGAGAAGTTTAAACTCAAAAGAAAATGATCGACACTCCCATCATGAAGCACCCTGCCGAGACCCAAGGGCTCAAACGCTCTCCTGTTACAAGTGATGACAAAGAAAATTTCAATCAACAGAATGTTTGGCTATCATAATATGGCCTGAGACTTATAACTTTACTATGTGCCATCATGCATGTACTTCAATACGAGCTCACTATGGGTTTCAAGGATTCAAAGCAGGTATTTATGGGTTGAATTACAGTTCAATTATTAGTGGCTGCACAGATTACCAGGGATATCTTGCTACTAGAATGTCTATCATTAGCTCTATTTGACATATACCAAGACGGATTGTTCAACACAATGTTTTCTACAATGAAACTGGAAAACAACAAATAAAAATTGAGCCTACCTATTCTAGCAGCCTTCCAAAAGAATCCTCGGAACCTGCAATGAGGAAGAATAATAAGGTTTAAGTAGTTTTCATCATTGTTATCAATAGAACAAAGAGATGAATGGGTGGCATTAGAGGCATGAGATAGAGACATATAAAGCACTATTATGAAGAACCAGCTGCCATCCAAAGTAACAATATGCAGAGAAATATGAGAAAGCATCTTCCAATTTGGTCAAAGCCTGGCATATGCTTGAAAATATTAACCAGGTTTCAAAGCTCAAAATGTATGTGTTCTCGGTTTGGCAAACCAATACGAGGTGAAGGAAAATACAAGAGTAAAGAAGACACAAACCCAGTTTTCTGCTCCAAAATGGCAGGGAATTGCATCTTCAGATAAGTGCAAGTGCAGATCACAAGCAGCACCACCGTCAGAAATGAATGGAAATTGAACAAAGCTGACTGTGATTATCCAAAGATAAACAAAACTCTTAGCTCAAATCACTGAAATAACAAAATTCACAATGGGCCTGCGGATGCAATAATTACCATTGTATCTTGATCACTGAAGTACTTGAGAAGCTACTAGTTGCCTCCTTGGATCCCAAATAACCAGACAAACAATGCTGAGGATCATACGAGAATCGATTGGAAGAAAGACAAACACACACACACACAAGAAGAATCATAATAACTACATAGACAAAATTGAGCAAACACAATAATCATCGAAAACCTAACAATTCCATCACCACCGAGATTTGTAGGAGGAAAAAATCAAGGGAATGCTCATCTGTTCGTTACTTCTAACTCAGATTCAATTGAATACTTAGAAGCATCCGTGAATTTTATCGGAGTATAATTATCAATCAGATCATATAGCGAATCGAACTCTTTAACCTTCATCTTTGTACTAAATCAGATGACGCGAGAAAATAGTTATAATAGAAAAGGGGAAAGCTAACCTGAAGTTTGAGCTGAAATCGATGCTAATGGCAAAGGAAATTAGGGTTTGGAAGCTTGAATCTAGCAACAAGATCGGCGAGAGAGACGTCAAGGGTAGATCCGAGAGACGGAGGAGAGAAACGTTCGCGTGAGATGTGAGTTATTCTGCTTTTTCCTATTTTACTTCTCTCTTCCTTATGTTTGATAAGGAAAAGTAAATTTCTAACGAAAGGAAAAAATTTGATATTATGGTGTTTATTTATAATTTGGGCCAAACTGACAAAAGAAATCCTCAAAATCCACATTTTTTTGTTTGGGAGCTTTCCACTAACCATTGAGATATATAAATCTTGAAACAAAACATGTTCTCTCCTCGTCTTTCTTCATTTACAATCACTCTAAAGCATTGCGACCAGTACCACATAAGTTGATCAAATCCATGAGAACAGAGTACAAGACATCCAGAGACAAATGACCCAACGACTTTCGACTTTCTGATACTCCTTCCCTCTCCTCTGTGCAGCCATTCTCCATCACTAGCCACCACGAGATGCATCCCTTCGTGTCTTCCGGGTTTACTTGCGCCACCAGGCTCACTCTCTCCCCTTCCACAATCTCTAACGATAGAGATAGAAAATCCCGGCTCGCTTTTGTCCCAACCGTCCTTGCTTCCTCAAGTAGCCAACACACTATCTGGCTCGCCACCTTCTCAAAATTGTTACCAAACACATCAATAAACTGCACGTCGTGTTTAAAGAACTACGGCTATAGACATGACCAACTTTAGGGCTAGAATAGATTGCCTAAAACATACCTGCTGGAGGATTATCACGGGAAGGTCAGCCACGTCACACTCGTATTTGTTCATAGAGAATAAATTGCAGGAACTGCTTTTCAGTAAGCCAACCACATTGGGCGTACATTCTGCTTCAACACTAATACAGTCATCCTTCACCACCACTTTTGTCCGGAATTGCGTCTTAAGATTCCTCTTACCATCTGGAGACTGGGTTTCAGAACTTCCTTGCGGGATGATAGATGGTGGAACAGTCATGAAGACAGTCCATGACGATGTCCGAGAATTCCATGTAGGATGAGATATTAGATGAAGATACGGGACCTTGCAGACCTGTTTGACAAGAAAGCAACAATTATTAAAAAACAGGGTCTAAGATGACAAGATGTTTCTTAATAGAGAATACTCAATAAATTTAGCGCAGCAGGAAATATACCACGCTTTCAAGATGCACAAGAACTCTATTTGAGAAGATTCTATGAGTCAAAGATAAGCAGAAATGATCAAGAAGTCCGGAGTTGCTGTCCTTTTCTGTTTGATTGGATGCTCGGATACTTTTTGACTTGGGCCGATCTTTAGCTTTCCCAAAGGCATGCTCATGAAAAATTTGTTGCAAGTATATTTCGTAGCTGGGACGATTTGGGAACCCTAACTTCTTCAAGCGATTATCTCCTTCTTCTCCTAGTTCTATTCTGCCAGAAGATTCACTGAGCAATGTTGCAGAGTTCGACTTCTTGATGCTGGCATTTTTGCCTGATGGGTGGAGAGATACAAACAATGAAGCTCCTTGGCCGATGCTCATTTCCATAAAATTTTCTCGTATTCCACTAATGTTGAATCCCACACCTTCATTGAATGCTTCATGATTTAGCATGTCAAACAACTGGTAAGAAGACGAATGACGTGAGAAACTGCCATAAAGAGATATACCGACCGTAGTACAAGATATATGACAAAAGAATATCACCTGCTCAGCAAAAATCGATTTATGCACCTCCCTCAGTAGCGAATGAGTTTCTTTGACATATTTGTCGTCACTTGCAGACTGTGTTTCTGATGTTCCAGGGATATCATGACCAGTAATGGAGTCTATGTTCTCCTTAGACTCGTTTGGGTTGTCAATCGTATTTAAGCCAACAAACCCAAACCGAAGAGAGTACCATGAATCTTGGGGTACATTAATGGCCAGCATACCAGCTGAATCATGGTCAACACGAATGGTGGACAGCGTAGATGGGCGAAAACCAGAAGTTGGATCATACAATGAACTGTCAGAAAGATCGATTGTGAAGCCCTCATTGCTGGCATTTGAAGCAAGCATGCGCTGTCGCTTGACTTTCCAGTTCCGCTGCAACCTATAAGCTTGTCAGCATAGCAAAAGTAACCATTTGCATGTATCAATCAATCTCGATTCTAGAAGCAGAAGTCATCTTATCATTTTCTGCAAATTATAAACAATTTCTACGGAAGTTCTCCAAATTGTATTTGTATAGTTCTAAGAAGTAAATAAACAACAAATTAGATGTTCCTGAAGTACTGTTCTATACAGGGTTCAGCAACAGAAATGGTGCAGCACTCCAAAATTAGAATTGTTCACATCAGACAAGAATACTAAATGCTTCCACGCTTCTCACAGTCATAATATATAACCCAAGGCATATAACCAAACCTATGAGTCAATTATCTGAGCAGACACAAATAGCTATGTCACTGTAAGCTAACTAAAGATAGCATCAACAATGCCAACAGTAAATTCTTAAAGTTGCAAAATGGCATTCAGAAAATAGCCGCTGCATTAAAATGAAGGTTTAATAGGAAGAAAAACAAATCGAACCTGATAAGGGCACCATAAAACCTTGCTTCGCGATTGATTTTCTGCTCTAAAGCTTTTGCTGATTGTTTAAAGTATTTTCCTAAATTCTGCAGAGGAAACAGGTATTCGAAAGTGACATAAGCATACTTTTCAAAGACAATTGTATAGTCAAAATGCTAATTCGGTAAGCAAGCTCATTTTTAAGCATAATTAATTTGCACATAAGAAAGTAAGCAACTGGTTACCCGGTAGCCCTGTAACTTGGTAGCAGTAGACACAGCAAGATCTGAGAGAATCTCATTCGGCATAGGCTTAGGTCTGGTCATCCCAGCAACTGTTACAGCATCATTTGCTTGGACCTACAAAAACAAAACCAGAAAAATGAATGGAACTCTCTCTATTCACTAAATATCACCACAAAGTACTTCTGCCTTATGTGTATGTTTGAAACCTTTTTGGACACAGTAAAAATTATTGTTCATAATCCTTTGATGAAACAGCTCTACTTATACAAAGAATTGTTGCATCCATGTCAGAGCATTCGTATGACTATCCCAAGACTCTTATCTACTTTCAACAAAAGCATCAGAGTTTACTCACAGTATCGATAAGGTCTATGATGACAGAGAGCTCCTGATGAGCCAATTGCAAATTCTCAACCATGCCCTTCCATTTCCATTGTTCTGTGCTATCTTTGGAGCTCTTCTTCTGCTTCTTCTTCTTCAGCTCATCTTCCTCTTCCAACGCCCACGCGAAGTCTATTCTCCGAATCAGCGACACTCTCTTATCGTCGTAATCAACATCACTACACGTTAAAAAAAAAAGAATCGTTCAGAAGCAAAACATTCTATGAAGATCATGGTCTCGTCTCTCAAACATGAGACAAAACTTACGAAGGAAAATGCTCGGCGCCATTTTCCTCGATTGATTCCAATCGTTTAATGGGAAGCCTATCCAGAGAGATCTCCATGTCGCTGTCCATCTCGCCTAAGAAAAAAAAATTCCCGGTGAAACCCCAAAATTTTCTAGGTCGACGGTGACACAATCCGGCCAATACGCTAAATCACCGCTACAAATCGGGTTATTTAGATTTTAGATCTAATGATTTCGAGTCGAAACTTTTCCGGATCTTTGTTCCGGGTAAAGCCCATAAAAGGCCCATTTAGCTATGATACGTTGCCGGATTATGCAAAACTCCTCCTCCGTAAAGCTAAAACCCTTTCATTTGGTATCGATCGCTTCATCTTCGTAGTCGCCTTCGAATTCGCAGGTATCTTCGTGTTGTTCTTCGCTTATTTTGATTTCATTCGATTTCGTATATGGATCTATACACGGTTTTTCTCTCAGCTCTTTCTCTTGGGGGATTCGAATCAGTGTGTAGAGTTCGTTAAAGATCGATGCTTTAGATTCATTTTACTCTCGCTTCCATCATTTGATGAACCAATTATTTCTTGCAATTACGGAAAAATTTTGGGTGGAGTAGTAGAAATGAGATGTTTAGAGAGTTATGTCTTTAGTTTTGAATCTCAAAGTTGAAATACTGTAAGTGTTCTCTCTCATTTTCATATGATTGGATTTGTGTTTAACTCTTTAGTGATGGTTGTGGATTGCAGAGTGAAGAACAATGAAGGTGAGATCATCAGTGAAGAAGATGTGTGAGTTTTGTAAAACAGTGAAACGTCGTGGACGTGTCTATGTTATATGTTCTTCCAATCCTAAGCACAAGCAAAGGCAGGGTTTCAGTTCCTTTGCTTATGAAGGAATTACACCTTCGCCATTGTAAGTGAATCTTGTAAGATCTGTTTTTTCGCTTTTGAGTAATTAGGAGTTTCTTTCGGATATTTTTAGGGGTTTTACATGTTGTTCTTGAAGATGGGTACAAGGATACTAAAGATCGACAGCTTCGCTTTCATGTTTCCATTGAAAATCACTTAATGCGTGAATTTGTTTCTATTCTTAGTCTTTGGAAACTGAGTAGTTAGTATGCGAAAGTGTATGTTTGCTAAAGACTTGAATCTTTTTCTGTCTACTTTGGTTGATTCAGAGTGTGTTGAATAGTTACTAGGATATAAATCTGTTTCGAAAATGTATTCCAGTTTCACTTTAATGAAACACCACAAAGAAGCATGAAGCAGATGCACTTGTTTTCCCTTGCAGAGTTGGAAAAAGTAATTTTGGTTGTTTGTCAAACAGGTTTTCTGAGTCGATGGTTAATCAGGAGGTGGTGAGGCTTCCTAGTCAGGGCGTATCAGCTGGTCTGGCAGCACTTTTACACAAAAGGCCTATGCCAACTGCGGTTTTCGGATGGAGGGCAGGTCTTTCATCCATTCTCTTCAAACAAGGGAATTAGAAAGTTAACCAGCATTTCCTTGTTTTGGTTGTAATCGCAGTTTCTTCCAATTTCTGGTATGGTGAAACATCTCAACACTGTTAGTTTGGTCAGTCATAGGCTCATTCTAGACCTGCTTGATTGTACCTGAACAAAGAGATATATTATGACACACTGCACTATTTGTTTTTTAGACTTACTTGTCTATGGAGGATGGTTTGCTCCAACTTCTATGGAACGAGAGGGATCAAAAATAAGAATTCTTTTTCGATTGAACAACTCTTGCTAAAGGTTTTTGTAGATGTCATCAACTTGAGTATCCTTGATAATATAATTGTAGCTTCAATGACAACAAATCTGTAGACTAGTTTGTAAGCATCGAACTAGACTTTTAAGTGAAAAGGAGTGGTGAAAAGATTGACATCCACTATCGATTATGTGGGAGTTAAATATGGAATGTTTTTGTGGTTGAATAGTATTCACCACGAACCAAGTAGTTTGAAATAAGAAGTTATTTGCGCATATGTTTAGAATGATATTCAAGGAAATGATACTATAAAACAAGGCTGCACAAAGCACACCCACTAAATGCGAATCAAAATACAAAGAAGTAGCTAGAGAGAGATTGAGAAGGGAGAAGAAGACTTCTCAACGACAACGACCCCCCAGACCCTCTTCTCCTTCTCCACCGTTGAGCACTCGGCTCGTAGGTCCTACGTGTGAGGGTCACAGGAAGGCACCCAACTCCAATAAGCATATCACATCGGGTCCACACTTTTTTGGACAGTTCTACTTTCGGACATAAACTTACTTTATTGTCCTTTGTTTTAGTTTCCCCTCCTTCTCCTTCTCTCCTCAGTCATATCGTTAACAGCTTGACTCCAAAAAAGAAATCACCTCATCAATAATTGTCACACACCCTTTCGTAATTTCCACTTTTGAGCTGCCATTTTAACCAATTAATCTCGAGAGAGAACGATCATAATCGTGTGTTTCTTTCACAGGAAACAAAAAAAAAAACGAAAGAGATAATATAATTTACTCGGTTCACTTGTGAATATATAATTTAAAGAAGATAATTATTCAAAGGTTCAGGATCGCGTACCAATGAAAATTAACATGATATTGCTTGATATATATAGCTCTCATATGCTAGTTGTGCCATATGACGACGTAAAGGTCACGGTTGTTCTTCAATAATGGAGTTGTTCGTGTTTTGTCGTTTGATTAAAATTCTACTTTTGAAGTTAATCTTTCAGTTTCATTGTCTTCTCGCAATACTCCTCTAGCTTACAAAACATTTCACCTTATAGACACCATAAACAAGACCCAATATGTAAGTTTAAATATGTAAATCAAATTTGAACTTTTGCAGTTGAATTATGCCAAAAGAAACCAAACGACTTTTGGTAATCTAAAATTAGCTGTGTACTATTTTTACATAATACATTTTGTACTAGTTCCTAAAATATTATTAGTACCAAAGACCAAAACAAAAAGTGGTATCAAACTCAGAATTGGGGACCCCAAAAGAATCAAAGATAGAAATGGTTATGGGCCAAAATCGTCAAAAACACAATTTTGTGAGAGCCACATGGAATCGTGGAATTGTACTATCAAAAGGTGACCCCATCCCACCCAATTGATACTCTCTCGTACAGACTCGTTTAGTTAAATTACATCTACGTATAATAATTCATTACGTTGTGTTTGTGCCAACGAATCTACCGTACATCTGTAGATGCATTATTATATATTTCCGTCACACGTGTCATTGTTAGGGTTATTGGCCGTGAAAACCAATTTTGTTGGTCACTGCCGTCCACTTGCGCACTTCCGCGGACCTTCCGTTCGTGAACATACAAAAAGTTTCGAAAAATCAGTCTTATAAGTTTAGTGCCGCGTTTGTCACGAGATTTTTTAAGCTTTAGCTCAAATCGTCATCTAGTACTTGACTACTAAACCAACGGCGCCCGAATCATACACAAGCAAAGTCAAATTTACAAATCATTTTAGTACACAACTTGGACAAACAAAAAATCTCTAGGAAATCGAGAAAATAAAATAAAAATCTAATTAGTTTAACATCCACCACGTGATTAAAAAGTAATCGACGGCTGAGATTGTGTTTTTTTCTTTACCTGCCCACTCTAATAAAAGCCACAGCTGTATATAAGCACCGTCTTCACTTCTTTCTCTCACACCCATAAACCTGGAAAACTACAAATCTCGATCTCTTCTTCTTCATTTCAACAAATCATAAAAGAAGAATCTCAATTACTCAGATCAAGAAGAGATGCTGCTACGAAGCGCGTCAACGCCACTTCTCAACTCTTTGGTTCATGTCTCTAGTCCAAGGGAATCACCAATCGAAGCCGCCGAATCTGTTCATCAGATTCAGCGGCACAGATCCATTACACTCTCTGCGTCTTCATCTTCTTGTTGTTGTTATAGTCCGATGTCTGTGCACTCCAGCGAAGAATCTGCGAGGAGGATGAAAAGAACGGCGTCTGAGAGCGATCTTCGGCATTTAACATCGACGAAACCGCCGATGAGTAAGTTTTTGAGCGGTGGTGGTGGTGCTTTGATGGAGGATATGGAAGAAGGAATCGGATTCGGTCTTATGAGTACGTCGTCTTATGATGGTGATTTGGGGATTAGTTGGGCTTTGGAGGAAGATACTGAGGTTATTGGTGGTGGCGGCGGCGGGATGTTTCACGGCGGAAGTAAAGGGAGGAGTGGTGGTAGATCTGATGGTGGAGATGGAGGTGATGATAACACGGATGTTCATTATCGTAAGATGATTGATGCGAATCCTGGAAATGGGATCTTTCTTAGCAATTACGCCAAATTCTTGAAGGAGGTACAGTCTTATGAAAATTTTCCCTCTTTTCTCTTTCTAGATCTGAATTGGAATTGGAACTTTGGATTTGGGGAATTATCAAATTGAGATGTGTCATGTATGATCTGAAACAGGTTCGAAAAGATTTCTTGAAAGCAGAGGAGTATTGTGGGAGAGCTATTTTGGTGAATCCTAATGATGGGAATGTTCTAGCCATGTACGCTGAGTTGGTTTGGAAGATTCATAAGGATTCGTCTCGTGCTGAGTCTTACTTCAATCAAGCTGTAGCAGCTGCTCCTGAGGACTGGTAAGAAAGATTCAAACTTTATCAAGCTCTCTTCTTTTTGGGACTTTAGTTACTAGTAGTTGTGTGGCTCTTGTGCTTAAATTCTGACTAACATACTTGTTGTTTTCTGCAGTTATGTACAAGCTTCGTATGCGCGATTTCTATGGGATGCTGAAGAGGAAGAAGAAGAGGAGAAGGAAGAGAGACATGAGGAAGAACTTGAGCATCATACTTCTCGAATGGGTTTCTTCACCGGAGCTTCTCCAATCACGGCCATGTCTTAGACTCGTGGTCGGCATTACCGTCCAGTCTTTTTATAGATTTAGATAAACGTGTTACTACTACGTTTACGATCTTATCTAACCCTTTTGTTTCATGTGAAGTCTTTAATTAAGTCTCTATGGGGGTGTTTCTCTACTTGGTGTTGGAATTTGTCTCACTTGTGGTAATACCACTGGTCACTGGAAGAAAAATAAGATCTGAATAAATTTTTTTTGCTTTTTTGATGGATGTAACTCATGAGTTGCGTTCTTCAATAACTTGCCTATGGAGACACATAGAGAATTCAGGCTATGAGACTGGCCGGTCTAGAACCAAGCCTGCGCACACCAAACCTATTAGAATGGAGATTGGAGAACAATCATGAAGATGATTTCCTGTTAGTTTCGTTGTTCTTCTTCTGATGCATGTTCCATTTTCGAGCCATGTTAGCCATTAGTAAGACAGAGGGAGTGGTCGTCAGGAGAACTATTAGCACCTCTTGACAAAACCTATTTGGGTCAGTCCTCATGTCGAGCAAAGACAACTGAAGAGAAGTCTCGTAACATTAGGTTCGTAAAGAGTATGCTCAGCCAGAGAGACGAGGGCAGAGAGTGAGCTGCCCATGAGACCTGAAGTTTTGTAGACTGTGATCAGCAGAATAGGGTACTAACTCTAGAGAAGCATATCCCTTTAGCAGTCCGCTTGATCTTGCTGCCAACGATGGTGTTTAATGATTCCTAAACAACCTCCATCTTGAGACTAAAACTAAACTCTCCAAAGTGTCATATTATTAACCAACAAAATCCTAAATCTTCAAAACTAAACCCTAAACCCTAACTTATTAGTCCTCAAACCTAAAGTTCTAAACAAATAAATATATTTGTTTTATATCTTAAGAGAATAGAAATTGTATTCTATTATTGTTGTTTTTTTGTTTAGGAATCTTTCAACCTTTTTTCCAATTATGTCAATAAAAAATGAAGTCATGGTTATTTTCTTCCCAATTTTCCTTTACTTATTTTATTTTCTGGACAAGATAAAAAATGTAAAAAAAAAAAACAGACACATGAACACAACAACCCTTTGACTTAAAAATAGCGCAACTACACTTACGAATATATATTCTCGGGATAACAACAGAGAACTCAAAATAAATTTTTTTCTATAAGAGTGGTAAATTTTTTTGAGAAAGGAACACTGAAACAAAAAGAGAATCCATGGCCATTGAAGGAGAAGCCTCGTTCTCCGCGGCCGCGACGCCGACATCGAGCTACCCGACGGGAGGTGTTGGTGGCAAATTGAAGCGGCAATCCGCGAGGAGGCATGCGACGACGCCGTATTCTCGACCACCACAAAACCAGGTTCAAAGGAGGCCGTGGATCTCGAGAATCGTCGATCCTGCTTATCGGATTATCTCCGGCGGCGCCACGAGAATACTTCCGTACTTCTTCTCGAAAGCCACCTCCGCTCCTGCTCTTACCGCTCCAGACGATCAAGATCAACATCAACAACAAGGTTATTCGTCTATTCTCGCTCTTTCTAGCCTCGTTTAAAGGCTTCTATTCTGGGAAAATTTTCTGCAGTTTTGGGAGTTGATTAATTTAATCAATCTCCATGGTTGTATCTGTTTTATTAGAATCCCTTTAGTTGCGAGTATCTAGGGTTTGTTGAAATTGTTTTGATGCAGTAAATTAGAAATGACAAATGACGATCGCCAGGGTAAAGAGTGTTCTTTTGGTTTTGATTAAAGTGGAATTTTGTTGAGTAAAGGCTATTCTCATTGCCGTTTGTTCATGACTCTAATAGTCAAGTAAGATATGTGTGTTTTCTCATCCAGTGTGTTCTTAGTCTTAGCCTCTGTTAGTTTTGGCTAGTGAAACTACTTTAATATTGACCAAGTTTATGTGTTAGTGTTACTAAGCTCCTGGTGTCAAGTGAGTGATGGATATAGTACTTGTTTGCTCGAACAGTAGATTTGGGCAACTATGATTTCATCGTTTGGGGATTTATTTACAATCTAGTCCGAAGAGATGAGTTATATTGTCTAGTATCGGCTTATGGATTTCATTGCAGCTGTCATCGTTTAACATTTGGCTTCTCTTTCTACTAGATAAGTTGCAGAACAATACACAGGAGAATGTTTCGAATATAACCACAAATTTAAATGTAAGCGTCTTCCATCTCCTCCTCTCTCTTCTTAACTCAGTTGGTAACTCACTGCTTTAACTAAGCTGATTTCGTCTGACCTCGTTCTCGTATTTTCCTTTTTGGTCTTTGTCGTTTCTAATTTTATCAATCGCTTGTGCACTAAGGGCCAACATATAAAAGCATTCTCTATCATGCTGAAGTTTTATTCAAATGAGTTTTTGGTATCCTTGACACTTTGTGCTTAGGTGACTTTTAAATTTTTCGTTCATATGTCAACTGATTTTAATTTTACATTGGGATCTCAAATTGAGCAAGGTGTTGTACGATATGATATTATTTTTGTCTTACCTGGATGATTTATATTGCAGCTGATTTACTAGAATAAAAATGTGTTACCAGAGAAAATAGTCACGAAAGTTTCTTCTGTGAGATTGTGGTAATATAGTAAATGTGTGAAACAGATCTTTGTATAACATGAGAAAGATGTAATCTAACTGTTCCGTGTTCTCTTCATTAATACCCGCTTTTGTGGTTTGCAATAGATGGCATACATTTTTTTCTCCCTTTAAATAATTCGAGAAACGTTGCAGAAACTAGAGTCAGCATCAATTGAAGAGGGAGGTCCTAGTGGTACAGCTAACGAAGGCAATTTCAATATCAGTGCACAAACAAGAGGGAAAACAGCTGTAAATGATGCCATTGCAATCTCGGAGCTTGAAAGGCTAATGGAAGGAAAAACGTTTTCACAGTATGTTTTTACATTCATTGCAATTCAAATGATGTTCAATGGAAATTTGTTTCCTTTCGCTTGTTATTTTGGTAATGCTTATTAGTTATGTGTCGTCATTACTCATTAGTATCTTATTTACTGGCTGCTCTAATTCGCTAGCCTTCCTGTTATCTTTTCTTTACAGTTCTGACTATGTAGTTTTTTTTTATGTAACCACTTTTAAACTGACAAGTTTTATTTCTATCCAGGGCTGAAACTGATCGTCTCATAGAGATAATCACTTCAAGGGCTATTGATCTACCTGATGTTAAGAGAGACGAGAGAAATTCGGAGATTCCTTTAAGAGAGGGAGCCCAGAAAAATATGAGTTTCTTAGATAAGAGAAAAGAGCCAATTGGTGGCAAGGATGTTAGTAGTGAATTATGGACTACACCTACCCCACTTGCCAAGTCAATAGTGAGTTGCTTGCTATCCAGCCTTTTTTGTTAGGACCTTCTGATGACACTAGTATTGACATGAGTTGCCTAGGTGATTCGAGTTTCCAGAAACTCCTAAAAGTTTCATTTTGCAAAATTTTATGAGTAATTTGAGGTTGGACTGTTTGTGAGAACTTATGAAGAAATAAATAGGATGAGTTATTGACATATTGTATGTAATTTCTTATATTTGCTTCATCGTAGAGGTGGTGTCTCTTACTTCTCTGGTTGTTATTTCTTTTATTTATGATTTTGTTTACTCACTTTTTCGCATTTACTTATTTTACAGATTTTTGACAAAGACAAACAGATGCGAGATGAAGCTGGTCTTTCACCTGCAGAACTTGCTAAGGCATACATGGGAGGCCAGACATCATCAAGTAGCTCCCAAGGTTTGGTAGCAAGAAATGAAAAGGATATTTTTGATACGGGTATGCTTGTCAGAAAATCATCACTTGCATCACCATCAAGCAAGCCTTCTGCTTGTTGGCCTGGTATCAAGTCAACTGAGAAATCTGGCTTTGCAACTCCTCAAAGCCAACGAGAAAGCTTTGGGCTTCAAAATTTTCCAAGGACCCCATATTCTAGAACCATCCTTTCAAATTCAAAGTCAAAGGTGTGTGGAGGTTTTTTTTTTTAATTTCTTCTCTTTTTTGTTGAGGAATCATGGGTACATATGAGCTGTTTCGTTTTGTTTTTTTTTGCTCAGTTGATGCAATTGCAGAACGATAGTAGCAAGCGCCTAAACAACATCCAGTCTCCCTCTCAAAGTGTGCAGACAAGATATGGCCAGGTATCTATCCCTTTAGGCTCTATTATTCTGATTACCTGAGAGAATTATAACATAGTGTTTTTTTGCAAACTTTAACACAATCTTAAAGAAACTATGGTACTCTTCCCTGCCATTTTTACTTCCAAACTCCTTACATAGATGTCTTTGATGGCCTTTTCTAACATGTCGTTCTTTACTTTGATGCTTGATGACGGGCTATTTTCTATTGTCCTGGAGCTAATTTTATCGGACTTCAGAAGGGATTATAAGTCTACAGTACTAAACATTCCCACTTTCTAGAGAATATATCTTAACTATATCTAATGGTATTTATTTTGACCCAAAAGAAAATCTAATGTTATCTGTTAACTTGCAAGTGCCAACCCTTCTTGAATTTGATCAGAGATAGCCAGTCCATTTATCAAATAGAGGAATCATATAATTCTTGCTTCATTTAGGTCCTAATGAGGTTCTCTATGAAAAAGGAGCTCTTGAATCTACTTCCTCATTTACTTTTGAGCTGGTGTTAGAGAATCTACCTAAGATGGAATGTTCTGCGAAGGGACTGTTGTGTAGGGGTTACTTAATTGGCTCAAAAGTACTGTTCTTGTCACTAGATTGATGAAATTGATTTACTTTGGCATAAATAGTGTTTGACTGGTTATCATCTAATGTAGATTTTAAGAATGTCAAATGAAAGGGTTGTGTTGATGTGATTTAGACAGCAGGAAAATGCAATTGTGCTGATGACTAATTTTGACTATGCCACCTTGTGAATCTTTCCTGGGTTTCTTCTATATGCTGAATCCTACTTCCTCAGTTGAAAACCTGATAAACCACTTTCTAATGTGCACAGCTTAGCAAGGGAAAAGATGGTGGACTTTTTGGACCCAGTAGAAGATCTCGACAGAGCGCCACACCATCCATGGTGTCTCCTTATTCACGACCTTCCCGTGATTCATCTCGTTTTGAAAATTCTCCGATCATAAAAAGATCTGAAATAGGGGAAAAGGAAGCAAGTTACCTATCGAGGTCCCAGACAACAAGTTATGGTAACCATAAAGAGTCAGAAGTTGGTACCCCGAATGTGCCTACACGTTCTAGTCAGATTGCTAGGACAATATTGGATCACCTTGAACGGACCCAATCCACCCCGAAAAATAAATCTGCTGAGTTAAAGCTTGCCACTTCCTGGAGATATCCACAGTCTTCAAAAACCGTTGAACAAAGCAGCTCAAACGTCAACAATGTGAAAAAGGATGGGTCAGCTAAAGTGAATGAAGATATGCAGAACATTTTCTCTCACAATCAGTCATCCTTTGTGCTTAAACCTCCTGCAACTACAACTGCCGACACTCAAAATGGAATGACTAAGACCGCTCCAGCGTCAAATGGAATATTCCGTGGAACTCAAGCAGTAGGTAGCAGTGGTACCGCAGTCCAATATGAGTTAGGGAAGCCTACGGGGTCTCTTTCCAGAAGCACACATGGAGAGGTATCTTGAGCACTTCTTTTTTTTTTTTTTTTTTTAACGCATCTTGGATCGAGAGGTGTTAAGGTTTTGGTTTCTTTGCTGCTTTTATCTTTTTGAAGTGTGAGTACCCTCAATATATTCCGTAACATATGAAGTTGCAAGCCTTCATGTGTTTTTGCATCATTTGTGACTTTTAAAACAACCTAGATATCTGACGAAAGTGGATAAACTTCTAACAGTTTTGAATTTTTTTCTTGTAGAAAATTGATGTCACTTCTTCTCAGGACGCTGCAAAGGCTGTTCCATATTCTTTTGGAGGCGAACCTGCAAATCTCCCCAAACCACCGCTGGGAAATAATAAACCGGTACTTCCATCGATCTCAATAACGAAGCCATTCCAAAAATGGGCAGTCCCTTCGGGTACAAACGCTGGCTTCACCTTCCCGGTCTCTTCATCTGATGGAGCAACATCATCAGAGCCCACAACTCCATCGATCATGCCATTCACAACAAGCCCAGCACCAAGTGGTGGTATTGCCATTACAAGTCATCATGAAGCAACAAAAGATGATGGCACTCCTCAATTTAGTTTCAGTAGTAAAAGAAGAGATAAGTCTCCCCTGGTCTTTACCTTTCCCTCGGTGAGCGAAGAGGTGATCAACGAGGATGATGATGCGAGGTTAGGTATCAAATTCACATTTGGGTCTGAAAAGACGGAGAGAATATCGTTCAGCTCAGCAGAAAGTGATGGTCTTTGCTGTTAGAAAAAACAAAGACGATGGTCTCTGTTTCTTGTGTATCTCTTCCAATTTTTTAGTTTTACCTTTTTAAAAAAATTTGGGATTAGAATTTTGTGCCTAGATCATGTGTTTTGATTTTCTATTCATTTTGAGATGATTGATTACTTTTGTATCTGATTAAATCAGAATAGTTTTTTTCTTACGAGAGACATCATCGATTCGATACGATCAAAATAAAAAAGGTTCAAAGTCGATAAACTCTCAAACAGTATTTGTATAACACCGGTTCAATTAGAAAGAGAGTGAGTAAAAACAGGTGCCACGTTAGTCGTTAGTATCGTCCCCGCGTATTAGCCACAATCTCGAAGACGGAGCAATTTAAAGCTTCTCATCTTCCCAGACGAACACTCGTCTAGTGTGTGGTGGGTGTTTCTGATCTTCCTTGATAAGTTTTATCCAGGGGGTTTGTTCTCTCTTCATGTGCTCGATTCATGCTAGATTTCAGGTTTTTCAGCCACAATGGACCAGAAAGAAGAACACCCAATCTCTCTTTCTTCTCAATCCCAACACAAAATTCGCCTTCTTTCCTCGCGCGGTTTCTTCTTCGGACAACAACGATGGTTCAGTTTCATCTTCCAGACAAAACAATGTATTATATTACTACTACCTTGTCTTTCTCTTATAAATCGTATACCATTCTAGTCACATTGGTGAGGATTTCACCTTTTTTGCTCTGCTTTGAACAGCGACAAATGGGTTATGATCCTTCAGAAGAACTGTTTGGTGTTGATTTCAAGCCCAGGTAAGAGTTCCCAGTAAACTTGTTTAAAGTGAATTCACTGTTCTCTTGATTCATAGGTCTGTTAATACAATCAATTTCATAAAACAGAACTATGAGGCTTCTTCACCACTATCTTTGTAATGATTCACTGGTTTTCACGTCTTTTTATAAAAAGCTCAAAGCTTTTCCCTTCAGGGTGACCCTCCAAAGCTCTTCTTAGAGTGGATGAATTTCTTAAATGAGACGCCATCCTCGTTTTTCCTAAAACATAAAACCCAAGCATGGATACATAAGAAATCCTACAATTAGAGAAGTGAAAGTCTTGAACAATTTCATAAATTCAAAATACTAATAATAATGTCTTGTCCTCAAACCTGGACTCCAGTGATAGTGTAGTCTTCTTACATAGCACTTATCTCTCCATCGATGATTGCATTATCTCTCAGCTCAAGTCCCAAGTGACCTGTAGGGACATTCATGTGACGGAGAGTACGGTTGATGGCAGGGAAAACAGAGGCCTTTGGCTTTACTTGACCAAGTTGGTAATATATCCACAATTTGGCTGAGCTTTAAAATGTGCTTTTGGTGATGGTTTATTCAGGATCATATCTGGTGATTCACGTGAACCAAGGTCATGGGTTGGTCCAAACGGCCAATACATTCGAGAGCTTCCATGTCCAACTTGTAGAGGAAGAGGTTATACTTCATGCTCAAATTGCGGAATCGAGAGGTCGAGATTGGACTGCCCTCAATGCAAAGGAAAGGTACTTAAAAGTGTTCGTGACTTCAAACTCTTGTGTAACAAAAGTCTTTCCTTGTTATTAATCTTTGCTCAAATCTTGTGTAGGGCATAATGACTTGTCTCAGATGTTTGGGAGATCGTGTCATATGGGAAGAATCAATCGATGAACGACCTTGGGAGAAAGCTAGATCCAGGTAGTATAATTCCAGGAGTTGATATCACATTTCTGTTCATTCTATGACTAATAAATCTCATTATGTTCTGCCACAGTTCTCCATTTAGAGTAAAGGAGGATGATGAGGTTGATAATCTAGAGATAAAGTTCAGTAAAAGGAGAAAATCAAAGCGAATTTACCAGTCACCGACTCCTGAAGTTGGACAAAAGATCAGCCGATCTCTGAAAGTTAGTTTTATTGATAAATTCTTCATGATATTTATACTCTCACCATGGGGTATTATTTATTTTTTTTGCCTACGGGGTATTATTTTTATAGTCAGTCTAAATATGATTTTATAGAGTCTCAATGCCAAGACTGGACTCTTTAGTAATGCTCAAAGGGTAGCTGCAATTAAGGTCTGTTATCAATTCCATTTTTGTTTTAAACTTAAGTTAACGTGGAACAACTTTTGTTTTAGTTTTGCTTGAATCTGCTTAGTGTTATTGTGCTCTAGAAAGCTAAAGGAACGCCAGCTGCTAGAAAGCAGGCCTCGGAATGTATGAAAACGTTCTTCAGTAACCCTGAAAACCGTGAACAGAGAAGCTTATCCATGAAAGGTAAATCTCAGTTCTTGGTAGAAATTCAGAGGTTAGCTCAGTTTAATAATCTTTTCTCTTCTGGAACTTTCTCTGCTTACATTCTCAAATAATGTGGTATGAATTAGGTTGAGACTTTGTTACTAAAGTAGCAAGAGTATATCTTTGGATAACATTGGCGCTAACACTGTTAATGTGAGATACCATACCATGTTATTAATCCAGAGAGACTGTAGAAATATATGTATTGATTTTTCTTTTGTGCTGACAGTTTCTTTTGTAAGCCAGGAAATGAAATAGTTAAGAATCATTTTGTTTGTTTTAGGAGTCAAATTTTACTGCAAGAACTGCGGACAGGAAGGCCATAGACGCCATTACTGTCCAGAGCTGGGCACTGATGCGGACAGAAGATCTAGATGTCGGGTTTGCGGCAGTAAAGGTCATAACCGAAGAACCTGTCCCAAGTCGAGACCAAAGGTCACTAAAGGCATTTCCACAAGGTATCACAAATGTGGAATATGCGGTGAAAGCGGTCACAACAGCAGAACATGCCGGAAACTGGCCAGAGTGAAACTCAGTGACCGTGTTGGCGATTCTGAGGAAGATGGTGTTGGTAACAGAGGTTATGCTTGTGGGTTCTGCAAGAAAAAGGGGCATAATGTAAGAACCTGTCTAAGCAAACAAGTTTCAGACAGAGATTCGTTTTTAGAACATGAAGGTTCTTGATCTTCTTGATCATGTTTCTCTGGTTAGGCTTTGGTTTTACTCTTGAACCAACCTCACTGATAGAACCGGAGAAATCACTCGGCGGTCCTTAGATCGGTTTCTCGTCAACTATTCCAAACTGAAGACAAAACTGAAGCGACTTTGACTGCTCTTGGTTTCGGTTTATGACCGTATTCGTGTTTTATTTCCTGATTAGGTATATAAATTTCAATGGCTTACTTAAGCGTATATCCCTAATGTCTTTTGGGTTGATTCTTCTTTGAGTACGACCTGAGTAGGTGCAGCGTACGGACCCACGCAAAAGCAAGTTGACGATATATAGAGCCTTAGAAATTTTCCAAAATTTTATCGATCTATCCAATGCACAAAAATTGGCCTTACATGTCAACGTAAACATTAACACGTACCTAAATGTTTCATCCATATCCGTATCCTTATCAACTCACATTTAACGCTTTGTTTCTTTCTAACATTAGTATCCATCCTTACTTACTATTAGAATGTTTGTATAATTAGTCTGAACACTAAAATATCAAATCCCAAAAAGTAATAATAACTGGACACGTTTTTTTTTCTTACTTGATGAAAAATTATTAACGGACTACTTTTTTTACGCGCTAAAAATAACAATTGTGGACAAAAATACCTTAGCAGGCAAAAATTGACCAAAAGAGATTGATAATATCTAAAAAGTTTGATTAATTCAATGAAGACAAACACCACGTAACGCGTCTTCGCGTACCTTTCGTATTGACCCTTTGAGAACAACCTCTCCTTCATTGTCCTATAAATACAAGTCTCATTTCCAAGACTTTTTGAAACCATTACCAAAAATATCAAAAGGGTCATTTAAAAAAGAGACGACATATTTTGTTGATCGATCCCAAGAAAAGATTAGGGGGTGACCTGAGTGCTTCTTCAACACAACACACACAAAATGGCCGGAGTTTTCAAAACGGTTACGTTTTTGGTTTTGGTTTTTGCTGCCGTTGTTGTATTCGCGGAGGACTACGACGTTGGTGATGATACCGAGTGGACGAGACCTATGGACCTTGAGTTCTATTCTAAGTGGGCGGCCGGTAAAACTTTCCATGTAGGCGACGAGCTCGGTGAGTTTTCTATATGTCTTTTTTTCTATAACACTCGAACATTGTCGGATCGTTCACGGATCATGTCGGTGATGTTATTTACATCTTTGTTTCTATATTATTATTATAAACATATTTGAACTATACTGTATATATAAAATTATATATTTTTTAAGATTCCACCGACTGATGTTAATAGTTCACACAAGAGATCTAGTCTGTTCCAAACCTAATGATATTATAACTTTTTTGATTATTACAGAATTTGATTTCGCTCCTGGGAGGCACGATGTGGCAGTTGTCACACAAGATGCATTTGACAACTGCGACAAAGCGAAACCACTCAGCGTCATGAGCGTTCCTCCGGTCAGAATCTTCCTAAACACCACTGGACCACAACACTTCATCTGCACCATCGGTGACCATTGCCGCTTTGGTCAAAAGCTATCTATCAATGTAGTTGCTCCTGGTGCTACAGGAGGTGCTGCTCCAGGTGCTCGCGGAGGTGCTTCCCCGGCACCAGCTGGGTCAACCCCAAGTGCTGGAGGAGCCACGACTCCCCCCACTGCTGGCGGGACCACAACACCTTCGGGCACTAGCGGAACCACCACTACTACCCCAGCTGGAAATGCGGCTTCTTCGTTAGGAGGTGCTACTTTCTTGGTCGCTTTTGCTTCAGCTGTTGTTGCTGCTCTCTTTTGAGTTCACACTCGAGACTTTTTAGTTTAATCATGATATGTGTTTGTTTTATACCTTACTCGATCGATCGATCTCCTTATTTTTATATATAGTCATGTATTTTATTCTTTGTGAGAGAATAAGGACTTGTTTTTTCAAGTCATTATAGACGTCTTATACTTGTGATCATTAGTACTATGAGTTTTCGATATGTGATTATTAATCGTGTTGCCCAAAAAAAATAAGATGGTTTTACACATCATTGAGATGACTTCTACATATATAGTACCACATTTCATGGAAAAAAGTTCATTTTCTTGATCCATTTTAATGTGTCTAGTTTTCATGTATATACGATTAGACAAAATTTGCCATCTCTAAATTTCAATTTTCCACGAATCCGAAACATGAACCAAAGTTAAAAGAATATGAAAAAGTAATATGATATCTACGAATTCAATACCAATATCAATATAGGTGGAGTATTTTGTTGAATTCAATACGGAGACATTTCCGACTTATATTCGCTATTTTTTCGTGGTGAGTTTTAATCTCTTGCTCTATAGTAGTTAAGACTTAAGACCAAAAAGTATATATATGTCCGTACGACATTAAGACCACACACTTCCACCATAATTCGACACGTGTCTGATTGACGTGAATAAAGAAAAACCATACATTTGTTTCGTTTTTTTTTTTGTTTTTTTTATTCACTTGTTTCGTTTTTGGTCAAAACACTTTGTTTTGTTTTTCAACAACAATGCATGAGCAATGACATTTTCTCCCTTTCTTAATATCATTTCAATGTGTAGTGTAGCATGATAAGTTCCAATGGTTATACCGAAGTCTTTTGGTAATTTCGTTGCTCCTTTTTTTTTTTTTACTCCTTTCAATGAATTAATATATGTTTGATTTTTATAGTGTATCTACGATTATTCGATAAGACCTATATATGACATAGAGTTCCTGAAATAGCAAGTCTTGGCTTTACCAAAGTAAGAACCTGTTGTAAAATAAAATAAAAAGTTGGTTCAAAAATCTACAGAGATCTTGTTGGTTTACAAAATCTAAAAAGTTGCCAAACTCGGTTGCTTTTGTTTAACTTAAGGGTTAACTTTCTAGATAGTCGAAATGATAAGTTTCATTTGCAAAATGATTTATTACAAGTAAAATGGTAATTGATAATTTTTAAAAATAACATATTAATTATATGATGTCACACAATTGTATATGATAGTATATTATACCTTTTATCTCATAAGTCATAACTCGTTACTGTTTAGAATACATGATTTTGTCACATAAAACATGATTGTATTATCGTGTCAGAACTCTTAAATCTCAAAATCTAATTATATATATCCACGAGTAAGATAAAGTTTTATCACATTTCATATGTAAAATTTGGTCTTTGAAGACATAAATATGTTTTCTAAAACTAAGGTCAATCTACAGTTCACTGAAATAAACATAGTACGGAAGAGACCATAGGTTAATTAAACGACACTTTTAAACCCATCAAGAGAAAGATTGACAGAGATGATCAAATCAAATGAAAGCAAATAAACATCAATCACATGCAAAGAGTGTTCATTAAGCAAAATAACCAATTATCTTTTTAACTTTATTTTATTACGTTACTTCAGTTTATTTAAAAAAAAACTTTTTGGTAGTGTAAAAAAGAAGAGAGAATAGAGTTGGCTAATGGCTATGACTATGTGTAATAAGAGAAGCAAAAAACAAGCCTTCCATGACTGTGCCATCAAGAAAGTAGCTTTGTTTTCAATCCCAAACTGTCAAAGTCTCTCTTCACCTCAAGATTAATCAAACATTTATCTCTCTCTCTCCCATCAATGTTGCTTTAAAGCCAATGCTCCTTCCACTTCTCTTGTTCTTCATATAAACCACATATCCTCTCCTCCCCATCTCATAGCAAAACCCTAAAATTGAGAAAGAGAGAGAAAGATGGGTAGAGGGAAGATAGAGATAAAGAGGATAGAGAACGCAAACAACAGGGTGGTGACGTTCTCAAAGAGGAGGAATGGGTTGGTTAAGAAGGCAAAAGAGATCACAGTTCTTTGCGATGCAAAAGTTGCTCTCATAATCTTTGCGAGTAATGGTAAGATGACTGATTACTGTTGCCCTTCCATGGATCTTGGTGCTATGTTGGACCAATATCAGAAGTTATCTGGCAAGAAACTATGGGATGCTAAGCATGAGGTACTATCTCTCTCTCTCTTTTTATATAATCTAAAGTTCATTTCTCTCATAATAATATTCCATGAAATGGGGTTTTCAATTTCTTTGCCAAAAACATGTTAAAAGACCCCTGAATCTCTAACCCTAGATGCAGATCTACTATTAGTGTTTTGTCTCAAAAAACAAATATTCTGAGCTAGATGGGTTATTTAATTTTCCTTTTCCTAAAATATGTCAAAGGAGAGAAAAATCTCGAACCCTAGATGCAGATCTACAAAGGTTTCTTTGTGTGTGTAGCATTCCAGGCCACTCTTTATTAATTTTTCTTCTACTCAACAAGACATGAAGCCACAAAACATGGAAGTTATTCTTTTCTTTCGTTCGTGCTTAATTTGTAAGATCTTCAATATATAGGTAGAGTATATCTAAACATGTATTCATCAAGACACCAACTGTGTTTTGAAACCACACCATGAAAATATCTAAAGCGAGGTGGATCCGTAAGCTATTCAGTTTTTACTTTTTAGGTTATTGAGAGAAATATCTGGGATGTGATATAAATGAGAATATCTGAACAGTTTAGTGATTTTACATTATAGGTGGCTTTCAAAACTAATTGAAAACTGGGAAAATTATACTTTTGATTGTCCTAATAAATAAAAAATTTATTAATCCAAATATTGTTTATTATAGTATTACTTTTAATTCCGACAATCATAGGTTTAGTTCTAACAAATGAGATATGACTCTATAGAGTAAGAAGCATACAGAGGGTTGTATACCATTTAAGTCCCTAGCTACCTAGTAGTATTTATGTATATATCTCTGTGTAAGCTTTTGCATATGTGTGTTATACTGTTATATATGTTCTGCACGAAACATGAATATAGAGAGACGAGACTTGTCAAAGATAACCAAATCTGTCTCTTAAATGTGCTTAGTGTATACTGTATCGTTTTGTGAATTCGTTAAAACTATTTATACAAATCTAATACATATGGTGAATATATAAAATTGGTCTTCAGAACCTGAGCATTGAGATTGATAGGATCAAAAAGGAGAATGATAGCTTACAACTGGAGCTCAGGTTAGTCTTAGTATCATATCTTTACAGAGGCATCTCTATAAAAGCATTTGATAGAAACAATCTTGATGATAACTGAATATAAATGGTGATTTACAGGCATTTGAAGGGTGAAGATATACAGTCTCTCAACTTGAAAAACCTGATGGCTGTAGAGCACGCCATTGAACACGGCCTCGACAAAGTCCGAGACCGCCAGGCATGTGTACATCTCTACGTGTTCATTCATACCCTTGTATATATATGAATGCATTCACGCGCGCATTTAACTCTTTCTATATATATATGGTCTGCTTGTCACAGGAGGAGGTCGTCATGTCAAAGAGGAGAAATGTGAGCATATATATAACCAATCATATACTCTACTAGTTAGCTTTAGGATTGAACTATATGTAATAATGATTACATTCTTTTTTTTTTTTTTTTTGAACAGGAGAAGATGATGGCAGAGGAGCATCGGCAACTCATTTTCCAGCTGGTATGTTATAAATAATCTTCATAACATAACATGTATAAATGTATACTGATGTAAGGCTTTGGCGCGTATGATATTTTGGTTTGAGACTATATGTATACTAGTATGTTTTTGTGTGTGTTAATTATGGCTTTTGACAGAGATATATTGATGGGGTTATTGGAAATTTGCAGCAACAACAGGAAATGGCTATAGCTAGCAACGCAAGAGGAATGATGATGAGAGGAGACCATGATGGACAGTTTGGATATAGAGTGCAGCCAATTCAGCCAAATCTTCAGGAAAAGATTATGTCTTTGGTCATCGATTGATCTACGTACCATCGAGGTTAAATTATAATCTCATCTATCAATATGGTGATCCTTTTGATCAGTGTATCATGATGTATCTGTGTGTTGTATTAATCTAGAGCCACAAATATACTCTCTACTGAAGGCTGAAGCTGTATGTGTGTTGTTTCCTTAACTTTGACCTATATGTGATATGGTTGCATGTGGTGTGTTTGCTTAAACATTGAATTTGGAACTAATTTGCATGTGTGCGAAAACCAATTATTCCGTGGTAAGCTATTTATGAATCGAGATTAATATAAGAAAAAGTCATTAATAGATTATTTTTAGTTTGGAACTAAGTTGATACATTTTTTTAAAAGACATTAAGATATGAAGATGTAGAGTAGAATAAAATAGTATCAGACAAAGCCTTATCGGCCAACTAATGTATGATATATGTACAACACATGTTATTGGATAAACAAAACTATTGGGGTCCAATAATTGGACAAACTTACTCAACTGTTAAGTTCGGCTCCCGTAAGAAAAATACAACAAGTTGATTTGCTTTCCCAATCACGAACGTTTCTGAACCCAAATCCAAATAACTAGCTAGCTAGTTGCAAGCGAATCATGAAACCCCGAATATTTCGTTTTCTGTAAAATGAACAAAGAAACAATAAATAAATAAAATGAGAGCAAGAAACATCAAAATTATTCACGAGAAAATTGTGGGAAATGCCATGTATATTACCAAATCTTTTTTAAAATGTCATTTTTCATAACTACTTTCAAAACATGCCATAGATTCAATGTAAAAAAACCATGTTACCCTTTTTCTTTTCTTTCATTATCTCTCTCTTTTTCATCTTCTTTTTCTTCTTCCAACAACAAATAGTTACAGTTGAACAGATCCGACGGACAAACTACGGTGGACAAATCCGACAGACAAATCCGACGGACAAACTCAGACGAATTCCAGCGGACCAGATCCAGCAGATGAAATTCGGCGAACCAGATCCAGTGGACTAATTCTGATGGACCAGATCCAGCGAACTAATTCTGGCAGACCAGATCCATCGGACTAATTCCGGCGGACCAGTTCCAATAAACCAGAACTTCGGCGGACGAGTTTCGACCAGAACTTCGGCGGACGAGTTTCGACCAGAACTCCGGCGGACGAGTTCCGGCAGACCATAGTGAGTTCTGGTGACTATAACCAGTTCTCGCAGACCAAATTCGACGGACCAGTTCTGACAGACCAAATAGACGAGTTCCGATAGACCAGATTTGGCAGACCAGTTCAAGTGGACCATAGACAGTTCCGACGAACTATAACCAGTTTCAGCGGACCAGATAGACCAGTTACGATGGACAAGTTGTGGCAGGATTTGATTCAAGTGGATCTGATTCGACAGACCAAATGATAAAACAAGTGATGCGTTTATGGTGGACAAGATTCATTTCTCTATAGATGGACAACATTCGACGAACCAATTTTGGTGAATTAGACTCGAAATAGTTATGTCGGATCAAATCTAATAGAATAGATCTATTGGACCACATCTTGTGAACAAGATTTCTTTTTTATTTTGATTCTGTTTTTTTAAAACATTTGCCTGAGGAAAAAATCGTCGATACTAAACTTTTTGTGCCAGTATTTGAAAGGAGTTTTAAAAAATGGCATTTAGAAAAGATTTAGTTTTAAAACTGCCATAAAAGACAAAATTCCCATTATTCATTTTCGTGAAGTACTCTCTCTATTTTATTTTTTAATCTTTTCTTTCTAAAAAGTTATAAAGGAAAAATCATGGGTAGGCCATGCAGCCGCACCGCACAATGATCGATACCTGTTGCAACAAGTTGAGAGCTGCCATGATAAAATTAGCCACTTGTATCCCAGTTTCTGTCTATTTTTGCACGCATCCCATTTTCATCTTTTTTTTTTTTAATACAAATTTTCATATACAGCCTAAACAAGTTGATGTCAGTCTCTTTCTCTCTTTTTGTGTATTCTTTTTTTCTTTGCTGATCTGTTTCATTCCGTTAGATAATTTCAAATAAAGCAATTTATAAATATCTAAAATGGCATTATATATGTACATTTATAGATGCCATTCACATTTATACGTTTTGCTACCATGAGAGAATAGTCATAATATTGGAAGTTCAGATTATATACTAGTATCATGCAACAGCAAAGTTTAAGATGAACCATGACAGGAAAATTTTACTTTTAAGACTTTTAATTTTAAGAATGAAGAAAAAAAAGAAGATAACGAGTATTATTTCACAAAAAAAAAAGAAGATAAAAGAGTATTATTTCACCAAAAAAGAAAGAAGATAAAGAGTATTATTATCCGATGACAAGATGACACGTAATACGGTCGTGGAAAATATATCTTCCTTAAACAAAAAAAAACAAATATATCCAACCAACACGCGCGCCAATGGGAACCTACCTTCTTCGTATCTTATTGTTATTATCCGACGTGGCAAACTCATCCTTCCTTTTTAAACTTCTCGACGGTCAAAACTCTCGATTTCCCGATTTCATTTTGACCCAACCAAACCAACCTCTATGCATTGGAATCTCTTTTAAAGCTTAAAACATGAAAAGCTCTCAGGAAAAAAATTGTCATAAATCACATTTATCGCGTTATGTGGAAACTGAGAGAATACAAATAAAAGAAAGAAACAATCACAAGTAACGTAAGACGTGTCAAAATAAAACTTGTAAAATATATATATATTCATTAACTATTTTATATTTTTATTTAAATAGACCTTTGAAATCGGATAAAAAGAGTTAAAAAGACTCCGAGAAACCTGTAATTTCCCAAACCAGCAAAGATACAGAGATATACAAGAAAAAACAATGGCGTCACAGAGGTACTGCTACAATGGAATCCACGGTATAAAAAGGGTTCATCCTCTAATTCACTCTCTCACATCTTCTCGAAGTCGATTCTCCTCTTCTTCGTCTTCTCTTCCATTTAAATCCATACCTCCTCCTCAATCTCTCCTTCTCCCATCACACCTTCGTCTTCCCTCTTCTTCTGGTATCGCCTCTCTCCCCTATTCAATCGATATATCATTCTCCAATCATTCCTTATCATATCTGTTAACAAACTTTTGCACTTTTTTTTCTTTCTCCATGTCTTGGATTTCGCAGGCATTGTTCTTCTACTCGTGCCTTTCACTTTTCTTCATATAAGGTACTACTTTTTCTCCCTTGGATCTGTTCCATCACAAAATCTATCGAGATTACTTATAAACCCAGAACCTGAATACTCTGGATCTTTCTCACAACTCTATAAATTTGGGATTTTTTATTATTATTACAGAGAAACGAGGCAGCATCGGCTTTCAAGAGAAGGTACAGAGAAAAGGAGGAGGAAGAAGACGAGATGACTATTAAACCGTCGGTTCGGATCTCTAATGGCAATCTCATCATCAAAAACCGGACGATTTTAACCGGTTTACCAGACAATGTCATGACGACGTCAGCATCGGAGGCTGGACCGGTCGAAGGGGTCTTCGTCGGAGCGGTATTCGACAAGGATGATAGCAAACACATCGTGCCGATCGGTACGTTACGCGATTCCCGGTTTATGTCTTGTTTCCGGTTTAAGCTCTGGTGGATGGCTCAGAGAATGGGCCAAATGGGTCGAGATATCCCTTACGAGACGCAGTTCTTATTGGTCGAGAGCAACGACGGCTCTCACCTTGAGCCTGACGGAGATAACGGCGTCGAGAGTAACCAGAAAATTTACACCGTTTTCTTGCCGTTAATCGAGGGGTCTTTCCGTTCCTGTCTTCAAGGAAACGTTAACGATGAGGTTGAGCTCTGTTTGGAGAGTGGTGACGCCGACACTAAACGGTCCTCGTTTACTCACTCTCTGTATGTTCACGCCGGTACGGATCCGTTTCAGACGATCACGGACGCTATTCGCACCGTTAAGTCGCATTTGAGTAGTTTCCGTCAGCGTCACGAGAAGAAGCTTCCGGGGATCGTTGACTACTTCGGGTGGTGCACTTGGGACGCGTTTTATCAAGAAGTGACTCAAGAAGGCGTCGAAGCTGGTCTTGAATCTCTCGCCGCCGGTGGAACGCCTCCCAAGTTTGTCATTATCGACGACGGTTGGCAATCCGTTGCTACTGATGAAACCACTGAAGAGAAGACAGAGTCGCCGCTTTTTCGATTGACGGGGATCAAGGAGAATGCTAAGTTCCAGAAGAAGGATGATCCAAAAGTTGGGATTGAGAACATTGTCAAGATTGCTAAGGAGAAACATGGTTTGAAATACGTTTACGTGTGGCACGCTATAACGGGTTATTGGGGCGGGGTTAGACCTGGGGAAGAGTATGGATCTGTGATGAAGTATCCGAATGCGACGAAAGGTGTGGTGGAGAATGACCCGACGTGGAAGACGGATGTATTGACGCTTCAAGGGTTGGGTTTGGTTAACCCAAAGAAGGTGTATAAGTTCTACAACGAGCTTCATAGTTACTTGGCTGATGCTGGTGTGGACGGTGTGAAGGTGGATGTGCAGTGTATATTGGAGACTTTGGGTGGTGGATTAGGCGGTCGGGTTGAGTTAACGCGTCAGTTTCATCAAGCTCTTGACGCCTCTGTTGCTAAGAACTTCCCTGACAATGGCTGCATTGCTTGTATGAGTCACAATACCGATGCTCTATACTGCTCGAAGCAAGCTGCGGTTATTAGAGCATCAGATGATTTCTACCCTCGCGATCCGGTGTCTCACACCATCCACATAGCTTCTGTTGCATATAACAGTGTGTTTTTGGGAGAGTTTATGCAGCCTGACTGGGACATGTTCCATTCCGTGCACCCTGCGGCAGAGTACCATGCCTCTGCTAGGGCCATCAGTGGTGGACCTCTCTATGTCAGGTGTGGATCATGGAACTTGCTATACTTCCACTTGTTCTTGTCTATTAATTATAAACTTACATCATTTTTTGTTTTTGATGAGTAGTGATGCTCCTGGAAAGCACAATTTTGAGCTTCTAAGAAAGCTTGTGTTGCCTGATGGATCAATCCTTCGTTGTCGATTACCTGGTAGACCAACCCGCGATTGTTTGTTCACAGATCCTACCCGTGATGGTGTCAGGTAAGCAAATTTGGCCTATAAAGACAATTATACACATTTTTTATTGCTATTTTGCTTATTGAGCGTTGTTTTGGTTTCAGCTTGCTAAAGATATGGAACATGAACAAGTACACTGGAGTTCTTGGCGTGTATAACTGTCAAGGAGCAGCTTGGAGCAGCACAGAAAGAAAAAACATCTTCCACCAGACAAAAACTGATTGCATCACTGGCTCCTTTCGTGGTCGTGATGTGCATTCAATATCTGAGGCCTCTACTGACCCAACAACATGGAATGGAGATTGTGCTGTTTACTCGCAGAGCGAAGGTGAACTCTGCGTCATGCCATACAATGTGTCTCTCCCTATCTCTCTCAAAATCCGGGAGCACAAGATCTTCACGGTGAGCCCCATTAGTCATCTGGTTGATGGTGTATCTTTTGCCCCAATCGGTCTTGTAAATATGTACAATTCGGGAGGAGCTATCGAAAGACTTAGATATGAAGTCGAGAAGATGAAGGTGGTAATGGAAGTTAAAGGCTGTGGTAAATTTGGAGCTTACTCATCCGTGAAGCCTAAGAGATGCATTGTTGAGTCAAATGAGATGGCTTTCGAGTATGATTCCTCCTCTGGTTTGGTCACCTTTGAGTTGGAGAACATACCTATAGAGACCAAACGATTGCATGCGCTCGAAGTAGAGCTATGAAGAGTGATTTAAACAATTCATTATACAGAAACAGTCTTAAAATCTGTATTACGTAATTTATTATATGTAAACTTTTGGTTATTGTTGTAGCTACTTTTGATGATGTACCGTTCACGTTCTTGTTCTATACCAATTTTCATTCCCCAAAAAACAGAGTATGTAGAATCACAAAGGCAACCTCAGGTTAAGTCTTCTCAACCAAACAGAGTGAAGAAGCATTCTAAGCATGTCAAACGGTTGAGACGGTCTGTTGAGCACGAAATGTCTCTGGACCTGCAAAACCCTTCTCTGCAGCACCCTGTAGCGTCTCCAGGATACGTTCTTTAGTATGGTTTTGATCTCAGGGATCTTCTCAGAGGGAACATGAATGGTGAACATAGTCCAGTCAAGAACGTCTGAGAAGGGCAAGGAGTAGTGATCAGAGATGATGACAGGGACGCAACCTAAGTTAATAGCAGCAACAACTCGAGGGCTAGCCACTTCGTAGCCACTAGGACAGAGACAAAACCTTGCCTTGGCCATGAGCTTGAAGTAATCTTTGCGTTTGGCTAAGTACTCGTGGACTTGGACCTCCTCGTCTTTGTCTTTCCAATGCTGCAGTAGAATCTTGCGGATATAGCCGTGTGAGCCACCTGCAAAGAACGCAAGGATGGGTCGGTCATGGCCGGAAGAGTTGGATAACCGAGGTGGTCCCAGGTAGCCTCGGGGGATGTTGATCTCCGGGATTGAGACGTCTCGTTGGGGAATGAAACCTTCTGATGTGTTGGCGTTGCAGAGAACTCTTATCAGGTTTTTTAACTGTTCAGGATTTGATCCCGAGACGTCTGGTGCCTGCAAGAAGTCTTAAAAATGTTAATGTCTTTAATATCAACATCACAAAAGAAGAAGGGTTCCAGAAAGAAAACAAACCCAATCATGGCAGGAAACGAAGAAATGGTCGGCTCCGAGGCTTCTATTCCAATAAGGATACTTGTGAGCCACGACATTGACATAGTCAAGAAAAACTTTGTGAAGTTGTTCCCTCGAGTAGGTAACTAGCGGGCGGTATAGGTAATGAACAACGTTGGCAATGCTGACGGGGAGCAGGAAGGCGTGAGCCTCCTCGGGGTGGCTAGCCGCGAAAGGGCTCATCCCTCTCTCCATCTCGTCCACGAATTGGCCTTCAATGCCATATATGTTGTTCATCGGACCCATGTGTACTAACGGTGTCTCTCCTTCTCTGTACACCCACACTTTGAATCTCTTCTCCATCTCTATATGGCTTCTGCTCAATTTCATAGTTAAAAAAAAGTGTTGTTGGCTTAGGTTGAATTCCTTATATCAAAATAAATCGTATTTTCAAGTAACAGTACTACTTTCATTGGGGTCTCACCAACGTATTTGAAATTAGTGTTCGATCATAATATTCATAAATACATTTTGTTCCTAGAAATATTTTTCTTTAGAAGTTTGTATATGATTTGTGATAACTAAGCTTTTGTGGTAATTTTATTTGTACAACGTGCAAAAAACTGTAGTATGATTTATAAAGTCAATAAAAAAGTAGAGAACTAAAGTTGTAAACTCGAAGATAACAGAGAGAGAGCTGTGACTACAATTACCAAAGCAGGGATTTCACTTTAAGTAGGTGCTACGTTTCACTTTACCCGCATACCATCGTACATATTATTTCATAGATACGTTGACTATTATTTAACAATTGAACTAACTTTACATATTTTAATAAATATTATAAAGTTTACGTGATTCTTTTATAAGGTACCATTTGCATTAAGATTTGGGAGAAAATATTCACTTTGATATTTTACTATAGACACGTTAGTAAGTTTGTGTGTGTAAGATAAAACAAACAATATATAATGTATTGAAGTAAAAAGAAGAGAATAAAGAAGTGCATATCTTAATATTAGGAGTAGTATGAATACTTAATTAGTTTCGATCTCGAGTTTAACGAGACGAAGAGAACTAAGGGACGATGAAGAATTAGAGAATTATGCAGGCCAATATCTTAGTTTCCCAATGCAAACGAGTAAATAATTCAAGAATATCGAATTTGTACCTACTTTTTAAACTCTTTTAACTATTAAATTATGATTTAAATACGAGTTTAGTTTATTTTAAAACTTAAACAAGAAATGTATTTGCAATTGAAGGAAAAAATCATGGATTGAAAACTGTCATATATATCATTAGCACAAAATGTGATATGATTAGCAAAATAGTTGGCTCTTTTTAAAAAAAAATCACCACTTGAAATCTTAGTTGTATGCTCAGTTAATGGTATTATTATTTAGCTTTTTAAGGCAAATCTTATGAATTATTATCTTTAGCATGTAAAGCAATTTTAAAAACTGAAGAAAAGGAAAGAGAAACTTACTGATGAAATGCGTAAGCGTTTCTGTAAACGGCTCCACGAGGAATGAACGTTTCTTCAACCTTAATGTCCGATGCAAACTTCTTCAACCTCACGGCTTCACGTATGGCCGCTCTTGATTTCGCTAAACCTTCCTCGATTCTGTTCTTCTTCGTCTTTTCTTTCTTATCACAAGAAATTATATACATTAATTCAAAACAAATCCACTTCTTGATTAAGTGAATAAGATGATCATCATGACTAAGATTAGTAGAAACATACGTACATTTTGAGGACTCGAAGTTAATGTAAAGTTTGATGAGGCGGCGATACTAAACTCCATGGACATAGACGGTGAAGGAGACGGGGCAACGATGAATGTTGCATCGACGAATATTGAAGAGAGAACGTTTGAGTTTAGGTTTGAAGGCGATGAGTGGTGTTGGTAAAGGAGGAGGAGGACAAGAAGAACAAGTGTTGGAGCTAGAGAGAACTTCATATTAACAAAATCTGATTGTTTCATTTCTTTTGTTTTCTAGCTTCTTGGGCAGTGACACATTTGGGGCATATATTTATGTATTAGACGAAGGTAATAGTTGTTTTTTAATTAAAAAATCAACTATTAAATTAGAGAATCCAAGTACATTAAAAAGGCTCTCAAATAAAATCATTTAAAGGTAAAATATTAAAGTAGAAATGGAAACAAAAATGATACTAGGCAAAGAAACTGACGACTAATATAATGTAGAGTAATAATAATAATTATTATTAATTTTGTATTTATTGCTTTGTAAATTGCTTACCAAATCTGAAGTTAATTTTCATAGAGTCTGCATTTGTTTGGCACCGTCGATAGTTTAATAGCTCTATCATGGCATGCTTAATTTTAGGGTCAATTTGGATCCGTTATCAAACCGGTTCTCCTCATACTGCTATAACAGGTCTGATGCAAGTAATTCATAAAAAGTCATGCTTTAGTTGGAATGTTTGGTCAATCTGTCAATGTTGATATAACTAATAACTTAGCAATAACTTCACAATTTGGGCTACAAAGAGTTGTTTCGTGTTAAGTATCTCAAGAGTGAAGTTTGGTCTTTTGTTTTTCTTATATCTTATATATGGTATAACCTAAGTATACGTATATACTATTTGGAACATCAAATTTTTTTTGAAGCAATACGTTAACTTAGCTATGTTAAAGAGGATAAGACTCTAAAAGAAGCGGAGGCTTTGATATTTATAACAAAACAAATTATTAATTGATTCAACTGTCAAATTTGCTTATGTGTTTATAACATATCACAAAAAAAAAAAGTTTTTAAAAATGTTAATTTTTCTTTATTGTTCTCTGATTGCTTTTTAAAGTTAACAAAATGATTTTGCTTAAGGGGCTAAAAGTTGTGAGATCATTTGGACAACCCATACTTTAAACATAATTGAAAGCAAACAAACAATATTTGAAGTTATATACAAAAGAGAAATTAACTATTCGGTGGCAAAGATTTGTTTTGCCATTAAATTTTCATAGAGAAATAGACTTAACGTACGGACGTAGAATTACAATTCAATATTATAAAACAAATGGGTTATTACAATTTTGTTTACCACGAACGTACGAAACAAACAAAATAATAATATATAAAAGAATTACACATAAATATATGGGTTTAACAACCAACGTGGTCACGCCAGTCCAAGAACAAGAGAGCAGCTGCATAGTGAGACAAAGCACCCAACAGAACGAACACATGGAAGATCTGATGACTATGTCCCACGCGATCAAACCATCCCGGCTTAAGCCTTTCGGGCACTCTCCCTACATAGAACCCTGTCCCAACAAGATAGAACACTGCCATAAGCAACTCGTACAGGAGCGTAACGTTCCTTTGCGGGTTTCCCCAGTTGACCACTAGCGCGTGGGCAGCTGGGACAATCCCGAAGAGCCCCATGGAGGCGAAGAGAAAAGCGCGAAAAGCTCGGTATTTGGGTGCGGAAAGTGAAGGGGTGAAGAGTGTGATGATCGTGAAGATCCCCATGGAAGTGATGCCTGCGAGGTAGATGAAGTACCAACGAGGAGTGCACTGGAAGATGTAGTAGATTGGTGGGAAGAAAGAAGTGATGATCATGGCTGTGATACCAGCATAGTCTATCCGTAAGAGCAAGACGTTAAGGTCTTTGGAGTGGCAGCAGAAGAGGTGGCAAATGCTACTTGCGAGTAGGCAGAACATTGAGCCTCCTAAGAAGACGAAGAATGGCCACCTTGTAACATTCCCTGGACTCTTTGCATCCTATATTATTCATCAACATAGATATATACCATCATAAGCTTTCATAATCATATGAAAAAACAAATATGTACACCATTTTGTTGAGTTGTTTGGAATATATATATATATATATATATATATTAAAAGAAACTAGAACGATGGAAAAAAAAAAAAAAACATATTTGCTAATCTCAATTGATATCTAATGTACCAAGAATTTATATTCATAATCATCATAACAAACCCAGCAATAGCAGTAAATAATTCATTAGAAAAGTAATAGATAGTTTAACGAGAATCAATTAGGTATCTGTTATTACTTGACACATCCACTTGACTAATCTGAAAATAAGATAGTGTGGTTGCATGTGGATCTCAGAGGGATTAAATATATTGAGACTCATTTGTCTGAACATCATGATGAAGCCGAAGGTTTATTAAAAACGAAAGAGACATATATATATGATAGATTGGGATTGAGAAGGACAAACTTACCACTGGGAAGAATCCATCATGATGAATAATGTTGGCGACGGTTAGTGCCACAAATAAGATGAAACCTATCAAATGTCTGTCCAAATCAGAAAAACACACAAAATTTTATTAGAAATCAAACCAAAAAAAAAAAAACCAAAGGACAAAAAAAAGGAAGATGAAAAGTGTGGTTAGCGTACGTCCAAACGTTGAGGGACTCATTGTGGAAAGTAAAGACGCTGAAGAAAGCATCCCTAATGGACCAATCAGCTCTGTAATAATTCAATATGTATTCATTGTCTTTCATGTAGTCCGGTAGATCGCAATACGACATCAACTCCCGTCGTTTCATCGCCTTTCCTTGAGATTTTCTTCTACTCTTCCTTGTCTTCGTACAACCGCTGCTCTCGTCATCTCCAGGCACGACCTTGCTCTTGCTCTTGCTGTTGCTGTTGCTGTTGTTGTTGTTGCAACATGATGAAACTGTTTCCGTTTCGTCTTTCTGACCATCTTGGTCCATAAGAGCTCTCGAATGACGATTCTTGAGACCAGAATACTCAATTCTTGATCTCAAGAAAGAAGATCTGAGATGAGATGATGAAAGAAGAAAGAAAAAAGAATTTATAGTTGAAGTTAAATTAGTATTAAAATTGTGAATTGAAGTTTTTGAGGGGAAGGGAGAGAGAGAGGAGCTAAAGGGGAGGGAGGGAGTTGGGAAAATGTAAAGAAGACAGCTACAAACATTTAAAGAAGAAACTTTAGTATGCAGGTAGAAGTTGGTGTCGTGTTTTCATCTTTTAGTTGTTAGTTAGGTTATCAATAAATTCTTCTTCTTCTTCTTCCTTTTTTCTTTTACATAAATGTTTTTCTAAAGTTATTTTGTTTTACAAGAAAAGTGTCTTTGTCTAATTTTTTACACTATCATTTCGAGAGATACGCAAAATCTTGAGAATACTTCGAAACCAAACAGAGTTAATTTTAAGACCGACCGACTCGGAATTCACTACCTGCTTTGTACCTCTTATGCATATGAATGACGACTCCCCTTTTTTACCCACCGGATCCTTTCTATCTTTTTGTAAAGAAAGATATAAAAATATAAAAAATACTCTTTATTCAAAATAAGTAGTAATAACTTTTGAATTGATTGTAACCAAAAAAAGAAAAAAGAAACAGGTGTAGTCTTTTACTATGCTTCAATCAACATTAAATTTCTCTGTGATTGATTTAAGATTTGATGAATAGGTTTACTTCACTTTGAATAGACGAGTAACTTTTTTAGAAACAAATTTGCATTTATTTTTTCCCTTTACTTATCTTATGAAATAACATCATGATTTATGTTCATGACCGTAAATTTTGGGAATTCATATACAATAATAGAGGATAAACAACATAAGCTATGAAATAATTGGGGGTGTGTCAAAGCTTTTTTCCTATCAAGTGGATGACAAGACAACAAAAACAATGATACTAAAAATAGACACATGCAACAATTTTCAAGTCATCCTAACCACCAAAAGCCAAAATCATGATAAAGATCCATATAATTAGTGTCATTTTCAACTAGTTACCACTAGAAAACGACTTGACCTTCCAAATGCCTCTACTAGTGATGAACTTTGAGTTTATAATTAGGCATATATATATATATATATATATATATATATACTTTACTCGGAAAATTAACTAAATGTATGTTTATAAATAGACGAAAAAATCTATCTCCACAAGTAAACAATTTATAAACGTTTGTAACATGTATAATTTTTGTTATTAAATGTATGTGGGTTATGTAGCTACTAAACATACATATTGGTATCCCACACATTTCCTTTTCACAAAATTATAAGTTTTAATTTTTTTTGTTATGACGTGTATGAATTATTGTGAATAGAGGAAATTTAAAGCTAATAATGGCCATAGTTGTAGCGATTATGGTGTTTTAAAATCTTGTGTTGGCTTAGTCTTTTTGGGAAAACATTAACAAATGGGAAAGGCTAATCAGCTTTCTAACTTTCCCAAAAAAGGTCATTTCTGAGAGACACCCCACCCCAAATAATAACGCAATCAGATACGCTTTCTCTATATAACCATTTCTTCAAGGGATACAATAGATTACAGAAATACTAATTAATAAGAAACTCACAACTTATAAAGAGTCTTTGTTAAATACGGTTGAGAAGAAAGTGACATTACCTCTCAACATCTTTTGCAATCTTTAATTTAGGGTAATTGACATGTGTTTGCCAATCTTTGGCCTTAATTTTATAAATAATTATATATATATATATATATATACATACACATTTGTGGCATAAAAGGATGGTTTTATTTATTTAATTTTTTGTTCTGTTAATATAAATACCGGAATATACCCTCTTTTTCTTATTTTATTATTACAATTACTTTGCACAAATTAAGTAAAATCTGGTGGGTGTCAAAAAGACAACCATATGAAGAGTTTGGTATTTCCGGCAGCTATATGTACGACCAAGTAATAAACAAACCAAACCAAACCATGTGGTCAATGAAAAAGATAGTTCGCATTTGGTACCAACCATTGATGGTTGGAGATGCCGTTCACGTCTTATTTCTGGTTTTCACTCCTTGATAAGCTCTAGTTTCTTCAGGGCATCACGAACATCAGAATCTGCCGGTGCGTGGACCACGTTGCTGCTCTCTAAGGAGATCACGTCGGTGAGAGGATAGCTCCGGTTAGCGTGCAAGGCATTGCTTGCGCTGCAAGACACTCCCTTTAGAACAATGCTCTTGTGAAGCCCTCCGAGCAGTCCTTCGTAATCAGTGTCGCCTGATTCCCCCACAAACACTGCCATTTTCGCCATGTCAATTCCCCACCGAACAAACAAGTACCTGGTTCACCATAAGCGTAGTTAAGGGCAATGATCTGAAATGGAAACCATAGTCACTTGCACTGTACCACAACTTTTGTAATGAATAGTTAGTTACCTTAGAGCTTGTATACGCGAAGCCAGCACCGGTATCACATTAATTCGGGTGCCATTTTGACTGTAAACAACATGACAACGCAAAGCCTGGATTCTCAGCAGCTTCCGGAGCTCTCTTACTGGAGGTACCTGGGAATAGAAGACATAAAAAATGGCTTTTAACGAAAGCTAGAAACATATGTGAAGACATTCTGAATAGTGTTGCGCCTGGTTAAGTTTACCGCTGCTGGTTTTTTGACTGTAAATGTGTAGCAGTAGTCAGTTGAAAGATGTTCAGCAAGAGTAACTATCTGCTCGTCATGTTCAGCCTTTTTATCATTAAGTGAAGATGCCCAACGGATCAAAGTCTTCCTCAGCCCTTCACCGCCCCACCGATATTCTATATGGGAGTGGTAGTAAAAGTCAACAACAAAAGGACCATCTTCGGTGTTGAGGGATGTGTAGTGGAGATCACTCCCGCTGTTGCATATGAAAGCGTCAAAATCATTAGGGTTTAATCCCCCTGACACCAAGAAAGATTGTATCTCAGAGATCGTTAGAGATGTCGACAGTATGAATCCAACAGATCCATCAGCTCTTTCCTTTTCAACCGCATCTAGAATCCTTCTTGTAGCCTCTAGCGTGTCTTGTTCCCCATCAAAATCAAGAGCAATAACAACAATAAACTTCCTTCTCCGCACTGCAGGGAACTTTCCAGAGTTAACCTCTGACCTCTCCAGTGATCCCATTTTGCGGCTATCTTTGCCTTTAGACCAATTTTGGACAGCAGCTTCAATTTTGCTCTTCCTGTCCATGGAGTTCCCTTCTTGGTTCATGTAGTTATCGTTCCCACTTCCGTCAAATGAAAACTTTAAGTTCAAGGATATATCTTGTATATCTCTCAAAGAATCACTAGGTGACTCGGGTTCTGAATTATCACCGCCATCATCACTTTGCCATTGTGGATGTCTTGGTTTGAAGCTGGTTATGCGAGATAGATAAGTTTTGCAGTGCTCTGGCCAAGAGAATTGGTGAATGTTCTTCAACCCGTTTTGCCGACACTTTGCCCATAGGTGCTTATCAGCAACAAGCTTAAGAAGAGCTTCAGAAATAGACTTCTGATCATGAGGATCCACGAGAAGGCCATTGTCCAGGACCTGGGGAAAAAAAATATCCAAGGTACATTTTAGAACAAATGAGCAGGTACGTAATAGTCTTGGGGACTTCAAGGTTTACCATAAAAAACATACCCGGTGTATATCTACAGGACCACCATTTTGTGTAGCAACCATAGGCAACCCATGAGCTGCAGCCTATAAGGAAAAAAACGAAACACATTATACCAAGAGGACAAGAGCGAGTCATGATTCACATGTGTCAACAAGAGAATACAATACCTCAATTAGAGTAAGTCCAAACGGTTCAATGATAGCTGGATTGATGAAAACACCCTGCATATAATCCATTAACAATGATTATTCTACTAAAGAGAATAGTTGACACCAGCATCTTGAGTAGTTTCTAACCATTGTCACGATATGCAGCACATGATAAGGAGATGAAATGTTTATTTGTGAACGGAGCCATGATTTCATAATGAATAGCTCAGGAAACTTAAGGTGACAGTAAATTGAATGATTTTGGAAAGAATAGCATGATATGATAACATGATGAACTTTACTTAATTATGTCAAATAAGGTTTTATCACTAACAAGCGGAGAAATTCACCTAAGTTTATAGATCCTTAATTTTGTGAGACAAAGTCTAGCAAGTGTACCTTCGACTTTGCAGCTAGGCGGTATATGTCTGGAACATCTGACTGTTTGTGATGTTTAGGGTACGCAACTTGACCATAAAGATCATACTTGTCAATCAGCTTTAGAACAGAAAGGAGAACCGAAGAACTCGTGCTCGACATTTCATCAATCCCATCTCGGTTACCCATAATAAGTGCCTGCAAACCAGAAATATGGAAGATAATGAAAACAAAATGGTGGTCGAAACAAAAACATAAAATGAACAACCAAGGTTTCATAGAAATGTCTTTACAAAAGTCTCTATACATATATGACATTTACATACCAGGTTAGCAAGCTCTCTTAGTGGACGGCATTCTCCAAATGCCTTCACTAACGTCGTGATGTTCTTTTTCGGGTCGGGCCTCGCAAGGGCAAGTATCATAGGTTTTCGGGAATTTGAAAAGAATCGCATTATCTGCATCATTACATAGAATTTGGAGGTCGAGTAACCTAATATCAATATTTGGTAGGAGAAACTAATAAAGCCATGTATATATTATATTTAAGCAAGAACCTCAGCCCATATGGGTGGATCTGGAGAAGTTGGATGTTCCTCGTTTCCATCTGTGTCATCAATATCACCACCATGTGGGACAATATGATTGAACTCCATCCCAGGTGGAATTTTCTGAAAATGTAAATAAACAGAGAACATTTTTATCATATTACAAAATAGTTGGAAGACTACACATAACAATTCTAACAAGGCAAGGAAAAATCATTTTCCCACCTGAGATTATCTCTTAATCAACCACCCTAAAGTAACATTTGGATGTCATACGAATATTAAGTCTGACATGTATAATTATAACGAAAGATGTCGATAAGCATGATTCGTTTACAGAAGAATAGAGTATCAGAAATGATCTACAGTGTTGAAAGTTAGAAGACATTTCAACACAAAACCAGAGTCCAGTGCAACAAGTTTTCTGAAGCTAATCACAGCAATCTTCG